ATCATACTATCTTTCTTATTTTATCACTACTGAAAAATAAAAATAAAAATAATAACCATATAATCAAACTTCAGCACTCGGAACCCATATACTCTATTCTTTTATATCTGAAGTGACATATACTACTATTCTCAGAACTGTCTTTTTACTTTCGCATGCACATGATATCTATATACTTATACCTTCAACACCTTCTTCAATGAAAATGACCCCATCCTATCACACATAATTTTTAAAAATTCTTACTTTTAGTATATCTTTAAATATCCAGTTCTAGACCAAACAGCCATTGTCTAACACAAAGTCCTGCCATAGTAATCTCTCTTTATAGATGCACAACATAATCCTCAAACCTATATTTTAAAAAAAAAAAAGAAACATATATTTCTTATACTCTGTACTCTCATTCTTCTTGTCCCTTTCACTTCAAACAAATTAACTTGGTCTCTCCCTACTCGCATATCTTATTTATTTTAATATCTTTAAATAACTAAAATAAAATATGATTTATTATTTATTATATGTTTATATAGGTTATGAATTTATTATAAGAGAGATGTGTGTGTGGGTAGTCGATGTGTGGGTAGTCGATGTGTGGGTAGTCGATGTGTGAGTAGTCGATGTGTGGGTAGTCGATGTGTGGGTAGTCGATGTGTGAGTAGTCGATGTGTGGGTAGTCGATGTGTGGGTAGTCGATGTGTGGGTAGTCGATGTGTGAGTAGTCGATGTGTGGGTAGTCGATGTGTGGGTAGTCGATGTGTGGGTAGTTGAGATAGATATATTTAAAGTGTGTGTATGCAGCCGAGGCATATTTGTGTCTGTAGTTGAGGTGTGAGAGAAAAGGGGGCGTTGTGGGTGGGGGGTGCCATAACCAGTGGTCATATGGGAGAGGAAAAGTTTATTTTCTAACAAATCGCAAAAACTATAATCATTTATAGTTTTGAGGTAATGCATTTGGTAATCCAAAGGTTTCTCTAAAGTAATAAGGTAAAGATAAAGTTTTCGCATCCGTAGTGCGGATGCGATTCTAATAACGCATCCGTAGTGCGGATGCGATTCCAATAACGCATCCGTAGTGCGGATGCGATGGTCATGCATGAAATAACAGGTTTATCGTAAAAAAAAAGCCTGGGTAACCGCCCAAGTAAGTTTGTTTGTTTTGTCTAAAAAAAGTATAGAATCATATGAAAATCAAAATAAACCAACCAAAAATAGAAAGCAAAGCACTTTGATACTTTATACACGATACTCTACAGTTAGCTAATAGCTTGAATTTTTTGGTTTATATCTTTGTTCGTGCAAATAATCAAACCTTTTGATATCTCATATTAATATATTAGTATATATAATGAATTCCAATATCTTATTTTGATCTAATTCCAAAAGGCTTTATTTTAATAATGAAAAAGGCTGGTACTATTATATTCAATAATTATATATTTCTTTGCGATTATTTAAATAGTAACTCGACTGAAATATGTCTATAGCTTGTATCATTTATTTCCCATTCAATTTTTCAAATATACTCTTATTTAAAACTATTTAAACAGCAACTTAAACAAATAGATATCTTTGGCTTGTACCATATACTTCTCAAGCAGTTTATTAAATAGTTCTGTGCAAGAATATATATATTTCGGCTGCAAAAGATTTTGATTAAAATTAAATCCGATCCGAGCTATAAGCAACAATATGAGGTTTAATACATCTTTATAACAGTTTGATCCACTGGATATTTATGGATCAATTAACACTCTACTTCCTTTAATTCGCTTTCTCTCTCATTTTCTTTTTATTTATAAGTCTAATCCAAGTTGATATATATCTATATATTATCAAGTTATTTTAAAATGAATTGTGTTCATATACTAAAAGTTACTCTAGGACTATATATATATAATCTGTTAGTATATTTCAGATGAGCTCTTACACCTACCTTTTTTCCCTCTTTAATACACACGCACACACTTGGGGATCTGTCTACCAGTCAATTGGCTGCACTGGTACAATATATACGATATTGTCTATTTCTTTTTATATCTTTTTACAAACTAAGGGTTCTAATCGACAATTCGGACAGCACGCACTTTTTTGTAAACTGGTATTACTGATCGGTGGTGCAGACACCCTTTGTGTACCCACAAGTGAAAGAATCATAGCAGGGTCCATTGACAGGGATACTGTTACCCATACGAAGGTTTAAAGACCGTATGGTACTCACTTACAATCGTTGAGAGAGGACTGTGTATTCAAAACCCTTCACTGTGCTGTAACCAAAACAAAAAAAAATCTTTTTAACGATGGCTTGAATCTTCTTTCGACATTCCGCCATCCCAGTCGAGGATCTTCATTCCTGTTGGGGATCGTCATTCATATTGTATTGCAACTCAAAGTGGACCGAAAGCGACGCAATACGAAAAGGAAGCGCACTCTTTTGAAAAATAAAATAAAAAATGAAATACTCTTTATTTTATATTTTTGACGACTGTTCACTGTATATGCGACTCTAACAAAAAATAAGCCCTTGGTCAAGCCTTCGTGTCCCTATAAACTTCGCACTGCTCTCAAAGTCGGCAGTCATCGCCACTCTATTGTTTTCTTTTTTTCAACCCTGTACTAACAACAACTTCGCACTGCGTTCAAAGGCGACAGTCATCGCCACTCTATTGTTTTCTTTTTTCAACCCTGTACTAACAACAACTTCGCACTGCTCTCAAAGGCGACAGTCATCGCCACTCTATTGTTTTCTTTTTTCAACCCTGTACTAACAACAACTTCGCACTGCTCTCAAAGGCGACAGTCATCGCCACTCTATTGTTTTCTTTTTTCAACCCTGTACTAACAACAACTTCGCACTGCTCTCAAAGGCGACAGTCATCGCCACTCTATTGTTTTCTTTTTTCAACCCTGTACTAACAACAACTTCGCACTGCTCTCAAAGGCGACAGTCATCGCCACTCTATTGTTTTCTTTTTTCAACCCTGTACCAACAACAACTTCGCACCACTTTCAAAGTCGACAATACCAATCATACTATCTTTCTTATTTTATCACTACTGAAAAATAAAAATAAAAATAATAACCATATAATCAAACTTCAGCACTCGGAACCCATATACTCTATTCTTTTATATCTGAAGTGACATATACTACTATTCTCAGAACTGTCTTTTTACTTTCGCATGCACATGATATCTATATACTTATACCTTCAACACCTTCTTCAATGAAAATGACCCCATCCTATCACACATAATTTTTAAAAATTCTTACTTTTAGTATATCTTTAAATATCCAGTTCTAGACCAAACAGCCATTGTCTAACACAAAGTCCTGCCATAGTAATCTCTCTTTATAGATGCACAACATAATCCTCAAACCTATATTTTAAAAAAAAAAAAGAAACATATATTGGGCTTATTTTAATATTTTAATTTTTCAACTAAATTAGCTACTAATATAATATATATTTTAAAAGTATGGTGACATCAAAGACATATCATGAAAACCATTAGACAGAGCAATAGAGTAACCATGTCATATTTTGCAAGCACCAACATTTGTGTCGGAGATATACATTTTTATTTTTGTTTAACCTTACTTATATTTAGGTTAAGTGGTTAGCGCTGTTACTACTTCAAGCCAGGTCCGGCGTTCAATTCTCAATAGAGTATATGTTTGGGTTTTTTTTTAGTTTTATATATCATGATAGAATCTTTTAATTTTTTTTAAAAAAAAATTGGTAAAGATTATATATTTTAGTAAGATTATATCTTTGAATGATTAATTATTCCATGCATTATGTGAGAACAATTAATAGATTAGTATTATCTTTATAGTTCTGACAAATGTTTTATTTTTATACTAATCATACAAAATGATTAATGTATTAAATAAAGAAGCTATAATAGTTGTTGCTTTATTCAAGCATATTATTTTCAGTCGCGACTCTCAATAAAATAAAGTAAGATAAAAATTTTCAAAATCTGACTTTTATATTAATCAAGGTAAAGCAAGTGATAGAAACTAAAAAAAGCAATAGATTTGATTGCTTCATAGTTTAAATACCAAGTTAACAGTAAAAAAAATCATTTAATATTTCCACTTTTATATTTTTTGTAATAAGCATTTATTAAAGACAATAGCATTTTTACCTCTTATTTTTTTTATTGTATATGGAAGTAGTCACATTTTTTTTTCGGAATTAGAGGTAAATGTTTGATCACTTGGTGTGGACAGACTAAAAGCTCAAAAAAAGACCAAAATTAATTAAAACTCTTGCCCAATGATATGACTTAAAATTTGTTCTTCTTTTGCACTTTTTTTGAACTTTTAGTCTGTCTACACCAATTTTTTTTATTTCGACATCATTTTGTCACATAGAAAAATATGTGAGCAAAGACATGCATTATTTTGTAGACTAATTCAATTTCTTCTCCTGTTCTAATATATATATAGTTATTATATTCTACTTGGACAGCAATATTCGATTCATTTTAATTTTCTACCAACCTGCCCACTAGAACAAATCCCGGCGGCTATCTAATCGTAGCATGCTTCAAACTCCGAAAAATTCTAAAGACCGACAATGCGCCTCTAATACCACTTTTCTGTTACTCTTCTTTATTAGCTATCGATAGAGCTAAGAAGCATGTAAATACAATCAGTAGAAGGTGAAAAAAGTAAAATTGTATGAATTTTATTTTTTGGTAAATTATTGATTTCTTGAAAAAAAAAAAAATTATAAATGCCGACTGAAAACGATTTCACTTTTATTTTTACTCTCAATGGCTCTATCTATTTATTTTACTGTTATATTTTTGAATAATATATATAGCTTGTTAAGGCGTTATACATTACAAGAATTGTATATGTACAGAGAAGTTATATTTATATAATAAGAATACGCACAGCTACTTTTATCAAGCAATAACGTGTCAATTTTTTCTTCCTTTTTGTTTCTAGAAATTCCGATGAATCTTAGAAAAGTAAATCACGGAGCTGCGATTGTGTGATGTCACAAGAGAAAAACATTTGGCTCTTCGTACGGGATTGACATCAGAGAGATCCAAACGAGATCTCAAGATCTTTTAAGCTTCTATAGATTTAAGCAAATAATTTATAGGCCGTGGATTACTAAAAAGAAGACGATAATAAAGAGATAATATTGTCTGAAATTACATATAATCGTATTTGAACATTGGTGTGATTTAGTGTACCTGAACAATCACTCAACGCCCAATATTATCAGAGACATTGCGGTTGAGACGAATAGATAAAAAAAATTGTGTAGGTGTACTGGGGACTGGTGTCTTTTAATATAATAAACTATCTGGATAAGTTAAGCGGTTTGAAGGAATGAAATAAACCCTCTGTGAATACAAGAAGAGTAAGGTAAACTAACAAAGCTAGGCAATACATTATCAGTGTAGAAGAAAAATGAAAATCTTGAGTAGGATTGGGTCATGGGACCAAGATACACAGTAATACCAATAAAATGTAGATTTACTACAAATATTTTCAGGTTTATCCAGAGAGAGAGTGTATGGGTGCATAATAGCTGATATATCTGATATTAAATATGTGCACGGATCACTCTTGACAGGATCTATTGTTGAAGGATATGAACGGAACCGTTTTTAGCATGTAACTTGGGTGTAGTACCAATGCCGATTTGAGAAATGTTTGGTTCCGGCTATTGAGGTAAATAGCTTGCCAGATTCCACAGGTTAAATCAATAGTGAGTCATTCATATTTCACATTGGTGTTGTTTAACCGTCCGCGGTCATGTTTTATATACGTAAAAAAATCATATATTTGATACAGGGGAGGATCAAAGGGGCTGAACTGGATGCTGAGCACTGGGACTAGGTAAGTTGCTCTGTGTGCTTAAGACTTGCTCAAACATGTTTTATGGGCAATTATTCTGCATCAACGGTTTAGTAATATTATTAAAACAAAGCAAAATAAAATACAATACAATGGTAATATATGTAATATAAGATATCAAATTCAGCAATACCTGTTTATGTTATAGAGTAAATTGGTTTGTATGTGTGTGCAGGATGATATTCCCAGAAGCGTTGTATTTGTTATTCATGATTAATATTACTATTTAATCTACACTTTGAGGTTTGCGTTCTTGTTGATATTGAAACGTAGGGAGTGGTGGGTTCGGTTTCGACTGTCATGCTAATAGTAACAATAATTGTTACGTAGACAAACCCCCTAACACCTCCTCTTTCTTCATTTGGGATTTATCACAATCCCTCTTTTAGCGTCTTGTATTGACACATAGGGTACTTGTAAGAGGTATTGTAACTCATTACAATACTACTGCGAGGAGGGCCATTCAAGTTAGACAGTCTTTACACCCGGGTTACTATCTAGCACAGGTTTTATATTCTTAATGGAGGTGTGGTAACGATGGACAGTAAACTACTTCAAGAGGATACGTTCTCGAGACAATAGATGTACACTCCAATAGTTAGGATGAGTCAAATAATATTTATTTGACTAGGCGTATGGGGATGAGAATCAGTTGTCAGCATAATAAAATGGGAAAAGTGTTTTTAATGTGGTAAAAAGAGATACTTCATTCATCTTCATTAAACTTCATATATGGCCTCCTCTGCTTCTTCCTCTCGCTCCTCTCATCTACACTTCGTTCTCCTTTCTTCTTCAAATTCATTCTCCGAGGAGAGGTGGCCACCAACAACCACACACACGTTCACAGTATCCATATCCATTCTTCCCTTTTTTTGATACATCACCTCTTTTGATTAGGGCACCTTTTCTACAACGATCCCGTCAGTATTTCTTCCTTGTTTTTGTTCAACCTATACTTAAACCTATAGAGTGATATATTATATTATAGTGTAGAATAGTATAACGTATTGAAATAAAAGTAATAATGAAATATTTACTTTTTAGAGAGGACTGTCTATCAAAAATCACCTTCACTGAGCCACAACAGAATAAAAAAAAATTCTTTTTAACGATGCATTGAAATTTTTTTTTACCTACCTCATCCCTTTCGGGAATCCTCAGTCAAACCCCCATGCCTAAATTGACTACAAATCTACTGGAATCGACACCAACTTCACAACGCTACCAAAACAGACACCAGAAACCTTAACATATTTATTTTCTTTTTCTTTTTTTGACACGTACCAACAACATCACAATGCTATCAAGATTGACACCGCCAACTACCACATTCAAATCTTTTTTTGGGCATACCAACACCAACACAAAGATATCAAAGTTTGCACAGAGAATGAAACCATTCATAATATTTTTTTTGTAATATGTATTGGAGGTAATGTATTTAAAGGCGAAAAAGCTAGAGAATAGCCAAAGCTGATTTAGCTTCGAATATTGTAATGTCTAATGTAGATGGAACTGCTATATGATTAAGGACAAATTCAATATCAAGAATAAGTTGGAAGTGGCCGCTCGATATGGATATCCAGTGTGTGGCATTGGATACGCTGATTGAGCGTATGTATGATCTATTAGGTTAAATAAATGGCGAATAAGGTGTCTAGTTCAGGGAATATTCCCTGGGTGGCGACGAGGATGACGAAGATAGCCCCGTGAGTAGCCATATACGTATGCATAGCTGACCTTCAACTGTTAATACGCTATTGATTTAGATACTAGCGCTTCAAAAGTGATGGTGGTAGCTATAATGATTGAATATTAGAGATTGAGTGGGGTCAGTTTCGTGGCTCATATTAGCATGAGGAGGATACTGAGAGGATATATCCAGAGGTCTGCGATATACAATACAGTGGATAATCTAGTGGCTGAATTAAACATACCCGAAACTAACAAATAAGCTAAAGTATGCCGAGTTGCTAATGTTGTTAATTGGGATAGATGATGAGCAGTAATAACGTTATGCTAGTGTTATGCGATTCCTTGCAGCCACAGGATAAGTAGCAAATGTAAGTACGGTAAGGCCAAGCTGTAGTTAAAAGAGGCAGTAATTAAATGTTCAGAGGGTCTTGTTCACTTCTATCCTATGAGGAAACGTGGAGCTCTGATACTTGTCTTGACTGTGAGTACTAGACGAAAGCAAATTACGTTATTTAAATTTTCAAATAGCACTGTATACGTTTAGTCTATAATGGAGGCAAAAACTTGATCCTTTAAATCGATTGGAAATACACTACTGAAATGAAAACATTAATAAAAGAAATAATTTAAAAAATACTTGTATATCTTTAAACAATGATGGGGAGCACAAATTTGTTACTTGATCCTTGATATCAAATACATAAAATAGATATAGGTGTTGGTGAATTTTTCAAAAGCCTTTTATATCTTTAACCAGCTTAAATTATTTGGCTTCAACTACACATATACTTCTTATATAAAGCAAGTAGTACTGAGTGGTCAAAAATTGTTGTATACCTAGAATCCATACCTAAAACTAAAGTTTTAATGTTTAGCATTAAATATGACTGTAAGGTCCTATAGAAACAGCATAAAGTAGTTATTGAAACAAATACATATGCAGGTATATGATACTCGAGCCCGAAATCTTGATCGTTGGGCTTGTCTGTTTAAAATAATACACAAAAATAATTTGTAGTAATATATCCAAAGAAACTGGTATACCTGTAACCCTTGATAGAGATTGAGTTTTTTAGCGTTGGATTTTGCTGTCGAAATAGTAAAAAAAGACAAATAAAAAAAAGACAAATATAGCTGTGGCCCACAATAGAGAGTAGAATACTGATACCTGGTATCGGCTGTAAAAAAAATTAGTAAATACAATTTTCAGTGAGAAAATTTTAAAAACCCCTCCTATGTCTTTAATCCTTAATAAAGAATAGAACCATGATAATTGACCTAAACTACGAAGAGAAAAAAAAATAAGCAAATACAAGCATCATTCAAAGAAAAATGGGCAACTAAACAATGTATACCTGTAACATATGAATAAGAGTTAGACAATGATCTTTGACACCAACTGTGAAATTATAAGTATTTATAACCATCAGTGAATAGATTCACAAAGAGACTTGTATACCTACGGCCCATGATGTAGAGCAGAGCCATAAATTTTGGACTTGGCGATTAAAAGACTAGACAAATAAAAGCGACAAGTATTAACTGCTTAAAGAGTCATGTATACATATAGCCCAAAATGGGCAGCGGAATATTGATCGTTCGCCCTGGTGGTAAATAGACTAAAAAAAGAAAGCCAACAATAAGTATATGTTCAAAAAGAAATATATACCTGTGATCATGAATAAATACTCAAAACTTGATCGTTGGCTTAAAATATATATAAAAAAAAAGCTAGACAAAATAATAGTTGATAGCTAAATACTAAACGAGACATGTGTATCTTATACCCTGGATGCATGGTGAAACCTTAATCGTTGGTTTTGACTATGTCAAGATAACTAAAAACAACAACCAGTAAGTAGATGCTCAATATATATATATATATATACTGGAGAACTTGGACGGGCAACAGAGGCTTTATAGTTTGGCTTTGACTGTGTAAACACTAGAATAATCTAATTGATAGTAAGAAAATATTTAAAGAGCTTTGTATACCTGAGGATTTTTATGGAGAGTGAAACCTTGATAGCTGGTTTTTGCCGTAAAAAGTATGGGAATATACAGCTTAAAGTAACTAAAGGCTCAAAGAGACTTGTATGTCTATGACTGTAGGAAAATGTCGGAATATTAATCGTTGGTCTTTACTATGAAAACACTAGAAAAATACACCTAATAGTAAGTAAATTCTCGGAAATATATATATACCTATGGTTGGAGATGTAGGTCAAAACCGTGACTGTTGACATGAGCTGTGAAGATTCTGGACATATAAAACAGGCTGTAAGTAAATGGTGTAATAAAGATGTATGCCTGTAGCCCTGGATGGAAATCGGACGCCTAATCGTTGGTATGAACTGTGAAATTACTAGAAAAATTAAAACTGATAGTAAGAACATATTCCAATAAAAAAACCTTGTATGTCTATAAGCCTTGATGGAGACTAGAGCCGTGAGGGCTAGCATAGAATGTAAAAAAGAAAAAGAAAAAAAAAAGATTAAATAGATAGAATCAGTAGTAAAGTAATATTTAAATACACTTATATATCTAAGACGTTGAATTAATAGCAGGATCTTGATCGTTGACCAGGACTCTAAAAACGCTTGATAAATGTCATTGGCTGTAAAAAAGTAATCTAAGAATCTTATATACCTTTACCCAATAATGTTGAGTGGAAACTTGATAATGACCAAAGACTTGATCAATGGACTTGAATGTGCAAACGCCAGAGAAATTCAGTCGATATTAAAAAAAATCAAAGATACATGGATATCTTCAACCCTTCCCGGAAAGCTGAAGCTTGATCGTTGGACTCGGATTTAAAATACTAATCAAATGTAATCGATAATAAATAAATGTTCAAAATAAACGGTGATACCTGTGGCTCATGGTTGAGAGTAGGAAATTTATCCCTTGACCTATATATTAAAAGCAATAGGCAATAGCAGCCGGCAGTCCTAAAAGGGCAATTATACTTGAATGTCTGTGAACCTGGGTGGAGACTAAACTCTTGAACCTTGGTGTGGACTATGGTATGACTAGATAAATATGATGGATGACAGAAAGATATTCAAAGGAGGGTGTACGCCTGTTACCTCGACGAATAGCAGAAACTTGATCATCAGCGTTGACTGTAAAATTATTAGACAATTTCAATAAGCAATGATTAACTATTAAAAAAAAAGCATATATACCTTTTACCCTAGATGAGCAGCGGAATCTCAATTAGTAGCCTTGACTATGAAAAGACTAGACAAATATAGCAGACACCAAGCAAATGCTCAAAGAGGTATATATACCAGTAACCCTGCATGAACTATGGAATCTTGGGTGTTGGCCTCAATTGTGAAAAGACTACCGAACTAAAGCTGGTAATAGGTAAATACCCAAAGATACTGGTATACCTAACATCCAAGAAGGAGAGTGGCATCTTGATTGTTGGCCTTTTCTGTGAGTAGACTAAAGAAACACAATTGGCAGTAAGTAAATACTAAAAAGTGGCAGTATATCAGTGATTTTTGACGGGGATTTGAACCTTGACTGTTGAATTGAACTGTAAAAAGACTGCTTCAAACAGCTATCAATATGTTAATGGGTAAAGAAAGCCACTTGTATCCCTGTAAATCTATGCGGAAATCGGGCTCTTGATCTTTGGTCTCGACTGTATAAAGTCTGAATAAAGCAACTAGTAGTAAGTAAATGCTTAAAAAGGCATGTATACCTTAACCCTATTTTTTGAAGTGCAACCTTGATTCTCGGCATGGACTGTCAAAGATTAAAAAGATTCAACCAGTGAAGAATAAATGCTAAAATGTGCGTGTGTACCTAGAACCTTGAATGGATAGAAAGAACATGATCATTTCGCCTTGACTATGTAAACGCTAGGAAAATCTAATTTTTAGTAAATTGCTTAAAGATTCTTGTATACCTGCGATCTTTGATGTAGAGCTGAGCATTGAACGCTTGCTACGGAGAAGAAAGGGTTAGAACAAAACAACTGATAGTACCTAAAAAGTCAAAGAGACTTTTATACCTGTGAGCCCAAAAGAATATCAAAGCTTTGATCGTTGGCTTCGGCTGTAAAAACATTATGCAAATATATAGTAAGTAGATTTTTTGGCAGATTTGTATACCTGTCCCCCCCGGATAAACAACTCATATTAATTGTGGGCCTTTCCTGTAAAAAGACTAGAAAATATAATAGCTAGTAAGTAAAGGTTCACATAGTCATGTATACCTTTAATCCTTAATGGAGATTAAAAACCCGATTGCTGGCTTAAACTATAAAAAAGCTAGACAGAATAATAAGTGATACGTGAGTACTAAATGAGACCTGTATACCTCGGGCACTAGGTAGATAGTAAAACTTTGGTAATTCAGTTTGACTAAATAAAAATTACTCGAAACAACAAGCAGTAAGTAAACGATCAGGTATGTACATATACTTGTTACCCTAGAGGACAGTAAACCTGGATCGATTGGCCTTGGCTGTGTAAAATTAAAAAATAATAATTAATTAATTAATAAATAGTAAAATAATACTTAAAAATATTTTTTAAACCTATGGCCTTAGATGGAGAGTAGATGCTTATTATTTAGCATAGACATTAATGAAATTAGAAAAATCAAACAAGCGTTATGCAAAGGCTAAAAGAGAATTGTATACCTGTAACCGTGGATGAAGAAGAAATCCTTGTTCTTCGACCTGGGCGGTGAAAACACTAGACAAAAAAAAACAAGCGATAAGTAGAAACCCAAAGAAAAGTGTATACCTGTCATACTGGATGGAGATCGAATCCTTGATGGTTGCCCTTGACAGTAAAAACAATAGACGGATAAAAAAAGCCAATAATCAACGGCCCAACGAAAAATATATATCTGCAAGTCTGGATGAATATCAAGTCCTAGTTCTTCGGCCTAAACCGTATAGGCACTAGACATATAAAACTAAAAGTTAGTAAAGACGCAAACATATTTGTATACCTGTCACTCTGGATAGGGCTCGGATTCGGAATCATTGGCATAGACAGTAAAGGCACTTGACAAAAAAAAAGACACATTAAATAAAAGCACTTGTCAGATTTGTATACCTGTAAAACTTGATGGAAACCGGATCCTTGAGTGTTGAATTTGACTGTAAAGTCACGAGAAAAAATACAGTTTGCAGCAAGTCAAAAATCAAAGAGATGTGTAACACTATATCCCAATATGGAGACCGGGTTCTTGCTCATTACCCTTGACTGCAAGGACACTAGAGAAACAAAAACAATTATAAGTAACGGCCCAATAACATTTTTATATCTGTAATTCTCGGTGGATACCAGATGATTGGTCGTTGGCCTTGACTTTAAGGGCAGTAGAAAATTAAAACCGACAGTAAGTAAAATCCCAAAGAGAAGTGTATACCTGTAACACTGGACGGATATAGGATCCATGATGGCTGGCTTGGACTGTGAAGCCAGTAGAGAAATAAAGCCAACAGTAACTAAAGGCCGAACTAGATGTATATACCTGTCGCACTGGAAGGAAAACAAATTTTTCATTGTGTAGCTGGATCGTAAACACACTAGGCCAATACGAAAGAAAGCATGTAAAGACAGAGAGAAAAGTGTGTACCCGTAACCTTGATTTGAAATCAGATCTTTGATATTTGAACTTTAAGGAAAAAAAAACACTAGAAATATATAAATGACAGTAAGTAAAAGCTCAAGAAAACTTGTTTACCTGTAGCCCAAATTTGAGTTTTGATCCTTGCTGTTTGGCCTGGAGAGTAAAAACAATAGTCATATATACTTCTAGGCTAGTAATGGCCAAGAACGACTTGTATACCTTCCATAATGGATGTATATTTGATCATCGTTCTTTGCCATCAAAAGAAAGTATAAATAAAGAGTACAGTTTGTTTTAAGTAAAGGTTTAAAGGAAACTTGGTTAGCTATAACAATTCATGAAAATAGGATCCCGATAATTGCCGTGGATGAGTAGACACTAGAAATATATAAAATCCAATGAGTAATTGCTCATCGAGTTTTTGTATACCTATAGCCACGGACTGAATCCGGATCCGTGAAGCATGATCTTGGTGGATTCAACACTAGAAATAAATAAAGCCGAGTGTGATTGCTCATCGATTTTTGTTATATCTATAACCATATAACAGGAGATCAGCACCTTGAAGCTCGACCTGGATGGCCGGAGACTAGAACTAGATTAAAAAAATGAGTATATGCCCATAATGCTTTTTATACCTATACCCATGGCGGGGAGATCGGAATCTTGATGCTTGACCTGGATAGCTGGAGACTGGAGATATATTAAATCTAGTGAGTATATGCCCATAATGTTTTTTTATACCTATAACCATGGCGGGGAGATCGGAATCTTGATGCTTGATTTGGATAGCTGGAGACTGGAGATATATTAAATCTAGTGAGTATATGCCCATAATGTTTTTTTATCCTATAACTATGGCGGGGAGATCAGAACCTTGATGCTTGGTCTGGAAGACTGAACACAAGAAGTATATTACAGCTAGTGAGTATATGCCCATAATGTTGTTTTATACTTATGACCATGGACGGGCGATCTGAACCTTGAGGCTTGACATGGATGGCTGAATACTAGAAATATATTAAATCTGGTGAGTATATGGGAATAACGTTTTTTTTACACTTATAACCATCGGCTGGCGATCGAAGCCTTGATGCTTGACCTGGATGACTGCATACTAGAAATATATTAAAGCTAGTGAGTATATGCCCATAATGTTGTTTTATACCGATAAACATAGAGGGGTGATCAGGTCCTTGACGCTTGATCTGAATGGCTGGAGGCTAGAAATAAATATCAAAACTAGTGAGTAAATGACAATAACGATTTGTGATACCTATAACCATGGACGGGTGATCGGGTCCTTGATGCTTGCCACGGATGGCTAAAGACCAGAAATAAATATAAAAACTAGTGAGTATAGGCCCATAATGTTTTTTCATACCTATAACCATTGACGGGCGATCGGAACCATGATGCTTGACCTGGATAGCTGAAAACTAGAAATATATTAAATCTAGTGAATATATGCCCATACCATTTTGTTATACCTATCACCATGCACGGGCGATCAGAATCTTGATGCTTGACCTGGATGGCTGGAGACTAGAACTAGATTAAAAAAATGAGTATATGCACATAATGCTTTTTGTACTTATAACCATGGGCGGGCGATAGGGTCCTTGATGCTTGACCTGGATAACTGAACACTAGAAAAATATTAAGGCTAGTGAGTATAGGCCCATAATGTTTTTATACCTATAATCTTTGACGGGCGATCGGAACCTTGATGCTTGACCTGGATGGCTGAACACTAGAAATATATTAAAGCTAGTGAATATATGCCCATAACATTTTGTTATACCTACCACCATGGACGGGCGAGTAGAACCTTGATGCTTGACCTGGATGGCTGGAGACTAGAACTAGATTAAAACTAGTGAGTATACGCCCATAATGTTGTTTTATACCTTTAACCATGGATTGGCGATCAGAACCTAGATGCTTGACCTGGATGACTGAACACTAGACATATATTAACGCTAGTGAGTATATGTCCCTAATGATTTTTTACATCTATAACCATGGCAGGGAGATGGGAACCTGGACGCTTGACATGATTGGCGGAACACTAGAAATATATTTAAAATAGTGAGTATATTGCCATAACGTTTTGTTATACCTATAACCATGGACGGGAGATCAGAATCCTGTTGATTGACCTGGATGATTGAACACTAAAAACATATTAAAACCAGTGAGTATATTTCCATAATGTTTTGTTATACCTAGAACCATGGCTGGAAGATCGGAACCTTGACGCCTGACATCGATGGCTGAACACTATAAATATATTATAACTAGTGAGTATATTCCCACAACGTTTTGTTATACCTACACCCATGGCCGGGCGATCGGGTCCTTGACACTTGACCTGGATGGCTGAACACTAGTACTAGATAGAAGCTAGTGAGTAAATGCGCATAACGTTCTGTTATACCTATAACCATAGCTGGTAGATCGGAACCTTGATGCTTGTCCTGGATGGCTGGAGACTTGAACTATAATAAAGCTAGTGAGTAAATGCGCATAATGTATTGTTATACCTATAACCATAGCTGGGAGATCGAAACCGTGATGCTTGTCCTGAATAACTGGAGACTAGAGATAGATAAAAGCTAGTGTGTATATGTCCCTAATGGTTTTTTTTACCTATAACCATTGACGGTCGATCGGGTCCTTGCCGCTTCACATTGATGACTGGAGACTAGAAATAGATAAAAGCTAGTAAGTATTTGCCCATAATGTTTTTATACCTATAACCATGGACGGGGGATCGGGTTCTTGATGCTTGACACGGATGGCTGGAGACTTAAATAAATATAAAAACTAATGAGTATACGCTCATAATGTTTTTATACCTATAACCATGGACGGGCGATCGGGTCCTTGACGCTTGACACAGATGGCTGGAGTTCACAAATAAATATAAAAACTAGTCAATATATGCCCATAATGTTTTTTATACCTTTAACCATGGGCGGGCAATCGGAACCTTGACACTTGACCTAGATGGCTGAACACTAGTAATAGATAAAAGCATACGAGTAAATGCGCATAACGTTTTGTTATACCTGTAAACATGGTTGGGAGATCGGAACCTGGACGCTTGACATGGATAGCTAAACACTAGAAATATATTAAAACTAGTTATTATATTCCCATAACGTTTTGTTATACCTATAACCATGGACGGGAGATCAGAATCCTGTTGATTGACCTGGATGACTGAACACTAAAAACATAATAAAACCATTGAGTATATTTCCCTATTGTTTTGATATACCTAGAACCATGGCTGGAAGATCGGAACCTTGACGCCTAACATCGATGGCTAAACATTATAAATATATTAAAACTAGTGAGTATATTCCCACAACGATTTGTTATACCTATACCCATTGCCGGGAAATGGGGTCCTTGACACTTGACCTGGATTGCTGACACTAGTAATAGATAAAAGCTAGTGAGTAAATGCGCATATGGTTTTGTTATACCTATGACCATAGCTGGGAGATCGGAACATTGATGCTTTTCCTGGATGGATTGTATACTACAAATATACAAAAACAAGTGAGTAACTGCTCATCGAGTTTTGATATACCTGAAAACCGTGGACCTTGACCTGGACCTTGAAGCTTGACCTGGATGGAATGGATACAACTAATATACAAAAACAAATGAGTAACTGCTCATAGAGTTTTGATATACCTGAAACCGTGGACCTTGATCTGAAAACCGTTGACCTTGACCTGAGCCTTGAAGCTTGACCTGGATGGAATGGATACTAGAAATATACAAAAACAATTGAGTAACTGCTCATCGAGTTTTGATATACCTGAAACCGTGGACCTTGACTTGAACCTTGAAGCTTGACCTGGATGGAATGGATACTAGAAATATACAAAAACAAGTGAGTAACTGCTCATCGAGTTTTGATATACCTGAAACCGTGGACCTCGACCTGAACCCGCTGACCTTGACCTGAACCTTGAAGCTTACCCTGGATGGAATAGATACTACAAATATACAAAAACAAGTGAGTAATTGCTCATCGAGTTTTGATATACCTGAAACCGTGGACTTTGACGTGGGCTTTGAAGCTTGACCTGGATGGAACAGATACTAGAAATATACAAAAACAAGTGAGTACCTGCTCATCGAGTTTTGATATACCTGAAACCGTGGACCTCGACCTGAATCCGTTGACCTTGACTTGAACCTTGATGCTTGACCTGGATGGCCGGAGACTAGAACTAGAGTAAAATAATGAGTATATGCCCATAATGCTTTTTATACCTATACCCATGGCGGGGAGATCGGAATCTTGATGCTTGACCTGGATAGCTGGAGACTGGAGATATATTAAATCTAGTGAGTATTTGCCCATAATGTTTTTTTATACCTATACCCATGGCGGGGAGATCGGAATCTTGATGCTTGACCTGGATAGCTGGAGACTGGAGATATATTAAATCTAGTGAGTATATGCCCATAATGTTTTTTTATACCTATAACCATGGCGGGGAGACCAGAACCTTGATGCTTGACCTGGACGACTGAACACAAGAAGTATATTACAGCTAGTGAGTATATGCCCATAATGTTGTTTTATACTTATGACCATGGAGGGGCGATCAGGTCCTTGACGCTTGATCTGAATGGCTGGAGGCTAGAAATAAATATCAAAACTAGTGAGTAAATGACAATAATGTTTTTTTTTACCTATAACTATAGACGGGCTATCAGCCCCTTGATGCTTGTCCTAGATGACTGAACACTAGACATATATTAAATCTAGTGAGTATATGCCCATAACGTTTTGTTATACCTATAACCTTGGCTGGGAGATCAGAACCTTAATGTTTGACCAGATGGTTGGAGACTAGAACTAAATCAAAACTAGTGAGTATATACCAATTTTTTTTATACCTATAACCATGGACGTGCGATCGGGTCCTTGACGCTTCATCCGGATGACTGAACACTAAAAGTATATTAAAGCTAGAGAGTATATGCCCATATCGCTTTGTTATACCTATCACCATGGACGGGCGATCAAAACCTTGTTGCTAGACCTGGACGACTGAACACTAGAAATATATAAAACTAGTGAGTGTATACCCATAATGTTTTTTATACCTATAACCATGGACGGGCGATCGGGTCCTTGATGCTTGACACGGATGGCTGAAGACCAGAAATAAATATAAAAACTAGTGAGTATAGGCCCATAATGTTTTTTCATACCTATAACCATTGACGGGCGATCGGAACCATGATGCTTGACCTGGATGGCTGAAAACTAGAAATATATTAAATCTAGTGAATATATGCCCATACCATTTTGTTATACCTATCACCATGCACGGGCGATCAGAATCTTGATGCTTGACCTGGATACCTGGAGACTAGAACTAGATTAAAAAAATGAGTATATGCACATAATGCTTTTTGTACTTATAACCATGGGCGGGCGATAGGGTCCTTGATGCTTGACCTGGATAACTGAACACTAGAAAAATATTAAAGCTAGTGAGTATAGGCCGAGAATGCTTTTTATACCTATAACCATGGACGGGCGATCGGAACCTTGATGCTCGACCTGGATGGCCCAACACTAGAGATATATTAAAACTAGTGAATATATGCCCATAACATTTTGTTATACCTGTCACCATTGACGGGCGAGTAGAACCTTGATGCTTGACCTGGATGGCTGGAGACTAGAACTAAATAAAAACAGTGAGTATACGCCCATAATGTTGTTTTATACCTTTAACCATGGATTGGCGATCAGAACCTAGATGCTTGACCTGGATGACTGAACACTAGACATATATTAACGCTAGTGAGTATATGTCCCTAATGTTTTTTACATCTATAACCATGGCAGGGAGATGGGAACCTGGACGCTTGACATGATTGGCGGAACACTAGAAATATATTTAAAATAGTGAGTATATTGCCATAACGTTTTGTTATACCTATAACCATGGACGGGAGATCAGAATCCTGTTGATTGACCTGGATGACTGAACACTAAAAACATATTAAGACCAGTGAGTATATTTCCATAATGTTTTGTTATACCTATAACCTTGGCTGGAAGATCGCAACCTTGACGCCTGACATCGATAGCTGAACACTATAAATATATTATAACTAGTGAGTATATTCCCACAACGATTTGCTATACCTATACCCATTGCCGGGAAATCAGGTCCTTGACACTTGACCTGGATGGCTGACACTAGTAATAGATAAAAGCTAGTGAGTAAATGCGCATATGGTTTTGTCATACCTATGACCATAGCTGGGAGATCGGAACATTGATGCTTTTCCTGGATGGATTGGATACTACAAATATACAAAAACAAGTGAGTAACTGCTCATCGAGTTTTGATATACCTGAAAACCGTGGACCTTCACCTGGACCTTGAAGCTTGACCTGGATGGAATGGATACTACAAATATACAAAAACAAATGAGTAACTGCTCATAGAGTTGTGATATACCTGATAACCGTGGACTCTGATCGGATCCTTGATGCTTGACCTGGATGGAATGGATACTACAAATATACAAAAACAAGTGAGTAAATGCCCATCGAGTTTTGATATACCTGAAACGGTGGACCTTGACCTGAACCTTGAACCTTGACTTGGATGGAATGGATACTATAAATATACAAAAACAAGTGAGAATCTGCTCATCGAGTTTTGATATACCTGATAACCGTGGACCTTGACCTGAACCTTGAAGCTTGACCTGGATGGAATGGATACTAGAAATATACAAAAACAAGTGAGTAAATGCCCATCGAGTTTTGATATACCTGAAACCGTGGACCTTGACTTGAACCTTGAAGCTTGACCTGGATGGAATGGATAGTACAAATATACAAAAACAAATGACTAACTGCTCATCGAGTTTTGATATACCTGAAAACCGTGGACTCTGATCGGATCCTTGATGCTTGACCTGGATGGAATTTGATACTACAAATATATAAAAACAAGTGAGTAACTGCTCATAGAGTTTTGATATACCTGATAACCATGGACTCTGATCGGATTCCTGATGCTTGACCTGGACGGAAGGCACTAGAAGCATACAAAAGACAATGAGCATATGCTCCTCGAGTCTTGGTGTACCTGTGGCCCTGGATGGAAACCTGTTCTTGATTGCTTGACTTTGCCTGAAAAGTCTCTACAGAAATATCAAAGACAGTGAATGATTAATCAACGAGCCTTTATATACCTGTAGGCCTGGATGGAGATCTTATTTTTTTATCGTTGACCTTGTTTGTCAAAAGACTAGACAAATATAATCTTCACAATGTGTGTCTTTGATGAATATCATATACTCCTTGAAATATAGTAAGTCCTGTCAGTTTATCTCTTGTTTCTGAGTGTGAATAGGCTTTGGATGGATTGATGGTCAAACCAGTGTTGGACCTCAGTATTTCATTTTTGCTGTGTACTGGCTTTGACATGTTGTCTTATATCTTGCTACTGACTGTTTTACATATGATAAAAGCCTGAGATTTGACTAGCAAAATGGATTTGTATTGGTCATGATTCGTCTTTAACGTCTATGTTGATTAAAGCAGTTTGTGAGAGAGCAGTAAAGAAGTGTATAAAGTATTAATGGTATGTGGAAGAGAGTTGTTTTGACGCGTTCTGTTTGGATAGGTGTTTTTTTTTTATAAAACTCATGACGTCTCAATCATGAGTTGCTGTTCTTTTTTATTATTTTTATTATGATAGTTTGATAATATATTATAAAATTCGGTTTTTTTCTTATTCCTTTTTCGGTTTTCTTTTATCTTTTAGCCTTGACAGCATGTATATATTATTACTATTTTACTTCTTTATTTAATATCTATGCTTAAAATATGGGTTTTGGGTTTTAAAGAAGTATCACTTATATTCTGAAGGACGTGCTGTGCAGGCACTTGTTTTACTTTTTGTTTTTTTCTTTTGCCTCTTTTTTTGTTTTAGTTCTTTTTATGTCACATAAGGTCCGTGCTGTCCGTGCAGCATCACATGTGTCATGGGGCTTAGAGGAGCATAGTAGCAATAGTGGTCCAGACTTTACTTTAGCATGAAAACATTTAAATGATGTCTTCCGATTGGTGGACTATATGCATGTCAAATTATTCAGTTGCTATGGACCCCCATCCCCTTTTTTATTCTACTTTCTGTTGTGATTCTGTTAACAAGGCTTATGCTTTTGAACAGCCACTTGTCGAGACACTATATATGCCTCTGTGTTCATTTTAGCTGTACTACTGATATACAAAGTATTAATCGGCTAGACGTTAAACTACAATAAAGAAGTGTAAAGTTGTGTTGATTATAAAGCTTTAATTAAAGTCTTGTGTATATTTATTTGTTTGTTTTCTTGTTTGTTTGTTTCACATGCTGTGACTTTATTAGTTTAAGAAGCACCCCCGAAAAAAATTGCTGCTTATATCTTTTCTTTTCTTTCGTGTGAAAGACTTCCATTTTTCTTCTAGCTTTTTCACCAGTGTCTTGAGTTAATAAACACAAAGTGTAGGAATACTTTCTTGAAATAAAAGTACTTTCAGTGCTTCAGTATGAAGGGATTGACAGCCTGACTATTGAAAGTCGTTGGTACCTCAAGTTAAAGCATCGTTCTTAGAGTAAAATAAAAGTAAAAAGAAGAACAGGGTCTAGCCTAGTGTTTGTCAATCGACCTTGGTTTGTACTACTTTATAAACCAATCATAATCCAACTGAGAAATTAATACAGAATAACCCAACTGCCTGAAACACTTTACATTTATATGTGTTCAAATATACACCATTCTATCGATAATTATAATTATTTATATAAGTTACATTATACACCATGAAAAAGTAGTGGTGCTTGCAATTGTGCTAGCCTGGTCACAGATAGATCAAGCTAGTAAAATGGCTATTACATATATATAAATCACCTTTTAAAGGCTCTGCTTATTTACTATTTTTTTCTGTTATTGCTCAGACTGACTGACGGCACAATATGAAAGCAAAGAGACAATCTACTGCTACTGAACGTATAGGTTTTGTTTGTTTGGGAGCAAGACGCTATCGATTACTAATTATCGATTTATAGGATCTAGTGCTTTTGATATTTTGTGCTTGTATACCGAACTCAACTGGATGCACGAATAACCTAGAAATAATACTCTGTTGGATTAAAGGCTTTGATTTATAACTTTTGTTTTGTAATACAATATAATGCGCTACAGTACTGTATAGTATGATTCCGCTTATTACTTTGAGGCTCATAGTCTAGCTTTGGTTCGCTTGAGACTATTTTAGTTTGAAGCACGGAGCCTTTGTATAAATGAACCTTTTCTATGGTCGATTAAATATGAGTGTACTGGAAATGATATTTTTTAAGATTTCTACAAGCATATGCAAATGCACACCAATGGTAATCATAGCTTTTCAATTATAGAAAATTAAAAATCGAATCAAATAAGCAATGTTTTTTTTTTGGCTTTAAGTAACCTGGTGAGACACATTGTGATCCACCTCTTCGAGGTTTATTATATTACAATTACTCGAATTTTGATCAAAATATCCGATTTTTTCACTCTCAAAAAGCATAGAACCCTGAAATTCGGGAAACTTGCACCACTTCAATAAGCTCTTTAAATGCCCAATAGCAAAAATACGAGTTGTTTCTAAAAGTACAATTTTTTTTAGTTGAATACATAAACCAGACACTCCAAAAGGCATCAATTTGGAGTGTTCAAAAGTTAGATATCTTGTGACATAGACCTTCTCATGTAATGTTCGAGAAGTCACACAAAAAGAGAATAGGAATAGAACGAATATGAAGATAAAGATAATGTTTATTTTTTGGAATGTTTGAGATATTTATATGTTTTGAGATATATGATAAAATTGGTGAATGACTAAGAGACGATGTTTGCTAAGTAGTTATTACTAAGTGATTTGTGACACTGTGTGTGTTCTTTTGGTTCCGCTCAGACCACGAATATCCTGCAAAGAAGTATGACGCTCTTTGCAGGATTTCCTTCAATCCCCTTGCACAAGGCATACCCTTGTGCATTGTATTTCATCATTGGTACTGCTTTAATAGAGCTTTATAACAAAGTAGTATATATTGTTCACATATAAAAGTCTTCAGATGAAGCAATAATAAAACAGAATTCTTATCTATCTTTATTTTATTGATCAAATCCCTTATTTACTTTTGTTTATACATTTATTTCATCGTCACTGACTTATAACAACTCTTCGCGATAGTTATAAGCATACTTCTTGTTATATTTGTCCTTTCTATACACACTATTAGCAGTAGGGAAAAGATACATAGAGCTTAACATAGGTCAATACCCCCTCCCCGAGGAGAAGGATGCAAAGCTTCTAGTATAAAAAGTTTCAAAGAAGAAATTGAAACGAATCTAAAAACATAGATGGTTAAGTCGGATAGCAGCACAAGTGCCTTGAAATTATCGAAGAAAGAAATTAGCGAGTGCAGATTATATATCTTCCGATGAAGGTAGAGAGAGTGTGTGTGTGTCAAAGCATGTTTTGCTAGAAGTAACCCTATATACAATAAAAAAAAGAGCTGACAGATAAGAATTATCATAACTTGATTGACTGAAATACTTCCTCGTTAAGGATTCAAGACCAAAAATGATCGTAAAAGTGAACTTAACGAGAATCGTGAAAGTCTAGCCCTGTTTTTAATAGTGGGGGCCGCCAGAGCCTTGAAATTATTGAGGGGCCACTATACTAAGAGTATCCACAGCAGTTTGTGTAAAATCACTGAATTTGTAAATTTAAATAGAAAATTTAGATTTTTCATCCACGGTGGTTTGTCTAAATAAATGTTTTTGGTCTTCTACATCAAAAACTTTATTAATGTCCCAAAAGAAAAGTTAATGAATAGGCCTCAATATAGCATTTTACGGAACTTATATAGGTTTTATGTAACAATAAGCTGTAGTACACTTCCAAAAACAGGTCTATTTTTAAGAAAAAGAATTATTTAATTAATAGCCCCAAAAGTGGAAGATAGTTCGAAGAAGTAGTATGTACCACACTTTTACTAGAATGCCGTTCTAAGAATCGCTTATATTATATTTTACTTGCTTCTCAGTGTAAGTCTTGTTAAACTGAAAGATATTTATATTGTAAACGGCAGAGTTTACCTCTTATGTTATTATTATATAATGTGTTTTGATTTTATTAAAGTATATAATAATTATATTGCAAAATGAAACAATATAAAGTAGTATGAAGTAGCAAGCAAAAGGCAATAACAAAGCCTTGAAACCCCAATAGTATCTCTCCTGAAATTAACAAGCTGTGTTTGGTACTCGTATTTCTTATTATACCGAATTTCTCTTTCGATGTATTACAAATTCGTTCCTAGTACGTGAAAGAAGGATTGGATATATTAAGAGATATGAGCACCAAACACAGACTCCTATTGAGCCGAGTTAAAAACTACTTTATATGCTGCAATATTATATTAAGTGATTTCAGTAAAAGTGTGGTACATACTACTTCTTCGAACTATCTTCCACTTTTGGGGCTATTAATTAAATAATTCTTTTTCTTAAAAATAGACCTGTTTTTGGAAGTGTACTACAGCTTATTGTTACATAAAACCTATATAAGTTCCGTAAAATGCTATATTGAGGCCTATTCATTAACTTTTCTTTTGGGACATTAATAAAGTTTTTGATGTAGAAGACCATTGATGTAGAAGACCATTTAACCAACTTTTTTAGACAATCATTTAACAAATATCTAAATTCGGCTTTTCACTAAAACATTCGAGCAATAAAAAACATATAGCTTCAGGCTTAGATAAACGGCTGTGTATGCTCTTGACGACACTCTAATTAAATCAAACACTGACTGTGATATATGCTGAGCAAGTTTTTCTTTATGGTAACATTATTTTAATAACAGTATATAATAAAGAAAAACAGTGCTTACAATTAGGTTTTGACTATCAATATTTTAAAAGTAGGTAGACATATAGGTTGAAAATAATAGTAACATGTAAGCATAATTTATTCAATTAAACACTAGGATTTGTTGAGCTTTACTTTCAGAAGAAGAAAGAAAGAAAAATACAGCAAACGTATGGGACAAAAGTATCATTTGTTTGAGGGTGTAATTCCTTATCATTATAAGAGTAAGGAAGAGATCAGAAGCTGGGCCGTCATTCGTTACTGTTATGTAACATTTCACAGATTGAATAAAACAATAAAGGAACCAAAGTTACTATCATTTGAGAATAATAGACCGGTTTCTTTTTCTTTCTCTCTTTTTTATATATAAAAATGATTGCGCAGGATCTTCCGTTCGAGATTATCGCTACAATTGTAAAGTTTCTTTTTTACAAAGACAAGATCAATTGTATCGATGCATTCAGTTCATGGAGGACAGCTCTTGAAGAATCATTGTGGAATAATATTAATATATCTTGCCAAAACTCTCTGGACGGAATTTGCAATATAGAATCAGCTAAACACAGTGTTTACAAAAGAAACGGCCGGCATGTCCGAGCCTTAACTTTGAACGGGAATATATGTATTGCCGATGACCAGCTTCTTCTTATTCAGCAGCTATTGCCAAACCTAGATCGCCTTTACTGCTCGAATTCTTCTATAAGCGAAGACGGCTTTGGAACACAGGCAGATTGGAGATTATGGGAATCTCTTACACAGCTACACGTAGACCTGTCTGACTGGGAAGACATTGATCCGATTAGGGAATTTATGCGCGTATTCCCTTTTTTACCAAACCTTAAGATATTGAACTTAGATCAAGATTGTGGAGTCATTTCGCCGTCAATTACATTGGAAGATATTGATAAGATCCATGATTATATGCCTCACCTGGAGAGCATCAGACTAGAAGTACAACCTCCTGTCCTCACAGCAGACGATCTTGTGAGAATCATCGACGTAACACCAGCACCCAGCGTAAGAAGCGTGCATTTTAATGTCCGGAATTCAACATATGGATGGTTGTGTTACTTTGCTTTCAAATATCCAAGTCTACAAGTACTGGAGGAGTTGACCTTTGAACACAACGATACGTCTGATGAACTTGCCAGTCAGTCCAAATTGATGCTCAGAATGGATTCGGCCGTCCTAAAACGCTTGAACACAGTCAAAATAAACGTCGAAGAGAATTCAAGGCAATTGGAACCTATCATTTGGAAATTATTTCGTTTCTTTGATATTCCAGTCAGATACATCGATTACTTTGCCTATTCGTATATAAACACTGCTGTTACAATCCGAGATGTTATCAAAGAGTCTTTTAATTCGTATTCAAAGACTTTAGAGACACTTTATATTAAAGAATGTACCAGCTATTCTAGAAATTGGATAATCACGGAGTCCATGGATCATTACCCTTGTCTGGTTGATATGTACATTGATGTCCGTCGTTCTTCTGTTGCATTGGACGTTCTTTTGGATCACTGCGTCTCTCTCAAAAGACTAAAAGTAGATTCTGGGCTACTCTCTGTTGGTCCTGATTCATTTGCATCAGCACCTACATCTACATTGACAGCTTCAAATATACATTCGCTACGTATGCTGATTATCGGAAAGCTATCTATTTCTGCTAGCATACTTGAATATATTTCTTTTCGGTGCAGGAGATTGGAGCACATGTGCCTTAGCAAATCTACGGTGTCTGGTGATATCTCTGAAAACACAGGAAGTCTTGTTATTGACATGTCTTACACTCACCTTCAGACTCTTCAACTTCACCAAGTCTTATTTACCACATCTCTAAATGCCAACATTGATAGCCGGACTATAAACCTTATCTGTATATCCGAGAATCTTTTCGAGAAAAGTCCTTACTGCGATCGTCAAATAGACAATGAGTCCGCCCAGAACGGGCTCTTGGAAATATACAAGAAAACGAGTTGGTTCTACACAGTATACAATACATTTTGCAGGGATGAATGGTCTTCTGAGGTTTGGAATCTAGCACGAAACGAAAGCGAGATGGCTATCAAGTACTTTAGTAGTTTTAAGAGTAGTCGGATCTTCTCTAAGAATATGACGGTTCCGTATACTGATGTTGGATATTTTACAAAAAAGAATTGGAGCGATAGTCTACCTAATGGATACGTTATGCTGCAGTGCGGAAGTTTAGAGCGTCATACGATTACTGGAAAATGGTTCAGTAATGAACATACGTGGCAGAAAATGTTTGATAGTCTACATTGATCCATGTATACGATACTTTAAGCCTGTTTTTTTATGAGCATTTTATCAAAACTCTTACATTAAAGCCTATTCTTATAATGGTCGTAATATTTTGCATATTGGATTTATGTATATATAGTCGTACTAATGTTTCTCATTAGACTTGTATTCAACAATTAGCTGACTAAAAGTGCCTATCCCCAAAGTATGTATATTCTCCCCTAGAATCAATATCAGATAGGATGTTTATGCCTATTGAGTGGAATAAATTTACTACACATACTAGGTGAATAAACAGTGTTGGACTGACTAATAGTATGACCAATTTTTTGTATATATATATGTGTGTGTGTGTGTGTATAGATGATTGGGCTTCACATGAATACTTTTACTGGTTTATAAATTATGAAGCAAAAACATTGCAAACCTGGTTTGTTTTATTTTACTTTATTTTAGTAGTCCATCATTATTTTTGCTCTTTCAAAAGATCGATCAAATTCCGGTAAGCTTGCATTTCAGCTTCACTTTTCTTAGACAGCACTGCCTTTGTGACGATTTCAAATTTACTTAATCTGAAGAGACATGTAGCTTTAAATAAAAGTGAGTGCTGGGGCCCAAAGCTTTCTAGAGTTATTGTTATATCAGCGCCTAATATATATTTGATCCTCTCAATGTAATCCTTTGGCTGTCTTTGTCGAGTATTATCGTTTAAAGCCCTTTTTAATCTAGGCCTCTGAGCAATTGCCGCTTTTACACTGTCAAGATCTTCTTGTTTGTACACGCTAAAAGTAGATATATCATGCTTAATATCTCTGATAGATGAATCAGGAGGCTTGGTTAAGTAGCAAGGATCAATATAATCGGTAGAGCGAGGATATAGGTTTTGGGATATGCTTGGTTCCTTATTAGGATTGTGGGAGTCATTCTTCGATAAGCTCTCCTCAACACTTAGCTTTTCTGCAATATCCTTTGCCAATAAGTCACCTAGCAGTGCAACCATCAAATCATTGTCGTCGTCGTCAGCATCCAAAAACATTATTCTCCTTTTGTAACCAGCTCCCTCCAAAATATCTTCTTTTTTTACAACCGGCTTTAAGATCATAAGAGATTTGAGAGAAAGTTCTATGTCATAATAGTCTTCGTATGGTATGAGTAATACATTTTCAGGGCTTTCACGGGAATTGAGGGACGGTAGGTGATGACTGTGGATCATCTCTGGGTTCTTGTAATAATACGACACGATATCTATTATAGCTAGCTCACGCGCCTTCCTCTTACTGGGACTATGGCGGCTATGTATATACCATTCTGCTTTGGGCGATAGTTTGTATTTGATCTCCACGCTCCACCCGGACAATGGGGCTGGTAGTACAGTCTCGATATTTATCGCTCTAATATCCCCTTTTCCACGAACAACATAGTTTAAGAACTTCTCGGTTGTTTCAGGTTTTTTGAAAATAGAAACATCATTCTCTTCATTTTCCAATCCAAAAAGCCGATTGTATAGTGCTCTAGGTAAAAGCTTAAATATCACTGGACAGAATAGTTTCAAGAGAGAAGTTATCCATTGTTCAACGACCGAGTGAGTACTCATGATGTTCATAAAGTATGCCAATAAAAGCATCGACTATCAATACGGTATTGTCGTTCAAACTGCTATCAACACGGTATTTATCAAATTCAAAGAAAATCTCGATCATCTCGTAAAGCTTATCGTTTGAGAATATAAGAGTATACATTTGTTCCATCTTCTCCTGGTCTATCCATTGGTATTCTGCTGAAAGGAAGTTTGATACAGCCAAGTTCAACACACTTTTTCCAATGAATGCAGGATGCTAATATTGACAAATAGAAAAAGAAGAGATTGCTCAATTAGCCGCAATCTATACACTCTTGTCTCTATTTACTTTAAAATAAATTTGATTATGTTGGTTGGTGAGCACATTAAGATCTCCAAATGCAAGTCTGAAGAAAGCTAATTCCTCCTCCACCATCAATCGATTGCCACATTCATCAACAAGACCTACAAGCATCCTTGATAGAATGCATTGGAGAGGCCCAGTTCTTGTTTCTTCTTTGAGTTGAAGATCATTAGAGATTGTCATGTGAAAGAACAAAGGAGAAAATGAATTGGTTGATTGTATTTCCTGTACGACATATAAGTTGTGAAATATATATATAATTAGATAATCAAAAGGACTCTTGGTACTACAAGCAGATAGCAGTATAACCTATCAAACCAATGTATAGATATAGAGAGTAGTTTATCATTAAAAATAAGGAGAGCTAAAAACGATCAATTGTTTAAGTATATATTTTCTATACAGCAAAAAATAAACTACATTCAATCAAGATGACTTCAATTTTTTTTTCACTGTTGTCTATACTGACATACTTTTTGATTTGTGGGGGGTTTTTTTTATTGGACAATCTATTGAAGGCTATGTCATATATGTCTTCTTTCTTTCTGATATAACCTACTGTACAGCATTCTTTGACTCAATAGATTGTGTGTATGTGTAGGGCAAGAACTCATGAAGATGAATTGGATGACGTGTATTATATATAATTAATTAAAAATGGAAAACAGTATGTAGCAATCACTATAATAACTCTTAAATGTTACCTGCAATAGTGAATACTTGTTAAAGCAATTTATCAAAGTAAGATTTTCTGTAGCTTTTGATACTACTTTTTCTCACAAAGATTTCTTTTTTTTTAAAAAATATATATATATATATATAATAAAAAGTATAATATTGGTCACTAACCCAATGATGATGATGATTATTATTATTATTATTATAAAAAAGGTTGTACTATATATATTTTTTATTGGATATAGAAAATCCACTGCAAATTATTGATGTGTAAAACTTTAAAGGATATATATAAATATAAATATATATAAGGGTTTGTATACTATAAGAGCAATAGGTTTAATAGTGTGTAGAGATATAGAGAAAGAAGAAGAAGAAGAAGAAGAAATAAGGTACTGTCCGCTTGACAAGGTTTACTTAAGAAGTAAGCAAATATTGCCCATGTCTATAAGATAGAGAATTTTCTGTAGTTTGTTTGTTTGGTTGGTTTTTCTTTAGGTTTTTTTTAAAGCAGCTGAGAAACCATAAAAGCGGAGACACCAATAGCAGCAACAACAGATCCAGATACTGTGTGAAATGAGGATGTTGCGCCAGAGTGGGTGGTCTGAGCTGTTGAATTTCCTGCGGTTGCGCCTGATGCTGAAGCGGGTACAGCAGCAGAGTTTGCGTTTGCTGGAACAGAGTTTGCGCCTATGGAAGGTGGGTTTGCAGCAGCTGGGGTAGCTGGGCTTGATACTGGAACACTTGTACCAGTTCCGCCATGAATAGAGAATTGACCGGTGAAGGCCATGTCTGGAGAAGTTCCAAACTCAAAGGCATCTTGTAAATAAAACACACATATATATTTATATAGAGAGAAAAAAAGTTAGTTAGTTAGTTGGCTGGTTGATTGGTTGGTTGTTTATCTGATTTTGATATATTATTTTTCGAATAAGAAGGAGAGGGGGAGCGTATGTGTTTGATATCCTTACAGTCATCACCATCGGCAAGCTCTGCAGGGATCTTCCAGACATATTTTCCATCCGAGGCTTTAACGTTTTGAGCGACAGTCATCAGAGGCTGAAGCGCAGTAGAAGGACCTTTTGCCAAAAGAATCTGGGTAATTGTGTCGACCGTTGGGTTTACCCATGAAATGATTGCTTCAGTGCCGGCTTTGTACTGTGTACCAGTCAGAGGTGAGGTGATTGCAATAATGGATGCCTTTTGTGCGTTGACTATAGCCAAGAGGGTAGCAGAAACAAAGAGTGTGCCGGTGAACTTCATATTAATAAGATGTATGGCAATGCTTTATATAAGTAACAAATAATAGTAAAAAGAACGCGCTTTTGAAAATATTGGGTCAATGTTGCTAGAAGCTAGGTATTTATACGACGAGGCACTTTGAATTTTAATACAATCTTTTTTTTTTTTTTAAGAAAAAAAAAACTATTCTATTTTAGTAAGGAGGTATTATTATTATTATTATTATTATTATTATTATTTTACTACATGGTGATATAGAATATCAGGTCCATCTTACCCCGTCCTTTGGTCTCCGTGGCATGCAAAGAGCCTTGATTCTCCTTATTCTTTTTTATAAGATTATTATATCTCCTCCTCCTACTACTATTACTATTACTGTTATGATTGAACTTTGTAATAAATAAATATATTGCCTATGAAAGTGCTACCTAATCCATATTCTACAGCTATAATTGCCTTTCCCTTGATGAAACAGAAATCAAGGTTGAAATTAATATCATTTAATAGTTGTTGTGGCAAGTATTTTTTTTTTTTTTAGATATATCAAATCTTGCCTTGCCTTGTCTTTTATTAGATTATTTCTCTCTTTGCATCGGAAAATCGATCGCATGAATTAATGACTAATTGTGATGTTTGATAAGTTACTCCAAATCACCATGGGATCAAAAGGAGGATGATCCGTAAGGAAAGATAGAACGATACCTTGTTACAAAAATGAAATTGAACAAAAATTTAGAAATTAATAAAAAACTAATATACCCTTGACATCCAGTACATAATCGAAAATGTATCTAATGAAAAAAGAAATTAAGGATAAAAAGCAGTAGACTGCACCAAAAGACTAGTACTTTAGAATCTTGTTACTATTTGCGATTAAATTTCTATATATTCCTTTTTTTTTTCTTGGAGTGCCAATTAAGCAACGCAAATTTATGGTTCTGATAGACTACTCTTTGATCCTTATAGGTTCAAGTGCATAAGATAGTCCTTTTTTATTTATTTATATATAATTTATATCTTTCTGACGACTGCATGTTCTTTTTGGCCTTTCTGTTTAGGAACTATGAGATTTCTATAAAAGCAAAACCAAAAATGATAAACTTAATCCCACCATAGATCACATTTGGTCCGTCTCTTAAAGATAAACTGGGTTGATTTAAATAGATCAAGTCACTTTTATTATTATTTATTTTTATAGGCACCAATTTATCCTCTCTAATGACCATCTAATCTCCAAGCTCAATAACCCTTTAAAAATATATAGAATAAAATTGCGTTCGAAACCAAGAGCTTTGTATTAAATAAATCATGTCTGCCTGAATATGTCTCTATCAGATGATTGAAACAATAGAACATCCCTTTCCCTTAATCATTCAGCCGTTTATCCCTAATTTCTATTTATCAAACCAATCCTAGCCCCAGCACAAATAAACCTATAGCATCCTCAGCTTCTTGACATCAAACATACCAAGACAATTTAACCTGTTTGGGGAGAAGAAAACGAGAATCACTATAAGAGCTGCGACATTAGAGAAACATGATTTGCTTAAAAAGGCTTTATACTGGAACATATTGCATATCTATTTGGGGGGCGAAGACGATATAGAGAATAAAAGGCGGTTTGGATCGAACACAAGTGATGTATATCTGTTTTGTCGATCCATGAGAGCAGAAAAATATGCAGACCTTCTTTTCTTTTTCTTTTCTTTTCTTTTAAAGCAGGGTTACAGAAATCAATCCAAGTGCAATGGCGATCAGTGTAACCAATCCATAAATGTCCAATTGACCCGAGGCTTTGCTGGTCTGGGTACTGTTGGCTCTTCTAGTGGATGCACAATCTACAGCGCATTGGAACGCTAAGCTGTTGACATCGGTTATCGAGTTTGTGTCAGAGCAAACCTGGAATTGGTTTGGAACCATGTAGCAGTATCCCAAAGGCTTTGGGGCTTCCGCAGGAGGAAACTGGCCATTGAACATATTGTAATTCAGTGTGAGCAGTTGAAGTTTCTGAAGGGATCCGAGCTGAGGAGGGATTGGGCCTGATAATCCATTGTGGCTCATAGTCCTGTTTTAATAAGATTATTATTAAGGTCTAAGGCAGCTATCTAAAGACCATCCCTCATAGATAAACCTACAATTTTTGTAATTTGACTAGGCCGCTAATCTTTTCGGACAGATTACCCGTAAGTCTGTTTCTTGACAGGTCCCTAAGAATGGATTGCAGTACATTTTTTTTTCATTATTATTTTATGCTTGAAATTCAAGCATATATATGTATATGTGTTACTTACAGACTCACTAAATTAGACAACCCATAAAGCGATTCGGGAATTGAACCATTAAGCATTTGGTGCGACAGTACTCTAATGTATTGCATGTTAGGTAGACACACTCACGATTAACTTTTGTGTGTGTGTTTATTTGCATCTTACTACACTTACAATGATGTCAATGATGTGATAGATCCCATTGATTCTGGAATTGAGCCTAAAAGACGGTTTCCTTTAAGGTTTCTAACCTAGGCGTTAAGGGGAAATATTGACAGTACTTGCAAAAAAGAAAAATTCGTTTCCTTACAGTGTTGTCAAATGTGGAAGACTGCTTCCTATGGTAGGAGGAATTTGACCTTCGAATTGGTTGTTATCTAGATAGCTTTTTTATGTTGTTTCATAAATAATGTCGTTAGGTTTAATTGAATCAGTATATCCTTATTGTTGCCTTATTACTACTACTATTATTATTATACATACAGGACTTCTAAAGAGGGCATTGTTTGAATTGCAACGGGAAACCCGCCCTTTAACTTATTGTTACTCAAGAATAACCCTAATTATAGGATTTAAGGTCAATTTTCTTTTTCTTTTATCAAAAATAATGAATGCTTGTTAAGCCCTTACCCTTGAGAGTGGGGATACTACCCCAGGCAGCAGGAACTGTTCCTGTAAACGAGTTGTTCTTCAAATGACTATATAAACAACACAATCATAAGTATATGGTTTATCCAGAAACATCTGTTCTAGCGATTGAATAAATAGTTACACGTTGGTAAGCGACGGAAGACTTCCCAAGACTGGCGGAAGATCTCCGCTGAGCTTATTGTAGTCAAATTTGCTTTAAATTTATACATATGAAAGAGATGATGATCAAACATTAATATTACTTTCTTGATTATTAGCATAAAGGATCCACCTTACATTGTCTGTAGCTTTATAGCGCTGTTGATTGAACTTGGGATTGATCCAGTTATTTCATTGTGACTCATGTCACTAAACAATTCAAATTTGAAAATTCGAATTAGATATTGATTCCTAAAGAAAAATAAGAATAATTGAAATCAAACTTACAGATGGATCAACTCTGGAAAGTTGTTCAGGTTATCTGGCAGTTGTCCGAGAAGATTATTACGGGAGAGGTTTCTTTAACAATAGATTATTATAAGCTGTTCTGAATATATATTTTTTTCTTAACAAAAAAAAACCTTGAGAATATGCTTACATTTTGTCGACCTGGCCAAACTTGCTACAATGCACATTGTACCATGAGCAGCAAGAGGTCATATTGGTAGACTCCCATCCGGTTTTTGTTTTCCAATTGGTTCCACCAAGCTCTTTGTACCATTGACTTAAAGCTGAGCATGTTGCCTCGCTCACGATGCTATTCAGGGGTATCACGGTAGACAACCCAGGGTCGCTTGGGCTAGTCTCAGGAGATAATGCTGGGTCTACAAAATCAATTCCATCACTTGAGCTGTTGTCATTTGGCTGGGCTTCTTCTTCAGAGACTGGTGGGATTAAAGAGCTGTCATCTTCAGTCGAGTCGTAGTCTTGATCCTCCCCGAGAGATTCTTCTGGTTCGTCTACATGATTACAAAAATTGAGTATCGGCTTTCTTGTAAGAATATACAAGGACTGTTGCCAAAAATAAAAATAAAAATAGCTGTATATATAAGTGTCTATACAAATGATACCTTGTGCATAGGCAATAGATACTAGAATGCCCAATAAGAGCAGAAAGAGAAGTCTAGGGTTCATCTAGAATGCTTTCAAAATAATAATAATAATAATAATAATAATAATAATAATAATAGTATGGGTGAACAAAGGAATAGAGGAAAGGGGGGCAAGAGTATAAGAGATAATGAACAATCCTGTTAGAGGGGATGTGGATGAAGATCGTGTGACTGGCAAACCCACCCACCCACACACACACACACATATATATATATATATATATGTATCTTAGCACACATAGTAATAGAGCAAAGACCAAAATGACTTTGTAAATAATCTCTTTGACTATTTGCATCATAAAATTCAGTATCTAATTGATGCATAGTATCAAATTAGTTTAAATTTATATACTATTATCACCTTGTACAAGGAAATTCTTCTTTGTTGGTTCATTGTTATTTCGACAGCTACAGATTTCTCAAACAACTGATTTCTTAGCCACCTCTTATTGTTTCAGGAATAGAGAGATTCGATATGCAAGATATATTGAATTCATTTTAAATGAATAAATAAACGCTTAATTTGATTCAAATTCGATTTTTAACACAGGAAAAGTATGTAAAAAAAATGTACAATTGAATTGAATTTTATATCAAATGTCTATAAGTTCTGGAACACCCTCATGCCACATAAGGCCTTTGCCATCTGGTGGATACTCATGCGCCACAAAATACCTTGCCGACAACAACTGTTTGAACAAAACATTGAAGAGATTAGCGATCCTAACTACGCCCTATGTGGAGCCTTAGAGGATAACCAGCGCTTCTTTTAGACCCGCCCCCCTCAAATCATGAATTTGGAACCATATCTGCTCTCGGTTTCCTTACAGTGCCCAAATCTCTGACCTTCTCCTACTTGCTCCAGCCATCCCCTCCTCATTCAATTACTGTAACCAACTCCGCTATTGATTTCTATATGATTGTAGAATGCACACTAAGTGCAATCTGGTGTGCGCACTTCCGTTTTGTTCTTGATGACCTAGAGTTTGTCCCCAATCGCGTAACGGCTCTAGCCACCCTCCACATCAGAAAACTAGAAGCCGAGTTGGTTTTAACTCTTCTCTAGATATTTCCACATTTACAACGTTATCTCGAATAAACAATACACAAAAAAAAATATCAAATGTCTATACTCTATAGTGAATTTATGTCTGATGACCACCCCACTTTCTGCCTGCTCTTTTTACCTTATATACAATATGTATATATAGATTCCCTACAGTCTTTCCAACCAAAATCGTGAGATATTGATCCTATTGATTACATACTTCAAATTTTCAAAAATTTAGATATAAGAAAAAGTATCCTTTTTATTTATTTATTTATTTATTTATTTATATAATGTGCCCCTAACTTAGACCTTCTATCACTGTAGCCAGTATGAACAGATATATGACTCATATTTATAATTTCAAAATAAGATCTACTATATTGTTTTTTTTTGGATCTGTGTACCATAAAGTATGGTTATAGACTGGGCTTAGTGATCACAAAACATTCTAGAATAAGCCTTTCTTTTTTTTTAATTATATAGATAGACTGCCCATATCTTCAGTCACATATATATATATATATTCGTTTTCCAAAATCTTTGAAACCGGCTTTATTCCGGTTTGTAGTACATTTTCTTAGAGTTGTGTACCAAAGCACACGATTTAGTAAATGTCAATATCATCAAAATCTTTAATAAGCAAATGCGATCAGATGTATTTATTTGCAGATTCTAAAAGAAATCTGAGGATAAGAAATACAAGAAATAAGTTGCATTGTATGGTACTGTATTGATTTGTGCTGTTTTCGATAAAATGCTTGAATAATCGTGAGGCAGATTGACTAATAAGATCATATCAATATATTTTTGTGGATTTGTACCTTCTAGTAAGTACCAAAAAAAACTTTTTTCTTGTATGTACATTAATATGTGCTCAGCATCTATTCTTCAACTATTTATTTATTTATCTTTTAAATCTTTAACCTTTTTGCTTCATCATTTTCCTTTTTGGAATAATACATATATAAACCCTTGTTCATCGAAAACAATATTCTTCTAATACAATTACCATAATCCTTTATTTATCTTGCGTCAAGATATTTGTGTTTAAAAACAATGCATCTACAAGGCCTAAGGTATTCTGTATGTGCTTTATTATTGGCTTTCATACCAAAATGCTATGCTCCACCAATCCAACAAGACAGCATCGAATCAACCAATACAATGGCTATCATTTCAATTCTACGAACAGTTATGCTCGGTTACATGACACATGTGGTAACAGTTCGATCTATAAGTGGGGTTACCGAACTCCCTACTCTCTACCGCCGTATACTGGCGTTTATATACCCTTCCAGCGGAATAGGCCTAGCATTGAGCTCGATATACAAAGCGATTTATGGAGAACGAGTACTCGGAGTTGCCCAATACAGTTACATTCTACGAAAATACGAAAAGGAAAATAATTCCAAAAGTACCAAGGGAGACAATAATGTGCAGACCTCAACCACCCCCACCTTATTACAATCCCCGGATATTTCAGAATCCAGGTCTACAACAGAAAACATCAAAGACAAAATTGACAAGGGTTATAACGTGGATTCAGAAACACTTCTTTCAAATGTCATTCAGCTAAGGGATCGGCTAATGAAAGACCTAAAGGCCAGTGGTATTAATGTTGAGAAAGACAACAATGGCCCCTATCTTGTAGCCTTTTTACATGCGATTGGCCCCGAAAGAGCAAAGAAAACAAAGCACTGTATTTTGAATGGGTCTTTGACATATGGTTCCAATTCAAATGATATTTCCAAGTCCACGAGATCCTGTCGTAAAACCGAAGATATAACGGTCGTTGGCCCCGGTGCATCTTGCAGATATCAGCACTCCGTAGAAAAAGTATGGCTTCATTTTAGTTCAACGGATGTAATCGATCAGCTTGAAATGGCCTACCATATAGATGATACTTCTTACGTTGAAACGTTTGTTACCATTGGACAGTTATTATTTACCACAATCGAGTGCATGAACATTGATGGAGAAAAATGGGTCAAGGTCATTATTATTATATATACCGCAATGTCAATCCTTCAGACCGTTTCTCTTGTTGTTTTGCACAAACAAATATCGGCTTTTAGCGTCAAATACTATCCGAATCCTTTTGAACATAAACCTACAGACTACAAAGTTGAAATAGATTCGCTAGACGAGTCCTATATTGAAAGCAATAACGGAGAAAAACTACCGCGAGAAAACAAGGGCACACCCTTGACTGTGGAAGAGCGCAAAGAATTTGACAGACTCACCAACAATAATGACCTAGACGATTTTGAAGTCGGTCTATACTCTATGGTTCTGGGAACAATATCGTCCTTGTTGCTTGGTATATGGGCTGGTTATAATAAGCATACCTTAACAGAATGGCTTGTATTAGCTTGGGTCCTTAGCCCTATCTTTTTAACTGTTCTTACTATACCTGTTATGGGTCTCGGTAATCAATATGACGATATAGGAGATTTGTGGCTAGAATTGATATTGGGGATTTTTTCAGTTGGTGCTATTGGATGTCTAATGGCTGCCACAATTATTGGATATCTACCAAAATAAAAATTATTTATGTATTTTGCCTTTTGCTTTTTCTTCTTTCAAAACTTGTGCATCTCTTTGAGAAATATTTTATTATATTATTATATAAGCCTATGATGCCTTTAAATAAGGATAACTTGTACCAAGTTACTTATAATAAACGTATAGACTATGCATGAATTGACTATAGCTAAACATGATTCAAATATGAATCTTTGAGGCTTACAACAACAACAAAGAAAGAAAAATTGAAGCCAGTCACCATTCATTTCCTAAATGCTTTCTTATTTCTGGAGAGGCATCTTTTTTTTTTAAAAAAAACACACACACACACACACACTTCTTTACCCAGTAAATAGGTCATTTATTATGTCATCGTAGATACGCATATACACATATTTTCTCTCTCCTTTTTTATCTCATTCCAATACATGCAGTTCACAATTTCACCCGGATTAGCCGAGTCCAATAATATACAATTCATGCCATCGGAATTCCCAAACATTATTCTGCAATTTATATATTTTGTAGGCAAAAATAATATCTATATTTAAACATAGTCATCAATACTACGTTGTAAAATACAAATAGTATTTTATTTCTTTTTAGATTTATTCGATTAGATTATTTTTTTTCTTTTAAATGAGACCTCTTAATTACAACATTAACTTCAATCAAGTAAAAAAAAAGTTTAAACGCGTGTTTTTTATTAAAGACGATAATAGTTAAAGAATATTTTATTTATTTATTTAAAGATATACATAAATAAGCTATTTTATTTTATATGATTTCACTTAATGTTTTTTTACTAATGTAAAAAAATAAAAAGCATGACACCAAGTTCTTTGTCCCCGTATTACGCGGCTCAATCTCCCTCAGGACGTAAACCTGACTTGGTAGCGAAGGAGGTGTGGGAATGGTGTTAATCCGTGGCGTAAGACAACAACCGGGTTCATCCCAACTACCCTATCTCATCACTGAGAAGGGCCTGCGAACGTACCAGAGAAACCTACCACAAAGTAGCAGGGTCCAGCGTGTTCGACTACCAAGCAACACCGTCAGTTCCAGAGAGCTTCAAACAAGGATTTCATGAAGAGTCGGCAGTAAACTCCACTTCCTCCCCGTCTTCCACTCAATAAACTTTCATGATGCTAACTCGGCGGCAGCTTTTTTTAAACATTGCTCGTCGCCATTGTTTCAGAAATTATACAATTAAATTCACAATTCAGAACAATGTTGATCTGCGCCTCTAAGAATTAACTAAGAAGCTAGAGACGACGCACTTCCGCTTTTTCCTGCACAGAATGGAAAAAGAATGTCTCCCAATCACCCATAGGTAGCGCGTCAAACTCAACTACAGGCAATCAGGGGGTACCCGTCTCCAGAGTATAAAAAAAGCTAAAGAGAAGAAAACCGTGTCGGTTGAATGGGCTTTATTTTGATATACCCGCAGTCTGCGACTAAAGTTTGGGACTGCGCTTTTTTTGCCAGGGGTGTTTTTTGCCTCTCACGTCAGAGCCGTGCCATAGCTGTATATTTTTTTAGTAGGGTTGTGTAACTGTTCTATGACAGCAGTAATGACAGATAAAATTTAATCAAACAAATATTGCAAAGTGAAGTGAATTAAAGCAAAGAAGCAAAGAAGTAAAAAGAGTAATGAATGGTTTAGTTTTGATCGGTGTAGCAATATCTCTTAAGGTGGAGTACAAATTTATACACCGGCGATTCGTAGGTTACTCTAAACTGGTCTGTGCACTTTTTGTTCGAGTGTACAAGATGTTATTTTGCCTGTATAAGTAAACACAAAATGGACCCATACGTCACTAGGAAATAAACTTATATCTCTCTCTCAAAGTGCTATAATATTATTAGGTAGAAAAGCAAAAAATAAGACATAAAGTATACATGTATATTATCTGAATTATCACAATACGGTAGGTGGTGGAATTTTGAGTTCAAGATTGAGTTTTATTGAAATGAGGTTATGCTAATAGTTAAAGGTATCAAGGTGAATTTCCAAGTGAATATGAGGGATTGTCATAAGAGATGTTGTGACGATGACACAAAACATAACAGACGTATCCCAACTTTTCTATTAAAAAAAATCGAGAACTCTAGATACTAATTGTAGTAATATATTAATAAAGATAAAAACAGTTAGCAAATGAATACTACTAAAGAGATCGAATTTTATCCTTTTATTAAGGGGGGTATAACAGTTGCCGACAAGTAATATACTCCAGACTATGTAGTGTAAGCTAAATATTCCAAAAAAAAAGAATAGAATATATACCAGAGGTGTTCATTTAATACAAAGCTATTAGGTCTATTCTTTTGCTTTTATATAATATTAAAACAAGTTTATTACTGCAAATATTGTCAGAAATATAATACTTTCGCATATTTATAGACAATAAAGTTAATAGCCTATATTTAATTCATTCAATTCATTCAATTCTCAGATCAGAGAGAACAAATACAATGATTAGTTATATATATATATAGAGAGAGAGGGTGTTTTTAAGAGAAGAAAAGCTCATTTGGTATTAAGATATATATATATATATATATCTTTATTAAATAATCAAATATCTCTTTCTCTCTAAGCTTATTTCTTTTCCTTTATTTTCGATTGATTAGTGTTTTAATGCTACGGAATTCCGGGGTCTTGAATCCAAACATTAAAACGGTTTCTTAAAAAAATACTTAACTTGCACATTTTATTTTATTTTACAACGATTTTGAAGGCTTTATGTTTTTTTAGCGAGATGACTAATAAAGCTCAATAGCAAATATAGCCTACACTTATCTTTTTATAGCAGCTAAAAACCAAAGAATTGCTATTTAGCTTTATCAATAGAAAGTAAAGAAGTGAAATAGAGTTTAGCAGAGAAATAATAATTGACTCTAGTCGGTAAAAAAAAAGGCATACCAGAATACAGAAAATATCATTAAATGAGAGAATGTTTAACGTTCTGTCCATGACCTTAAGATAAGCATAACGTTTTCCCAGCAATATGTATTCTTGGGTTATTATATAAAGAGGAACATAAATCGAAGATATGAGAAGCATAAAGAGAGAGAAAGAGAAATAAAGATTAGTCTAGGTATAATTAGAAAAACAGATTCACGTTATCAATCTGGTCCAAAGTGAAATATGGCCAAAAGAGGTGTGCGAATGTAAATAAGTGCAAGTATATATAATTTACGTGAATCAGGGTACAGATTCAAACCTACTTTTTTTTTGCACTATTCAAAATAATCCCTTTTTTTTTTACAAACACAACCTTGACGTGTACAAAGAAGCTTGTTTTGGCTTGAGTGACCTTATACTTTATCTGGATTAAAGCCATGTTCGCTTTCTATAATATCATGCGCTTACTCTACAGTAGCATATTAAAGCAAAGAGCACAAGAATTGGTATAAAACTACTCAACTAATAAAAGTAAACTCACATATTGTCTACGTTTTTTCTTTTATATTTAAAAGAATGGGTATCATATTATCAATATCGATTTATCCTTACTGCTCAATGACAAAACAGTTATTAATTTATTTATCTTGTATGGTTGGTACTACTCTATGTCCTAAAGCATCGAACAATAGAAAAAAAACCTTATATACTACCACTGCCAAAGACAGACAGACGAAATAAAAACTAAACTAGACTAATTCTATTAATAACAATGACATTTGATTCAAGCCTGCTTAATCGTGAATTCCTAGTACCTGCTCTGGAGTATCTTCCTTTGAAATGCTATCTCTCCGGCAGTCCCAGCCAATGTTCTCCTCTTATCATCCTATTCCATGGAACTGGCGGTGATCACTTTCAATTTGATAGCTTACTTCCTACGCTTGTCCAACACAAATATTGTGTATTGACCATTGACTTACCTTACCACGGTCTGTCGCAGCCTGTTGCATTTTCTAATCCAGAATCTCCAGTAACCTTTGAAAGCATCCTAGAGAATCTCGACGAGGTCATGAAAGCCTACAGGTGCGCCAACCCTTCTTCTCAAAACCCAATTGATCTCATTATCGGCGGTGTCTCCATGGGTGGTATGCTGGCTCAGATCTGCTGCGACCAAAGAAAAACTGCCTGGGAAGAAATCGGCTTCTCTTTCCGTCTGCTGGTACCTATTGGTTGCAGCTCTACTAGTCTTTTGTGGCCCCGTATGGAATGGATGGATTATCTCGGTGTAATGGCTGACGATTCGCCCGAAAAGAAATCTACAATTGATAATATGCGAGTAGCCATCGTAATGTCAGCCATAAAGCCCGAAAACCAAAATGAAGCCAGCCGTGCGATGGAGCTTGTTCATGACCAGACTCTTTTTCTCTACCTTCGTGCTTGCGGCAGGGCCATGCCTCCGATCCCTTCTTCACATTCCGATGGCTTCCAGTTCAAGGACAAGCCTGTTTGTATTCCACATCTGCTTATGCGCGGAGACAATGATTTACTCACAGAAATTTATATGGCGGGTTGGATAACATGGATCCAAGAACACAACATAGACAGTTCTTTAAAGATTGTTTCTAATGCAGGACATCTTGCTAACCTGGATAATGGAGTGGAGATGGCAGAAGAGATCATTAAAGCAGCTAAAAAATATTAGCACTAGTGCTACTGTTACTGCCACTGCTGCTGCTGTTGTTGTTGTTTTAATATATTTACGTTATAATAATAATAATAATTTTATTTTTACAAAAATAAATAAAAATTTATTTGTTTATCTACTCGGTCTTTTTTGACGATTTTTTGTTCTCGAGTTTCTTTTGGGATTGAGACAATATGATGGTTCCGGCCAAGATAAAGCCTGCACCCACCCACCAACGGAGTGCCAGCGGCTCTTCGAATATCAAGAAACCTAAAATTGCCTTTTTTTCAAATAAATAAAAAAGCAAAAGAAATGAAATGAAATAAAGTATAAAACAGGATGAATAAATAATTCTTGTCAATAAAGAGGGAGAAAATAAGTGCGTATATTATTTCCTTACAGAAGCGCTAAAATTGACTGCTCCATTGACAATGGTGACTTGAACAGACGAAGGTGCTGTATTGAGTGACTTGGTGAAAAGTGTCCACATTAAGGAATTGCAACCAAATATGAGACAGAAGCACAAGACGCGCATTGTAATCAATGACATCTGTAACCACCGTGAGTATTCTCGAGATTAAGTGCATTTATGCATCCATTCCAAGCATTTCTACCTCGGAAGTCATTGCGAACGGCAAGGAAGGCAGGTAGCCTGAGTCCATAATTACGTCGCGGAAAACAGCTGTGCGTTCATCTGAAAAGAGTTTGGCAAATACGGATGATAGCGCTGCAAACACACCAGACAAGATTGCAGTGGGTATAAAGGATGTCATTGAGTATGTTATTTTTCTGTCTTTCTTTTTGATGAAAAATGGTTGTGAATCTCAACGTATCGTGTGACTGCTTAATTTTATTTTGTCAAGTGCGGTTTTTGCAAACAACGCGTAGTTGACCTCATCCCCGCTATCCATTAGCCGTTTCCTTTTTTTTTTAACTTCATCCCTTACACAGATCAGTGCAGACGTCTCATGGCCTTCAACTTTGGAGCCACAACATCCCAGTCGTTTACAGGCTTTGGAGGAGCAGGTAAATTTGAGCTTGCATTCACACACCAACACAAACACACAAACATACCCGCATACATACAAACACAAACACATCGTCATGACATTGTAAAAAAAAAACGACAATGAACATCATAAAAAGGATGAAACTTCAATATATCTTACTCGACTATTCGTTATGTTGCCTATTGTATCTATAGCACCTCAGGCTAATCCCCCGGGACATTCTTCGGCAGGTACCTTATTTGGAACCGGTGCTTCACTAAATACAACAGCAAACCAATCCTTTGGCGCAAACCCAACTACTAGTGCTCCTAATCCTGCAGGAGGTACAATTCTATTTTATTTTTATCTTTATTTTGTATTTTTATTTTTTAATTTTGAGCTGCAAAGCATTATGAATACACCAATTAACCATAGATATAAATTTTAGCTGCCGGTGGAGGATTCTCGTTTGGTAACAACTCTACACAAACAGCACCAGCTGCTGGTGGATTCTCGTTTGGAAACAACTCTACACCAGCACCAGCTGCCGGTGGAGGGTTCTCGTTTGGAAACAACTCTACGCCAGCACCAGCTGCCGGTGGATTCTCGTTTGGCAACAATTCTACACCTATATCAACACCAGCATCAGCTGCTGCCGGTGGATTTAGCTTTGGAGCCCCAGCCGCAACAAATTCGACAAGCACATTTAATTTTGGAGCAAATAATAATAATAACACAACAACAGCAACAAGTGCACCTGGTTCATTTAGCTTTGGAAATACTGCGACTAATACTAGTGGAGTTGGAGCTGGAGCTGGAGCTGGTATTGGAAGCTTTAGTTTTGGTGCTAACAACACAACAGCACCTACAACAGGAGGATTTTCATTTGGTATGCATATGCACTGTGAAATATGCTGGTATGTTATTGGTTCAATTGATTGATTGACACAATATTTTGTGTGTGTGTCTGTGTGTATGTATATATATGTATGTAGGCGCAAAACCACAACAGCAAACTACTTCATTTTTTGGTAAATATACATATACATATACTGTGCTGGAAGCCGAGATATGGTTATAAGGTAACTCAATAAGATAATTGGATGGTTATGTAGGGCAGCCACAACAGCAACAGCAGCAGCAAGCAGTTACAGCACCACAGCCTGAAAAAACATGGGAAGAGCTGGCGATAATAAGAGCAAAGTGGGATCCCTCATCACCATTGTGTGGATTTAAAGTAAGTTGTTAGTAGTATTCTAAGAGTGGTTTATCTAATCAAGTCCTGTCTTCTGTTTGTCCTTTTTTTGTTCTTCTCAACTATTTAGCATTATTTTTATAATCAAGTTCCACCTAATGAAATTCGTTTCTATGTACGCCCTCCGAACCAAGATGAAAAGTTGTGGGACGAGGCAATTAGAAACAACCCTGATCCATCATGGTAAATATATATTTAAGAGACTTTATCCAAGGTTTATTGTTTTTTTGATGAGTTTAATGTTTGCAGTATGGTTCCGGTACTGGTGGTTGGATTTGATGATCTCTTGAAGCGAATCAATATCCAGAATGAACAAACTACTTTGCACCGAGAAAAAGTACAGGAGGCACAGGAGAGATTGGCTATGGCAGAACATCAACTTGTATTAAACACAAAGGTTAAAATGCAAGCACATTGGCGACGCAGTATGGATTTGACAAAGCGACTATTAAGGGTATGGGTTCAATAATCATTTGAAGTGATCACGCAGAAGAGAAAAAATAAGAAAAGAAGCAGAGGGAAGATATTGTTGGGCTGGTTGGTTAGTTATTCTGACTATATGTAAAAAAATATGTTATTATAGTTGATGCGTTACTCTCAAGTGCTTCGGTTCAGCGGTACACCTCTTTACAAGACAGAAGAAACTTTACAGAAACAAATGGAGAAATTATCATCAAAGACAGATGGCGTAGAGCATATGCAGGCAAAGATCAACATGCTTTCATTCAAACTCCAGGCAATTAAGAGAGAAAGAGAGTCAAGAGAAGCCAGTAATAATGAAGTTTGGAAATCTGCTGATGAAGGTGGTGCGCTTAATATTGCAAAGGTAATGGGCGAACATAGTATGCGTTTGGCTGGCTTTACTTACTTATTTTCTACAGATATTGGAGACTATGCAGCAAGAAATGAAGACTGTAATCGATATTTTGCAAAAGGACTGTGATGATATTGAGGCAGTCGAAGCTGGTTTGAAGATTCCATCTCATTCTAAAGGTAACATTTTGTCTTTCTTTATGGTTCAAGAAGTAATGCTAATTTACTGATGGTTTTTTCTTTATATAAAATGTAAATGTTTGAATTCAGGGATTGAATGGTAGTAAATGTCTTATATATATATATATATATATTAATGAGGGGGAATATTATTATTATTTAGCTAAAAACTTACGAAATTCTTTTTTATATTTTTCTTTATTATCCAATCATCATCAGCTTATAAGGCACACCTCTCTCCTTTTGTTCCTTTTTCCCCTTATCTTTAAAGTGCTAAATATATATGTACACACACACACACACATACACACAATATACACATCACACAATATACACATCATACATCAAGCAAACCCACATATACACATTTATTAAGAAAGTGATGATGTACACAATACAAATTGACATTTCCCACAGTCACTCTCTGCCATACACGTGCTTACACCTTCAATATCATAATGAATCAATTAATTCGTTTCACAGACAAGACATTGTGCCATGGTTCGTCAAAAAGTAACAAAAAAAAACAAAGATCGCTCTTGAACATTCTTGTATGACCAAGAAATGAACTTCTCCGACTATAAATGTATAATATTTTATAATTAAGACCCCACCTTTGGTTCGTGGGCCCATTTCCCTGCCTCTCTGTCTAAAGGCTGAGAATCCAAAAACAACAAAGTGTTGGTTTTTGTTATACATTGCAAAGGAAGCATATTTCCCCATTAGGAAATTTAAATGAATATGTTACCAATATTCAGGCCATCCAATTTGTCAATCAATAAAAGCTTTGTCCTGGGAGCTAATCTTTTAAAATGGTACAAAAATTATAAATATAAGAAATAATATATTTACGGAATAAATTGAACCAATGGCTTTTTTTTTTCTTTTCTTTATATACATATTAAACTTCTTTTCTCTCACTATCTCTCCCCCTCTCTCTTATAAAATTGGTTTTGGCTTAAAATTGGTCAAATATTTTAGAACGAAAGAAAAAGGAGGTGTTCCTGGTAAAATAGTTCAAGCGAAAGTGTTATAGATAAAAGAAAATAAAAGATTCCAAATTGAGAATCATTTTCTGTTAAATACCGGACTCTAAATTCGGTTTTAGATTAATTAGCCAGAATAGGAAATAATAGATACCACCATACATACACTACCATTCATTTTAAATATATAAAATAATTAATTATTATAATAATAATTTTTTGAAATAAGCGTATTATTTGTAATATTTAATTGCTAATTAATTATTGCTCACAGTTAATATGATCATTAAAACAAAAATGATATATATATATATACAGAGAGGAAGATGTACAATATGTCAAAAGATATTTTTGTTAACCAAAGAATTATCATTCCAATTAGCTTAAATACATATATATATATATTTCTTTCTTATCAGGCTGTAAAACGAAACACAGGTTTCTTGGAATGGGGCTTCAAAGCAATAAATTCTCTTTTCAACTAAAAGGCTTCCATGGTATTCTGTCAACCAAAAAAATAAAATAAAATAAAATATTTTGTAATTCTCAGCTTTTATTCGCTGTTTTTGAAAATAAAATAATTCTTTTGCTATTTTGATATTTGACAAGGTAAATGTACACTAACTGCTGACCATTGAAGGTAGACAGATAGACAGAGTGTGAATTCTTGGGTACTTTAACAGCCCTACATTTCTTTGTACCTGAAGTATATTTTATTCTAGGCAGGAATATACATATATATAAAGAAAGATTGAATGAAAGAAAAAGTAAAGGGTCTGATTGATTAATTCAATACAATGATTATAATTTATATATATTTTTATATTGTATTCCTTCAAATAACTCAATGTTCAATCTACCTATAATTGTGAGGTTTGGCTTAATAATGACAATAAAATAGATACTATAACTACTATAGCTACATTATACAAATACAGGGCTGTGAACCACAGTTTGACAAACCGAGAGGGTCGAGAGTTTATGTGGTTCTGCTTAGCCAAGTGTATCAAATAGCCACATACAGAATAAGTTTAAACCGATATATATATATATATATATAATTAATATACTTCATATGTAAGTATGATGTTTATTACTGCGTAGGGATCTAAAGTACAAAGATAGATTATAGACTGTGTGAAACGACTTTAACCTACTGCTGGACACATAGATAGATATTTAGGTAGACATAGCCACAAAACTAATGCATACAGAAAGAAGAAGAAGAAGAAGAAGAATAATAATAAAATCAGGTAGGTCTAGTGATGTATGTAAAGAGGTCGTTTAGCCTCAAATTTTATTTATAAAAATACATTATTACTTTTAATAATACTTTTTGCTATTTTAAATAAAAAAGTGTACAATAAAATAGTAACTATTTAAATATAGCTTACAAGTATATATATATACATCTCTTTGTCTGCCTTTAAAGAATCTACATAAATCTATTCTTACCAGCAGCAGATAAAATGCAATCAACATACGACTAAGAAACAAAAGTGCTTGGTTATTCTAGCTTGGCCAGTTGCTATTGACTCTGCTATGATTATAAACTTGAGCTATTTGTCATTTACCATTTACCATTTGCCACTTAATTGCTCTATATATGTTGATTACACAGTGACTATTATTAGTAGCCATAGTAGTAATAATAGTAGTTCACAAAGAGTACAATAATATATATATTATGTATACATGTACATACATATATATTAGGTAATCGTCAAATGATATAAAGAAAGGCTTTGAAGCTGAGAAGAAGCGCAGTCCTTTCTAGGGAACAAGATCTATCTTTGTGTTCTTTGAGGCAGATATAGTTTAACATAATGCGCGCGAGAATACGTAAATGCACAAGATTTTTTTTTAAAGTTGTTTGTTCTCATGTAGATACTATGTGATCGTCTTTTGATTATTATGGCGCCTGTATAGGTATACATCTATGTTTGTGTGTATTTGCTTGTGTATTTGCGTATATGTACTCCCTTGAATTTGACTTGTATTATTGTTATCCTGTGTCGATAGTCAAAGCACATGTAATATTCATATAAATGGCTTGAGACACACTTGTATTTTAATACCGAAATTTAACAAACTGCTTATTTTATTTATAATATATATATATAAGTCTTTTATTGTCGTATCTTTTTACCTGGAATATTAACGTATCACAATCAATAATCAGGATATTTGCGAACCAAGAAAATAAAAGTGCAGAAAAGGCGGAATTATAAAAGGTTCTAGACAAAGAACAGTATGATAATCAGGAACGGGGAGCTGCAAAGCCGCCCTAAAAAAAACCAAAAAGATGAGAGTGAATTCAAAGAGCATCTATACTTGTCCCCTTGGCCTTTTTTTGGAAATAAGGATTGACTTTTTTATATTATTTTTATTATATCCCAGGGCCTTGTCCTTCAGCGATCCTCTAAAATAAGGAGTTAGCTTTTGTACAACCTTTTTTTGTGTTTGTGGGTTGACTCCAATAACCAGGCAAATGCAAAGCCAAATTATCCTATTTATTACAACCACATTTAACATCAATTTTATTTTATTTTTTGCTCTTAAAGTCATACATTTTTTTATTACTATCCTTCTTCTTTAATATATCATCTCTAAATCACCATGAAAGCATCAGTATTCTCTTTGGCTGGAGCAGTCGCCACTCTCCTTGCCAGCTTTGTAGCAGCACAGGAAGGCGCTAGTGTACCAACCACCTCAACTGCCGCCACCTCCTCTTATTCTTGCGACCCCAATACTTGCAAAGCACCTACCTGTATGTGCGCATCCCAGAGTCCACCCGGAGGACTTTCTCCCAAAGACGTTCCCCAAGTAAAATACTCGATCAATTGATTAGAAACAACATATCGATTTGTATGAAAGAAGAAGAAAAAGTCATATTGACTCTTTGTTGTTAATAGATGGTGGTCGTAACTTTTGATGACTCTATTCAAGATTCTCTTTACCAAACAGCAAAAAAGATGTTGAGCACAACGTAAGTATTATATACCTTTGAGTTGTCGTTTACTTTAGAATGCTCACTAAACAATATATACATTTTAGAAACCCTAACGGATGTCCTGCTCATGGCACATGGTACGATACACATTGAATTCAAAAGAAAACCTTTTGGTTTGATTCTAATTCAATGTTATAGGTACGTCTCTATGGAATATACCGATTTCTCGCTCGTCCAGCAGTGGTATGCAAGTGGAAACGAAATCGCAGAGTAAGTTTATTTTAAAAGGAAACAAAATGTCATTTTATTATCAATAATATTAATATTCATTATTTTATTTTTACTTTGTAAAATAAAATAAAATAGCCACACTTATTCCCATGTTGGATCCCCCTCTGCCAGTAAGTAACATCACTATATTAGAAATCTAACTAATAGTATTATCATCATTATGCTTCATAAATATATTAACAACCAAATTGTATCATTATTTTTTTAGAGGAAATCTCGAGCTGCAAGTCAATGCTCAATACTTATGGTGGTATTCCCAAAGGAAAGATTCAAGGCTTCCGTGCTCCATTCTTGAACTACACCAAGGAAACGCTGAGCAACATTGCTGAGCAAAGCTTCTTGTATGACTCGAGTGCTAGTGGAGTTACTGATGACGCTTATTGGCCCTACACACTTGACAATGGTATGGCCAACGATTGCTGGACCGGCATCTGCGCATCCGGACAGGTTAAACTTCCGGGTGTGTGGGAAGTTCCCATGTACGCTGTTCTTGATAACAAGAGCATTCCTCAGCTTATGGATGTTTATCTTGCCGGAGAACCACAAGATGTAACTCAATGTAAGTATCATTGGATTAGATATATATATATATATAATCAAAATTAATTTGTATTCAAATCCTAATTATATCTTCTTAATCTAATAGGGAGCTTGGATGCCTTTAACAAGAAGTATGAAGGAAACAGACAGCCATTTGGTATCTACGTCCACCCTAGTAAGTTTTACTCATATGTATGTATATGTATGTATGTATATTATACTAACTGTCTCTTTTAATTTTTTTTATCAGCTCATTTGACTACATACCCAGGTCTCCCAGATCCCAAGCCAATGTTAGACGGTGTACTCAGCTTCCTCCAGACTATTGCCGCAAAGCCCGACGTCTGGTTTGTCACTAACCAGCAGCTTCTCCAATGGATGAAGAATCCAGTCAAGGCCTCTGAATTCGGTCAGCAAGATTACATGAAGTGTCAACAGCCAGTTATTGCAAAGGAAATCTGCAATGGTCTTGACGATGATCACAACAATCAGATTGATGACAATTTGTTGAACAAGTAAGTAATATTAATAGCATTTCTTTATTATTTTTGTAACTAACCAACTTGAAAAAAAATCTATCTCTCTGTCTATCTTAGCTGTAATTTCGGAACATCAAACTTCAAGACTTGTTTCAATTGTCCTAATGGTGCTCCTAGTCTGGCTGATCCTACGCCGGCCTCGGCTGCTCAGAGCGGTTCAGCTGGTTATAGATATCCCGTTCCCGATAATTGCGAGTAAGTTTTGTATAAAAATAAAAATAAAAATACATATTTTTTAACTCCATACCATTGTCACTTTTAGCTCTACTTGGTGGGATCCTATTGGTAATGCTTGTCTCTGTACCACAACTGACTGTCAGTACAAGGAGGTCGTGGTCACCAAGCCCACAGCAAGCAATTCATCTGTGAACCCTCTTGGTGCAAAAGAAACCTCCACCCAAACCATAAGCGCAGCCTCCCCCTCATCCTTAATCTCTTCTAATAGTATTATTCTTGTAGCATTAGCAGCACTGTCTGTATATCTACTCTAGTTACAGCGACACCAAAAAATTTATCTTTCTCTTTCATTTTTAATAATTACTTAGACATTTGTCAGAATATTTCATTTCCTTTATTTTGTTATTTTTCTTCATTTCTTTTTCTTTTCTTTTTTTCTGCTTAAATCATCATGATATTAAAGAACAAATAAAAAATGACTCAGCATTATCAATATCAATTCATACCAGAAAAGAAAAGATACTAATTGAAAGATAAAATCTTTAATCAGGTAAGTTTGCTTGAGAGCAAACTAATAAAATGCGGTTTAGCTTTGAACTGAACTGAACTGAACTAAGCTAATTGAATTGAATTGAATTGAATAAGACCAGAGCTGGGAAACTGTAAATTAAAAGCTTAATCGTCCTTTTCTCCTCTAGCCAATCTAAATATGATTAGAGTTGCACAATATATTAGAATTGGTGTGTTATTTTGACTGTAAGAGCTTATGTATAGCCAGCCTTTTTATTTTGTTTTATTTATTTCGTACGAAGCATATTTTTTGAATGAATTTGTACTTTCATACTAGGCCCTTTTTTTTGGTTTTCTGTATTAATTTCTCAAGGGCTCATTGTCTATTGATACAAATATCAGCCTAACGTGTTACGATCATTTATACAATAATTTATAAGGACTTGTATAACAGTTCCAAGTACTAACATGGCTCTGTTTATTTTATATTTTATATATAGAGTTCATAAAGAAGAAGGAGAAATGAATAGGTTTACTAAAGAGATGTAACAAAACCTTCTCTGAGCTAGCAATAACAATATACATCTTTCTAAATCATAAGAGTATGTTATAAACTGTACTTTATCATAAAATATGGTTATGCTACACATCATTAAACATTCTTTGTGAAACGGTTGCTACCATGAGGCTGAGCGTTACTCTTTATTTTATACTCCAAAGACCACTACAGATCCCAGCAACTGTGAGCCCCATCTTCACCCCCGGTTCATCTCGCCCTGACCATCCTTCTATATATATATATATTCTGTAAAAAAAAAAGAATCGCACCACTCACCAAAGAATCAGGGTCTGATTCCAAGCCTTTATTTCTTTTTGTTGGTGTTGTGTTTGCTTTCATCCAAAAAAGATAGTACAGTACTGTATTGGATGTTCCAGAAATTCGGTAAAAACTATAGATTTATTTGGACTTGTATTAAAATAAACTACTAGTAGGCCTTTTCTTTAATTTTCATTTGTATCTTTAATTTTAGCTATATATCCTTTTAATACAATAATCTTTTTTTTTAAAAAAGAATTGGATACATATCTATTTAACATTCCTCTTGAACATTGACCAGCCTCATATTGCGTTTCAAAGCAATACTTTTATTTTTGTTGTAATTGAATCTTTTTGACACAAAACAAAAGGAAGTATATATTGGTAGATAAAGTAACCTGAGTGGGAATAAGATACAAAGCCTTTGGGAGCATAATCTCATAATGACATTAAATGAATATATATATTAACAAGGAGCTGTTGGACCTTCGATAATGATTGCACCTGCTAGTAGTTGTGATGTGCAGTACCGCATTTGTGGATATTCCAGCCAATCCTGGTTAAGTAAATCAATCATTTCACCTGTTATTTCCTCGTGTAGGGTTTCCGTCAGTTTTTTTCGAAGCTTTACTAACGAGAGAGAAAACAAGTTAGTATTTACTTCAATGTCAAATATATACGTATTGGTTACCTTGTGACTTTCAAATATCGATTAAGTGAGAAGCATCGATTTCCGTAACCTCTTTTGAAGAGTGATTATTATCATTGGCGGGGCTGCACCATGTGCCTGTCGTTTGGTTTTTTGATAATAATATGGAAGCAATTGATGAAGATGTCAACATCCCGTACTGCATACTATCGTGGTTGTATACAATGGGGACCCACCTGCCCAACTTGGCCAGCATAATCTTATCCTCTTGGGTCGCTTTATCGGCAGTGTGAGAGTCCGTGGTTGTCAAGATCACATCACGATGTGTGAGGCGGGATAGCTTTGTTGTTGGCTGTTCCGCCAATAATAATGACGACGGTGGAAGCTGCGCGAAAACCTTCTTGCTTGTCGTTTCCTCTTCTACTACTTCCTCGCCAGCCGGATGCTGATCTGTGCCTTAATCTGCCTCTTCTTCGCCCACAAAATGTTTATCAGCAGAATCCAATTTGACGACTTTTCTCTTCTTCATAAGGGACACATTTAAGCCGTGTTTTTTGAGATGGGTGATAAATGGTCGTGTTGTTTTGTTGTTTTTAAGGCATATTGAGCAAGAGAAGTCCTTTTCGCTCCTAGTGATGGGTGTAAAGCCTATCAGAAAATAATGATGTTAGAGTGTGGAAACCCCCCCTCCCCAAAAACAAAATACCATACTTTCTCCATATTACACAGTGGCTATGTGATAATCATGATTGTGGGTTTTCAAGTTTTCAGGATTAGCAGAAAAAAGATTGCACTGATCGCATTTTTGCATTTTGCCTAAACGCAAACATAAAGTGAGGGTTGAACGTCCACCACGCCTTCGTGACCGACTCCCTAGGTGACCTCTGTCGGATACCTCCCCATGGCATACGACATGCCGGCAACCGCATTCTCGCCTTCTTTCGCCATATGTTCTCTCTGGTGGGAAATCCTTTGGGAAAGGGTCTCAACCGCTGAGTTCGTCTTCAACCGCACCTCATCTTTCCTTCCTAGTCCGAACTGTCCCCTCTGTCTCTCTGCGGTGGATTATCTCCAACATTTCGTCTTCTCCCGCCCTTGCAAGTTTCCTGTGTGGACATTGGTACTGCAGCAACTGTGTCTGTCTTGGTATATTTCTGATGTTTCCTGGCTTCTAATTCTTACTCGGCTTTCTCCTTCCGTTTCCTCCACTCTCTAGATTGCGATTGCATCAATCACGGTTCACACCATCTGGCGTGCGCGCTGGGCAGTTGTCTTTGACAACTCCCCCTTTTTCCCCAATGTAGTTGCAGCTAAGGTAGTGACTGCCATACATAGATCCCATGACCTCAATTCCACCTGACTAGTGTTCATATCTCTTTCTTTCCCCTCCTGTAACTCTATCTTTTCTCAAATTTCAATTTAATAGGTCGCGCACTGTGTGTGTTGGCAGTATCAATAAATCCAAAAAAAAGAGAAAAAAAGGCATAACATCCCACCATATTGTTAAATCAGAGCAAGGTGCCATAGATGAACTTGATGAATAGGGTAAAAATGAGTTTTATATCGCCATAGATAATTGTAAGAACCATCATACTGCCTTTATAGTTGATGCCATAAATAATAGAGGATGCCATTTTATTCCTCTTTTTTTATAGCTCAGTTGGAGAGCGTTGGTTAAAGATCGTTGGTAATTTGACCAGATGTCACCGCATAAATAACCCTTAGAACAATGATTGATCATATAGAATATGTGATTTCACCTTTATCTGTAAATGGCCAGCCTACTTGTCTTTATTTGACAGATTGTCAATAATATAAACATGCACATTTTATTCTATTATAACAAAGATTTCAAAAAGCCCAACTTCAATTTTCTGAAAAAAAAAAATACAACTTACAACTCTAAATAAATATATACAGTCAAAGCTCGATATAGTGATAGTGATAAAATTTCTGTCCACCATCCATATCACTATATCGAGCTCTGACTGTATTACTTCAAATCCTTCTTCTTTTACAGATACAAAACAATCAGAGATATTTGATTTTTATTTTTATTTTGCAAATAATCAAAAAGAAAAATATCAAGAAAAAGTGTGCTGATTATTTGGCTTTACTATCGCTTCTTGTTTTTCCTATTCTTCTTTCTTAATTATTTATTTTAGCTCTCGCTATTCTTTTGTATCCAATTCTGTGCGACTTTCTAACAAGAGTATCTCATGTCACATTAATATATATATTGTATATATAAAAATTAAATAAAAATTAATAAAAATTATATAAGAGCTGGTGTAATATTGTATAATTATAATTTATATTGTATATATAGAAAAAAAAATATAGAGAAGAGCAAAAAAAAATGTTCGGATATATCGCCGCTTATTCCATAAAAAGAAAATTGCCATTCTACATTGCACTTGCAACCTTTTGCTTGATTTCAAGAATTGTATTCAAGAAATCAGAATTGCTATTAAGAAAAAGGTGAAAAGAAAGGGAGAAAAAAGGTTAATATATCTTTGTTGCAATGTTTGTCTTACAAAAAATAATACTCACTTTAGATTTTCAGAATTTGCAGAAGATAAGTTGTATATTCCTGCCATCATTTGCTCTGCTACTGCTTGCATTACAGTTGGTGGGAAATCTCTCAAAAGATTTAAGCACTTGAGAATTTCATCTTGTGTATTATCCTAATAGCACACACACACACACACACATATATATATATATATATAATTGATCAATTATACTGGTCAGAAAAAAGAAAAAGAAAAATACATACACTGGCAGCATTCTGAATACAGAGTCTCAAAAGTCCAACCACTGTCCGCTCTACAACCAATACGCTTTGTCTTTCAGCGTGATTCAGAATTCCAAATGCGTATCCGGTAGCATATGGCCTAATGATTTCCAATAATTAAAAAGAAGTGCACCACAAGTAAATACAATATCAAGAAGAAAGAAGAAATAATCCTTACCACAAAATATCAATTCGGTTAATGTTTCTGTCTGCGATAGTAACCATAAATTGGAGGAACAAGATTGTCGTAGGGTCATAGGGAATAGTTGTTGTAGTGCTTTCGATTGATTTGCTGTCATATCCTACTGTTCCGATAGCTTTCATAAAGCATATCAATGGCTCTGTTTCCAAAACACTAATATATATATATATAAAGAGTCAAGCGATAATAATTAGCAAAAATATACAAAGAGAAATCTTGGCTGTGCCTTTCTTTTTTACCTGATGTCTGCGAGAATCTTCTCTAAATTAAAAGCTGACACACAAATGACAGCAGACATTGCACACTCAATCTCTTCTTCTGTTGGATCAGCTCTGTAAGACTCATCGTTAGAGTAAGGCGACAGAAGGTATGATGAAAGTGTCGACAAAAGCGACCCATCTCTTCGGTTATTTTGTTTGGATGGGACTGGACTTTTAGGTTTCAAAGGAATACTGATTGAGCCAGCCAAAAAGTCCTCAAAGTGAATCATGGAATCCGGCAACATTGAATTAACAAAAAGATTGCGAATGATTTGTAGGACCTATCAACACGATATAACATAAGCTTCTGTTTATTTATTTATTCATTTATTAATATATATATATATTACCTTTGTCCAGGATGATCTCAAAGAGTTACTGTGTTTATTAATAATGGTAAACATTGTAACAGCAGCCAATTGATTTCTATAATTGTGACCCAATCTAACAGCCAGGCGGCTAATGACATATTTCTGACCAGCAACTTCAACAATCGGGTCAGGTAAGGAACTATCGCTGTTTGCCTTTGTCAAGAGTCCTGACATCATTGCAAGGTTTGAAATAATGCTGTCAACAACATTATGCAACCCGAACTTTGAAGCAAGCAAAGAGCAATGATAAAAGCCTTCGATGGCCTTTTCGAGAGTTGTGTCATCTTGTGCAGTACTGAAAGCTTTATAATATGAACCATAATAACAACCATTATTATTATAAGTTTGATAGAAATTGACTTTCTTCTTTTTCTTAACGAGAGAAACAACATTGTTCTTACCGTATGAGATGGATGCAACAATAGGCTTCCATGTTTGCTCAAACATAGCCTTGTCATAAGCAGGTGTATCACAAGATGTGAACGGGGCTGCAGAATTTGCTCTATGTAAAAGCTGTTTCCAGGCATAGTTGAATCCTAAGCGACCCTCATGCTCTTCTGGCATGACAATCTCATCTTGACGAATCGCTTCATAAATGTCTTTCTACGTAATAAGGTCATGTTCATAAGCACCAATATATATATATATATACATATAATTACATACCAGATATTCTTTAGAAAAGTCTTGACCTGCATTCACTCCTCGTACATTTCGCATATAGTCTTGCAGCGTCATTCGTCCCTAGTAACCCATACAGATCAGAATATTGAAAATTTTCATATATATGTTTATATTTAATATCTTACTCGGACTTGAGGATTGTGTTGATCAGTATTGAGCATAATAATTGAATAGGCAAGAATCTGGGCCGCCAAGGAGTCTGCAATTTCTGAAGGCTTTTGTTCAAAGAATACATCTGCAAATGTGTCTGCAACTCTCATGATCTGTTGGGATTCTCCAGGGAGTCTGAATGTCTCGAGCACAATTCGAAGCGCCTCATCCATACGTTTCTTATTATTTTTGGGGTACAATTAACAAACTCTGTCCAGATCCATAATAATCTTTCCTCTCACTTCTCCCAATTTTTTTCTTTTCTATAAACTTACTCCCTTGAAATCAAATTGGCGCATAAACACTTGGAGTAGCTCAAAGTTCTCGGGTTTTCCGAGATACTCTCCTAGGCTCTTCTTGTTCAACTGCTGCGTGGATCTCAAAAAGTAAGCCAAGCTTTCCTTGGTGTCGTTTTCCTTGTCAGCTTCAATTATCCCATTTTCTATATATATGTATATATAAGTAAAGCAATAATCATTCGTCATTAGTCAGCCAAACCATTCCATTAAAGTGTCGATTGTTTTAGAGAATATATATAGCTCTTCCTTACCTGTGAGATATTGAATTCCTTTTTTAGGACTCTCGTTAAATAATGCAGCACCATTTAAGATGATTTTCTTTCTTGCTTTTCGTCTTAGGAGTTCATCTACAGGTACAAGATCCTAAATAATCATAGTTGTTGTTGTTTGTAAAATGGTTAAATAATTAGAATAAAGTAAGATATTGACATTATTTACTTACATTATCTTCTTCAACATCGGCATATGCCTAATGAATATATATATATTTGGTGAATAAGGTGCTAATATATGTTTCTGCCAATAATAATAATCAACATTCTAATTGTCATTCTGATCCATACCTCATCCTCGGACCGCTTCACCATTTGTTTTATAAAGCTTAAAAGCGTATCAAAGCAATTGACGTGGAAACTAGTCAGTGAATAGTTTTGTAAATCTGGGAAAGAATTCTTTTGAAATGTATTAGAATAAAATTAAACTACAACAATTTGTTTACATACAAGTTCCATCCAAAACTACTACCTTCTTGTATTATACACATACACACTAAAGGACAATAATTACCTTGCTCAAGAACTGTATAAGCTCTTCAAATAAATCTCCACACGATATGTCACAATCGTAATTGTACCAAATATCAATCAAGAAAGTCGATGTTCTTGAGCATTGAACAAGACACTCAAGTAAGAGTTCACGGACCTCGCCCGATATAGCCATGGCATCTGGCTGGTATCCTTTGGCAGGCTTTGGATAATCATTAGTTCTTCCCAAGAACATGTTTGGTGATGCACTGCGGATTTCAACATGGCCTGGCCCACGTGTTTCCAAAGAATGCTCTCTGCTAACCGGAATAAACCCAACATTTCCGTCGTCATCTACATCAGCTACTATGGTTCTAGTTCCGGCACCAGGTGGTGGTGACAGGCGTTCAATAAGGAAAAACAAGAAGAGTTCGTGTTGAAGCTTGAGGTGGGGTCTCATAGTATCAAAAACAGTCGATATAACACGCAATGTAGAGGCAAGAAGTTGTATAGAGTTTGTCTTTGCAAGCTTTTTTTTGGGATAATTGTATATATTGAGTATTGATTACTTTCTTTTCCCTTTATTAAAATAGTTGCCCTTTACTTACTTGGAAGAGGTATTTGCAAAAATCGTCCATTACAAGGCTTCGTAAGGTTTCAAAACGGCTTATACTTCTGCCTCCAACTTCAAAGGCAACATTTAAGATACTTAGCGCCATCATTCGCATAGAATCAGTGTGTGTGTGTTCGTGTGGGTTGAGTAAGGAGATCAATACGCGAAGTAATTCTCGGATAGATGGAAGTCCATAAGCTCTTGCTAATACGTATCATTATAATTATTATCATTGTCATTTCGTGTGTGTGTATGAGTTATTCTGTAGACAAAGAACAAGATATATATATATATATATCCACACAGCTACATTTATCATCAATATCTTACATTTTTGCGCTTCTAGATTTTCATCTTCATCTTTTGCCTTTTCAGACACTTCTACTGTTGCCGTTGCTGTTGTTGTTGGTGTATCCTGAGGTGTTTCTGTTGATGATTCATTTTCCTCGGTTTTTTCAGATAAGATTTGTTCAGTATCTGAAGATTCTGTACCTGACTCTTCTTTAACTTTTTCATCATCTTCAGATTTAGATACAGGTGAGAGGGTTGGTCGTGGTGTCTTCATGTGGGGAGCATTTGAGGATACTTCTTTTTCGTCGTCGTTTGTTTCGCTTTGCAAGTCTACAAACTGCCATTCATCCTCTAGTACCTTTAATCTATTACACATTTTTGGTTTTTTTTTGGTTTAGACATGTTTTGTACCCTCATTATATACTTATAGATTGGTAACCTACCTTTCAAACATTGCTACTATAATATTAATCATGACATGCTCAGCAGATCTTCGCAACATTTCTATACAACTGAGAGTTAATTATGGGAAAAAAATTTAGACATGATATTTTTTATTATTACTAATCTATAAAAATACATACCGCTTAATCTCATCTGACAGCACATACTAAGACCAGTCTCCATCATTTCACATACTGCCTCGTCACTCAATACTTGTCCACATTCACTTGTCAGTATCATCTGAAGCAATTGAAGCATCCTTAAAAGCACCAGTTCGTCTGAAGCAGCATCCGAAGCTTCAAATTTGCATCGAGTAGCAGCTTTTGCTAGTGCATTCATTGCGGTGCCGATATTAGGAGACTGCAAGCCTATTGTTTTATTTTTATTTTTATTTTTATTATATATTAGAAACGAATCTGCTAAGGTCGGATTCTTTTTGTAAGCTTCTCCCTCTCTCCTTTTCTATCTATCTATCTCTATTGCTAATACCTACCAATAATTCCATAATGTAAAAATTTCTCTATGCTTCCAAGAGCTGTGCCAGCAATTGATCCAGTAGTATTTCCTGATCGAACTACATCAAGGAACGGTGTCACAAGCGTCAATGTATCCATATCTCTAACATCTTAACAAGACATTATCATCAATAGTAACAAAACAAAAGAAAAAGAGAGCAAATAATGTGAGAGAGAATGCTGTTAGTAAATCAAATACATCAAATCAAACATTACCTATATCCCTTAGCTTTAAATAAAATAAATAAATAAATATATAAATATATATACCATCAAATTTCTCGATGGCTTCTTTTAATCTCTTGAATCCCAGCATAAGTGGATTTTCCTAAGGCGTGTTACAAGATGAATAAAGCTTTGTAAAGAGTTTTTGCTCTTTTAGTTTGTATTGAATCCAAATTACTTCATTCTGTGGATGATTCTCTTTTGTGAATCTAGGGGTACGTAATCCCATGCGCTGTCCAAGATCGCCCATGTTCAATCCACTGACTGTCATCCCAGACCATCGTGCATTCTTACGCATAGCTGTTGTTACAGCTATACAACCAATAAAGTTAAATAATAAATAAAAGGAGAAAAAGGAAAAGGATGTTTCAAGGAGGCATACCGATGATTTCTGCATGGACAAGTTGAGACCAATTCAATTCTGATTTGATTCTGTGGTCTGCATCTATATAGCCATTACTTCCAGGCGTTATTTGTTCATCTGATAATAGAGGTGAGATGGCCGGTAAGACAAGGGATCCGTGGATTTGAGAGGACATGGTTAATGTTTTTGAAAGGAATGATGACACAATCGGCTTTAAATAATAAGTTTTTCTTCTTCTTTCTTCTTCTTTATTTGTGTAATGATAGACGGTTGTCTAGATGTCGCTTTTAATTCCTCTTCCTCTTCCTCTTCTTTAATATAAGTGTATGTGTATGTGTGTATGCGTATATATTTCAAGCGTTGGTGTAGTTTGTGCCGATATAGGTATATATATATATAAATAGACAGTTCTTGTAACAGTAAGCTTTCAAGTCTTGGTTTTTATTTATAAATGATTATTATTGTGCAGCTGTACATATGTTTTGTTTTTTTATCTTTATCTTTATTTTTATACATATTTTATTTTATTTTACCAAGATTAAAGTCAAAAGTCTTTCAAGATGCCGTAACTGCTAACCTTACCCAAGGAAGCAACTTTGAGGCAGGAGAGAAGAGAAAGTTCATTACCCCAAAGCGATGCAGTCATTCACATTTCAAAGCCAGACTACAAAGGGGAAAAAAATAAAAAAAAATGGACGATTTACAACAGTCTTGATCATATGAAATACTTACACGTATAAAAAAATCAACTTTGGGTGAATCAGATATCTTGGCAATTTTTTTATTTGATTTTTTTAAAAAAATAATAATAATTTGACAGCAAAATGGAGTTATTCAAATAGTCACAATGATGCTATGCTTTGCTTGATAGCTTTAAAATTGTTGTATTCTGTAGCTTGGTAATAGAATATCTTAATAGTGAACATGAAAACTACACAACATTACAAAAAAAAGAAGAAATTATAAAAGGAACTCTTTTTTTTTGTGATCCAAAGAGAAAATGATATTGCTTTCTGCTGAGCCTTGAAAAGCGTATATATACTTCTTAATTTCACAAGATAAGATACGACATCTTGTAATAAGAAGCAAAAAGGCGTATATTAAAATATACTACATGATGTGTTTATATTCTTTAATACAAGAGTATTATCCAAAATATACTGGCAAAATAAAGCAGAAAAGAAGACATTTAATTTTGATCAACTAAAATAAAAAATCAATCAATTTAACCTTGTTATTTTCAATAAGCTACTATGGAAAATGAGTAGTGATTCCGATGGTAATATTTTGTTTTGTTTCTTTGCTACTATAGTTTAAACATTGGATACACCCTTTTTTTTTAAAAAAAAATATATCTCACGCTTATCTCACAAAGCAGTCTCTAACAGTAGATCCTTCTTCCTCTTTACATTGCCATTGAATAAAATACAATTATTTGAACTATTATAAGATGGATTTTGTGAAATAAAGTTGAATAGGCCATATCCTTTTATTTATATTTATTACTTCTTTTTTGGTAGTAAAGGCTTTGATTTAGCCAAAAAAAAAACTATCGATTCTGTGATTAGGATATGATATTTAGATTTATCAAAGATCCATATTTAAACATAGCATAACCATTATTAAGATTATCTTTCCAGCTGGGTACCATTCTAGCATATTCATCTTTGTAAAGCTGTTCTTCGGTATATTCTTTCTCCACTATCTCTGAGAAATTGCGGAAAAAGTCTTCGACGTACTTTGCTTCCTCTCCACCTATAATCCATCCCTTGGGTTCCCGTCGTGTACGGCATTCAACATCAGGTACACAGTATACCCATGTATTCCCTATAGGGTTCTGTGTATGTGTGAAATTCAAGTTTAGTATGTATTAATATAGCTTTAATACCGAAGCTATTCCTTTTTTTTATGGATATGCATGTTCTTACCATTGTTGAAGATAAAGCAAATATATTGATGATATTTTTGGTAGATGGGTCAACAAACATAACACTGCCAATAGAAAGATGTATAAAGCTTGTCGATGACATGTCGATGCAATTGGTCTTTGTATCTTCTGATTTCGGTTTTGCTACATATACATTCTCAAGAAACATGCTCTTGAGCTTCTTGCAACGATGTGAGATGTAATTGAGTGTATCAGTGACGATATGTGTCGAAGTGAGAGTTAATTCGCGCAGGCCATGATTTGTTGAAAATTCCGATGTGACTCGGTCAAAGAGGCGGCGACGAAGAGTCCCCGAATCAAAACGGAAGGTCTTTAATGAAGGACATCGGTCCAGAAGAATATCTATCTCGCTTGTAGAATCTTCAACCTGGATATTGAGATCGACTAGGTGAGGGAAATGCTCGAGATTATCCGTATATGCCCAAAATATCAAAGTTAACGAAGACGCTTTAATTGTCACTTTTTCCAAAGTAGACGAGAATATGTTCCTCGACTCAAAGACGTCTCTTGAAAAGGCCGACATTTGAACGGATCCACCCAAAGAAAGGCATAATGTCTTGATTGGAGCTTTAAAAAGATAGAGCTGCTTTACAAAATCAATAAATATCTGTTCTGAGCCTAGTTCAACCCTGACATTGATTTCTTCCAATTGTTGAAAGGGGTATGGAATCCGAGCAAACATTTTGGCCACCTCTAAGCTCTGTTCGCTAGCCGTGTTACTAGCGAATATTATGGTCTTAAGAATACTGATATTTGGAAACTTAATGGCGATATAATACAGCCATTCATATGTAGAATTAATGAGGTTGACCTCCAGGCTTTTTAAACATTGCAGCGGCTTTACATTTTTGATCATTGATAATTCGTGTAGAGTTATTGAGAGTAGTTGAGCTCCCAGAGCCATGCGAGTCAGTTCTGGAAGACTATTATTAAGGGCATCAAACTCGCCAACTGTGTGCTTATATAAACCGGTATTAAACATATATTTGAACTCCAGTCGTCTTAGTGGTCGTATTTTAGAGAATAATGAATAAAATAAGGATGGTGCTGTGTGAGGAACATAGACCCATACTTTTACTTCGAGATCTGTGAGGAACTCCCATAACTTCCAGCCAGAATGATCAATAAATGTATACTCATCGATATTCGCAGTACTCCATTTAAAGTACTGTATGTGCGGAAGACATCTCTGAAGGGCAAGAAGTTCTTCACCAAATATTTGAGCATATTGGCCTATGTGAAGCTTCCGAGAACTGTGGCCATATCTTTGAAGGAAATTGCTTGTTGAACCGGATAGACCTACTGATTTGGCGAATTTTCCATAATCATTAATCACTATGGTTTCCAAAAGAGATTCCTGAATAGCAGGCAGCCACGCCTTGCACACGAAACAGCACTGAATTTTATCTCTGGGTTGAAGAAAGTCTGCAATGCGACGAGTAATCTCGAAAGGTAATTCGGATGCCACCATGATGAAGACAATGACCACACTTCTTTTTTAAAAAAAGAAATAATATATATATATATATATATATAAGAAAAGAGAAAGAGAAAACAGGAAATGTTTTTGTGATAGAGTACATTTCTATACTTGAGTTGGTTGGCTTATATTTACAAAATAGAAATATGGCACACTGTAATGTCTAAGCCTTGTGCGCTGTTGACCAGATTCCATATAGAGTATATATATATAAAAGAAATCTGTGGTCATTTGTAACAAAATCGCCTTTACTTCCTGTACACATTATATTTTTTCAAAATTCATTTTCTATATTTCTCCTTATTATCTGCCTGAACGTCTCCTTTTTATTTTTCTTTCCGAAGAATAAAAATGAAGAAATCTAGCCATTAATCTCACCTACAGTGAAGGCTGTACTTATAACCTTTCATATGAAATATATAGTAACCAATATAGCTCTTTTAAAAATGTGATGTCTTTTTCAAGGATCGTTTTGTGGGATATAAAGCGCAGGACTTTGCTAAAAGGACTTTCATTAAATATAAAGCTCTATATATATTCCCAAAAAACCCACTTGTCTGCTGAAGTACAGGTATCAGAAGAAGATATATGCACTATGATGGCTTTCTATTCAAGACATATTGATCATAGTGCGTATAATCATCTTCATATTTGTATATTGTATCTAGCTAGCTATAATCAATCAGAAATGGTCTAACATGAGTGTATGTGGATACGAAATATGTCTATAATCACGTTATCACATCAGATTTTATAGCAGTCCTATAGGCAGGCTCTATGCTATGTATGATACCAGCATTGCACCCGAGACATGTATATTCAATATAGAAAGAAGTAAAATGTCTAAGATTGGTCAGGGTGAATCAATATATTCTTAACCACAAGATTATTATATGTACTATCAAAGTGATATAAAAACACATATTTGACCGTTAAAAGAAGTACATCTCTACGTAAGAAAAAAAAGGAAACGGCTCTATAATCTTGCAGTGATAAGAACATTAAAGAAAACATGAACTAACAGGAAGTTTTTTTAGAGCCAAATTTATTGTAAGGGTGATTAATACATCGTCAGTTTATATAATGCAAAGGCTTTGGGCAATTTATGGTGCACGAATTTGAAAAAAAAGGCTCCAAAAGGTTTGTCAAGTGAGCGAAACGATTTTTGAATGTTTCAAGAATATTTAAGTAGATACTTTTGCACCTGCTCTAATGATTGCTTCATGGTCCTTGAAGTAAAGCAAGATAGAGGTGAATAATATACATATAGCTTATATTTATTTTTCTTTTCTCCCTATATATAATTCCGTATTTGATCTTAATACAACCAAGAATTTGTGGACAAAATAGATAAATGTCTTTTGTTAGGTCTAGAGCGTTTCTCATTTTTATATCATTTGGAATTTAAACATAAATAAAAATAATATTTGGAGTGTGATACAATCAAATAAGGTCTCTTGATACAACTGTACAGAATAGTATGATGGAATAAGACAAACGTATTTTCACATAAAGCCTCAGGGTTAGCTTCATCATTTATACAGAAACCGTTTCAAAACATCGATATCAGCCTTTTACATGTTAGCATTTAGAGTCAAGATAATAACTCATAGTGAATCTCTTGTTAAAAAAGTAGTTTAACAAGGTATAAATAAATTGATGTCTATATAAGCAATAAAATAAGTAACCTAGAGTTGAAGATTATAAGCTGTACGACTGACAAAGTAATGACCAGTGAGAAGTACTTTATACTATGCACCTCAGTGTTTCAGGTCTTGTATTGTAGGATGTCGTTTGAATGCGAGTTTCTGCGATACCTATCACCTTATACTGATTTGAATTTACTTTTGAAGAATTTATGATTCAAAATTAATCTTAAATTTAGCTTGGAGTAAAGCAACTTGTTTAACAGAGATGTTATCCAGTGCATGTATATATATGTATTAAAACATCATTTCTGCCACATACCACAAGAGAAATTTTTCTAGCGCATCAAAATCTTATGATAAGTGCTGAACATTAAAGCCAAGTTGTCATAGGCAGAATATAGATAATACAAAAGATTTCACTGATTGAAGAGATGTCTTGTCTATAATCTATTTATTTTTATCAGGAAGGAAATACCAGGCCAAATACGAGAATGCTTGCTTTTAAAGACAAAAGAAAGAAGGAAGAGAATATCAAGACGAAAGAGCTGTAAAGTAACATTACTCAGTTTTTATTGGAGAATTTGTTCATTCGTCGTTTCAGTATAAGATATGCGTGATCAATATTAAATTATTATCTTCTTTCTATACGAAATTTAATCAAAAAGGTGTTCTCTTAATATTAGATTCTCACAATAATACAAAGAGTGTATAAACTAGCTGCTTTCATAAATTATTTCAAGCCAAAATATCATAGCTAAAGACCTCACTTATATCAGTATAACTAAATTTCTCTGTATAAGTCCTAGTATAACGAGTATGTCTTTAATAATAAGCTTTAACAGATTATGTATACTCTTGGTCAGCTGTCCTTTTGGTGTCAATATGTATAAAAAAACCAAAAGATTATACATACATGCGGTTCTATTTGTTCTATGTATTGTTATTGTACTTATTGTTTACAATGGCTGAAACAAGTTCAACAAATATTCTGTCTTAGATATTGGAGAGTAATGTATATATGACTTTTGCATGTTCTGTGCAAATATATAAAGTTGATAGGAGAATTGACCTAATATGGGAATGACATCTTTACGGTGTACATGATACATGCAATAATACCAAAATATCTTCCTACAGCTAAAAATATACCATATATTAGATACTCGTGTTTGTCTACTCACATAAACTCAAGCCGAAATCTGGACCATTCTTGGAAATAAAATCTGTGTACTTAAATCATAATCTTACATCTTGACAAAGAACGAAACTCGATCATTTGCATCCCAAGATTGGTTTATCAAATTTAATTTTGTAGTAACAGCAATTTGTATTATGTTTATTTTGTATAATAATTCAAAAAATATATAATATGGATAATTTTTACTTAAAATATAGACAGGTAGTAAATACTAATATATACGAAGATGAGGAATATAATTATAGGTACATAAAGGTATGTATATGTATATGTATATGTATATGTATATGTGTATGTGTATGTGTATGTGTATGTGTATGTGTATGTGTATGTGTATGTGTATGTGTATGGGTATGATGGTGCATGTGTCGAGAGGCTGTTCAGTCACAGGAATGGACTGCCATAAGCTGATCTGTACGTTCGTCAAATATCTTTTGAGTACGGTATTTCTCATAAAAGTATGCATTTGTTTTGTGACGAAAGCTATCTCTGTTCGCCAACAGAAGTTGGATTAAATCCATAGTTTCACTGTAGTCTATACCAGGACTTGGTTCTTCTGAACTTATAGAGCATTCAAGAGATTTAGGGAAAGTGACAGAAAATGGCATCTGCTCGAGATAGTCTTTTAATTGACCTGCTTCTTCCATTTCATCGTTTTCGTTGTGTTGTTGGTCAAGCCATTCTACGTAGCTTTTAAGAGGTCTCCAGGTAGACTTGCGAGTCGTCAAGTCAGGAACGCACCAATCCATTATGTCTTCCTCGACAGTATCGATATGGCTAGACCCGTATACTGGTATTTGATAGGTATCAAAGAGCAAGTTCCGGATAAACTGCTTTTTTTCGGCCAATTCTTCGGGAGAAAGAAGGTCTGACTTGGCCAAGACAGGTACCACAGATACATGCGCAGCTATTTCTCTTAAAAGCAAAATCTCCATGGGACTAAAGTCGGTGATAGAGGCATCAATAAAATAGAGGCAGACATGAATCCGAGTGTCTTGGACTTTTGTATTTCTTTTAAGTTTGACTTCCTATCAAAGTAAAAAGGGTTTGGGGGGGGGGGGGGGGAAGAAGAGGGAATCAGTACTACTGAAAAAGTCAATTTATTGTTATTATTATAAATAGGCTTACCTCCATCCAAACTCTGTCAAACTGATGCTCTAAATACTTTTTAGTGTAGTGCGCTTGGTAGCCCAATACTGTTTCGGTAAAGCCGGGCGTATCAACCAAAGTTAGCGAGATCAGGTTTTTGTTGTCTTGCCATTGTAGTTGAGTAGTACGAAACAAATGGTCAGACTGGGTCTGACTAGGTTTTGTAATACCATGCCCATAAGTGTTTAGATGGGAGGACAAAGTGTTCAGAAAAGACGTTTTGCCCGATCCCGGTGCACCGACCACCATGAGATTTAGGCTTGATTTTTCTTTACGGGGCATAAGAGGATAAGATGATGAAGAATAGAGGATGGCTAAAATGTACATTCAGATACGTTTATAAGAAGTGGCAAAGAAGCTGCATATTCCTAAATGAGCAACGGGCCCGAAAGTGTTATGATTGAATACTATTCTTTATTAACAATTGGACCATCAAGTGCTGTCAAGAATAGAAACAGAGAGTTTAATCATTATAGGCTCATTTTCTTGGCGAAGGCATGGTCTGGTGAGGGGCTGGGTATGTATGCACAGGAAAATAGGTCTGCTCATGCACCCATGGGCTGGTCAAGGTAGACATACACATGCTGCTACTCCTTTGAGGGCCATTATTGTCCAATCCGTCTTTGTCAGAGCACGTTACAGGCGTGATATGTGACAAGGGATACATATTATTAAGCTCTTCGTGCGCTGTCTCTGCTACACAGAGGGCGTCTATTTGCTCCGTGTAATGCGGTTTATCGCGTGGCTAAAAAAAACCAGGTTGAATTAGTTTAGGTGCTTAGCGGTATTGCCTCCTTTTTACCTTTTCTATCAGCTCCTCATTTAAATCCAAGCTCTCTTTAGTAGCAAAGAGTGAAGGAGATTGAGGCTGTACGACACTCAAGCGAACAACAACAAACTGTCAGTTAAAAACGTGTAATCTTTTAATTCCTTTTCAAACCTTTATCCATGCAATATCAGTGTCCAATATCTCACTATCAGAGTCACTTTCGAATGGTTGGGGGTGATATTTCTCCAGCTGTTCAAGGATAAGTCTTTATATACATATACATGAGTGGCTATGTAAGTAGCGCGTATTATAAAGTGTATCATCGTAATCTTACGTGCGTTCAAGGGCCAGGCAGGCCACTTTTTTGCGTGCTTTTTGAAGCTTATTGCTTATTATCACACTTTCCTACCAAATCACATTAGCTCATTATCATTTTATTATAGCTAGTTACCTCCTCTGACTGACGAACTCGTTTCTTGAGTATCTTGTATTTTTCTGCCAAACCTATAATGTATTATTTAGGCCAAACAAGAGACAATAGAGTCAAAGCCACTTACTTGATCCGCGTTTTCTGATGCTTGATTCCTCCATTCAATGAGCAATTGCGTCTGTACAAGGAAAAGAGGAGTAGAATATAAAAAAAAGGGGGAGATAGTTTTGTTGCTATTTTGCCTAGTGCAGTTTCTGCCTTATTTTATTTGATTTAGACATAACTCTCGCAAAGTGAACAAGACAGCGAAATAAATAAATAAATAAATAAAAACTTGTTTTATTTCTTACTCATCCAAGTCATGGACATTAACCAGATCCTTTCCCTTCTCAAGGTAAGTATGCTATTATAAACTGACCATAACTAACAGTGTATGTATAGACTATCCCTCCAGCTCAACCGGTGAGTAGAAAATACGACAGACAGTAGAAGGATGACTGATTAGATGATGTGAGATCAGCCAGTTGTAGAACAGCCTCAAATTCCAACTGCAATCGACTTGGCCTTGATCGATCAAGATGTAATTGATCAAGTGCGGAATGAGTACTGGGCAAAACAAAAAGCGAGCGTAAAACAAGAAGAGGAGCAAGACAATAGTCTTGATAGTTTACTTGTATCTCTTGCTTCAGCCACTTCAATTACGCCTGACGTGCTGGGAGCTGTAGCTAGGATGGTTAAGGAGACAGATATTCTAGATATAGTGAAAGAAATGAAGGACAGACAGGTAATATACTGTATTGTAGGCATTGTTGTAAAGCTAACTTGTTAGAAACTGGATTTAGGATCAAAAGGAACAGGAAATGTTTGAACACAGGCAATCGATAGAAGAACGCCAGAAGAAGGAACGAAACGGACTATTTGCCAGGTAAAGTGTATTTCTTTAGTGTGATGCTATGTAATGTTATGTTATGTTATGTGATGTGATGCGATGTAGTGTAGTGCCGTACCATGCGGTTTTTATGTTGTGCCATGCTAAGGGTTAAAACCGTGTTTTAGAGAGTTGATAGGTGCATGTAAACCAGAAGAATTGGAGACTCTCGAAGAGAAGATAAAATGTGAATTAGAGCAAGTCGATCGACATGTCCTGCGTAGTATGGATAGGGAGCGAGCTAGACAGCAAATAATCCTCGAAAAAGTAAGAGCATTAGGAATGTAACTGAGCAATATTTTATTCAATGGTGAAATGATAGCGCAAGGTCCCGTTTTTTCGGGTAACCGACAAGCCGAGTGAAATGAAGATGCAGCAAAAGATGCTTTCTATCCTGCTGGACATGATAAATGAATAAAAGAAGAAGAAAATAAGGGAAAAAATATATAATAAACTCTAGTCTGTTTTGGTGTCTGATATAGTTTGGGGTGTTTCTGTTTCGATAGAGTTTTGCTTCGTCTGCTTTGGTTCATCCCATCCGTAGAAAGGTGCAAAACTCTCAATGACACCACAATCCGCAAATAAGTTAGGGAAGAGCCAGAACCCACGAGGAAGGATGATAATAGAGATAACATAAAGTACAAGACGGACGGCGGCAATACCAAAGAAAACACCAAGCAATCCCAATACACCAACACTAAGATACCACACACCCATACGAAGACTATCAGGCCAAAGGGGGAACAGGACTGCAGCAAGAATTGTAGCCACAAGACAAGCAGCACCAACATATAACTTTAGCTGAGAACCTTCCCAAATCCACATGTAGTAACTATCTTCCTTGATTTCTTGTACGGCGTTAGGTTGTAAAACCTTTGGCGAGCCCTTGCCACTGATGGAATCTCCGCGGTCAACATGCAGAATGAAGCCATGACGTCCAAGATCATTCATCACAGCATGAGCCTGCTCTCTTTCAGTCAGAGGAGGGCCCTTTGTCACCAGCTTACCAAAGTTCTCCTTGAGAAGAGCGTTAATTGCACTCTTTCCTACGAAAATAATTAGCAAAATGCATATTTCAGTATTTGCGTCACTCTACCCTTGAAGTATTCGACTCGTTTGCCGTTGAATACACCCTGACGTGCTTTAAGCCCAGATTTCTTGACATCCATAAGGTATTCTGCAGTAGATCTTAAAAGGGGTGGTGCCTTGTTAGCGTCTGACACGGCAACAGTCTGTGAAGGTGCATCATGATTGCAGTTGGGGCCGTGTGTATGACTCATGATGAAAGATGAAGATGAAGGAGAGAAAAAAAAAGGGCAGTTTATTGCAATTTGTCTATTTGAATCCCCGGGTCATTCCTCCTTGCCAGATTACCCATTCTATGCTATTACATTCTTGGCCAATTAAATTCGGCCATTTGGTGGCTCGAATGAGGGACCCAATTGTTAAAATCAGCCTCTCATTTCCTGAACTACCGATCTTTCTCGATCCTTGCTCATCGCACCATAACCAATAACCCGCATTGAGAATTGTCCATTACCTCCTGTCAGACTACGAAGAGAGTTTGAATACCCGAGCATTGAACTAAGAGGAACATGTGCCTTGATAACCTGTTTTGCCTTGTAAGCATCAACGTCTTGATGAAGGCTGTCTGGAGGAGAATACACCTCAGTGTCCTGGACTGCGGTCTTATCATCTGTAGCATATAAGCCAATTACATGGCCTCTTCTTGTACCACTGAGGTCACTAACAACACTTCCAATATGATGTTCATTCACTTCAGCGTGAACTTCCATCATGGGCTCCAAAAGACATGGATCAGCATGACGAAGAGCCTCTTGAATACTATTGGATACAGAAGCAGATATTGCTCCTAATGTAGTTTCGGCACCAAAAGTCTCTAATTTATCAATTTTAACATGGACTTGAGCAAGCGGGAAACCAAGAACAGCACCACGAGATAATCCAGACTGGTAACCGGTTTGAATTGCTTGATCAATGTCTTCTTGTGTCAAATGGGGTAGTGAGTCAGCAAGATCTTCTTGGAGTTGGATAGTAATCTGATTCGAGGGGTCCTCTGTGGGCTCAAGAGTCACACTACAACCTGCCCTGGATTTCTTCCCAAGAACCTCTTTGTCATACACAGTGGAGGCAACTCCGGGAGCCTGACAAGTTTCACGATAACTGATGCGCATTTTTCCCATGGTGGCTTTACATTTAAAATCATTGATAAGGCGGTCTTTGATGATATCGAGATGCAACTCTCCCATTCCACTGATTAACATTTGTCCACTTTCTTCGTCAGTCCATACTCTAACAGAGGGATCTTCGCGTGTTAAGTTACGGAGAGCTTCTTCGATGGCTTGTTCTTCTGAGACTGCATCCGGTTCAATTGCAGCAAAGAATGCTGGGCTGGGGATCTCAATGGTGTTGAGTTGAAGATTTGATTTAATGGCCTGAGTGTCGTTGGCCAAGACTAAGGTGTCTCCTGTACGGGTGTCTTTAAGTCCTACAATTACTCCAATGTTTCCGGCTTGGATCACTGGAATTTCCTCTGCCTCACGAGCATACATTTGTAACAACTTGTTTGCTCTCTCTTTGTGGTTAGTTGTGGTATTGTACAATGTAGCTCTCACTGGCAGCTTTCCTGTCAGGGTCGGTACAGAAAATACATCAATATAAGCATTCATTTACAATAAACACACTAAATATTACCGGAATAAACTTTGACGTATACAAGAGGGCCACGGCGTGGATCGTGAGTCACCTTAAAGGCAAGAGCACATAACTTTCCAACCTCAGATAGAGGTATAAGTGCTGTTTTGGCGTCACGCATAGTAGCAAGTGCCGGCGGTCTGTCAAGTGGACTGGGGAGATAGTCAATTACTGCATCGAGTACAGGCTGGACACCCACATTTTTAAATGCTGCTCCACACAACACTGGGACAGCCTTGTTTTCAAGCGTAACTCTACGAAGAGCAGCCTTGAGTGCTATAGCTGGTACAGCTAAATGTTCTCCATCCGCCTCCTCAAAGAACACTTCGACAATAGCATCATCCATTTCGGCTAGTGCTTCAACCAATGCTGTCCTTCCTCGGACCGCTTCTTCCCATAATTTTGGATCTGTGGATTCTACTAAAGGCTCACGTACAAAAGCAGAACCATCGATCTTGGTAGGATCCCATAAAACTGTTTCCATTGTGACCAAGTCAGCAACGCCACGGATTCCATGTCCACCTTCTGCATAGATTGGTAATTGGAGTACAAGCGGACGCGCTCTAAGTTTTTTCCACATTTCCTTGACAGTTCGTCCAAATGCTGCACCTGTACGATCAAGCTTATTTACAAATGCAATTCGTGGAATAGAATGTTTGTCTGCTTGTTTCCACACGGTCTCTGTTTGTGCTTCTACGCCCGCTACTCCATCCAGTACCGTTACTGCACCGTCTAGAACTCGCACTGCACGCTCTACTTCCATCGTAAAATCTACGTGACCAGGTGTATCAATTAGGTTGATGCGATGTCCTTCCCATCCAAAGGTAATTGCTGCACTATTGATTGTGATTCCTCTTTCTCGTTCTGCCGCCAGATAGTCCATAACTGTGTCTCCATGGTCGATATCTATCTTCTTCCATCAGTCAGAATTCGTATTGGTGTCTAACCTGCCTCCAATCTTTTTTGTTACACCGGCATAGTATAACATGCGCTCGGATGTCGTTGTTTTTCCTACTGAACGTTAGAAATTCCGAATTATATATTTATTAGAGATAAATCAAGCTTTACCAGCATCGATGTGAGCAATAATTCCAATGTTACGAGTCTTGCTGATCGAAAAATCCTTTGAATCTTTGGAATGTGAGCAACATTGTCTAAGCATGAGTTTAGTACTTTACTTGATGCAAATTCTCGCGCATGGCGTAACCAGGGAAGAGTCTTAATAAAGCCGGATCTTCCTCGGGTGGAAAGAATGAGTCTTTGATTTCCTACAAGTGATAATTGGATTGGAAACATAATGGATCCATTCAAAGTGTGAGTTATACATTCTGCCTTCCCCTTGCTATTTCATTTCAAAAGAACCCCCATCGGACTGCTGTTATGAGTTTAAATCAACAGCCTGTCAAACGAAGCAGACAATAACGCATATAAAATTGATTTTATAAATTAATTATTTTATTTATTTATGTACGTAGAATAATAGGAATAAGTAAAGGTATTATAAAAATAATAGGAATTATAGTTAAGTAGTAAGGGAGTAAATATTTTAGCAGATAGCACAGACGGAGGATCCGTTAGCACTAGCAAGCGGGCAATTATCAAATGTGCCATTTTCGCCATAGCCACCATTGCCCCACCAGTCAGGGGTATAACCAGATCCAGTAACAACACCAAAGATGACGAGACCAGCGATGGCAGTGCCTAAAAACAAAACATAACAAGTTAAAAAAAATTCAAAAATCGAAAAGTAGTAAAATCTTACCAGAATCAAATGCAGCAGAGGTGACATAGTTATATTTGGACCACCATTCGTGGCGGTATTTGCGCAACCAGTACATGAAGATAAAACCTGTAGCACACCACATAGAGAAATTGATGGGCATGGCAGGAGGCATCATACCAGTGGAGTTGAGGATAAGAGGAATGTGGATGTATGACAACCACTTTCTCTCGGGGAATCTCTTGGAAAGGAACCAGAAGGGAATGGGCAAAAGGAATCCGATCAAGAAGAAGTACAAAGTTGCACTATATTGGGAGCCAACACCGAACATTCTTCCGGGACCAATTACACCCCAAATGATGGATGCAGAGTAGAAAGTACGAGCATTGGGGCAAGTGAAAGGATAGCCCTCTGGAGTACAGATGTTCTCGGTAGTTTCCATCAACCAACGAGCAGTAGCCAAGTTGATAAGACCGGCTAAGAAAGTACCGACAGTCTGAACAAAGAACATAGCTCTTGGGGGTACCTTGGTGTAATGACCAAGCTTAAGATCACTGACGAAGGTCAAACACTGGTACATCGAAATGTAACCGTAAGTCTTGAAAGTGACGTTGGCAATTGGGTGACCGGGAAGGGCGTAACCAATGATAAACTCGGTAATAACATTGAGACCTGGTTGCTGGTTAGTAATAGCTTGAATGATACCAATGGGAAGAACGAATATAATAGAAATGGCCATTGCGAGGATAAGACCCCACCAGGGGAGATGGATGGGCCAAGCATAGATCACAGCAAAAGAAACGCCGAAAGAAATGAGGAAGATAATATAGTACCACCAGCTGGGAACTTCGGGATAGACACGCATAAGCTTGCGATGGATATCTTCTTCTCCTGTACGTGATTGTCTGAACTGCTCAACGATCTCCCGGCCATGGTGGAGGAGGGTGTGGGTGAGAACAGAAGTAACACCTGCGAAACCAACACCATAGGTGAAAGCAAAGAAAGTGGTCATTCTCAAGGGACCGTATTCTGCATAGGCAGCTTCGTCAAGGAGATTATCTGAGGTCAGGACAAGCTTATTGTTCCAGACTTCACCATCTTTGTTGAATAGTGTAGATGTGAGGATGGGGAAGCGTTGGGCGTCCCATACGTTTCCGTAGTACATGGCTGGTGCGATGATCCATGCGACAATAACAAAACCAACGGAGATGTTTGCAATTGCCCACCAGGGAACAACAAGGGGTGAAGTAAGATAGGAAGAAATTGTAGCCCAGTCAAAAGCAAGTGCAAAGATACCCAAGCCTCCGCTAGCACCAGTGACCTGAGCGAGGGCCTTGTTCTTTGGGTTGATCCAGCAAACCCATGAGAACGCGGTAAGGATCTGGAAGAAATAACCAGGGAGCCAGTAGTAGACAAACATGGCGGCGAAGGTATAAAGGAACCAGCGGAAACGAGTAGGGCCAGTCCAGTTACTATAGAATAAGAATAATAAATTATGTCAATACTTTTCGGTGTGGTTTGTACGTTATGTTCTGGTGTCTTACGTGTCAAGGACGTGGAATGAGCGGAAAAGAGAGATATTTGCAAGATTTGTGGGCCAGATCATTGCTGCAGGATAGACAAGGTAAGGACGAAGTACGCCGGCCATACCGTAACCGATAAATTGGGTAGTCCAGATAATGAGGAGACCTCCTCCCCAGCCAAGATCTTCATTGTAGAACAGTTTCTGGATGACGACAATATCGACGGCGTAGGCAGTACTATAACAGCAGTTAGCCATAGCAGTGATCAAGACATGCTCCTTCATGTTAAAGGGGCCAGGATTAAAGAAAGGGTGGGATGGAATAACTTTTTCCATGAACCTTCCAATTGGGAATGAAAGCAACTGAACAACAAGTGGCGATACCATCAATGGACTGTTTCGGAACCAGAAGAACTGATTGACAAATGAAAGAATACAACTGAAGGCGATACCGAGGAGCCACATGCGAAAGGTATATACAGGTAAGGAGGGGTCATCGGTACTATAATAAAGAAGATGTTAAGATGTGTACGGTGATTTTTTTATTATTATTATTAGTATTATTACTGCTTACTTTGGCACAACATTTCTGACTTCTTCAATAGGAGAGTCTTCTTCGTCTTCGATATGGTTTGTAGTAGACGTGGTCCGGTAGATTTCTTCTTTAGTTACTTCATCATAATACACAACTTTTGATGAATCGACTACGCCCTCTTCCTTATGTAAGGAGGTGGGGCCCTTTACTTCTTCCATCACTAGAATGATGAAAGGAAAAGGTTGATAAAGAGAAGGATAGGGAATAAAAATTGTTGAAAGCAATACCCTTTCTTTTATATTAAAGCAAACTAGAAACTCCTTCATCTTTGTGCTATCTCCAGTTTTGGAAGATCTCCAGGGAGCCAACTGGATGGCATGTTTCATTCTATTTTACACAAATTGGTCAAAATTGATCATTATCTATAGTTTGGACAATATGGTTGGACATAGATGAATTGTAAAAGTTGGTATTGCTCACTATAAGTGCGGGGTCCAAATACACTTTAACTGTCATCCTATCATTAAATTATATTGTTATGGTTAAAATAAAATACGTTAGGTGAAAATGTCTTTATTTGGAAAAGGTTTTTATCTTCAAAATTCCTTTTTTAGTCTTTTATTTTCTTGACTTTAAAAAATGCCTTTGTATCAGCTTCGACCACCTTTGCTTTCCTATTATAGTGTGGTCTACTTTCGATATGTGACCAACCAAGTTTAAAATGCTTATAAAAAATGTGAATGAATGATATATTATGAGCCAGTGTGCTATAGTATGACCAATTATTAGTAGATGTAACAGTCAATTGATTTTACTTTATTTTATTTTATAAAAAGATTCCCAGCACCAGGGCCTTTTTCTTGGCATCTACCGTCTTTTGGAAATAATTATTTCTCTTCCGACAGCATATACCATTAATGTTCCAATGTTGAACCCTTTTACTTTGAAAGAAAGGGAGAAAAGGGATCTATTGATTACTATGTCAGATATAAAAGGAAGGTCGAGCTTTGCTTTTTAAGGCAGCAGAAAAAAAATAGGATAGGATATGATATGATATGATATGATATCTAGGCCGTCCTGTCGGGCTATACTAGTCTCTTGATATATTAAAGGAGGAAGGTGTTGAGTCTCCAGGTCGTATGAGTCAGGTTAAATCCGTATATTTGCAAAAAGGACATATTTCGCCTTTTATGTATTATTCTGCATAACTGTATAGCTGTTCAGTTACTATTATATAATTATTTTCATGGGATAATGTGGGAAATATCCATGGTCTCACGGAAAATATTGATTTACTAATATCTTACACAAACTAAGATACTATTCTTATACAATTTTAATACCATTACGGTATGTTTTTTGGCTATAAGGATCGGCTGTTATTGTCCTTGAATTTCCCTATATTCAGTATACAGATAGAATTGAATACACACCATGTCCATTAGTCTCATGCCGGACAAACCCTTTAGCTGTTCTTTAGAAATACTAGACAAGATCGTAACTGATCAATCTTAAAACAAGATTTTTTACTCCGGTTCTGCCGAACCATAGATGCATTTCACCAATCTGTTGGTTTTTTTTTAACAAGAGTTGGTTAGATCCTTACAGCCTTTTCTCCGTCTTAAAGCCATCCTACTTTTGCTTTTTTCTTCTTAATTAAACTTGACCTGTGCTACCAAGCCTTTATTTTTATTTTACTTTAAAGAAAAGGTCCAATAGAAGCATAAGAGATTTTAATTGTAGTACTTGGTGTATTCAATCTACACTTAAAAATATCCGACATACTTAATGAACTACATAATGTCAATATGTTTGTCCGAGAGGTATATACATATGAATTGTATGTACATGTATTAAACATGCATGGAAAGTGAATTTGCCTCTTATGCCGAACAAAAAGCACAAAGTTACCCAAGGAACAATACTTGTAGTAATGGAAGTAACCATACTCGGGTCATTTATATATATGTATATATAATCATGATACTTACTCCGTCCTGGAAATCTCTCTTGTTATGCTTCTTACGACTTTAGTTATTTTATCGAGGTTTTGTTCCTAATAAACCTCTGTCTCTATCATTCATGGTTCAAATAAGCCAGAGACGTGTTTATTTGACTGAATGTATCAAACTCTGCCGTTTGATGTACAGTGTACAAAAATACATGTATCCCATACTTGTCAAAATTGCCTCTCAGCCCTCAGGGTAGAAATCATTTTATATTTAGGTTTTTGTGAGACAGAGATAGGCTTTATTAGGGTCGTTATATCTTGACTGTCTTTTTCTTTTTCTTTTTCTTCTTACTGTAACACCAAAACAACAGTATTAGTACAAAATACCACTGATTACTTCTTAAAGAAAAAAGGAAGCATCTTTGATACGACATGCGTGTTTTGAATCACCAAAAGCATATATATTGTATCGTGTGCTTTATTGAACGCAATGAGCATTATATATAATTGTTCAATTTAAAGATAATTATCCGAGATACAAAAGAAATTAATCGTTAGATAACGCTGCGAGTGAAATCATTGTACAAACTACAGTGCTTCTACTGTCAATTGAAACAGTTTAAGACCTTTTTCTTCTCAAAGTAACTTGATCTGAGAAAAGAAGACCATTTTACGCATTCTAATAACCATCCAGCCACTTCTCAGAAGTAGTTTTACTATAAATAGGGATAGTCCCCAAACTTCAAGATAATAAAGTTGATAAAATTCTCGAAATTATGTACAACCACGGTAAAGGTGGAGGTAATGACGTAGGCGGATAGAAAAAAAAAGAAAGACTTCGTGTCCACTTCTTGTCTACTTTTTTTTTTTTTTTTTTTTTTTTACTTATGTCCATCTCCTGTTCATTTCACATCCTTTTATACCTACATTGTCCTCAAACTCAAAAATAACTCCCACGCTCTGAGGCGACTGCTTTGTGCGTGTGTGCGCATATATATTTTCTTTTAGGAATATATGAATCCAGAAGATGAGCTCATTTGCAAACAGACACTCGAAACAATGCTTAAGGTCAATCTTTGATATATAGGAGAATTTCCAGCAGTATCTTTAAGATTGAGACACAAAATGCTTTCCAAATATGTGTTTGCAGCAATATCTTTAAATCGATCCTTACATGTAGATCTTTTCAAGGTCTTGAATTTTATTTATCTATTTATTTATTGAAGCTTTTATATTCTCTTCATTCTTCTTTATAAAGCTATATTATACCAATGGTAAAATAATAATCAATAGTGAAGCGTGAATAGCAAGCCGAAAATTTTGTAAAGATACAAAGAAAAACTCTTCTACATATAAAGATTTTTTTAAAAACAAAAACAAAAACGATAATGCTGGAGATGCTCTAAAAAAGATTATGCCTATAGAACCTTTTTTTTGGTAGCCAATAACTAACTGTATTAAGTCTTTTCTTCCCATACCGATACCAGCTGTACCGTTGTGATAACAAGGAAAACAGAAAGTATATTTATTATTAAACTTGATAAGCAAGCAGCCTATTAGTACTCTAGAATTTACTTTACTGACTGTTTGTTAACTGGCATTGTAACTTTTATATTGTGAATCCTACCTCACAGAACCTTTCAATAGTAAATTTCTCATTACTGACCCTCGTAACGAGATGGTCCATTAACGAGACAAAGTGTCTTTATATGACATTTTTAACATATAAATGCAGTATACGACTTTATATGTGCAGGGGTCACGATAATCTTCTCTGTATCATTCCAATTCTAATATGTGAAAGAGGTATAAGGAAGGACTTGTCTATAATTTTATATAGAAAGAAAACTCGGTACTTTTACACATCTTTTAAAAGGCCTAGAAATTAAGGGGACACTTGGACTCCTAGTGTCAAATTAAGCGAAAGATTTTATATATCGATTACTGTTATCATATTATGACTAACAGAAAAAACTAATCTAATACTCATTGTTAAGGTTATTCTAATAGTGAATTTAGCTCAAAACATTAGACGCTATTAAGCTCAATTTGAAATACTCATAAAAAAATTAAAGATGAATGGCTTTGAAATGTTGTGATATTCCAGAAAAAAAACCTTCAGAATATTATTACCTGTTTTCGATCTTTTGCTGTTGTTCGGATCTAGCCAAGTCTCACCAAGATACTTATGCCAAGAGCCTGATTGTGTCATGAGATATGTTCAGTACAGATAAAGAACTAACACAGATAGAACCCGAAGATTGTGCTGGTAGCATGTAGAGTAATTTATTGATTTCTTTCTATAAAAGAGAAACGGGAGAGCTTAGAGGAATATGAAGAAGTATTGAGACAATGGATTGCCTCTTAGTTTGGCATAGCTTCTTTCGAGTTATTCATCATTTACTGAAAGCAAAAAAGTGTATCTTATCACTGTCGATCACGCCGCTCTTTCAACAAAACCTGCTGATAATCTGGCTTTGAGACAAGTAAGTTTCAGTAACACGATTTTTTATTTTATTTCTCTCACACACACTCACACCTGCTGTATAAATCATAAATAATTACTATCTATTGTTATCGATCATCTGAAAAAGAAAGCAGGAAAATATGAGAAATATAGACATGTCTAAATACTCAAAGCCCCCAGTTACTTGGACAGCTTTAACTATTGTAAGTGATTTCCATATCAGTCTATATGAAAGCACGCATGTACCCATAAAAAATTGCTACTATGAAAAGAAACCCCCTCTCAGACTGTTCAATAAAGCAATAGTAACGCTAGAAAGTATTTATTTTTTTAATTGACAGTAAAGGTACTGCATGTATCTCTTATATATAGCTTGCTTTTTGTTTTTGACGTGGAGGGTAAATGCCATGTTCTATCTCACCAAAAGAAATATTGAAGTACCATAGGACAGTTTGAACAGTAGAGAAATCTCGTTTGACCAGATAAAAATCTTGAATTTTAATCGGAAATCACTGTAAAAAAGGATTTTGTCCAAAACAAGAAAAGAAATTGTCTAATTTTTTTTTTGGTATAAATCTGAGATTGAAATCAAATATTTCCAAAAATAATAGTTATTTAAAAAAAAGAAGGTACGAAAATTTAAGTATAAAAATATTGTATTTTATCAGCAGGTGCTAGGTTACAAGTAACAAAGCAAAAGCATCTTTTATTCCTAGAAATCTTTTTCTACCTATGACTATTGTAATTCTTACTTGTATTACTTGTCTGTATCAGCAAAAATCCATGTGCGAAACCTGTACAGCCTTTTGGTAGATAATTAACCACACAGTCTTACAGACAAGCACCCTTGAATTGGATTCCTCCAGGAATTCAAGAGTACATGGTTATATACATTTGATAGAGCTCATTATCTAAACCTTCATTTAATTTATTTAATGTCCTTTAAAGTTAAATTACACCATATTGATCGACTTGATTTATTGATGTCGACTGATGTACCAAGATTTTTGTACACATATACATTTATTTGGGCTATCAAAGGACATGGAGCATGTTTTATTAACGGGTGTAAAATCCCAGCACCTTATTTTCAATCCAAACGGTCAATCTTTTGGCATCTTAAAACGCATGGGTATTTTCTCACAGTATTAAGATGGAAATCTAATTATGACTAAATTCTCTACGTACTTTCAATTTAATCACGAAACATCATTTTATTGATATACGATACAAAGGGTACATACAATTCAATAAATACTTTTATATATATGTATCTGCAGCCAAGATGTAGAAAAAGAAAATATGCGAATAATAGGCAACCATATATTTCATTAATAAACACCTCTAAGTAGCTCTATTTTATCAATTTTTGCTATACTTTTTTTTGTTTCTTTTCAAAAGTAGAATCTAACGAAGCTCACTAGCCAATAAGGCTGGGTTTTCAATCAAACTCTTCCATTTGTTACCAAAGCGAGCAATGGTGGCTCCATCGATTAAGCGATGATCAGCTGACCAACTGACTGGGAGGATTTGCTTGGCTACTACATTACCGTCTCGATCAAAACGAGGCAGAGTCTGTGTTCTTCCAAGCGCCACAATAGCTAACTCGGATGAGACGACAACAGGATTGGCATATGTTCCTCCGAGGGCACCAATATTGGAGAGAGTTATGGTTCCACCCTTCAAATCATTCAGAGACAATGCATTCTTTTTTCCAAGCTCGGTAAGACGATGAACTTCGGCAGCAATATCAAAAATAGTCTTGGATTGAACATCCTTGATATTTGGAACAACTAAACCTTGAGGAGTGTCCATGGCAACACCGATATTGTGAGAAGGTCTCAGCACAATCCGAACTGAGTTTACATCGTTTTGGTCGCCAGTGAGTGAAGCATTCATGATAGGGAATTCAGCCAAGGCAATCGAAAGACATTTGATAAATATGGGGAGGTATGTCATCTTTGCAAAGGGGTATTGGCTTGGGTTGCTGGATATATGCTTGTTCAAGGCAGTTCTGTATTCAGTAGTGGCATTGAGCTCAATATCGTCCTTGTAACCCAGCTGTGGAATAGAAAGTGAACGAGTCATAGCCTTGAACATAGCCTTTTGAATGGCGGATAAAGCTTCTGTACGCTCTCCTAGAGTGACAGGAGCAGGTATAAAAGAGACAGGCGTAGTTTGAGGTGAAGGATCTGACGAGTCAAAAAGATTTATTAATCTTAGTTTTTCTTTTTTAAAAAAATAATATTTAGAACAAATTAGTGCGTTCGCAATACCTTGACTTCCAGCAATAAAACTTAAAACATCTTTTTCTAGAATTCTTCCATTGTCACCACTGCCATTAACAGCTTCCAAGTTTATTCCATTTTCTTTGGCAATACGTCGTACAGCAGGTGTTGCTAACTTAGGACCTGTTCTTTTTGATTTTGGTTGAGTTTGGGCAATTTTTTTATTCACCTCATTTTTCGGAGCAGGAGGAGCACTAGTTGGAGCATCCAAAACTTCTCTTTCTGCTTCAGGACTAGAATCTTGCCCAGCTGTATCAATGTCAACTAAAGGCTGACCCACTTTTGCAATATCATTGAGCTGATAGTGTAGCTTGACAATCTTTCCCGAGAACCTCGATGTAATTTCCACTGAGGCCTTGTCTGACTGCACTTCACAAATCTTGTCAAACTCTTCTACCTTTGATCCAGGCTCCACAAACCTTACATAATAACATTATTTGTTTGTTTGTTTGATTGTTTGTTTGCCTTTTTTCCCTTTTGAGTCTAATCTGCTATACATATTACACTACCCTACTGTCTTACCATTGAATAACCTCACACTCTGTAATTCCCTCGCCAATATCTGCTAGCAGAAAGGGTTTGATTATTTGGCTTGTAAAACTGCTATGAAAAGTCCGAATTGTATGCATTTCGGGGATCTTTTGATCGGATCTTCTCAGCAGATCATTGCGAGACAAAGGATATACTGCTCGAGTACACAACCCGGTACTGAATGCCCTAGTATTAAGAGAACTCTAAAGCATTCCTTAATACAAGGCTCTAATGATATCTGCACCATGTTTAAACGGATATACTTACAGCAAAAAGTCCTGTTTTCGAAAGTCTTGCTCCCAGAGACGTAGCTGTTCTTGAAATTTGGAGACAAGAAGCGGTTCTTGAGTACATTTTTTCTACTATATGCGAATCGAGATATTAGGATAAGGATGTTTAGACGTCACATTCGATTTAAACGATACATGCATAGCAAAAATCTATTAAAGGGAGGAAATGGTAAAGAAGAGCTAGATCTAGAGACGAGATGAAGTGGGGGGCTAAAGTAAAAAAAAAAAAGAATGCCGTGGGAAAGCGTTCTTAAATTTGTAGTCCCGAAAAGACTGCTTTTTTTCAGGTACGATGGATCTTATTCAAGGTTTTCCGGTCCGGACAGGTTGGTTTGTCCCTAGGCCTCTGTGTATACCCTTTTTTTTGCACTGAAAATTCGTTCAAATGATAATAAAGTAAATATGAAATACTATATTGTGAACTTACAATGTTATATAGTATATATAATTCCAGAAATTATATTAGTGAAAGGCATATTGTGAGACTTACATCTTTGAAATAAAGCAAGCCGATAATAGTAATAGTAATAGTAATAGTAATAGTAAATGTGTATGTTATACTTGTTATAGTTCTAGCATGCAAAAGCAACCAAAATTATATCCAAAAAAGAGATTCATCTTGTATGTTAATATATATATATATATATATCTTCGTAGTAGAAATTACAGTTTTTTTTTAAATCTGTCGCCTCCAAAAGGTATCAAGGTTAATACAAGATTTTGTTGTAGAATCCGATAAGATTATTGTGTTTAATACCAAAGTCACTGGACTATAGCTGAAGATAAAGGTATCCAATTACTCGGATATTGATGAATACATATTGGAAATTCTAATGCTTTTTGAACCATTTGATATCCATGAAATGATCATTATGTGATATATATATATGTAAAGTAACCAAACTAAGATCATTAATTGACACTGTCTGTATTAGATAATATTTCTGTTTGTCTTGGTAGCTACTCTTAGTCAGCTAAGTTTTCTTCCAAGAGTTTCCTATAAGATAAAATAAAAGGCTCAATGCAGTACATATATATATAAAACAAAACAACGGCTTTATTTTACTAATTCAAGCCACAATCGCGACACACTATTTCATTCTATATTAGCTCAACCCAAGTGGTAAATAATGACTGATGTTTAAATATCAAATCTATTTACAAGATAATTCAGGAACACAAAATATAAATTATTCAATTTGTTGAGCCTTTTTTCATTATTATTATTATTATTATCATTATTTGAAACCGTAGATTTTTATCAAAGTTAAGATATATACATATATATTCTGTCGATTAATCTACAAGAATGCTTGAAGATTTGGATCATGAAAATGATAATAATAATAGTATTCTTAAACCACTGTATATAGATAATTACTCATGCATAAAGTACAATGCTTACTCACAAAGTTTTGGTTTGGTTTTTGTATTATAAAATAAAGTTCATTAAATACATCGAACACAGATAAATTGAATAAGACCCGATATTTCAAATGATTAATCCACTGTAAAGATATTTCTATATAAGCATCTGCAAGAATTCTGGCGCCCAGTTTCTTTATATATGGCCCATATTTGCATACATGTACACTAACAGGACTTGGTAATAAGCACTAGATTATAAATTATGTATTTTCTTCTTATTTGGATCAAATGTCCTAGGTCTTGCTTTGAATAAGAAGGTGCATTTAAACAAATTCAGATTTATTTATAAATCGACATACTCCTGCAATGTGTTTATGCTTATGAACTAATCAGTCTTTTTTTATTGTTTTTTTTATTATCTTATTGTGGTATTGGTAAACGTAAAAGTAAAAGAGAAAAAAAACTGGTTTTTTATTTAATTACTGTAATTAACCCTAAACAAGCTGTTAAATATCACAAGCTTTGGTCCAAACAAATTTGTTTTAAATATGCATATGTACATAGCCAAATCTTTCTGTCTGTTGGTGTAATATATATATATATATATACAAGTTTATGTGTATGCTTGCTCATCTACAGCAGAGATATAATTGAGCTTATATCAGTAACGAGCCAACTGTAAAATAAAGAGCGCAGTTCAACTTCCTTAATAAGTGGAGAAAGACGCTGAAAGGTGACATCAAAGAGTGAGAATTTCATTATAAAATCTGGAACTACGTCACCTGAAGGTGGGTTTGGTAGTTTTGTCGTTCCAGTAGTGAATTTCCACATTTATTAGGATACGCTTTGTCCCCCTTTGCCCATTGATGAGCCTTTCATGTCATCTCTTGTTGAAACTGCGAGCCAAGAAGATGCCCCAGTCTCTACTGCTCAGACTATTCCTAGTGAGAACACTTATTAGTCTCTCCTTTTTTTTTGGGGGGGTTATATACTTTCATTGCTAATCCCTATATATATATACTTTTTTTTTGGCTTATCTTCTGTAGGTCATGGGTCGAACTCAGACATAATGCCAAAGCGACCTTGGGGAGGATATAGCTTTGTCAACTTTACTAGCTCGAAAGGCACACCTGCACCGCACTCCCAGCGACGTATACGCTCTCCAAAGATGCGATCAAAATCAAACACTGCAAATCAGATTACAACCAAGTCATCGACAGATGCATTCACTTGGGCACATCTTGCAGAACATGTAGATAAGAATGCCTTCAAAGAAGACCAGGGCATAGACGAATTTGTATCATTTTTTTCTAGCCAGGGCCTGGCTAACAACAGCCATTCCGGTAGCCAACCTGAGATGGATGACTTGGTGGCAATGCTAAAGAACCATCATGTCTCAGATACTGGACCGACAACAGAAACCACAGGAACACTAAAAGACGATCATCCAACTGCAAACATTCCCCTGGTTTCATTCAATTTCAATTTTAACGACAGGCTACAGACCAATCTCGATAATGCCAAAGCAACCAAAGCAGCACACAAAGTAGCAACCACAGCGGCACCGGATACACAGGAGATACCAGCACAGTTGAGCAACAGCAATGCGCCTCTTACACCATCCACCTCAAGCACCACGCATCAGGCTGGGTTTGGTGTACCACCGACTTCAAACAAGCTACAGCCCAATGTGAATATGCCATCGGATTACAAGTTTTCTTTCTCAGCCAACATACCCTGTCAAAAAGATGCTGTAGATCTAAAGAACTATGAAATGCCTCGTACTGCTGTCTACATTCGGCCCCTTACACCTGGAAATAACCATGACAAACCATTATCCGATACAGATCATGCACCTCATCCACTCTCTCAAATGTCATTTCCAAAAGCGCCTGTATTGGCCCAAAAGGATGTATCTGCTGAGAACTATCGAGCAAATGAACCCGGGTTTGCGGTAAGGGAACGCAGAACGGGTTCCAATGATGCAAGTTTTGTACATCTTCAACATAGACGAATACTCCCAATGCCCAAACCATCCCACAAGCGAAGAGCTATCAAGAAGGAGTCAATTTTTGGGACTCTACCCCAGCTTACTAATGCTTCGACTGAAACCACAAAATCTAGTGCTAGCGCTAATACTAGTGTTGGATCTACTTTCCCTCCCACAACAAGTAGTACACCATCAACAGCAGCAACGGCTACTACAGCTACTAATACTACTACGACATCAACTACTGGTGCTGCGGCTACTGCTACTGATTCTTCTACTACTCCTCACGTCTGGCAGTCTAAAGCACAAACCAACAATACTTTCGGCGCAACATGCAATACACAGAATTCAACCGGACAAAGAGAAAACTGGGATACAAATACAGCTGCAACATTCAATGGAACGAATAGTAGTCAAAATGGGTTTAAATATGAGAATATTGAGGCACAACAGTCTGTTGGTCCTATTGATGCTATCTACCGAGAGAAAACAAAGAAAATGAAGCGCTCGGTAGCAAATGATCTTGAAACAAAGACTAATAATGCGGAAGAGAGAAAAGACAACCGGAGGAAAGATCGTGGGAGAAAGGCAGGGGAAGATGATGGTGAATCGATGCACCATGCTGGTGGGCGATTCTCTGACAAAATCTTTGATTTTTCCATTGATGAAAATACAAAAGAAAAGTGGAAAAAACTTCCGGAACTTGAAGAGATACAACTCTCAAAACGATCTATAGGATTGACAGAGGTTTTGAAACAAGCAAAGTCTCCTAAAGCCACTCCACGTGTGGTGCGACCCAGCAAGTTTAGAGAGCGAAACCGGATTGATCCGGTTAGACTGCCGAGTGACCCTATTAGCTCAGTACCACTGCCACTACCACTTCCACCTCTGCCACCACCGCCTCCACCACCACCGCCGCCAATACCTCAACAACTATCGAGTAAAGGGAAGAAATCCTCTAATACGCCCAAGAAAAAAAAGGGAAAACAAACAGGCCCGCCGAATGTAGTAACCAAAGCCCAAAAGTCTAATGTAGATTTGGAGAGAAAGCGACCTGTACAACATTCCAAAGTATCTATTTCTTCTTCATCCTCTTCTCTTCCTCTTCCTCTTCCTTCTTCAATCAAACCCAATAATTCAACCCTCATGTCAGCTGCTTCTTCCGCTGGCACTTCCGAAACCATAACCAGCGGGAAGAAGGGTAAAAAGGCGCAGAGAAGAAAAAACCAGGAAGACCAGGGATTGTCGTCTGGATATGATTTGTTTTCTGAGGTTTCGGTTATTCGAAATATAAATCCAGATGATTGGACTTGCTTGTTCTGTCAATTTGAAATATTCTGTAATGGTATTGAAGTAGCTAGGCGAAAAGGAGGGTTCTACAGGCGTCGTAGAGAGCGTCAACGTAAGCTGAGGGAGGTTGAAGCTAAGCGAAACGGTGAAGCGATGGTGAGACTTCAGAGCGACGATGAGGACCGTATCGTGGGAGGGATAAATGGTGACCGTGACCACAGTATATTTCCAAAGAAACCACTTGGACCTGTACCATTGACATCTATACCAACATCTACAGCAGAGCCAGGTCCAACACGACACATACGGCGAAATAACCACTCAACATGAGTAAAACAATTCCTGCTTTTATCCGTTTTTCCTTCTGCTCTTCTTCTTATCCTAAAAACAGCATTTTTATTCTATTTATTTATTGATACCTTTACATCTTCAAAGAAGACTTTACTGTACATTGTCATTCCCTTTTCTTTATTTTTATTTTCATTTTCATTCTCGCTTTCTTTCCTGTTATTGTTGTTGTTGCTCTTATTATATATTTTTTTGATATTCCTTGTTTTGTTTTTATTTTACTTTAAAATATAAAAGTAAAACATATACACCTTATGCTTTTTTATATATAATATTCTTTAAAGGATATAATGCTTGGTCTTAAAATATTAATTATATTCTGTTACAAATATCTACTTTTATTCTCATTTTCATGTTACTACACAGTTACATGCTTATAAGTGAAATAGATCGTTATATAGATTATATTAGAAAAGCATACAATTTATTTGGTGCATTTGTACTTGTAATGTACTGTATTGAACTTTTACATAATACAGGTTTCAAACAAGGTTTTGTTGGTTTTGTTTTTTTTAAGAAAATGAAGACTTAATATAATCATTTACTATTGTGGTCAACTTACATAAACAAAATCTTGTACAAATTTGTAAATTAAGGACATGACAATTAAATCCAGTGTAATATCTTGTCCTTGTACTTTTGTGTTAATACAATTGTCATATGTTTTGCGCGTGGTTGTTTTTCTCATTGCTTTTTTTTTATCATGCGGATCAAAATTTATAATTCTAAAATTAATAGCAATAAACTTGCGACAATTAACAATTAATAATAAAAAAGAGTAACTAAAAAAAAAGGCTCTCTTTAATCAAATTACGATTCTTAAAAGACTTACAAAAGTAATAGAAGCTCTTATTAAAACCATCTTTTTATTCAAAATATCGCAATTTACTGATTTGTATCCAAGACATCGTGTTTCTAATTAAAATGATCCTTTCCTTGTCCAAATTTTAGCATACATATATATATATATATATATATATATATATATATATATATATCTTATTTGATCAAGTAGTGGGAGATGTCATGATTGACATTCGCATAGGTGCGCGTCTGTAATTTTATTATTATTTAAAAGATAAATGATAATATTTGCCTTGGATTCTTTCTTTTCTCTTTTCTTGTTTTTTATACACACAGGCACGAAAGGTCATTACAGATGAACAATAATATACAGCCAAAAGATACACACATAAAAGCACAAACACATACATACATATATACATATATACATATATACATATATACATATAAAGATCTTTAGACAAATGCATCTTAAGGAAGTCCATTTGTTGGCTTTTTTTTTACATTTCATTCAATTTTCTCTTTCTTTCTTACCAAAAGAAAAAAGATATAGGTAGAGAAATCTTACTCACTGTAATAAAAATAAAAGAAAACAACAACAATAATAATAATGACAAAGGCAACGATGATAGTGGCATTGTTGTTATAATAAATTAGGATCCATAATATATATATATATAAAAGGTTGGTCTTTTTGTTCTTCCTTTATAATAATAGTAAAGTTTATAACTAAAGAAGAGGAAAAACTTACGTGAAAATAAAGAGATTGTTGGTGGCTGCAACAGCGATAGTATTTTCTTGAGGATGCCACGATGCATGAAGGATTTTCTTATTGAAATCAATCGAATCTGATTCATCTCGTTTTCCTCTCATGCCTCCGTTACGTGGGCCGCCCATAGTCATCTTGTTCTTTGCCGAACCAAGCCGCTTAGCTCTAAACGCACCCTTGTCAGCTTGAAGGCTAGTCTCAGACAAAGTGTCGCGATCATATATGTGGAAGTTGTTGCTATAAGATCCTGTCATGACACTCCTTATGATTCATTTGTCAAAAATAAAAATAAAAAGAAGTTACGGTTAGATCGTGTGTAGATATCTGAAGGCCTTGCTTGTTTGCTGTGTTTCTCTTTATTTTATAGATAATGCAAACGTACTTTCCGTCTCCACTGAATACAGTCTCAAACTTGTCAAAAATACAGTCATTTTCGTACAAGTCGCAAAGGCTGCTGCGAAGATTGTCGTGAATGTTAATGGTCTTTACAGGTTTCTTTTCCATATTAACATCCCAAAGTTTGAGTGTGAGGTAGTCGCGCGAAAGGATATAGCGACCATCAGGACTGAACTTGACATCAGATATGGATGAAATGATTTCTGAAAAAAAGGATCTATTGTTTGGATCCTCACACGACTCGAACACTACCAAAAAAAAGTATTATTAATATTATATTATACTGATTTTTGCCATGGAATTGTTATATGTATACTTAAAAACCACAACATGAAAGTCTTACCCTTGGCATTCTGGTCGCACAATGCAGATTCTCTCATGTCTGCCAATTTTACGGTTCCTTTACTGCTACTGTACATCAACAGATTGCAGTGAAGAGGATGAAACTCAGCAGCAGTGATAACCTCTGTCAACTCTTCCATGTTGGCAGGCTTAATATCCACAATATCTAGAAGATAATAATATTATTCAGTCTTGCTACTAGTTGTTTCTATATCTTTCTCTTTCCATATATAGGTATATCTATACATTCTATAAAGAAACCACCTACTGAAGCTTTGTTCCGAAATATCCATATTCCAAAGGTTAATCCTCAAATCATCGGCTGATATATACGTCTCACTGTCCGAGTTGACTGACATCGAATTGATATGATACGCATGTGCTACAAAGACAGATAATTTTATTTTTTATTTTTTACCCTTTTTTTGTTAAACTATAGATTTCACTTTCCGCAAATCCTCACCCCAAAAAAGGATTAAAGGAAAGAAGAAAAATAGGGTAGAACGAAAAAGGAAAAGCAAAGAAAAAGAAACACACACACACACACACACACAGAGGGAGAAGAGACATATGTAATAGAGAAAGCTAGGCTATAACATATTATCTTTACAGGCTATATGTATGTATTTATTCTGCACCTCTCTTTCTTTTTGTCTTGAATAAATCATATATTAAATATATTCTTACCATTTGCATAAATTTTTCTGGGAATAGCTGCCACAATAGTATCCTGATGAGACAGCTTTGGAAGCGAAAGGTGTCTTGAAGGTTGAAATCCACCGTTGTCTACTGCCATGTTTGTCTCGTGCACTACCTTGAGACTACGTTCGTACACCTTCCATAACTTGATAGTCTTGTCTAAGAGACCGAACCATGAGACACAACAAAGGCTGCTTTTCTCTCTTTTCTCTCTCATTCTTATATAGCCTTCCTCCCCCCAACCAATCAACCAACCAACCAACCAACGAGAACTCTCTAATGCTTACCATTGGTAGACAATAGAAAGTGAGCTGCATTGGTTCGTCTACACCATTTGATCTTATTGATCTTTTCTTCGATTTCCAGACTCTTCAAGTAATCAAATTCTGGTTCATGCGACTGGAACTCGGTGTGGAATTTATATTCACACCCCTTTTTCTACAAATTCAAAAAAAAAATAAGAAATTCTTTGTTAAACAGACGAAAAAAAATGTTGTTGCTGCGTTGGTCGTTGTGTTCGCAGTGGTCGTTATAGTTATAGTTGTCATCGTTAAAGATCAGCCCATTTTTTCCCTTACGCTTTCGTTTCGTTCAAATAAGACTACTCTTCCACCTTTGTCACCTGTGGCAAGATAGTCTCCAGTATGATCAAATTCAACGGCAGAGATGATATCAGCTGTTCAATAGATTAAGGACAGATAAAGAAAAATAGAAGACAAAACAATAAGATATAATGAAATATAAACAAATTAATAATCAAAATGAGGCTCAGTAAATACAGCCATTAGAGGTATCCAAGAAGTACAATGATTTTTATTATTATATTATTATTCTTAGTACGACTGTACCTTCTGTAATATCCTCAGAGTCGCCTTTATCTCCAAAACACTGTGAGAATTTCCACTTATTCTCAGTTTCGGTTGTGCCTGTAGATGTTTGCATTTATGCTAGCTTAGATTGTCGTTGAGATGTCTGTCATGTCACCACACAAGAAGTGAGAGTCAAATGTAGACAATAACATGACATAGTATAATATAGTATAATATAATATAAACCAAGGCAGAAAAAAAAGTAAGTCTACACAATGAAGGCTATAAAGAGTTTGAGCAACAAACCAGAATAAGAAGAGATAGAGATAGAGAGTGAAGAGGTAAGTCGGCTGTCTAAAGTCTTGAATGAAGAAAAAATAAGAGAAAGAAGGAGAAAAAAGGACCAAGGAATAGTAGAATAGTTTAAAGTGGTGTAGAGTAGTGTGGAGTAGTGTGGAGTAGTATGGAGCAGAGCAGAGCAAGATAGAACAGAATAGAAGAGAATAGAGAGAGAGAGAGAGAGAAAGAGTGTGTTACGCGCCCTGGAGACGCAGAGATGTGACGTGATGCAAGTGACGGTCAGGGATTTCCCTTTGTTCAGCTAATTTGAGATAGAAAGACAAGTTCTGTTTTGTGTGCGTGCGTGTGTGTGCTTTTATTATTATTATTATTATTATTGTTCCATCTTCATGTCAGGCTACAACATCCTCTGGGCCCTTCTTGGCGTCGTTCTGGTCTCGGCCATTGTCTATATACTGACACCCAAGGGCAATAACCAAACGTAAGTTCTATGAATGATTCGAATTTGCTGTGAGAAGACCGACTTACCTTGATTTCAAATTTCAAGGGTGATTCGAACCATCATCATCATGTCTCTTGTTTGCTGCTACCTCATGTAAGTTCTCAACCGGGATTATTATTTTATTATTGCGTTTTTATTGTTTAAGTTTTATTTAACATTTCTGTTTTCGTTTGTCTGTTTGTTTGTTTAGGTGGGCAATCACTTACCTCGCCCAACTTCACCCTCTCATCAATCCTATTCGCGTTGGACTTCGACCTTCTGGAAAGCACACCTAAAACGTGAAAGGAGAAAGGAGAGTGAACAAGAGAAAAGAAGAAGAAGAATATATATATATATATATATACATATATACATATATACATATATACATATATACATATATACATACATATATATATATAAAAAGAACATATTTCACTTACTTTGGGGGATGTTGGGGAAGCTATTGAAAGACATTCTACAAATACTACCATTCTGTTGTAATTCCCTATGAGCTTTTATTTTACTTTTATTCTCGTAACTTTTTTTCTTTATAAAAAAAAGGGTCTTGATATATTCAACTTTGACTGCATGAAACACAAAGGAGGGGGTTAGGTTTCTGACATATTTTTAGAATCCCGCGTTGTGCAATTGATTCCAAGATTTATTGGATCGAAATTCCTTTTCATATATCATATATATATATAAAAGAAAAAACATTACTACTAAATAGATGTCTAGAGTATTAAATACAAAGTTTCAAAATGAGAAATACAGGGTTTTTTTTTCATATTACAAAATATTAAGCAGTATTATGAATTGAGTAGCAATCATTGTCAGTATTGAACCCAAAGATCCAAAATTTATACATATAAATCTCCTGTAATAAATAAATAAAAATAACAGTATTAGAGTGTTCTTTGGAATAAATGGATGGTTGCTGTATACTTTCAGTATTATCATATAGACAGTGTCAACTAGTTTAATTTTGTTGGTGTTGTAGTCTTTCTTTTTGGTACCCATCTTTACAATCATAATTCTAGTCCATCTATTACTGCATTTTTTGTTAAAGAATATATATAATATATAATGTGTATGACTTGAAATAATAGGTTTAAATTATATATACTTCTAAGATAATGGGATAAACAAGAACTCCAGGGCCATAAAAAAGGGAATTCGGACGACCTAGAAAGATTGACGAGAGGATTGAAATGCACATTGTGCGAGTGGATCGGGAGGATCCCAATTTGGCTCATACCTTGCGTTAAAAGTGTTTATGAAGAAGATGAGAGTACTAATTTTTAGTAAGACAATAATCGGGTATCTCAACTATTTTAGACCTTGGATAATATATCGTAGCCTATAAGCTAGCTTTAACAAAAGTCATTGGAAAAGACGGTCAGAATGGACTGGTGAGGATGTCAATTGGACCGAAGAATCAAAAGTTACAGTCAAAAGTAATGGTAGTGGAGTCAGAGATATCAGAAAAGCAGTAAAAAGGTTCAAGAAAGAAAATATAATCAATTGAACCAAATGGGGGAGGATGAACAGGGAAATAGAGAAAATAAAAATAAAATTATCAAGAGCTTTAACGTTGAGCTTGTCCCTATAAAAATACAAAAAATCAGTAATTAAATCTAGACTACAAATTATTCACCAAATCAAACCAAAACCCCATTTATATGTATATATTCTGTATGTCTTTATTAAATTTTTAAGGAATTTTAATAATAAGAAGCACTATTAGAGAGGGTGTCGAGTTATGATAATTTCAAGATGACTAAAAAATAATTATTTGTAAAACCCAATCAAAAATAAGAATAAAGCTCAGACACAGTTATGAATATTATAAGTTGAAAACATTGATACTAAGAAATTTAGAGGAAATAGACCTTAATAAACTTGACTTTCCAAGGCCTATTTTATTAAGTAAGTATGAAGAAGAGGCTACTGGCTATCATACATTTTGTTTTGAAGTGGGAAAAATAAGCCCAATTTTTACTAGAAATTTAGTGAGCATTTGAAGTAAAAAATCAGGGATTACCTAACTTTTGGCTTCAAATGCTCACTAAATGGCCTCCACCATGAAATTTGCAAAACAAGTATTGGAATTTAATTCGTCGCGTAAAATAAAAAATTGCAAACATTTGCAATTCAGGCTCGAAGACACCCTCTCTATTTTATCTATATAAGCAAAAGTCTATCTTTTTTTCAATTTTTCATTTTAAATACCCGTTTTTCTACAAAAAAATGTATTGTCCTTAAAAAATATGAGTTTCGTAGTAATGCAATTTGTTGGTCAATTATTATTTACTGATATTTTTGAAAAAGAAAAATACAAATATGTATTGCTGTAATTTGTGAAGCCCTAATCCTTTAAAGCCGACTATTGCAACTTACTCATTGAAGAGGATGCATTTAATGCCAAAGAAGAAAAAATATTGAAAATATTGTTTGAGATTTTCAGTTCTTAAAAAAACCCAAAAACGGCCAAAACGGCCGTGCACACCTCTTGTAGTGTAACTCCTTTAAATGGATTTTAAATAGGAGCCGTTTGAAAAAGCATAAATACTTGGATTTATATTCTCTTTTTAAAAAAATAATCGTTTAAAGAAGTTCGTTTTACTTTGGGCAGCAAACGGCTGTGTACGCTTTAGATACTATGCAATCACCAAATTACTCACACACTGAATATTTTCTTTCTCATAGAACCTTATAGAACAATAGACGTCACCTAGAAATAATAAGTCACGTATCCAATATCCTTCCTAACACTATGAGCCATTTTTGCGGTGACTTTTCTTTTTAGCCGCCTCGGTTTTCTCTCTCTGATGTGACTTTTTTATTTCAACCCCAAGGACTCTTTTTTTCATATGGCGTCACAATTTTAAAAGCCAATCAAAATGATTTAAAAGTCATTGACTCATTTTTCAAACACCAATCATTTTAATTTTCACGTTCCGTGACTTTCTTTCAATTGCAAAAGGTCGTACAAGAATTGAACCATTTTGTCTATAAAAAGGGGCCAAAAGTTTGCAAATTTTTCAGATCTTTATTGTGGCGGTTATCTACGTAGTCTGCTCATAGATGTGGCCTTAGTAAACCGGTCGAAAGACTTTCACAGTTGAAGACCTATAAACCAAACTATATAAACCACGCGATGTCTATGCAGGTGTAGAATGCTGATAACCTATCTGTTGCCCACTGCGAGTTTTTTGAAAATTTTCTCGTCCAACAGGGAGATCCCACTTTCATCATTGGCTGGCCACCAATGGTAAATAAATTCAATAAAATAAATGAAAATGAACCAATCAAAATCTATATAAATTGATTTTCTTAAATCATTTTATATAGATTTTGATTTTTTTTTTGTTTTTTCAATTTTTTGTTTGTGTTTTTTTTATGTTTTTTCAAATTTTTTTATAAATTAAAAATAAAAAATTAAAATTAAAATTAAAATTAAAAAATAAAAAATAAAATAAAATAAAATACACTCACGCTGAAAAATATACAAGCTTGCACCCAAAAACAGCCAAAATAAATCGATAAAATAAAAAATCAAAATGTTTTTTTTTTAAATTCTATTATCCGAATACAACATGCAGGATCAAATCCCATCAACTATTGCTTGCATTTAAAATGAGAAAGACAATCCTTGTAAATACGGATGTATCATGTGTATGAATTTGTGTAAATTAAGGCACTAACAAGATTTCAGCTACTTTTGACACGAGTCTGCCTATAGTCAAATCCAGCATTAAGAGAATAAAAACAGAGTCAGCCTGAGCCAAGAAAAATAATCCGGAAGAACTATACACATTGAAAATAGGATTGAAAGTCATAGTAGCTCGCCGCATTATGCTTTTAAACTTTGGTTCATATATCACAGCCCATAACCCAAGCCTTGACAGAAACCCACAAGAGTAAAAAAACGGCTGAACTGGGCTCTTTCTCAAGTCAAGTAGTCCGATAACCGATGGAAAGGTGTTGTATGATCCGATTAATTAAAATTTACAGTCAAAGGTAATAATAGAAGACCCAAAGCTATCAGAAAAGTCGGCGAAGGATATAAGAGAAAAATATCATCGAGGGGACCAAGCGAGGGGATGGTAAGTATTATGAATTTTAGCTATTCCTGGACCGGTGGTTTTAGGGACTTTTGATTTTCTATATGGAATCGTAAGCCAAGATCAATACGTGAACACTTTGCCTCAGACCTTTTCCCCCTTTGTTTTAAAATCTTTTCACGAGAACAGAACAAAAACTTTGTGTTCCAAGAAAACAACGCCAGCTTTTATACCAGCTCTTATTCGAGATGGCGGAAAGATAGCCATTTCGCGTAGGGATTGGACTACATACCAGCTCAGAGCCCAGATCTCAACCTCATTGAGCATTTTTGGTGGGATCTCGAAAACCATATGAGTGACGAGATGGTTAACACCAACAAGATTTGTGATTTGAAGGTTGTAATACAGCGAGAATGGTGAAAGAATAGGCATCGAACTTGGATCAACCTTGGCGGGCAACATGCAGGATCGGTATCAAGGATGGTCATATCAAACTTGTCTATATTTATATTTCAATAATACACATGTCTATCATCTTGTATCCGGAGCTTAAAGACTTTAACTATTATTACTGATGAGCAGCTGTATGTTGAAGATATGCTATAATTGCTCATGGTTTTTTTTTCTGGGTTTAGAGGTTAAAGCTTTTTTGATTATGACGATAATACTATGGATTTATAAGTAGTGTGTATGGTTAGACAGCTCCTCCCCACTAAGTACTTGCAGCGTAAACTATTTATAATTACTAATAAAAAAAACCTAGCCTACGAACTACATTTACCACCAACACCACAACAACTAAATCAATTATGCAATATTTATGAGTGAAATACAAAACTTGAAAGATAACTCATCATTTATTGGTCTATATACAAGAGAAAAATCCAATTATTAAAATTATTAATTGACAAAAAAAATCGTACATTGCCACACCACAAACTTTGGATATCAATTAATCCTTACTAACCAGCTCTAATTCTATTACCCTTTTGAATTTGTATAAATGAGCCTTTGAAGCGGATCAAAAGCATGTGCATTTTTATATATATATATTTTTTTTTATTAATAATATAAAGCTGGACAATTCTCGCTGTCACACATACGTGGCAAGCATAGTAAAAAAGTAGTAGAAATGAGATTTGGATGAGATGATCATTATTCCTAAAAAAGAAAAAGAAAAAGAAAAAGAAAAAGGAAGCCTCTTTCTATTATTGTTACCATTATCATTATTATATATAACCTCTTCTTTTTTTAATTAAAAAATAAAAAATTTTAAAAAATAAAACCTCGTCTGGCATGGGAATCATTCTGCCGTTGTTAACGGTCCTTACTCTCATTACAGCCGGGATACTTGCGTCTGCTCATGAGACTCTGGTTGTCTCGGTTAGTCTTTCTATACTAGCAGGATGGATGACATGGAAGACTCTTCCACAACTCAAACAGGCATTTGTAAATGCACGGCTATGCGGAATTGATTTATTAAAACGAGAAAAACCAGTAATGTAAGACATTTCTGTTTTTATTGTTATTGGAATTATATATATAACTAGTTGATACTGAACAAAAGCTATACACACTTAAATTCACTCTCTCACGCACACATATTAATATATATATATATTGGACAACTAGCCCTGAGACCATGGGACTGCCGACAGCCATTATCTACTTAATTACAATGTTTGTGTTCATGCCATTTCCTTTCATGGCATGGTTTGGTGGAAAGACAGGACCTCAAGATACAAATATGTCTGGTATATTTCCTCACCACAAGGCAAGTTTAGCAAACTGTTTATAGAAGAATATATAGAAGAAATAGGTCGTATAATATAAGGAGCGTGTATTATATTATATTATGTGAAAGGAACATCTTGCCTTTTTTTTTGGATGATTGGATGGGTTTATTATGTGCTATATACAAATAAAATTCATAATAAAAATCAAATTTAATTAAATTAAATTAAAGTTGGGTGAGATTCTGTCAGCTATTTTGGCCATTCAGTCAATGGTTCTCCTGGGTTTTGCAGACGATGTTCTTGACGTTAGATGGCGTTACAAGGTGTGGTTTCCTGCCCTTGCTGGTGCACCCCTTTTGATTTTCTATTACACGAACTGTGGTGTGACTGATGTAGTCCTACCACTTCAATTGAGACCTTACTTTGGAACAAATATACATCTTGGTACGTTGACCTCTTGGTTTTGATTTGTATGATTTTGCTAACTCAACTATTTTAAACCACACATATATGTATTCATGCTTTTTTGTTGTTGATGTTGATGTTAAACAGGGCCCCTTTACTATGTTTACATGGCCATGTTGATCATATTTTGTACCCATAGTATCAATATTTTGGCGGGTATAAATGGTATCGAGGCAGGACAATCTCTTGTAATTGCTGTTTCGATTATTATCAACGATTCTCTCTATCTTTTCAACAACCAAGATCCAGCCAGTTTAGAGGCACATTTGTTCAGTCTATACTTTATGCTTCCGTTTGCAGGGGTTACCATAGCACTTCTCCTCCACAATTGGTAAGTTTTGTCTGATTTTCCTTTTTATTACTGTTACTGTTAAATTGATTCATTTTTTCTTTTTTCTTTTTCTTTTTTTACTTCATCTTTGTGTGTGGTTTATATATATATATAATAGGTTTCCTGCAAAGGTATTTGTGGGTGACACATATTGTTACTTTGCCGGTATGACACTGGCTGTCGTCGGTATCCTTGGTCACTTCTCCAAGACGCTTTTGCTCTTCTTTATCCCCCAGATCTTCAACTTTATCTATTCATGTCCGCAGTTATTCAAGGTGATCGAGTGTCCTCGTCACCGCATGCCTCGGTTTAATCCCGAAACTGGGCTTCTCGAATGTTCTACAGTAATTTTGGATGCCAAAAAACCGACCAGCAAACTGGGTCGCTTTGTCATCAAAATATTCTACAGTCTAGGCCTAATCAAGGCATTCAAGTGTAGTAGTAATGAGGAGGATAATGGTCGGGTGCTCGAGTGCAACAATCTGACGATTATCAATCTAATCCTGGCTTATTGTGGACCGATGAGTGAACGCGATACGGCGGTGAGCTTGTTGTGTATCCAATTCTTTGCAAGTGTAATGGCCTTTTTCATACGTTACAAACTTGTCGAATATGTGTACTAGATTCAATTTCATAAAATTCCATTCAATTAAATTCATTTAAACCATGTGTAGTATATATATTAAAAAAAAGAAGAAAGAAGAAAAGACATAGAAGAAGAAAAAGTGCAAAGTAGAAAGGAAAAGCTTGGACATGTGTGGCTGAGTAGTAAGGAGAAAACTATCAGAGACGTCTAAGTGTCGATGAGTCGCGATCGTTTCCTTTTCTTCTTTCCTTTTTTATATTTCTTCTATTTCTTCTTTTTTTTGTGTTTGCTTTTTGTCGATTCCATTTGAGAATAAAACATGTCAGAGGGATACAGGTAGATTAGTCAATAATCATGTATATATACATACATATATGTGCGTGCGTGCGTGCGTGCATAAATAAAATAAAATAAAATAAAATATATACATATATAAAACAAGTCTGAGGAATCTATAGTCATGATGAACCTACAAGTGTAGTGTATGGCTCAGAGTCGAATTCTTATCCTCTTCCTATCAAGCAAGAGGTAAAAAAAACAGCAGTAGTAAACAAGTTTGAAGATTCTATTATATCCTTGTGTAGAGGCTATAATAAAATTGTATAGTTATACATACACATATATAAACATATACACATACATATATAGTATGAACACAATAATGGAAGCAATTACGGGCCAGTGTATCCAGCCACTGGAAGATCCTTGGCGGCCGACACGCCTTCGTCATCAGCAAATACACCTACGGCTGATGTCGTCACGCCTGTAGGATCACCTACAGGACAGAAACGACACTCCTTGGATGGATTGACACCACGTGCATATCTCGACGCAACAGTTGTGCCTGTGCTTCTAGAGGGCATGAAGCAGCTGGCTACAGAGCGGTAACCTAAATAAGATCTTATTCATTGCGCACCCAATATTGGAATACATATTATATATACTTATATATATATATATATATATATTTGTGTGTGTGTGTACAATCAATTGGTTATTCACGGCAATTATTACTATATTTTCTTATATATATTTATTTATTTTTCCTTTATACACACACATATATATATATATATATCTTCAGCCCTGCGGACCCTCTGACTTGGCTTGGAAACTATCTGACAACCCGTGCGAGCACAGACCGTAATCAACAGACAAGAAACACGACAACATGATCTTTACCAGCTGGATAAAGAAGTAGGACAAACCCACTTTAATAAATAAACAGTAACAAGAAAGAGAGAGAAAAATAAAAAAATATTAGCTGTTGAACAACCGCTCGTATTACACAGCCGTTAAAATGTCGTGTATATATGTATATTATATCTTTATCTCTCTTAAATAAATATATATATATACAGACCCTTTTTTTTGTACCTTAATTTTATTTTATTTCATTTTTCCTTTTTGCCCATCTAACACTGTGAGATTCCAACAACCAGAAAATAAAAGACAAGCTTGAAGACTATATGTACTAACTCTTTAACTTACAGACACACTCCTTTAACAAAACAAAACAAAAATTCCAATCCCTCTTTCCTCTACCTACATACCCATTATATCTATCTATTTTTATTTATTTATTTATTCTCCATAATGGGATTCATCGAAAGAATAAAAGCCCATGTCGAAATGTGGAAAATTGAAAAATATACAAAGCGGCGACCGGTAGATACCCCAGATTTCGAACAAAAAGGTAAATAAATAAACAAATTAATAAATAAAATAAGAGGAAAATTGAATAGATATAGGACAGCATAAGAACAATTAGTAGCAATATTAGTAGCAGTAATAGTATTATTACTATTCTTATTTATTTTTTCGAGATTTTGTAATGCTTATCATTAACATTATGCCTACTATTTTATTTATGTAGATCGGGATTTTTATGATCAATATTATAAGGATGGCGTCTACTTACATCATCATCAGCGCGATGCGAATGACCCAACACAACACTTTCCTTCTTCTCCTGGTGGGAAGGGGCTGGCCAGAAAGACTACCTTGCTACGTTCCAAGAGTGAAAGACTTGTTCGGTCTTCTGAAAAGTATAATGTATCACAATCACAATCTCGATCATAATCACAATACATATGTATATACACATACATAAATACATTCATACACAAATAAAGGCTTACTTGCGTGTAGTCCATTAAACTTGGATTAATTATTTTATATTATTTAGATAAATTTATAAAAATTCATTAATTTATTGATTTATTGATTAATAGATATTAAAAACAAATACAAAAACAAACAACCTTAAAGAGTATACCTTTGGCACGATTACTGCCAATAATTGGAGTTTTAACTTGCTTATGCGCTTATAAGTACACCAATACTTGTATACATATTGAAAGAAAGATAATTGGAACAAAAGTAACCAACGATTGCAAGCACAGGCTCACTTACTTACATTCTAACATATTGGTTAGCAGCTATACAGCTACACAATCATATCTTTACAAAGTTCGTAAAAGGTGTGTAAAGATATGTTCCTGTTATTGGGGTTATGGAAAACGAGTGTTGGGAAAGTTGCTCAGCTCTCTCCTATCCAATGTTTTTCATTCTTCTTTGCTATCTTTAATTGTGGTAAAGAGTGAAAAAAAAAAAAGAAAGAAAGAAAGGAGAGAAGCACAAGTCCCTGTTACCGTTCACCTGTATCTTATTACTGGACTAAATTATATATATATATATAAAAAGAATAAGAAAAGGTTACCAAGGAGAGGTGTATATTGGGGTAAAATAAAAGGCAAATTGTGGGGGAAGAGGAAAAATCCCCTAGTAACAGAATGATGATCCCACTACACACATATGCGCGTGCGCGCATATCCATCAAAGTAAGAGAAATTGTAAGAGCTGTGCATAATTACCCGATCTCAGCAGAGAGTAAAATAGAATAATTTCTCTTGACCAATGAATAGCATAATCCTATTCACTCATTTGGTTGTATTGGAATATTGATTGGCACTACCAAAATTCACATCATTACATTACATTACATTACATTACATCTGTTACATATATATATATATATAGATAACTTATCCCACTCTTAAATAAAACAAACTTTAAATTTTGAGAGAATTAGGGTTAAATATCTATCGAAAAGAAATGGAAAATATATCTATAGAGCTGACAGAGTCTATTGGAATCCAAAGGATCTTACAGGAACACGGAATTCAGATATAGCTTAATCCTGATGATCTATCTAAAATATGAAAAATGTATTGAAACCAACATAAGACAAATAATCATCACTGCTGTGACTTCTACATCTTGACCACCCCCTATACTGACTTTACTAATCGGATAACAACAATCCAAGAGGCCGTAAAAGAGGTGGATAGTAACTTTGAGCTTATATCTCAAGCTCCACTGAAAATGTAATTGCATTGAGCGCTATATGGGCCTTGTCAAACATGTGGCCTATATTAATCGTAGATATTCAAGCAAATTGTTGAATGAACCCTCCTTTTTTTATAGTACATCTCTTATTTCTGAATCACTGAAAATGACTAGAGAATTTTACAAAAGGTCTTGAAGATAAATTATGCCATACAACATTTTTCTTAATGCCAAAGTTGCTTATGTTGACATGAAGGAGTACATTTCAATATTGACAAACATTAATGCAGAACCATCGCCTACTATTAATATATCTTATATATACTTATCAGGTTTTTGAAAAAGATATATTGTCTATTAAGACTTAAAGGAATGCGCAGTCGATTTATAAACTTGGGAAAATGTGATGGCTGCATTAAACAAGTTATCTTTCTGGGCTTTGATCAATTTACAAAAGTTCCAGGCAATTTGTGTTGTACCCAAAAGCCACAACCTTAAAGATGTATAACGTTTCATATTATACAGTGCTTTTATCTTTTAAATTAAACAAATAATAAATAATTTTAGATAATGATATTTATAAGGAGCTCTTCCTTTTATTTCTCTTCCTTTCTTTTTATCTCTCTTTCTTGCGATGGCATCAGAATTACCATACGAAGTTGTATCCCTTATCGCGTCTCATGTTGATCAAGATAGCAGACTTACCTGTGCCATAGTCTGCAAACAGTGGACAGAACCATTTCTAAACGCACATTGGTATTACCTGACTATATACAGAAGGGTAGCAGATCGTATTTGCGATTCATCCAACCTGGAAAACAAATATTTAAGTAATGCACATAGAGTGTACGAGCTGGCATTTATTGACCAATCCCTTGTCGATGTGGAATATCGTTCAAAACTGCTGCAAATCTACAGTGGAATAAAACGCCTTAAATACTTTGAGCCACATAGACGTCACCATGTGGTAGAAATTATCGATTGGAGTTCTTGGACTTTTTTGTCACATCTGGAAATACATTTTCAGTATCCAAGCTACATTTTGTTGAAAGATGTTTTTAAAAACCTATCAGGATTACCTTGCCTTCTTCATCTTACATTAGTCCATCGTTACTCACCGGCCGATTTTGATATTAAGAACACAGTCTCATGGTTAGACATCGAATCACTTCACTTAAACGTACCACGACTGGAAGGTTTAAACATCGATTTTACGCATATAAAAATACCAAATAATGACATGAATAAAATAAGATACATTTTACCAGCATGCACTGTCACAAAAGCAATCTTTGATAATGATACTGTTGACGCTTCCTGGGTATTTTACTTTGCACTCAAATACCCAAATCTACACCACCTGGAATTTAAAAACAATGGCACCGTTTATAAATCATGCGAAGCTTACAATGAGAAATACTATGAAAAAGATAGTCGACTACTATCAACACTTCATCAATTCTTTCCTTGCTTAACAAATATAAGCCTAGACCCGCTTAATAGAAACCCGTGGCCGTTTTCTATATTCTACGATACTCTTCGACACTTTGACGTAAAAGTAAAAAGAGCTAAAGTTCGTGTTATCTACTGCGACCAAACTTGGACAAGAAGTCTTCATAGCTGTATTGGATTTAGCTCGGAATCATTGAGAATTTTGTGGGCAGATCTGGGCTCTTACTTGTATAAAAGTCTAATTACGAGCCTATTACCTTTCTATCCATGCCTTGTCGAGTTACATTTTACGTTTTCCGGCAGTATTGAAATTGACATAATACTAGATAAATTTCCGTCTTTGCGATGGTTAGACATAAACCTCTCCCTAACACACCTCTCTGAACAGCCAAATTACGCTCCACACCATCTGCAAAGGCTGGAACTACATCATCTCCATGCGAGTAAATCAATATTCAAATATTTATCGTCTCGTTGCAAACAACTTTTATTCATGAAATTAGAACATGTTGGATTTAAGATGTCTGAAGTTACGAAAAACAGAGAGATCTGCATCGAGATGCCGTATACCCAGTTGGAAACACTAATAATTTGGGGTGTAAAAACATACCATGGATTCATAAAACACTATGTCATTAAACAAGAAAACAACATTGATATTAGTCAATCAAATGTGAGTAATCAAGAACAACATACGCTATCAAACTGGTATCATATAACCAAAGAGACAGACGGGGTAAAAAGTCTTGCATGGGAACTTGGGAAACACGAGGCTGAATATGCTCAGAAATTCTACGAAGACGTTACAAAATTTAACGATGATAACAGTCAAGATATGGTAAAAAGAAAAGCAAAAAGTGATGGGTTTTGTGGGAGATCTTCGAAAAGTGTTTTTTTTGTGGAGGGTTTTAAGGGTGCGTGTGCGTGTGCGTGTGCGTGTTTATCTTAGTAGAATGTCGGTTAAGAGTACTTTATTCTTTCTCTTCTTTTTCCTAATATTATATTTAAATTTTAATGTTTACTATTAATTTGGTATTGTGGGTGAAAGAAAATGAAGGGATATTTTTTTTAACTTTCTCCCTTTTACCATCATCTTTCGTATTTTACTTATGATCTTTGTAGGATCACGAGTACATAGTATATCATTATACCATAAAGAAAGATTGGAAATTACATCTTAACTGTGGCCTCCTCTCTCTTCGATTCAAATCTGTTAAAGCCTATCATTTGGATAAAGAAGTCTTGACTAAATACCACTGTTTTTTCCCCCTTGTTTACAGTCCCTCATTCTGGGAAAGTAATGGTCGTTCCGGCTGAGATTTTGGAAAACTGCTATAGTACTTAGTTGTAATCCACTACATATACTACAATTAATATCATGCTATAAAGCAATACCTTGACCAAATGCTAACAAAGTATTTATTTAATTGTTAATGTGAATCTTTGTTCGCCAGCCCTATGGAAAAAAACTAGAGATTTTGAATTTGTGATCTAACTTTTAGCTTATAATAAATAAATAAAAATCACTAAAAATATAGATTGAAACAAAAGTAACTCTGTTTTCAAGAAAACTAGAGATTCCACTGCCGATTTTGAAGAATTGGCAGTGGAATCTCCAACGGAATCCCCGCCTTTTTCCCGTAGTGCACGTATTCTACTTTTTTGGGGGTTTTTGAAAGAGATATGTTATCTATTAAGACTTATAAGAATACCCAGTCAATTCGCAAACCTGAGAAAATGTGATGACAGTATTAAACGAGTTTTTACTGAACTTTTTTCAAGGTACAAAAGTACCAGGAAATTTATGACGTACCCAGAAGCCACAACTTTAAAGATGTACGACATTTCATACTGTACAGTGCTTTTTTGTCCTTTAAAATTAATAATAAAGGATAAATTATTTTAGCTAATGATATTTATAAAGCGCTTTTCTTTTATTTCCTTTTATTTCTCTTTCTTTCTTTATTTCTTTCTTTGTTGCGATGGCATCAGAACTGCCATACGAAGTTGTATGCCTTATCGCATCTCATGTTGAAAAAGATTACCAACTTATCGGAGCCTTGGTCTGCAAACGGTGGACAGAACCATTCCTAAACGCATACTGGTATTCCTTTACTATCCACAAAGGAATAGCAGATCGCATTTGCGATAAAGCCTACCGGTACAACATATATTTAAATAACGTGCATAGAGTGTATGAGCTTAAATGTTTTGATCAATTGATTTTTGATATGGAATATCGTTCAAAACTGCCGCAAATTTACCTTGGGATAAGACGCTTTGTTTACCTTGAACAATATGAACCCCACAGTATTGCAGAAAAAATTGATTGGGGCACCTGGAATTTTCTGTCGCATCTGGAAATACAGTTTTTGTCTTTTAAGCCTTTTGTATTGAAAGATCTTATCACGAGCTTATCAGAATCACCGTTTCTTTATCATCTCACACTGATACAACGTCTCAAAATGAAGAATTGTGCGTCAATGAACGATATTTCGTGGGTTGACATCGAATCGATCCACCTTAACTTACGGCGACTGGAAGTCCTGCACATTGATTTTGAGCACATTCGGATATCAAATGGCGACATGAATAAAATAAGATGCGTTTCCCCAGCCCAAACTGTCACAACACTGATTTGTAATAGCAATAGTGTTGACACCCATTGGGTATTTTACTTTGCACTCAAGTACCCGTATCTACACACATTAGAATTGAAAGACTATAAAGTAAACACTGAAACACACGCCGCTTACGACGAAGCAACAGAAGAAGAAAATATCCAATTGCTATCAACACTTGACCAATTCTTTCCTCACTTAAAAAATATAAGTCAACGCACAAGATCTGGTCCCAGACTTCACTTCTCTACGTTCTTCAAATCTCTTCGAAATTTCGGCACACAAGTAGAAAGAGCTAAAGTTTCGGTCTCTCTTCACTGCTCGAAACCAATAGGCATTCTCAACAGCTACTTTAACTTTAGTTCAGACACATTGAGCGTTTTATGGGTAGACTTAGTTTATTATATGTATAAGGAACCGGTTACGACCCTGTTACCTTCCTATCCATATCTAGCCGAGTTACACATCGCAGCCACTTGTACGATTGAAATCGACGTTATGCTAGATAAATGCCCATCATTGCGATTACTTGATATAGAATCAGCCTATGTATACCTCTCCAACCAGCCAGACAACAGCCACAACACACACCCTCTGCAAAGACTGGAGCTAAAGAATATCGAGACGAGTACACAAGTTTTCAAACATATATCCTTCCGTTGTAGAAAGTTTCTATTCATGAAGTTGATACACGTTAAATTTAAGGCATCTGAATTCACGGAAAACAGCGAAATCTTACTTGACATGCGCTACACCCAGTTGGACTTCCTTGTAATCCGTAGTACCAAAACAACTCATTCTTTAATAAAACATTATGTTATTAAGCAAGACAATAATAGTGATGCTAATCAATTAAATTTGACGACCCATGAACAATCTATGTTATTGAACTGGTATTATATATGCTTGACCGAAAAAGAAGAGGTAGACGAGGCAGAAGTAGCAGACAAGACAACAAGATCATTTGCGTGGGAGCTTGGGAAACGTGAAGTTGAATATGCTCAAAGATTTTTTGATGACGCTTTGAGCCCTGGCGATGATAATAGGCAATTTATGGTAAAAAGAAAAATGGGAAATAGGGGTGAATTTGGCGGGAGATCATCGAAGTCCATTTTTTAAGATTTTTAAATGTGTGTGTGTGTATGTGCTCGCTTTTTTTAAGTAGAAGTTCTACCAACTGGTACTTTATACTCTCTATATCTCTGCTCTTCTTATTCTTACTATCATATTTCAATTTCATAACTCTTCTATATATATCTTTGTAGGATAACGGCGCCATGTTCGACCGTTATAGCCCAAAGGAATGCTGGAAATTAGATCTTCACAGTGGTGTCTTTGTTATTCAATTTAAATCTGTTAAAAACTATCGTCTTGATAAAGAAGAATTGAGTAGAAGTAATTGTAAGAATACAAGGGATTACAGTGACTGCTTGGACACATAGCCATAGTATAATATACATGTATATATTTATTATGTATAGATATATTTTTTGAGAATCTAAAACAGCATAAAATGAAATAAAATAAAATTTCTTTTATTCTACTTTTATAAAAAAAAAAGAAAGATATTACTAAAGATCAATAAAAATAATGATAAAAAATTGTAGAGAGTGAATAACAGAAAAAAATAGCTGCCAAGGCTTTACTTGAAACTAAGGCGCCAAGAATTACTTCAAAAGTTTTGTATTTATATACCACAAAAGATAATATTTTAAATGTGTTATTAGCCAAGGTGTATAGAAGAAATTATGTAAAAAAAAATAGTGTAGTAGATATATTGAATTTGTACCATGGAGAGCAGTCACCAAGAACAACTTTTACATTAATAATTTTCTCTACCACATAAAGCAAAAAGAGAGAGAGAGAGAGAGAGAGAGAGAGAGAGAGATACAAAGATAATCTTCAGTCTCTATATATACACACGTACAATGTACACTGACAGTCAAAGATTAAAAGGAAAACAACGACATAGACCTGACACCGACAATGAAGAAGAATATTCGCAACAACCTTCTCAACGCCTAAAGTATGATGATTCAACTGTGAACTGGAATGAAGAGGTTGAGATTGATATTGAGAAGCACAAGTCGATGTTTATTGTCAATGCTCATTAGCTTGTAGGAGTTCCAACGTAAAGTTAAAGATACAGTGAGACTTGCTCTTGCATGCGAATTCAAAAAGACTGCCATCAAACGTGATGACATTAATAAAAAAGGTAATTTTTTTTAAAGAAATAAAAATAAGAAAATATAATGTATATACGTCTCTCCATGTATGTGTTTATGTACATGCATTATTTATTTATTTATTTATTTTTCTTTATCAAACAATGTATATATAAAGTATTGCAGGACCACAAGTTTGAATTCAAAAGGTTGCACAGGGCAGCTAATGATAAGCTCAGATATCTGTTTGGCTTTGAGATGGTCGATTTGCCTGTAAAAGAAAAGATATTGGCTGGTAGTCGAAGAGGTATATTTATATCTATATGCAATTACATATGGAAACAAATAAGGATAGATGACTACATTTGATAACAAAAACAAAATCAATATTAACAATAATCAATTATAGATGGTAAAGAAGTGCCTGGTAGTGGATCCAAAGGATACATGCTTCTCAATGCATTACCCGAGAAATACAATGTCCCGGAGCTTTTCAAATACAAAGATGAAGAATATGAGAATGTCGGTGTGCTTTATTGTATTCTTGCGTTAATTTTTGTGAATGAGCAGACTCTTTCAAAAGGTAAGAATACTTAACTGATTGATTGATAATGATCAATATACATATATTTACTGTTTTTTTTATTGTGGATATAAATTTATTAGGTGAACTTGAAGAACATCTCAATCGCCTTCATGTCACAGACGAAACACAGACCTTTGGTGATAGAGACAAGCTGTTGGATAACTTTGTTAAACAAGGATATTTATTACGCAAGAAGAATAATCTTGCTGCCAATGATCCAAATGCTGATCCTGATGCAGGAATAGAATACTACTGGGGACCAAAGGCCAAGGTGGAAATACCTGAAGAGAACATTGTGAATTTTATCACGAGCGTGTACAATCCAGAGAACACCAACATTAACAAACTGACAGAATATGTTTACAAATCTGCCGGATTCAGTGTTCCTTGAACAAACTTTCTCTTTTGATTTCCATTTTCCCCTTCCATTTTATTTTTACTTTCTTTTATATATATGTATATGTACGTATATACATTGTTTTTACTCTTCTTTATATTGATCAAAAAATATAGACAATTGATCTGCTTCTTGCTTCATTTCCTCAGTAGTCCTTGGCTTGCGTTCATCATTATCCACGCCCTTTTTCGAATCAAGAGCATCGTAAATGTCGTCGTTATTGGCCCAATCTCCTTTTATTCTTGGGATTACATGCATGTGTACATGGGGAACCTTTTTGTTTGTTTGATTTTTTTGGGGGATTTATATATACACATATACATAGATATATGTTGGTTTGTTTTTTTATTGTTATTATTATTATTATTATTTATTCAAGCATGTAATTATTATATTATAAAGTACATATTAAACACGCATATGCTATGTCTATATTTTTGTAAATCATTACCGTTTGACCTGCTTGGGGACCATCTTGGATAGTCATTGTCAGAGAAGTTCCTTTAAAGAACTTTTCTACAACTCTACCAACCTTTTGAGCACTGATCATCATATCCTCTGCCTTTTACATATAATAATTCATTAATTAAAAGACTGCTAAACACACACACACATATATATATATATATATATACATATATATATTTGATCCTTCAAAATATTACCTCTTCTTCAGTCAAGTCTCGCATTCTAGGCACAACTCTTTTAGTAATAACAAGAACATCTTTAAATATAGGATATCTTGTTAATTATCGTTTTCTAACAAAAAGAAACAAATTTACTCACGTCCGCTGATAGCAAATAAATACCAAAATACACGTATAAAACCAATTGTTAATTATTATAATCAATTGATTCAATAACTTTTATATATATATATATATATACATATTATTTACTATTGACTATTGTTTTTTTTTTAAAAAAAAAGAAAGCAGCAAAAGGAGACACTATTTTTTGTCTCGAAAAATAAAATAGAATAAAAAGAAAACTCATTCTAACCTGGTGATTGGTTTAAGATTAACCAAACCAAGACAAAACTTGGAACGATAAAACACTTGGGATTCCGGTATTTTGTGAGGACCAAATGAATAGAATCTCAAGGCAGACATTATGTCTTTAATTTCTTTTTTATATGTAACTAAAGTTAAACGAACATCAATTTATAGGCCTTCTCTTTCTCTCTGTCTGTCTTTCTCTCATCAATCACGTGAATAGCTACTAGTATCTTTAATTTTTTGGTTTGTTTGTTTGTTTGTTTTTGGGCTACAGTCGAGATGTAACAAGTCACAATTACTTTTGATATGAGTGAATGAGCAGGTGAATGGAAGAGTGTGTTGTTAAAATATCTCTTTTGTTCACCCCTCCTCTTCCTCTCTATTACATTTACATTTACATTATTCTATCGTAATGACTCGTTTCAATGGTTGTATTGATCTCCATAATGGTCAAGTAAAGCAGATTATAGGAGGATCCCTCAAGGACGATGCACCTGAAGGACTCTGCACAAACTTTGTGTCTTCGTTAGTATCCATAAATTAATATACATATATCAATATTACTTTTAACTTAGTTTAACCTAATTCTATTTAATTCAATTTAATTTAATTTAATTTAACTTAGTTTGATTTACTTGTTAAATATTAAATATCAAATATATTGAATAAATGAATAAATTCAAAATTGAAACAAAGAAGTAGTAGTAGAGTAGTAATACTATTAGTTGTTGGTGTAGTATAAGAAATATCCCGCGATTTATTTAAATAAATATGTATAAATGTCTATCTTATTTTATTTATTTATTTATTTATTCATTTATGCATAAATGTGTATGTGTATATATATGTATATATGTATTCTTCTCATTTGATAGAGAATCTCCAAAGTTCTATGCAGAATTATACAAGAAACACAATGTTACACGTTGTCATGTCATTAAGCTCGGACCCAACAATGATGATGCTGCAAAGGAAGCTCTTCAGACCTGGCCTGGAGGACTTCAGGTCGGTGGAGGGATTACATCGGAAAATGCAGTCTATTGGTTGGATCTAGGAGCCTCAAAGGTAATTGTGACCAGTTACCTTTTCCCTGGAGGACATTTTGACAAGGCTCGATTGGAAGAAATTTCCAAAAGAGTTGGAAAGGACAGACTTGTTGTTGATGTGAGGTAATGATAATAATAAGTATTATACGAATTAAAAATCAGAAGCTGGATTGAATTATATTGGTAATGTTAGCTGCCGTAAAAAGAACAATAAGTGGATTGTGGCTATGAACAAGTGGCAGACAATGACAGATGTGGAAGTTAATAAAGGTATGTAAATAAAAATTAATAAAGAAACACAGCAAAAACTATGGGAAATGGAGTTGGTTGGTGGTGATTCCGATTGTGATTTTTTTTTCAAAATTCACAATCTGAATCATTACTTTTTTCCCTTATAGTGAAAAGGTTCAATTCAATTTTACGTATTGTGTTTGTTTGTGTGTTTATATGTGTACTTAATACTATTATCATCATAGAAACTTTGGATATGCTGTCAGAATATTGCAGGTAAGCTCTCTTTCTTTTTATTCATTTATCTTACTTTATATTACCAATTGAAGGAACGATAACCTAATGTATTAAACCAAATGTGTATTTTAGTGAATTCTTGGTCCATGCTGCTGATGTTGAAGGTCTTTGTAATGGAATTGACGAAGAGCTTGTAAAGAGTAAGATAAATTCACCGTTCAAAGAGAAAATTATTAACCAATAATTTTACTTATTTGTACCTTTCGATGTTTTTTTTTGCATATTTATAGAGCTTGGTGAGTGGGTCAAGATCCCAACAACATATGCTGGTGGAGGAAGAAGTAAGTATATATATATATATTAAGCTCTTTTCTTACTTTATAACAACTTTGTGTCAATTGATTATTAATCGATTTTTTTTAAAAAAAAAACAAAAGCTATTGATGATCTTGCTTTGGTTGACTCTCTTTCTAACGGCAAGGTTGACCTGACATTTGGAAGGTAAGATTTATTAATGTATTGTGATTTTTTAAAATACACATATAAAATTATTTTAATTTTTTTTTGAAAATATTATCTTTTTATCATATGCATGTAATATATATTGTATATGTGGGATTATTAATCATTATTTGCTTTAGTGCTTTGGACATTTTTGGTGGTAGTGGAGTAACATTCACCAGTTGTGTGGAGTGGAATGAAATGCATCAATAAACAAAATAAATTTTAATTTCCGCACATCTTGGCCTTTCTTTAATTCAATACACCACACGCACACGCACGCACACACACACACACATACAAACCAAACAAACAAACAAAAAGAGAGAGAGAGAAAAGAAATACACAAATATACACACACGTACACGTACATATACATATACACATACCTATATACACGCAAAGAGAATGAACCCTACAGCTACAAAAAGATTTGTGTCCCGTTCAGAGTGGGAGCAGAGACTCTCCAAGGTAAAAGTAAACAAGCAGTGAGTAATCAAGAATGAAGTAAAAAAAAGAAGCAAAATAAACGTAATATAAAGAAATAAAGATAGATAGTATGGGGTGTTGTATACAATTACTCATTATTACTTTCTATTAAAAAAAATAACATGCATACAATGATATTTAAATTTGTACATAATTATAATAGAGATCTCAATCAATTAGTGATGAACTACTTGGTGATTGAGGGCTACAAGGATGCAGCCGAACAGTTTAGTGCAGAGAGTGGATTGTCACCGGCTGTTGATTTGGAGTCTATTCAAGAGAGAATGGAGATTAGACATGCGATTCAGTCTGGAGATGTTGACACTGCAATCGATTTAGTTAATGATTTGAATCCTGAAGTGAGTAACTTTATACATATAAACAACTAACTCGATCCACCTCTCATTAATCTAACAAACAAACAAACAAACAAACAAACAAAAAAGATTCTTGATACCAATCCACAATTGTTCTTCCGACTCCAACAACAAAGACTTATTGAGCTGATACGTAAAGGAGATTTTGGAGCGGCATTGGAGTTTGCAGCAGAGGAAATGGCGCCTCGTGGAGAGGAACATCCTGAGTTTCTTGAGGAGTTGGAGCGTACGATGGCATTGTTTGCATTCCAAGACATCAATACGTCGCCTGTGAAGGATCTGTTGCACTCTGGACACCGACAAAAGACAGCCAGTGAGCTCAACACGGCGATTCTTGACAGCCAGTCGCGCGAAAAGGAGCCAAAGTTACCGAATCTACTGAAAATGCTGGTCTGGAGTCAGGTTCAGCTTGATGAACGTCTGCTATATCCACGTATTGAAGATTTCTTAAAGGCAGATTTGGTGACACCAGAGGAGGAACTCGTCAAATCTACGGACCATTGATTGAATGTTTCTTGATTGATCATTGAATATCTAGTAAATATAATATCCGGTCAAATATTTCTATATATATATATATACAGTGCTTTCAATAAGCAATATCGCATACGGCCAAAAATGTTGTCGCCAGCCAATCAAAATGATGTCATTGTGTGATCAACATCAACTTCGTATGTTCAGAAAGGAAAATCGTATTTTTAGAGATCGTGTTGTATGCTTTTGAAAATGGTGCCGTGCCACCGTTGTTTATTGGCACCCGAAAAATATAAAAGCAGACCTTTTCTTCTGGATGATGTTTTTCTTCTTCTTCTTCCAGTTTTTACAATCTAACACGAGTATATTTTTATTTGAAGATGGACATGGAAATGTTGTTGATGAGAATGGAGGTCCTGAGCCGATGAAGTATATCGTTGATCAGGATGGAGTTGTCGGTGAGACGATTGCGACTCATACTGAATACTTGAAAAGTGCAACATCTAGTGAGACTTCCCCGACTTGCCCAATGTTGATGGAAAAGCCAAAAGATGAAGACGTTCATATGAAGGATCCAAACATAAAGCGTGATTATGTGCGCTATACTGTTTAGGGTAGGACTAGATTTTTTGATCTGAAGATTGAAAAGTGTGTGAGTGCATCAGCTACAGCGAAGCAGTTGGGCATTCACATTCGAACTGCTCAGAGACGGGTTAAGCAGTACAATATGCGTCCCGATAGTATCTTTGATGTTTCTAAGCAAGTTGGTCGTAAATGTGTCTTGAATGATGAACATAAAAAGATTGTTGCCAAGTTCATTGATGCTAATCTTTCTACTGCTGTTGTTGAAGCGACTGAACATTTGTTGAATCGATTTAAGGGTCTTAAAGTTTTATGTAACACGGTTCATAAGTTCATGAAAAGTGAATGTAATCTTTCTTTGAAGAAATCTGACTTCCCTTCTATCAAAAGAAACAGCCCAGCAAAGATTGAAGAGAGGCATGATTGGGATTGTAAATGGGAAAATACTGTATACAAAGATCCCAAGAAATCTTATGAGCAGCTCAAGCCTCTTTTGGTACAACAAATATTATTAATATGATTGAATTGAAGGACTTGTAACTTTGATACTTCTAGCAGTTAGGCTTAGGGTGATATTCAATTATCATTATCTTGGTTTTTAATTCAAAAAAGCCATCTTACGTGAATATTGTATGCTAGACTGCTTGGAGGTTGCAAAGTTAGATAAAGAGACAAACATGGCCTACACAATTATGTATTTATTTCTCCTTTTTCACAAGGTCTAAATTATTAAAGGTCTTTAAAAGAAACATGCTTAATAGCTATCAAGGCTAGTACTGATAAAATATAAATCCGTAAAGTTGACAAAAGAAAGCAATCTGAGAAGAATTGACAGAAAAACATTTACATCATGTACAGTTTGGTTGTCAAGATTGCTCGTATGCTCATTAGAGATCTCGGTAGATTTAGAGAATCGCCGGGAATCTGCCTTTTGGTTTTTCAAAAGTAGGAACCAGGCATGACAATGTTAACACAAAGCAGGTTTATACTCTTTGATAAAAAGAATCAATTAAGAAATATGCATGCATTCATCAATATTATAGTATTTAGAGAATAGCCGTTTTCTTTAGATAAAAAATGTAAAAAGTATCATATAAAAGTATATATGTATATTATTTAGTAGCTTTATAGCTTAAAATGTTACTAAATATCATAAAACTTAGTACTTCTTCTTTGCATACTTCTTTATGTTTAACTTGGAATTTTATGGTTTTTATTGATCAAAATAATACAATATAAAACATCATGTATTTGTTGAACCAATCATAAAGACAATAGAATACCTAAAAAAGATATAATTGGCATATTTTGAATATTTTATTGGCTTAGATGCAAAATAATATAAAATCCCATAAATCGTATTTGACAAAAAGTAAAACTAATAGGCTAAAACAGGAATTCTATTGGCTATAAAAGTTACGAGTTCGTAACTCGTTGCGATGTCGGAGGTATAAATCCTGCCATTTTCTACAGTGTATTGTTCAGATAATATAAGCTACATTATCAAAAGGCTATAAAGATATTAAATATACATGTAGCCGTACAATAAGATATAGATAGTATTTAAACAAGACATTCTTGAACTTTTATAAAAATGAGCATTATAGACTACTAACCATTATATTGAGCAAGTCCTATTTTAAAAAAAAAAAGATCTTTGTAGCTCACTGATTATATTTCTTAAAATAAAATTACATCCAAGTCAGTTATTCTATTAGTAAAGAATTAATTAATTTAATTATTGATACCAACAGAGTGTAAGATATACTTATATGAGCCTATTACATAGACTTGATCCAACTTGTAAGATTAACATAAGTCTGAACCCATTGGATATTCTTTCTTTACATATATGATGGTTATTCATCTCAACGGGGAAACCTCGGAGAGCAAGCGGAGATCGTTAATATTAATAATAGTAATAAAAATAAGGGTAAGAATAAGAAATTTTTAAAGTGTGATTTTCAGGTCATTTTGGGTAGTGAATATCTCAATGAAAAATACACATACAAAATATATATATATATATATAATATGATATAGATACCAAAGGAGAGAGAGAGAAAGGGAGAAAGGAGTGGGGGGAATAAAGTAAAAAAAGAGGTTTTTTTTTTTTTTTAAAAAAAAAAGAATAATACTCCTATTTGTTGTATATATATATATAATTTTTTTCTTTACTTTTGAAATCACGGCAATAGACTACAAAAGGCATTTTTTGTACACGAGATTTTTATGATTTTTAGAGTCTGTAATTTGAAATTTCTTGTGATAAAATAAAATTATTAATAAAACCTTTTTATCTTCTTCTTCTTTCTATATTGATTTATTATTATATTTTTGTAGTGTAACTTTTACGGAAACAAGAACCGAGGGTTTGGCGTGTTTGTCATTTGTTTCAATTTTGAAATAATAAAAATAGTTATTATTATTATTATTATTATTATTCATAATATTCATAGTAGATTGTTGTATTTACATACATAATATAAATAATTCTTGTAAAATATATTTATTCTTTTTTTTTTCCTTTTTTTTTTTGAATGATTGACAAGGGCACGGATGTTCCCATGTGAAGAAGAAATGGTATATATATATATATATTTATTTATTTAGTTATTTAAACACGAGTTCCGATCTAGTGGAATTCAGTTCAATATAATTCAATACATTTTTTCCTAAATATTGTTATTGCTATTTTATAAATAACCACTATAATCACAGAAAATAAAATAAAATCACAATAATCACGATAATCACGATAATGAAAGTGCTATATTATTATTAGTATTTATGATCGACACTCATTAACACACACATACACACACTGCACAATACACACAAAACAGTTTATAATAATAATAGTAATAATAATACTGATTTTAACTATAGTTTATTAAATATAAAATAAAATAAAATTAGTATTCTAAACAGAAATTGGGAACTTCATGTGCAAAAATAATAATAAAAAATAATATTTACTATCAGCTTGGTATGGAAATAGAATGTGCTTGTGCTTGTGCTTGTGTTTGCGTTTGCGTTTGCGTTTGTGTTTGCGTTTGTGTTTGTGTTTGCGTTTTGTGCTTTGTGCTTTGTGCTTTGTGCTTTGTGTTTGTATGCTTTGGTAACAAAAATAAAATAAAATAAAAATCTTTTTTTTTTCTTTTTCATTCCTAGATGTAATTTTTTTTTATATAAATATATTTTATCTGTACGCCCAATGTCTTTATTTGGACTCATCTCAGAATCAATTCTAAACCCTCTTTTTTATTTATTTATTCTTTTTTAACCTCTATATTTTTGGCTGCCTGGTTAGTTTACTAGTTGGCTAGCTAGCTAGCTGTCTTGTCTGTCTCTGTCACTCGTTTTATTCTTTTTTTTTGCCTCTGTTTTCTGTCTCCCCCCCAACTTAAACCCCACTCTCTCACTCTCACTCTCACTCCCATTCACGCTCCCATTCACACTCCCAATTACCCACCTCCTCCCCCCCCTTTTTTTTTTCCTATCTCTCCCCCAAAGATCAAGGTCTGCGCTTTTTTTTCTGGTTCTATATTTCATGGGCGCCGTCTTTCTCTTATATATATATATATATATATATTTTACACAAATCATTGTCTGTTTCAATTTTTGCTCTTATTTTTTTTTTATTATTTATTTAAAATATATTAATCGCATTAATTTTGTATTTATTTATTTAATTATTTATTGAGTTTTTTTTTTGTTTCTTTTACTTTTACTTTTACTTTATATATTTTTTATTTATTTATTTATTTTTTCTCTCTCTTATATATATATACACTTTATAAACCACAACTAAAGCCAACAGCCAACAGCCAACAGCCAACATAATACATAAATAAGAACAATGTCTCAGAAAACGTGTTTCTGGTCTCTCTTGTCTATAACAAACCTCTCTTTTGTCTACGCCTCCCCATCACTCTCTCCACAATTCCAAAATCACGATCAGCTCATCGGTCATTCCTTACTTGACCTCATTCACCCAGAAGAAGTCACTCTTGCACGTAGAGACCTCTACAGATTTATAGACTCCAATACTCTAGCAGGATCTGTCACAAGGTCAGTTAAATACATAATAAATATAAAAGCAATATTTTTGTTTTTGTTTTGTTTCTCTCCTATTCTATTCTATCCTATCCTATCATATACTATCCTTACACTTCATTTATATTAACGTTAACATTAACATTAACATTAATATTAATTTGTATTTGTATTTGTATTATATAGATGTCGTATACAAGAACCCTTTAAAAATTCTACAGAGCAACAGGTAAATAAACATATAAGGAAAAAAAAGTATTAATTGTTAATTGCAAAACATCTTTATATATAGTATTGTTGGCCAGTGGTTGATATTGTCATGTATGTCGTTACTGATAAATTGGCCCTTGCATTCTTTCACAGAGGTAAATATATATATATAATATAATCAATGTGTACACATATATTTATATCAAAGTAATTGTTGTTCTAATTGCTATTTTCAACAGATTCTACATCTTATAGCAACCCATGTGGTGATGTGTCATTCGATAATACGGCAAGTACTTCTCAAACGACAAGAACAACAATATATACAGATATTGATGATCAAATCAATTAACCTCTTTTATACATATAACTTTCTTTATATAGCATGCCATTCTTATGAATAAACTATTGATATCCTATCGAATCAATTCAGAACCATTCAATAACCGTCTATTCAAAATATTCGATACCAAATCAAAATCCCTTCTTCTGTCCTTACCAAACAACGATACCTCCGTCTCATTACCAGATTCCTTTACCAACCACTCCTCTACTACTCAACCATCTTGCTTTCAATGCACCCAAACATCCCATCGTTCAAACCCAGTGTCATCATCCGATCGAATCACTATACCCTATGGCTCAATTACATTTGTATCAATCCAACTCGACAACCTCCCACCGTCCTATTATCGCCCAACCAGTTCCCCAGTTCAATTCCCTGCCTACTACTGTCCATCGACATCAAAATCAAAATCAACATCGCCGTCACCGTCAATATTGCCCACTACGCCCAATACAAGTTCAGATGAGATAAAAAGGTAATAAATTCCCAAAGATATATATATATAATGTTTAATATTGATATTATCATTATTGCTACTATTATCCTCTCTTAAAATATATTTATAAAATGCTTGTATGTTGCGTAAATTTTTTTTTTATTTGATCAAATTTTGTGATGGGTTAGCTGACTCTAATTATCAATATCAACACGTTTAGACTTCAAGAATTCTCCTTTTCTCATTGTCCCACAAAAGAAAGCTTCTCTACAGCACCAACTGCTACCGGCCACTACTCACCAGCACTCCCACTAAATTCTCTTTTAGCCCAACCAAGCGTGATTGAACACTCGAAAAAAAGAAAAACAAGCGCCAATATTAACAGCAGCGAAATTTATAATGATACCAACAGTGACATTGAGATCAACATTAACAAAAACAACAATCATAGTGGCGGCAACAGTAACAGTAACAGTAACAGCAACAGTAACAGTAACAGTAACAGTAGCAGTCGTACAAACAACAACACCAACACCAATAGGACTAATAATAGTACTAGCACGGACATCAGAGATTCTCGACATCGTGCTTGTACAACAGAAACCGAATTAGAACAAGAATCGACATCCTCGCCTATTTTTTTTTCTCCTTCGTCTTTTTCGCCTTCTCCATCCGCATCCTCTACTTCAATATTATCACTACTAGTCGAGGCTGGCCCTAGCACCAATACTGCTACCACTGCCGCTAACACTAACACAATCATTCCTTATGCAAGACGTCAGTCATCTTTATCTCGATCATATTCCCAATATTCTCAGCCAATACTATCCTCCACAACAGCAACAGCAACAACACAAAATAAACAACAGTCCACTTTACTTCTATCTTCTTCTTCATCGTCATCAGCATCAGCATCAGCATCACCACAATCTTTATCATCGCCTTCGTCTCTTTCGTCGTCGTCGGCGTCGGCGTCCTCACTGATGTCAAACACAAGCCCTTATTCATTGCTGTCCAAATCCGGCCAACCATTTCAAGTCCCCCGGCGTCGTGCATTTGTCTCAACTCGGAACACTCGCCATTCCGCTCAATTGGAACGCACAAGCAATAATCACAACAATCACACGCCGTTTGCCCAAAGCGCCAACAATCTGTGTGAAAGCTGTGGCACAGATTCAAGCCCGGAATGGAGAAGAGGTCCATCGGGTCACAAAACGTAAGTTGTACATTAATAAATGATAATTTAACAAATTCTGAGTAAATAAATAAATAAAAATAATAATTATTCGTTATATATGTTTATTGTCTGTGTGTAGGCTGTGTAATGCTTGTGGTCTGAGATATGCAAGATCGGTAGCTCGACAAGGTAAACTTGTACTCCAGCAACCACAAAACCTGGATATTGGTGGTGTTAGTGGTGTTAGTGGTGGTAATGGTAGTGGAAGAGAAGGCAACAATACATTTGCACGACAAAACATGTGTCCCAGTGGCAATGAAAAAGTTAATTACAAACAACCCATACAACAAAGCTATCAGTACGAGCTACAACAACAACAACAACAACAGCAGCAGCAACAGCAGCAACAGCAACAACAACAACAACAACAGCAACAACAACAACAACAACAACATCATCATCATCATCATCATCATCACCATCAAAATCCTTACCTTGCACCCTCTTCTCCTCTATCTGCCTCTTCCTCTTCTTCCTCTTCCTCTTCTTCTTGTCAGTCTTTTGAATCTCCTGTTTCCTCGTCTTCCCCCTGCTATCCCTCTGCTTATTCGCCTAATGATCATTTGCGTTATCCATTGTACAGTACCGGAGAATTAAGTCACTCCTTTAATTCGAACCAGTCGCGTCAATTGTATCACATTCAATAAAGAGGAAGAAAGAAAGAATCGCTTTTCAACCGACCAACCGACCGTCCGACCAAAAACCCAAAAACCCAAAAAAAAACCCCATAAGAGAGAGGTTTTGAAACAACACAGTACAACACAAAAAAAACAGCACAGCACAAAGCAAATTTACTATCAATATCGATATTACTATTCTTCTTTTCTTCTTCTTCTTGATGAAGATGATAGTAGTATCTTATAAAAATGTATATACACCACCCATATACATTCACTCGCTCACTTTTTTCTTTTCTTTTCATAACACCATGCCAAAAACAAAAATATCCCTTTCACATACATACACATACATACATACATAGATACACACATACATACATACATACATACATACATACATACATACATACATACACACATACACACATACACACATACAAAATACATACAAAATACCCTCCCTTTCCCTTCAGATACACTCTTTCTTTCTTCTTCTTTTTTTTTGCACAGTATATAACAGACAATTCCTATTATTTTCTTTATTTATTTATTTTTTATTTTACATGTATAATTATATACAAACACAGAAAGATGTACTATGCTTCGTTTAATCTTAGGATACACAACAAATATAAAATATATTCTTTATATATATACAAATGAAATAGGAAATTTGAAAGGGGAGAAAATGGTGGGGGGAGAGAAGGGTAGGAAAGCTGATATTAAAGGAGTAAAAAGAAAAAAAGAAAATATATAGCTCAATTTTCTTTAATAGTTAATCGATTGATTGATTGATTGAATGATTGAATGATTGAATAGTCGATTAAGTGATCGAGAATATGTTTTTTTTTTGGGGGGATTGAGATTTTAGATTTGAATTGGGAAGGAGAAATAAAGGAAATAAGGGCGGGGGGTAAGGTGAGGTGAAATGGTGTGAGGTGAGGTGAGGTGAGGTGAGGTGAGCTGAAGTGAGCTGAAGTGAGCTAAAGTGAGCTAAAGTGAGCTAAAGTGAGGTAAAATAAGGTGAGCTAAAAAGTATATATAAATATAAATAGTGTATATGGGGGGAGTGAAAGGAAGAAAGAAAAAAAAAAAAGAAAAAAAAAAGACTCTCTGTATAGATTATTGTAGATTGTGAGGATTGCAAGGCTAATTTCCATATTTAATCCCTAATTACTTTAAGCCAATTATTGTAATACTTGAACTTGAACGATTGAAGTCAATTTACTATATTAATCACAATTGGTATTCTTTCTTTTTTGGTTTGCTTTTATTCCTAATGGTTGCCAAGTTACAGGGTCCTTTATTCCAAAAATGAATACAATATATATATAAATACATATTTTCTTCTGAATCAAATCTTACAATAATTCAAGTGAACAATATATATATACTTTTTACTTATTTATCTATTCGTCATGTTAAGAAAAAAAAATTATATGATAGATTTCTAAATATTCATGTTTCAAAAAGCAACAAGAGAATTCTGGGTAACAGCATCTAAAGAACACAGATGTGTCTTGTGTGTATATAGACTTTTGAGTAATGAACCTTCTATATGTCTATTTTACTATAGAATCCAAAGACATAATTAAGTATTGTGTACATATCTGTTGAATCTCACACTTGTAAGACATCAAATAGAATAAAAAGAATATAGCATATAACACATAACAGATATACATGTGTATGTTATTTGACTTTATATTTAAGGTTCATCTCAACTAAAACCTTAACTATAAAGACACATTTATACTTTATTTGTAAATAATATCCAATAATAAGATACTCACTTGAAATCCAATAGCATACATTATAAGTTAAAGAGGTCGAAAGATACTCTTATGTGAACATAGACTATCTTTTTGGTTTTGGTTTTGGTTTTGGTTTTGATTGAAATACTTATTATTTCTATTATTAATGATAATATTTATAAATTACTTAAAAACAAAGTGTAATTATTACTGCATATTTTCCTTATTGAAGCTTTACACATGTTGACTCTGATATTTGGGAAAAAAATTAGACAAGTAAATATATATAAATGATTTATAATAGTAATGGTAATGGTAATAAAGAATTATAAAAGTATAGCGTGGAGTGGAGTGGAGTGGAGCGGAGGAAATAAAGAAAGAGAAAAAAGAAGAACAAGTGAACCGATCCCTGGTCCGTGTAAGGTATGAACTGGGTTAGTCCAACCAAAAAGAATAAAATTGTTGGCTTTTTTTCTTCTTCTTTTGATATTGCAAATAAGAATACATAGATTGTACAACGATGTCTAAATCATTAAATTATATATAATCATATACACTATTTACCTGAAATTATGTTGCAAAATTTGGAGATTTATAATACCAAAAGAAAAAGAAAAAAAAAACATGCGAACTTCGACTAGTTGGCACGACATTAGTTTTTTTTTTAAGTTAATTTGATCCGTTTAATAAATAAATAAATAAATGTATATATATAAAAATCTCTGAAAGAGTGTGTGAATTCCATTTGCAATTCAGAGTATATTAAAAAGAAAACAGAATGAGAGACAAAGTACAGGGAGAGACACATGTATATAGATTTTTATAAATATATAAAGATGTGTATCTACATATTTAAATGTACAGATATATGTATATGACATATCTGTATATCTGTATTTAATTCTAGATAGGTGTAAGGTTAAATTCTGTTTAAAGAGCTTACTTTTGAGTCTATAAATTATAAGACAATTTAATATACTTGTAAACAAAATCATTTGAAGGACGAGTGAACGAGTGAATATGAGCATGAACATGAACATGAATGCAAGTATGAGTATGAGTGGGAGCATGGGCCAATTCATTCAAAGCATGTGCAGACACACTACATACTGCATACTATATGCACAAGCAATGTCAGAATGTGTTTTAGCAGATTTTACGGCAGTCGTGTGGAATTGGCCGACTCTCGAAGCACATTTTTTCTTCTTTTTGTGGGAACCAGAATCAGATCTTGACAGGATTACAAACCTGGTGCCAAATTTCCCTCGGACAGCCCGTGGTTTTTATGTTTTTTTTTTGGTGATCACAAATTCAATCACTTTTGTCTAACCAACATAAGCGGGAAAGTTAAAATAAATAAATAAATAAATAAATAAAGGGACGTGAGATCCGTGCCTTGTAAAAAATAAAAATAAAATAAAAAAAGACCGAGCTTATGTTAAATATATTTCGGGTATTTAACTACATTCATTTTCAGACAAAGGATTGAATGCCGGAAACTGAAAAACCAATGTCGCTGGTTTAAAATATACGACTTGACTATTTGTTACGAAATATGATTTTTTCGAAACGAACAAATTTTACCAACCGCAGTTATACACGAACCACGAACCACGAACACAAACACAAACACAGGCACAAGTACAAGCACAAGTACAAGCACAAACACAAGATCACTTCTTAAGAAATTGATTAGATGTGTAACATACAAAGTGTGCAATACTGAGAATTGGAGAGATCGCCAAAAAAAAAATTACTGTCTTTTGACTGTAGACAAAACATATATTGTGCTTGTTGAATAAAAAAAAATCACTTTAGAAATCTGAATACTATACTATACTATAATTATCGCAGCTGCCACCGCAACCGCAACCGCAACCACAGCCTCAATCACAATAATTACTGTTATTATAATTTTCTAGAAAGAACAGAGATATTCAGACTTGCACAGAATGTGAAAATTTTTGGTTGCTACTTCTTTATACTAATGTTGAATATCTACCTATTACTATTGCTGTTGATGGCATTACCTTGTAGTTTATTTTATTTTTAGAATAATGGAAGTAAGTTGGATTGAATTAGACTCGGGAAAGAAAATCGTTGAGATGGTTAAGAAAGGCAACCTTATTGATCCTTGTTTTTTTTTTAGGCTAGATATATTCGTTATAATTTGTTTGATTTTTAGACCGACAGCTATATTTTTTTTGCACAAGTTATTTTGTACCTGAATCCATAAGAGTTAATCCAATCTAATTAAAGTAAAAAGCTGAAACTATTTAAATGAGATTTGTTGAAAAAAAAATCCTCCAGGGAAAATTTGATAATGGCTGTATTAAACTGGTGAGTTTATATATATCTATATTTGTGTGTGTGTGGGAGGGAGGGGAAAGGCGGAAAACCTCTAATGTTTTGGGGGTGGAATAACTCTTCAGTTGTTCTGAATAACTAATAAGCCTATAGTTTACTTTTTCTTTCATTCTCTTTTTCATAAGCGAAAGCCCAAATTCGATCTTCTATTTCATCATCATATAGAATGAAAATTGCATATTTTATTTTTGTGAGGTGTTTTTTTTTGCTGTATCTCAAGGTAGTGAAGTAAAAACATAGCTTAGATATTTTAGACAAAGATGCAGATGCACACAAATGATCTTCAGCATACTACACTACACTACACTTCACTACACTTCACTACACTTCACACAGACATGTGCGCATGTGTGCATGCGCACATGCACACAAACACACAGACACACGCACAGAAATCCACACACAGACCTACACACAAAAATACCCCAAAAAAACACATGCACACAGGTATATACAAATATGATCGCTCTTACTATCTTTCTTTATTATTGGCCAGCCCCATTTCTGTAAAATAATCCAAAACAAATACAAATACAAATACAAATACAAATACCAGCATTTTTATTTTGACTCTTTTCAGATCATTAACCCATGTTTTTTTTTTTAACTTTTAGGACTATAATGGTTAGATTTTGTACCATATTTTCCCAAAGAATATTTCCCTGTGCTTTAAAGAACAACCTGTCTTGTATGACATTTCTCTTTATTAATTTTTGTTGCACAGGCTCAGTGTCTTTGTTTGGCATTTGTATATATATATATTCTCTATAGAACAAGAAGAAGAAAAAGAAGAAAAGAAAGAAATTTTAGATATATAAAGGTACGTTTGACATTTGTGCGTTGGATACGATAATTAAATTGCTTTATTGAGAATTAAACATCATTTATATATTTATTTATTTATTCTCGATCAAAATTACTATACAAAATATTTTATTACCCTTTTCATTATTTTTATTAATATATTTTAGTAGCCAATCAGGCCACAAAGCATCTATTGCTATCTACTCATCTAACTTGATGATACTAATGATACTACTGATCTTTCTTTTACCAATGTTAGTGCTACTACAGACAATAATAGGAATTATAGAATGGTATATGGAACAATAGTAAATGTTCGTAGTGTCTAATATTGCCTTGAATCGATTATCAGAATTACTACTATTACTATTTATGAATACCAAGATCTTCTTTTCTTCTTTATTGGATTTTATACATATTGACGTTTGGCTAGTATTTCCATATTTGAGATTAGATATATATATATATTACCTGTCCCACTTTCTGGAGATTATTGGCTTGTGATCGCACAAACATAAATTAAGAAATGTTTCGATATTATTATTATTATTATTGTGATTAAATAATAATGATGTGGGCTTTGGATGAGATAATTTATAAAAATTTGGCTATATATATATATATTTTATGGTGAAAATTCACAATATATTGACCAATACTAGACGATATATTTAATGGTAGTCATGGTGGTAGTAATCATTTAATTAATTTTATTTTCTGATTGTGGGTTTGTACAAGGTGTATTTCAAATCGATCAGATAAATACTCACAACTTCTTTTACTCTGTCAGTAGGATATCCTCAAGTTTTAAACAAACTTTAATATAACGGAATGTCTGTATATATGTATATGTATGGGTTCTGTTTGAATCAAATAATACGAATACGAGGACCTATTCTACAAATCTTATATATCTGTACATGCATGCATGTATCTTTTTGGGAGGGGAGGTCGAGATAAGATAATGATATAGATAGAGGTTTGGACCAGCATTCCAATTAGAAGAAGAATAGAGAAATTTATAGAAAGTTTGGTAGAATTTATTCTTAATAGTTAGCTCCAACTCTAAAGACCTTTAGTAGATAATAAGAATGTTTATTCTTTATATATGTTTAATTAACCGTATATGGTTTAGAAATGGCTCACCACTTACCATGCTGTACTACATTTAATACTATACACATCTATATATATATATATGTGTGTGTGCGTGTGTGTACTTTCTAAACAACTTGACAGATCACTCTCATTGTAGTAGAGTTTGATTTCTATGTTCCTTTATGCTCTACATTAAACCTTTTTTTAATCAGGATTCATTTCTGCCCAACCATTCAATCTTACTAGCATAAAATATAATTGAGTATAGTCAATTATGTAAATCCTCTATATTTGTTCCAATTTAGAAAATATGATTCTCGTTAATACGTTGAATGATCAACTATTCATTAGAATATTTACAATCTTTTGATTATGATCTTCTTCTTTTTTGGTCTTTGAACCCCCCCAACACCAATACATACACATGTACATACCCATGCTTATATACTCTTAAGAATTAGATCTGTAAAGAAGAAGAAGAAAAAAACATATTTTCAGACACTTTTCTAAAGACATATATATATATAATAAAATAAAATAAAAAGGTTTCTTTTGATTTAATTTGTAGGACAAAAGCTATTGTATTTGAAAAATCGAAATTATAAATTGTTGGCAGGGAGTGACATGCATCTAACTTCATTGGTTAATCTAGAGGTCTAGAGTTTTAGTTGTGTTTTCTGTGGAAGGAAGTCCAAAGAGCCTCTTATTCTTCTAAATTATTTTCTTTCTTTTACAAAATGAAATAGAAGAAGAAGGGAGAAAATGGAAATGGAAATGGAAAAACAATAATATGTATTGCTTATTCTCCTTTATCAATTATTTTTCGATATTTTTTCCTGTCAATATATAACTACCATGCTTTTTGTGAAATTAGTGGCGGGTTTTGTGATATCTAAGACTCGGAATTTTTATTTTCTTATTATTGATAACAGATCTAAAACAAATAAAGAAGTAAAGAAGTAATAAAAATGACTTGGTTAAATAGCCTCCTCGATTGGGCTTTGATGGCTTGTGTTGTACTCCACTTATATACTATATCGGCTCTGTACAGAAACTAAACATGAACAAAGTTTAGTAAGGTATGTAATTGATCAATATATTTAGATTTATACTTGTACTTGTACTTATTTTTATTGGGGGTGTTCTTTTCTTGTTTTTTGGTTTTTAATAACTTAATAAACAGGTTCTACAATTACAGCTCTCTTTTAACAAGGCTTCTATTATTCTGTTATTCTACATATATATTCTACTCTTTACAGATCGACTGCGTACATTGTATCCAGACCACCAAAGTTAATTTCTGTAATTGTACAACAAGATTCTTAAGTAAAAGGAATACAAATAAGAATAGAAAGGTTAAAGTTACTTGCTATTCTCCTTTGTCTGTAAGAGAAAAAGAAAGAAAGACAGCGATATGCTTTAGATCATTTGAGATCATTTGTTGTTTCTTGTTTAATATAGTGTATTTTTCTTATGCTGCAATACAACAAATCAAATTAGGTTCAAGTAACTCAAACTATTCCACAAACACACGCATGCAAAGAACAAAATAAATATGGGCAGGCATTTCGTACTTACTCATTATTTGAATCACATGACTAGCTACTTATTAAATGCTCGCACTCGATTAATAAACCAACTTGTTTTTGTAAAGTGCAGAAATAAAGAAAAAAAAGACCATCTCTTACCCACGCCACATTTTTAGACTTAGATTTTGTACAGAAATGCAGAAGATGATAATGATAATGAAGAAGAAAGATGCACTGGATCTATTGATCCTTCCTTATCAATCAACAATAAAAATATAGCTTTGCAGAAAAGTACAAAAACAAAAAACTAACAAACAAATAAATTTAAAGCGTCAAGAATTCGTTTGTTCAAGTATATAGATCAGTAAATTCAGTTTGTTAATTTATTTAATTTTTGGTGTTCTAAACCTTTACAAAGAAAAAAAAAATTCATTTAAAGGGTGCTTCAAAGGGTATTGAGGACCAAATGCTTTTTTATAAACATATGTATAGTTAATAATGAAGTACGACTCAGAATTCAATTCAATTCAAATTTTAGCTTTACTTTCTCAATTTCTCCAATTTTTTTTTATCACCTCTTTATTCTTCTTCTCACTATTCCATTTCTTTAACAATATTTATATTAACCTTTTGTTAACTAGAGTCGTTTTATACTCCGCTATCTGCCGCAGTAACAGTACTTAAGGAGACCAGTCCTGAGGCTTCAAAAAAAAATACATAATCAGAATCAGAATCAAAATAATCAGAAATTCTAAGCTAATTTTTCATATTTTTCTTTTGTTATTGTTTAACCTCAGTCTACTCTTTTAACTTTTATTTATTTATTTTTATTTATTTTCTTCCTTTCTTTATTTTTTATTTTTTTTTACAAAACCTTCCTTACAACCTCTCTATCAACCTCTCTCTATATCTCTACCTCTTACTTCTTACCTTTCTATCCCTCTACTTTTTTTTTATTCATTTGTTGTGTCAAGTGCTATTAAATGACATCCAGTACTCTGTCAGAGACGTTTCTCAAGCAACTCAAGGCATTCAAAATCGATATCGACGAAGATGCGCTTGAGTACATGACTGGTATGCTGGCCGATATGCAAGTGAATGATAAAGACGACGTCCGTGGATCTACAGAGAGTTTCTTGGCCGACGCAAATGTCGACGACACCACGATGGATGCATTTTACAGTGCGGTTTTTAAAATACCCGGTAGTTCAACTGAAAGTACCAAAGAGCGGGTACCTAAACCAGTGTTACTTAAAAAGGTACCAAAAAAAGAAATAGGAAGATTACTATCATCATTATCATCATTATCATCATCATCATCATAATTATCAATATTTATATACATATACAATGTATTATTCTTATTAACATACATCTTCTCTGCCTAATTACCTGTATATCTCAATTACTATTGTTATCTTTATATATATGCTTAGGAAGTCAAGATTATAGAACAAAAACCAACTGTAGACACACCAGAGCCAATTCCCCAGGATATCAAAGAACCCGCTCGTGAATCTACTACAACTACTAATACTACTACAGCTCGAACCAAAAGACGAGCAAAGAAAGGCGCCGTAGAAGATCCAGAAGACACTACGAATAATAATAGTATCAATGACCACTCTGATACTCCCCCAACAATCGTCGCCATTTCACAACAGAGTCGGTTTCATCGTGAGACTCGCTTAGATTCGGTTACAAAGGAAATCGATCTTATGCAAGTCAACATATCAGTAAACCAGCTCGAACTACTTGTAGATGCACATCTAAAGATCAAACCAGGTGTTCGTTATGGTCTTGTTGGCCAAAATGGTGTAGGAAAAACAGGTAAATAAATAATTATTTATACTATACTAGAAACACAAAAAATTAAAATTAAGATCGGAAAGTTAAAATTAAAAAATTAAAAAATTAAAAAATTAAAAAATTAAAAAATTAAAAAATTAAAAATTAAAAAATTAAAAATTAAAAAATTAAAAATTAAAAAATTAAAAATTAAAAATTAAAAATTAAAAATTAAAAATTAAAATTTTTTATTAACATATATCATTCAATTTTTATAGTTTTGATGAAATGTATGGCAGATAATATTTTAGTGGGATTACCTCAGAATTTACACATATTGCATATTGCACAACTCGAGGTACATAGCGAAGCAAATACAGTGCTGTCAGAAGTCTTGTCTTCAGACAAAGCGGCCACGAAGATTCTTCATGAAGCCCAAGGTATATATACATACAAACAATAACAATAACAATAACAATAATACTAATAATAATAAACCAGAAATTCAAAAGGCATTGGGCTCCAAGCAATCTGCTGGGAAGCTCAACAAAGACACATCAGATACTCTCAACCAGGTGATCTACAATATCATGCTGTCTCGTGCAAAGGATGCCGAAGAGGACGCAGCAAAGATTGCGACCCGTCGATCTGGTGCCCGTGGACGAGAGGCTCGCCAACAGTTGGTGAAAATGGAACAAGAGTATGCCGAATTGGAAAACCAGAAAGACTCAAAGACATACATTACTCCACAAATGACCCATGAAATCGTGACCAGCGTTTTCGAAAAGAGCGAATTGATTGACATCAACGAAAGGAGCGCAAAGGCCCAACGAATCTTGAAAGGTATTGGATTCACAGAAGACCAGATCAATGCATCTGTCAAGGACTTTTCTGGAGGATGGAGAATGAAGATTGCCTTGGCAAAATCCTTGTTTATTGAGCCTGATATTCTCTTGTTGGATGAACCCAGTAAGTTTTGAAAATGTTTAATATATATATAGTATTAATCCAATCCCACTTATTTATTTCTCTTTTTTTATATATATATATTTTAGCCAACCATTTGGACTTGCCTGCAATTTTGTGGCTGCAAGATTATTTGATGAATGACACAAACGATCTAGCAATGGTCATAGTCTCTCACGACCGAGAATTTTTGAATACTGTCTGCGAAGAGACGATCATCTTTAAAGACAAAAAACTTCGTTACCATCCAAGTAATTATGAGGATTGGGAACAAAACACGGAAGAACAGAGAATCAGAAAACAGGCAATGTTGGATGTAAGTAATAAATTTATTTTGTAAGCGTTCTATATTAAAAAAGAAGCAATTTATTTTTTTGGAAATATACTTGTTATTATCCACAAATCAAACCTTTTCCCTATCCACCGTCTTGTTCCTTATTCCTCCTTACAAATAGGCTACTGAGAAACGCAGAAAGACTATAATGGCCAGTATACAGCAAAATCTGCAAAGAGCAAAGGCAACCGGAGATGACAAGAGACATGGCATGGTTAATTCCAGAAAAAAGGTCTGTATATATATATGTAAATATATATTAACAAAACTAATAAAAAAATGATACACTATTACAGAAACTCGATCGTTTGGGTATGGAAAAAACCGAAGACGGAAAACGCTTCAAGGTCAGTTACTATGCCGGATTTCACACCGATGCCCGCGTACAAATTGCGGTTGAGCAAGGAGTCAAGACAGCCAAGATCAAGGTTCCGGACCCACAACCCTTACGCTATCATGGTTCGGTGTTCACTCTCAAGTCAGCGTCGTACCGCTACCCAAAGGTCAAGAAAAACACATTTTCAAACTTCTCGATTGACATCGAACCAGGATCCCGGGTGGCGTTTCTGGGAGCCAACGGTAGTGGAAAGTCAACCCTGTTGAATGTGTTGACTGGTAACTTGCAGCCAACGTCGGGCGAGCTCTATCGTCACCCGATGCTCCGAGTAGGATATTTTTCACAGCACTTGGTCGACCAACTTGACCTGGAGTCAACCCCGGTCGAAGAAATGAAACGTCGATTCCCAGACCTTAGCGAGCAGGACTGCAGAGCTCACTTTGGAACGGTTGGTGTGAGTGGCAAGATCGTGCTTCGGAAAATCAAGCATCTCAGTGGTGGGCAGCGTAACCGGGTTGCGTTCTCGCTCATCCTACAGGACGCACCTCATGTCCTTATTCTGGATGAAATCACCAATCACTTGGATATGGGTACAGTCGAGATGTTAGTAGAAGCCTTGGCAGGATACACGGGTGCTCTGGTGTTGGTGAGTCACGACGTCTGGTTCTTAAAGCAACTCATGGAGAATGTGCCGAAAGAAGACTCAGATGACGAGGAAAACGATGAACCCGACAAGAGTGCGTTTTATACGGTGAAGGATGGGCAGGTCAAGCCATGGGACAAGGGTATGGATGCTTATGTGAGCTCCGTTCTCAAACAAGTGAGAAAGAACAAATAAATATATCTGTAATTATCATTATCACTGCCATTATTCGTATTATTCTTATATGAGACGTTCCTGGTGTATTAAATTCATAATTCATGTTATCTTTCTCTCTAAAGCCTTGTAAGAAAATCCAACCTTTCTTTCAATCTTTTTTATGGCAGTGTATGTAATAAAAGTGGCTTTTTTTCAAGTGAGTAAAAAATTTTAAAGAAAATTTAGTATCAGGAAGGTCTCAAATATTATTATTACTATTGTACATAAAAGTTTATTTATTTTTCATTTTTTATGTATGTCTATATATTAATACAAAGCAAAACCAGGCAAGTTCATAAAATGTAAATAAAAGTACAATACTTTGATAGTGACACATATTATTATTTGTTCGATTAAGAGCAAGAGCAAGAGCAAGAACAAGAAGTCTATTGACCAAGAGAGAAAAAGAGATATGCCTTGATTTAATGCTTAACCAAAGAACTTTTTTTTTCATAAAAAAAAGGTCTCGACACAATACACATATAATAGCATAATCACATGTAACATAAAATATGCATTATTTGACTGAAAGAGTGATGTAGAAATGGCATATAAAACAGACGGCCCTCGAGTATAAACTAATTTAGTGTAATTCTCGAACAAATTGTTCACATATTTATATTGGCATTTTAAAGGCTTTTTGTTGTGTTCATTTGTTCATTTGTTTGTTGTTTTAATTTGCAATAGACCAAGTTGTTTGTATCGAATTTGATTATACAAATGCAAATGCAAATGCAAATGCAAATGTATATTACATATAGATATATCAAGTTTACAGTACCGGCTGTGTAACTATAAAGAAGTTTGTTGAAGTACAGAGAAGGGAGGAGAGGTCTTGTTTGGCTCTTGTGAGAAAATGTGAATGTACTGTCCCCAAACTAGTGTATCTATGTGTATGTGCACGTAAAGAAAATCCGTGTAGACGGGTGGTTATATATATATATATTTATATACAGCTGATTATTAAGTGTCTACTCCTTCGCTCCATTCACCCTTCCTTATTTTATTTTTATTTTTTATTTTTTGGTTCTTGAAACAGTGTTACAAAGCGCAACTTTAGATCATACTTAATTCTCCTAACCACAACTAGTGGGATTTCCTTTCCTTTTTGTTCATTGTGATTATTTAAGCCAAAAGCAAAAAGAAGAAAAGAAGATTTAATACTGGAGCTTTATTGAATAGACAAAAATTAAATGAGAAATGTTTATATAGCCATTTCAAAGATAAATCACACAAAACCAACTAGCTTAAGAAACTATTGCGATTTCTCTCTCTCTATTAAATACATATAATACACCGTTTACTATATAATAATACTAAGAAGAAGAATATTACTATCTTACCTGTGGTTTTCTATCTATATATCTATCTATCTATCTATCTATCTATTTATTTATTTGTTTGTTTGTTTGTTTGTTTATATTACCAAGTTTCTTTGTATTGTCATACGATGATAACTGGCATTATAGGCAGGTTCCTCAACAATAAAGAAACCGAAAAAAATTAAGAGCAAAACAAAGCAGCCTCTGAGAAAACCCTGCGTCAGTTAGAGCTATTGTTTGTGTTACGTGTTGTGCATTGTGTGTGTTTCTAGTGCTTTGGCACAACTCAGGGATAATAACTGTGAAACTATCTAGACTATAATTTTCCTTTTCTCTTTTTCTGTCTCGTATAGTACTATTATTTATTTTATCTACAAGTGGGTCTGTCAGATCAAAAGTACGTTTACTTGTATCCCTTCAAGTAAATCAGAACTATCATCATATGACCACGCATGGTTCAAATTTTGCTGTAAAATAAAAAAAAAGGGATTGTCATGTTTATACTGTGATGAGGTTAAAGGAGTCAAATACCAGGTAAAATCGTATCAATAGCCTCCTTTCTTTTTTTAAAAAAAAGTATCAAAATATATTTAAGAGTGACTTTCAAGTCAATAGCAGTAATACTTGACAAATATCGATAGCATCTGCCATTATATATAAACATATAGTCTACGAGCCACTATAATTGATAAGTAGAATCAAAATCAAAATCTAATGCAACAGTTGGCCATTGTATTTAAGATGAGACCTCTGATTCATATCATGATGTGTGAAAACCAAACACATTACACTACCTAAAAAAAAGTGCATAAAAAATTGGAGGTTATATGTGATTAGTAAAGTCCGTTGAGGACTTGAAATGATCTCATCTGTGCAAAAATACTATCTATATGTTGTTTCTCTCTTTCTTAGGTCAAGCAAAAGCTACCGACTATACAGCCATTTTAGTTGTGTTGCTTATAAATTTATAATTATTTCAATTTGAACAAGTAGTATATAAGCACACATAAAAACACTATTATAAACACACAAACACAAACACAAACACAGACTGACAGACTGACAGGCTAACAGGTTAACAGGTTAACAGGCTAACAGGCTAACAGACTGACTTCATGACTTATATATAATGGTTTTTGTGCGATTATTTTCTTTTTTCTTAATTTATACTTCTTTAGCAGTTTTAAATACTACCTGAATAATATATAAGAGTATCATAGCAACTCACGTGCATATCTGTATGTATATATATGTGTGTGTGTATCTGTGTGTTTTATATATATACTTATATATATATATATATATGTATCTATGTATGTATTTGTTGATTTTAAGAACTGCGTCTACGAATAAATAATATTTGTTTATAGGATTTTTGTTTTTGTTTTTTGCTTCTAAATACCATCCTTCTTCTTTATCCACGATCATAAGATGTCTCTGCAAAGTACCGTCTCTTTATTTATTTATTTATTTATTTATTAATTTATTTATGTATTTTATGTATTGAACTTGTTAAGAAAAGAAATATATATATATATTGTTCTACTTGAATACTAAAGCAAAACAATACACACATACAACACTAGAGCTCATTGTCAATATATATTAATCTAACCTTTATCATTTTATCTTTCTTTCTCTTCTTTATCTATATATTATTTACAAAATATTTCAAATAAAAAGGAAGAGAAAAAGATAACCATGCTTCAATGTATCAGTTCATGTGGAACCGTAGAACCAACAGCAGATTTCAGCCAACTGCAAACGATAGACAAAAGGCTGTCGAACGAGCCCAGCTTCAGTTCCCCATTCGAATGAAAGAAACCGTCTTTAATCTTAAACAAGACAAAATATTCGCTTCTGATTGGATAAACGACATCAGTGTGCTTGCAGGTACAAAGGACAACAAGGTAGAAATCACAATAATAAAATACACATATAATAATAACTATTTTAATTTATTTATTTTATATATGTATATATAATTTTTGCTCAACCATCATTCGTTCTCCCCTCCCCCTCTTCTTTACCTTCCTCACACCACATGAAAAAAATATCACTTGTCACTTATCCACTCCCTCCTCTTTACCATTTCTTTTTGGAATACTGTTAGTTACTATTGCTCGACCAGATTCACAACAACGTATTCGAAATTCCACTTATTGAGATAGACAAGTTACAGTACCAGCCAATTCATTCCTCGTACTTGTCCAACCCTCGAAAACTCCATAAATACAACAGCTACACCTACGACTACAACTATAGCGACTATAGCAGCAACCATTATAACAATGATGACAATTATGGTAATATTAACATTAAACGATTGGTGGCCACAAACCCAGAGCCAGTGTATGAAAAGAAGGGTTTACATGACGACTTGATACTGTGTGACCCGCTCAGTCCTACAAGCCAGCAAATATCTCGGTTCTCGAGTGTATTGTTATCATCATCATCAACACCAGCATATTCCGCTTATTCTGCTTCCGCCTCTGCTTCTGCTTCTGCTAGTTCTAGTGCTGGTGCTGATACAGATGCTGTTTCTCCTTCTTCTGGCTGTCAGGGTATTCGATGTGTAGCCACAAGCCCAAATGGCTGCTATGTAGCCGTTGCATTGGCTGATCCTGCTGTTGTGATGGTTTACCAATTGCCAACGATGCGGGGTGTGGCAATTGCAGAAGGCCACCGTGATGCTGTGTTTAGCGTGGTTTGGATTGACGAAGATAGATTCATGACAGGTTCTCGGGATGGTTCCTTGCGGGTGTGGAGTGTCAATGATGCGATGGATTGTGGAACTAATGGCGTCGGCCATACTATCAAATGGCTACGACAATCCTGGACGTCTTCTTCACGTACTACCACGAGCACGAGCAAGTCCAAGACCAAGAGTAAGGTGCGAGACTTGAAATTGATCAAATGTAACGGTACACAAACGGCGACCAGTCTAACTTCCAAAGGAACCGTGCAATTGTGGGATATCAACACTTTACAAAGGGTTAGCTATGAACATTTTTTTTGGGAGGTTTTATATTAATATAGAGTTAATGAACATTATAACAGTACACAAACACACATGTATATATGTATATGTGATTTTACTTTAACTAACAGAAATTTCATATACATATAAAATTACAAATTGTAGAAAAATGTCATAAAACTACCTTTTACACAAGAACTAGTGTGTCTGTCAGTACAACCTAATAATAGCAGTCTGATCGCCGTTGGATCACAAGCGCACATCACTTTTGCTGACCCTCGTCAGGAAAGATGTGCCCAAAGCTTTAATTCTCAAGATGAATTCTGGGGTGTACGATCGCTTGCGTTCGGGAGTGAGCATATTCTGACATGCGGAGGGGGAAGAGGCCGGCTTTCGTTTATCGACACCAGAATGATGGAATTCTTACCGCTGTCAAAGTCAAACAACAACAGAAACACTAATAACAAGAACATTAATCATTATAATAACTATAATCCTAGCAATACCAGTAATGATGATAATGATGATAACAGTGATAATGGTGGGGATGATACAACTAGAACTCAAACTAGAGCTGGGACTAGGACCAGAACTAGAGCTTCAGCTGCGACTGCTAGTGTTTATCACAACTCAAGCTCAGAAGGCTGGCTAGATCGTGATTCTCAAATGTACAAGACTCATTTCACTGGTATTCAAATACCTCCGGCTATCTACACTACGGCTTACAATTCCGATGGAACTAAACTGTTTACAGCAGGCGGACCGATACAATCTGGTCTTAGAGGATGTTATGCCGCTGTTTGGTTTTAGATGAAGTTATTCTTATGTTATTATTATTTTTGTATACATCATCATAATCATCATCATCAACACATATCAAACCAACAAACATCAAAACTGCCAAAAAAAAACCCCATATTTTTTTCTATTAATTTTAAATTAATTTTAAAGAAAGCATCAATAAAATAAAATTAACCTCTTTGTTCTTGTACTCTTCTTTACACAAAGTACACATAAACACAAACACAGATAATAACCATTCTTTTGTATTATCAACGATATTAAAGCTACCGACGATACCAATACTATCATCTCTACCTACCGTTCAAAACTCTAAAGACCAAAAAAAAAAAAAAACTACTATGGATCCCGGACGTAAAAACCTCGAGAATCTTAAAAAGTCTCCAAATCTAGTGAGCGAGGAGCCTTCGATTATTACACCTACCAATCAAACGGCAATTGGGAATCTAAGTTGGAAGGACTTTAAATGCCTGCTTGCAAAGAGAAAGGCTGAAGAAGAGCGGGTGTATGAAGCAAACGAGAGACGCAAATCTACCCACCAAGACATTGACTCTACTATTAATACGGACGCAAATTGGGACTCAAGAACAGGATATCAAGATGCAGCACATGCACCGCACCAGAATAGTAGTGAATATCCTTAAAATATATACACAAAGATTATGTATTATAAAAGTAAATAAATAAAAATTCTATTATAAAAAAATATCAAATATACAGAGAGGTCACAAAGACCGCTCTATATTTTTAAATTTAAATTTCTATTTTTACTTTATACTTTATTTATTTTTCTATTTTGAGAAAAATGAATGAATTTTGTACAATTTTTTTTTTTTGTGTTTTATTACTTTAAATTTCTATTTTATTTATATATACATACATATACATAAAGTATATATGTATATTGTATATAAATTTATTTTTTATATCTTTTCTTTAGAACCTATCATTTTGCGGAAGCTATTTTCTTTTTAAGACAAATTGGTTGGAGATTTTATTTTAATTTATTTATATATAAGCATTAATTATTAGCATAAAAAGAATTAGACTTTTTATTTATCTATTTAATATCTTTACTTCTTTACTTCTTTACTTTTTTTTTTATATTCTTTCTTATCTCTATAAATATTTTCCAAAGATATAACTATATATACATACAAACAAAAAATGTCTTTCCACCGATCAAATCTTCAAAATGGCGGAAATTTCCCTGCACAAGATAACAACAACAACAATGATACCAGACCCACACAAAGACAACGCGCACTAACTACATTAAAACAACGGTGCTCGTTTGGCAGTACTGGCAATAGTGGTGGGTCCAACAAAAAGAAATATTCAAGTATCACGGACAATTATAATGGCAAGAGCATCGAAGGAGCCAGACCATCCGCCACATTCTTATCAAAAACAAGATCTGAAGACTTTTATCATTCGTCCAATTTATCATCACCATCACCTCTGTCCTCATCCTCACACTTGAACTCGTACTCGTACTCGCCATCTCAATCCCAATCCCAATCTCTATCGCGTCCTCTCTATTCTCGGGCCAATACAACCTCAAGAGCTGCCAGACCCATATCAACCGGATACCTCTTGGGTGACGATAGTGACAGTGAAACATCAACTGAAACAATGTTTTCGCGAAGACGCATGAAGCCCGAAACAAAACCCGCCTTTAACAATCTGAAATTATGTGTACTTCGAGCAATTGGATTAAAGAACAACAATTTATCATAAGAAATAATCTTTGTTAATCAATAACAGCAATGGCAACTAAAAGCAAGCATGATATATAGATTATATGAATAAAGATAAAACATAAAAATAAAATGTGCATTTTGGATAAAATAAATAAATTAGATATATATAAATATATATAGATATAGATATTACAATAAAGAAATAAAAGATGTATAATCTTTCAATCTTTATCTATTTTTCTGTATTGTTCCTATTGATTGCCATTGAAGCTATTATTATGACTATTGTTATTATAATTTATAGCGGACGAAAATAGTTTCCTGGTACAAGACCTCGTATTCTAGGGCCTGGGCCTTGCTGTTGAGGATTATTCTGTTTTGGAAGAACCTCGGCTACCCACCAACCATCTGGCTTTTTGTACAAGATAGCCAATATGTCGTTCTTGGCAAACGAAATCTCAGTATCAATCTATCATAGATATACACAAGAAAATACATAAAAGTAAATGAAAACAGCCTACTATTATTATTCAATTTACATAAAAAGATATTTATTTATTACCTTTGCTTCAAAATTCCACAACGCTTGTGCTATTTTTTTTTTAAGAAAAAATGAAGCACCAATTGGTTTGTACTTCCATGTGAGTTTTCCATTGAATATAATATAATATAAAATAAAATAAAATCTGATGTTCAACCAGAACATTCTATTCTTACCATATTCTTCTCCTGTGGTACCCTCATCGTCAATTGGATTGGATAATTGCATTAGACTCGAAGGATTTCTGGGATCTAATACTACTCCCGAAAGATTATCTAAACATCTTCCTCCTGCTGCTGCTGTTGGTGTTATAGTCACTGCTTCTGTTCCTATTGTGGTTGTTGCTGTTATAATAATTAATATCATTAGCATAACAACAATTCTTACTCATACTTTGTGGGGACATTGGCTGGATAGTAGAACTGATGGACAGGGCTTGTTTCTTCTTTTGGCTGTTTGAAAAAACCATTGAAAATCGCCTGCTCTTTGATTTCTGTGAATCACACGAATTATCTCGGATCGGAGAACGATGGATACTATTGCTAGTGTTATGCTGATTGTGGTAATCTGGACTACTCAATGACTTTTCTGATTTCTTGTTACTACTGCTGTGGTGAGACTTTTTGAAAAAAGTAAATACTGAAAGTCGATTTGGATTCTTTCCCCTGTCCTTATCCTTGTCTTTGTCTTTTTCCTTGTCTCTACGTGGTGAGACAGAAGGTGTCATTAGAGGAGACGGCTGCTGGTATCCATAATCGGTTGGTGATTCAAGTGTAGCGTGGTTATTAATATTATTATTGTTGTTGTTGTTGTTGCTGCTGTTATTGTATCGGTAGATATGCTGTCCGGGTGACTGTAAAGATGGAGATCGACTGTGTTTCCATAACTCAGGGTCTCGGTCTCGGTCTCGATCTCGGCTCTGGTTTTGGTTCTGGTTTTGGTCACTATGGTCACCATGGTCTGCTGTTTGGTTTGGAGTCAGTAGAGCGGATCGTTGCCGATAAGTGCTACTAGCATATAGACTATTATTATTATTATTATTATTATTATTACTACTACTGATAGTATAGTTGGGGTTATTGGTAGTAGAATTATTGGCGTTGATAGAATCTAATGACGTGTTGACAACTAGCTTTGAGAAATCTCCTGAACGAGATTTACGTTCGAGTTGATTTTGAGCTATAGAATATAATGCGGGTAAAATATTAATATTAATATTAATTTTTTTTTTAGAAAAAAAGTATATATATATATAGATTTAAACTTACCTAGAGTTGAAACAGGTGTATTGGAGAGATAGTCATTGTATGCATGCCAGTCAGGTAGATTATCGACACTTTCTGCAGGAGCCAGCTGGGTGGCGTACGAAGAAAATATCATGTTGGCGTCTTTGGGTAGGGATGATGTTCGTTGGGGAAGGTCGACAATCGAAACTGCATGTCTCGGACTACGTGGGATATGTTCCAGATCATGGACTTGCTTTGTATCATACTTATTAACATTACTGTTATTATGATTACGATTTTGATTGTGATTGTGATTCTGATTCTGATTAGTATTCTGCCCAACTATTCTGCCGTTAGACTCTTTGCGGGAAAATGCAGGTCTATCCCAGGATTCCTGTACAAATACGTGTATAAATAAATAAAAAACAAACCACTAACGAGCCAATTATATATTTGTTTTTGTCAATGTACCCGAAATAGTCCATCCGTGGGTGATTTATCTAGCGCTGGCAATACAGGGATTAACGTATTTTGCAACATGTCCGAGCTGGTTACAGAAAACATAAGTTGTAAGCAATTGATATATGTCTATGTAATATTTTTGAGTTTTCTGAGATTATTATTCTATTACCTCGAATCTGCTGTACGAGTTTGGCTGATTTCTCGACCAAGTATATTAGAGGTATCTTTGAACGAAAGTCGACTGTTTGTACTGGGAATAATAATAGAGCTTTCTCTATCTGACTGTGTAGATAGATATATCAAGCAGAGAAGGTAAGAATAACAGTCATAGTAATTCTTTCTATTTCTTTTCTTTTTACCATTTGATGAACAAACTTGGTGTCGGCTATTTCTGAAGTCAGTGGTAGCATCCTCAGTTGATCATTTACTGACCGTAGCTCTTCATCTGCTACTGGAATATTGATTTCATGAGTATTTCTACTATTTGAGCCCTTTCCTTCTGAGTTTACAGACTGGCTGTTGTTACGGCTATGATTTAGATGATTTAGGTTTAGGTTGAACAAAGGGTCATTGTGGTCATTGTTGAAAGGTACAAACTGAGGTATATTTGGTATCGTCGTACTGGTACCCTTTTTATTGACAAAGGCATTGGTGTCGCCAGAAATGTCGATAACTTCTAAAGATGTACGAATTCTTTCACAAGACTTGAAGATTATTATTATTTTATATTTATATGAATATATGTATTCTTCTTTTCTTTACCTGATCATCTACAACATAGACTGTCGACATCATATTGGCATATCTAAAATATTGCAATTATTGATAAAACATTAATATATGTACACAAAAAAATTAGCAAAAAAAAAGACTTACGACCAAATCGTACGACGTAGATAATCAATTCTGTTTTCTTCGAGTTTTTGAAATGTCTCGCATGTGTTTCTCCAATCATCGACCCATTGTTTTGATACTGATTCTAGGTCTTCTAGCGATTGCTTATATGACTGTTCTGAAATGTTGTATAATATATATATATATACGAAGCATAAAAAGAAGAAGAGGAAAAGGGTACATGTGTATATATATTATAGAGAAAAATAACAATGGGACTTATCAGTACAATATTCTTTCATATTTTTTTGTACTTGGTTTTATTGACTACCCTATTAATTATAATATCTATACTCATTATAATAACGATACTAAGCATAGTAGCTATATTAATATTCAATTTACCTAGACTTGAAATAATGTGTAGGGACTATAATTCAATAAAATAGATAGAAAAAACACCAACAGCAACAGCAATGGTAATAGTAATTATGATGGCAATAAAGCATAAAAGAAACAGAGCAAATGATGTGGTTCAATAACAATAAAGAATTGTGGTAATTGTAATAACAGGATATTAGTTGAGCTCGTTTAAATATATACCCATCTTTATTTATTTCTTTAAGGAAAGAATAAAAGAAGCTAATTGACTATGCATATATAAGAACATAGATTATAGATTATAGATTATAAAGAAGAAAGAGATATGCAATACCTGCTGTATTTCAGATCTCGCATTATAATCCATCAGACTATTTGCTCTAGATAATTTGGTACATTCGTCCATGTACTTTGACTGGGCCTGTACAGAAATCAATTCATCATTATTGTATTATTATTCAATTTAGTATAAGCTCTGCATTTCTCCCTCTTTTTCTTACGTGCTGCATTCCTTGAATATATCTGCTCTTTAGGTTCTGAGATTCACCTACGCGTGTTGTAGCCTAAAATGTAGACATTTCGATTAACAAACAAGCCTTGTGGGGGGGGGGGGGGGGGGGGTTATGGGTTTATTCAAATTCAACTTCAACTTCAAATTCAAATTAATCCACATTTACATATCCACAAATCTCTATACACATATTTATAAATTTTGGGATCTTGCCATTTTCCATTGCTCTTTTTGGTTGCGGATGAATCCTGCCAATGGAGTTTCTAAGAGTTGCTTGATGTGCTGGGCAAGATCAATGTGAGCACGGGCTGCTGCTTCTGTTGCGGTTGGTATGCTTTCGAGTGACTCAGAAAATGTACTGTAGCTTTCTTCAAATTCAGATAATGATATTTCTGAGAGTTGCAATAATCTCTGTCCATATTCCTCTTCAATTCGTGCCCTGTTTTATTCGTTTATTCGTTTATTCGTTTATTCGTTTATTCGTTCGTTCGTTTGTTCGTTCGTTCGTTTTTTTATGATCATAATAATCATAATAATAATATAAGAAAGGAAGCCATTACATACATACATATATATAAATATATATATAAAATTAATAAATGCATAATAACATGCTTTCGTTGTTAAATGAAATAAATGAATAGATTTGAATAGCAAAATATATTATAGATATCTTTAATATATATATATATATATTTGCCTCTTTTCAAAAACTGTTCGTATTGCATTGCAGGTTGAGTTGGAGTTTTGCATTCGTTCACTTAATATGTTTAGAGCTTTGTTATCTTCGGCCTATCAAATGCCTTTGTGAGAAGCTAAGCATATATAATAATGATAAAAAAAAAGGGATTCTTTTGTTTATGCAATATAAAATATATAGATAGAAAAAGTACCCAAAAGTGATCTGCTATTCGTGATTTCGCCATGATGAGGTTTTAAAGAAATGAGAAAGGTTGAATTGGAAATGTAATGTCCAATAAATTTGACTGGGCTGTTTTTTTTTAAAAAAGTGGTTTCTTTTTTTTGTTCGTGTGCGTATGCGTATGCGTATGCGTATGCGTATGCGTATATGTGCACTTGCACTTGTGTTTGTGTATATGTATATGTAGATGCTTATATATACGTTTTTTTTTGTGTTTTTTTATGCTTTTTTCCTTTTTTGAAGACCGAGAAAGTCTTTATAGAGAAAGTCTGGCTTCTAACAAAAGACCTGCAGTAAAAATGGGGGGAGGAGGAAAGGGAGAGAGAGAAAGAGACAGGGTATCAGTTTATTGTAGTAATCTTTGACAAAGAAGAGGAAGAAGAAGAAGAGGAAAATAAAGTAAAATAATAATAAAATGCTTTAAGGTGAGACTGCCCAGCCTTTTTTTATATATATATGTGTTTGTGTTTAATTTTTTTTTAATGTTTCCAAAACTGCATGCCTCGTGTTATTTATATATTTTTATATATTAGTATATACACACATATACATAATTTATATAGTATTCTTATGTACTGCATTGATAAGTCAATGAACTTCTTTAAAACAAACAATAATCAAGAGTAAGAAGTTTCATATTAAAGCATAAATTTTTTGACATTAGTTTGGTTTAGCTAACAAAAGTCAGAATAGACACACAAAGCCCATACTTTTATTTTATTTGAAAAGTATTAAAATATATAGATAGCTAGCCAGTCAGCCAGATAAACAGTTACATAAGAAAGAGCAAAAGAAAGAAAGAGAGAGAGAGTACAGCTGTACAATCCACTTTATAATCCTTTTCAGCCACACTCGAAATATATAATATTATAATATAATAAAATGGTGAGGTGTAACAGATAGCACACATTTCGTTTTATTATATATATTAATTTATATTTTTATATTACCCACTCTGTGTACAGTTCATAATGTTGCACTTTTCCTTCCCGAAGATCGGCGGGCCAAATATGAAGTAGAGACAGAAAGAAAGAAAATTCTCGATCAAAGTGAAGCACAAAAGTATTCAAGTGCTATATCCCAGACAATTGAAAGCTATGTGTGCATGTGTACTTTACACTTACATTTACGTCTATGTGCTTGTACGTGTGTTAATGTGTGTAGTACTCAAATGATAACGTTTTAGGCTCTCAACTAAAATAATGATAATGATAATATTAAGCTTAGGCTTGGTGCGGAATAGAATCCAAGGTTGTATCACCTGTCTTGACGCTATATAGTTGTCCATTAGCCGGCCTATCTAATATATATAACATCTGTACATGTGCATTTGAGTATATGCCCGAGTGATTGAATGAATGAATGAGTATAAATATCTATTTAACGGTCGGCGCCTGACGGTCCGAACACAATACATTCATATGCCTATGATTACAAATTGAAGGCTATATCATGACTATCCTAATATTACTATCACCTACTTTTGATAGTATTGTGTGGTCACTATAGCAACATCAAAGTAATTCAAGTATAAATAAATAAAAAATAAAAAAGAAATCACCATAGAAACAAAAAAGAAAATAAAAAACAAGCCTTTCTTTTTCAACTCCGTACTCATCCAAAAGAAAAAAAAAAGTGTGGTGTGTGATGTGTGTGTGGTGTGCGTGTCTGTGTGTGTGTGTGTCTGTGTGTGGGGTGTTTATCATGTGACTGGGATGCGACACATGGGTTGTCAACCCTTCTTTAGTCGACCCTTTTTTTTCTTGCTTGAGTCTCACCTCCTTCCTGATTCCGCGAGTCAAAGGGGGAAAGGGAGGATGCTCCAAAGACTCTTTCGCAGCAAAGCAGCCTCTAGAGACAACGATGATATTTATACGCAGTCTCTTTTAGAATCCGAACCGTAAGACAATCCACAGTGTATTCCTTTTTTTTTCTCTTCATTATTTTTTATTACTATTATCGCTTTTCTTTGTTGTTGCCATTCGTAATCTCTAACTAGACCTCTACCTTCCCTCATTAACTATACTATCTCTCTCTCTTTTTATCTCTCTGTCACTTTCTTTTAATAACAATCATATTAATAATAATAATAAAAAGATGGTCTCCGATACCCCTGAAGGAAGGACACATCCGGATCTTATTCTGCCAAGATGCAGGCGATTCAAACAAAACAGTTCTCTACGACTCGGACCTACCAGCTATTCTAGCACAAGATGCCCGAACACCAACAGAAATGGCCCGTTCCTGGAATGGCAATCAACTTCAAGCATTGACAGGGCGAGTAAATCTAGAAATGGACTCATTGATAGGGAGAAGACAAGAATTTAAACCACACAGTTTACGTGCAACACCCTCATTGTCGATGCATGACCAAGGTTCATCACACCAGCAACGTCAAGTAAGAAGAATTTTTTTAAAAAGATTTAAGAAGAAAAAAAAGAAAAAGAAATAATTTTGTTACTTTTAAAAAAAAACGAAACGAAACGAAACGAAACATCTAAAATCGCAATTGTTTCAACTCTAAAAACTCGACCCTTTCGCCCCCATCCTTCTATATATCTTTATATATGTACACCTCTATTTTTAGGCAAATCGTCGGCTAGATCTAATTGGAGACATGATATTTGGTACAGCACCATTAGCTTACAAAGGGATGAATACCAAAGTCCACTACAAACGAGACAAGGATCCACAGATTGTACTATCAAAACTGTTCACACTCCATCCACGTGACTCAGAGGGAGGAAGGCGGACGTCGTTTTCTTCTATTAACAGTGACAGATCTACCGCTTCTTCTAGAAGTGGGTTTTATGGAGACGAGACCAAACGCTCTGTGTCTGCAATGTCAATGCAATCTGTATCCATGGAAGATACGACATCTGAGCAATCGAGTGACGACGAAAGTCGCTACTCCGCATCCATTTACCCTCCAATTTTGGGACTCCGGACTCACTCAAGGCGATCATTCTGTTCAAAGCGATCTCGACGATTCAGTCAGACTACTTTAGAAAACGGTACCTTTCGTCCAATGCCTCTCCCAAGCACTCGATTATCTGTGGTGAGTTGAAAAATAATTGTTATTCTAATGATAATTACCATTTCACATTTAACCCCTACCAATCTCTTCCCAAACCCCCCTTATTTTTCTTAATATATATGTACAGCCCGTACGACATGCCTCTCGATCAGTCAAGTACGCACTTGCTATCGTTATCACCTTGGAAGACAAGAACAAGACATTGTATGATTTTGTATTCTCCCACTTTGCCCTGATAGAAAACAGAATGCATCAATTGCAGACAGAAGCCTTTAGAGTACTCTGTAGTCATTTTCGTACACATATTCCTCCGACTTCTCAGGTACCGGTAAGCCAATATTTTCTTCTTTTTATATGTAAAATGAAATGGCACAATAACAAATCAAAAATTCAAAAAAAAACACGCACACACATTTTGCAATGAAATATAATATAATACAATACAATAAAATTGACCTTGCCAAGCTAAGGAAAACCAAGACAAATCCGTCCCATTTGAGCCCAAATATATTCCAAAATGAACACATTATGATAGAAGCTGTCCATCAATTCAAGAATGCGTTTTACGAGCTGTATGGAACACCACGCATTCAGGTAAACTTAATTACCACATGTAAACATACGTACACACACACAAGTATATATATAGATATATAGATATGTGTATGTGAGTGTGTGTGTATGGATATACATATATACATACGTGTGTATGCATGTATATATATATATATATATATATATATATATTTCAAGGGTTGGAGGCAGTCTGGCCAACGTTCCCTCCCCTTGCATGAATTGTTGTTAGGAACCCCTGTGGTTGAACATGTCGACATTTCCTCAACGCAAATCAGATTACAGCAAGAGTCTGATCAAAGAGTTGGTCCATTTGATCACCGAGTTTGACAACAGGGCCCACAATTATCTTGTATCCACCATGATTACAGCCGTTCTTGCTTACCATTTGTCTTGGGTCAATACAGTTGCTCCACCAGAAAATGAAGTTGTAAGTCAATCCCACACAGTATAATATAATATATAAAATAAAATATTTCATCGCATCACATCATATCACATCATATCACATCAAACCTTATCACGTCACGTCACGTCACGTTACATCACATCCTATTGCATCAATTCGCATGAATAAAGAAAGAAAAAATAAATACAATAAAACGTTATTAGTATTAGTTCAACCTAGATATCAAAATAATAACATTATTGCCTGTGTGTCTGTGTAGAATATTGGTTGTCATCACGGAAATTATGACCCTCTGTGGGCTCAATTGAGGTACGAGCCTTTTATAGTTCTCCGTATTTATTTTTGGGATCCATTAGCTATTTTATAACAATTTATCTTTTCTTTATATATACATATGTCTGGTTTAATTTTGATTTTGATTTTTAATAGTGATATGTATGGTTACGTTGGAACACCTTCTCGAATAACAAGAACAATAGTCATTGGCCAGAAAGCCAGTACTGTTCGACGTATATTGTACATCCTTAGCTATCTTATACGATGCAATGAGGTATACGAAAACTTTGAATCCTTGCTTGATCCAGAGACAGTTGATCTGTTTGGCTGCGAAAGAGGAGGCGATGAAAGTTTTGCGCTAAAGCTGGAGGACAAAATTGTTCGTCAACTGATCGGGTCATCTACTGACTTGGAGTCAATTGCGATCCCAAAGACCCAGCAGAGACCCGATCTACAGACATACCCGACAGAATCCCCAGAGTCAATCACAACAAACTCAAACTCAACGTCGCTCAGCACAACCCCAAATATGTACACATCACAATGGCCCTCTTCTACTGACGTGTTCAATGGAACCAAAAACACAGAAAAATCATGGGCCAAACAGCAGCCTCAACAGCAACAACAGCAACAGCAACAGGCGGACGGTAGTCAGAACAAAGTTTCGTCAAATACAGACACAGACACAGGCACAGGCACAGATACCCAAAAACCCATAACCGAAGAAAAAACCAAATACTTTGATAAACCTGTTATATCTCCTTCTGGAGTGTACCCAGTAGAGATGCCAAGGCAAGTTTTTATTATACACAAAATATTCGGATTATATATATATATATATATCTTATTCTTATACACTATTGTATTCTACTCGCAGATCTTCAATTTTTCACATGGAACCTGATATTACACAAGTAAAGGATAACGGTATTCCAACTGATCCTGCAGATCGGTTGTACGCCAAATCTTACGGTCGTTCTCTTATGGCATCCTATTGCGAAGGATATAAATCCGATTTTGTTCTTATGGGCATGCCGAATACTTTATCCGATACTCAATTAGAACAAGATATGAAGATGACACTACAACAGTTCTCATTATCAGACTCTGTATCCGAATCTGCCTGTCTTGTAATTGACACAAGTTTATTGTGAGTATATATAAACGTTTTTCTCTGTTAATTAGAATATATTACATTATATAATGTATGCATATGTGTGTATGATTATACTCACCAACATAATACTAATAATTAAACATTCTATGTAGACGTTGCCGAGTATTACATCAACAATTATCTGAATTAGACGAGCATCATATGTAAGCCATATTATCCAAACGGCTTACAATTATATGTATATATATATATTTATTTTTAATGATTTTACAGTAACGGAACAGCTGAAGTTATCTCAAATGGCTGGCAAAACGTACGTCTGTCCAACCTTGTTTTTGACCTCTTGGCAGAAGTTAAGCAAAAGAATGACGCAGGATTATCCCCAGATGAGGTAATATATACTTTTCTTCTTAAAAAACAATAGTAATCTAATTTTCCCTGTTCTTGTGTGTATGTTTGTGTAGCTTGTGGAGTTATTCGAAGATGGTCTTCAGCTCATCTATTTTAGAAGTACACTTTTACAAGAGCGAGTTTATGAATGTATTGAGACAGGTGCCTTGGATCACCTTGAAGATCCAAATGCACTGGCGGCTGATATTGGGTAAGAAACTTAGGATTTGATTAAATATTGAAATAGGATCTTCTTGAGAATAATCATAACTAATGATGTTATATATCATGTATATATATTTCATAGGGTGCATGGAAATGATATTCCACTTCTTGTAAATGTATGCAGTACATATGGTAGTAAAGTATGGGATGTTCTTGGCCCATTTGTGTCTCAGGGTGCACATTGATATATCTCTTTTTCTTTTCTTTTCTTTCTCTCTTTTTTTTTATATTCATTCTAGTTATATTCTTGTCCATTCTTTTTCTTTGTTCGTGCATACATCCTTTTTTCTCATACTTCTTCTGTTTCATGTGTACATAGTCTAAGAATAAACAAAGAAAAAACAGCGCTCAAATGGGCAAGAAATATATGTATGTGTGTATTTGAATATCATATTTAATAGAGAATCCACAGTGGTTTGTGTAATTAGAATATTCAAGTCACACCAAAAGACATATTTAAATGGGACGACTTGGAGCATCCACAGCGGTTTATTTAAACCTGAAGTTCCATCTTTTTATTGCTCGAATGTTATAGTGAAGCACTGAATTTATATATCCTTTGTTTTGTTTACAAAAATGATTTAACCAATTTTTTTTAGACAATTATTTACTGTAACGGTATAAAAACTAAACTGATCCTAATATGGACAGCCAATGAAAAAATTCTCTGACCTATAGGCCCAGGCAGTTGAAAAATTACTTAAAATAGCAGTTTTTCCTTTTTAGGAGAAAAATATGTCAATACTGAAATCTCATACTGGGAAAAAAATCGGGTTTTTTACCCATGAAAGTCTTCTTAAAATGCGAATCTTGAGTGTCATATCAGACGCCAGAGGTAAAGTATGTTTACCTTATACTACTACATGGTTTATATGATACTTTATTCATCAACTCTATTTATTTTATATTGTCTTTCTTACTTCAACATCTTTTAAAATGACTCATACGAAATGCATAATTGTGTAAATATATATATTTAATTTTTTATTAAAATGTATTGTAGCTGATAAAGAATAAGGTGAATAGATAATATGATAAAGAATAGTAACAGATAAGAATAATGAGTAACAGATATATGGTAGTGTATATATCACGGCTTTTAAAAAAGAGTATTTTTAATTGTTAGGCTCGTAGCTAACCCATCTAGCCTTTTTCTTAGCTTTGGGCTTCGACAAAACAATGGGGTGTCTATTTGAATTGAGTGAAGGTGGGGCGGCACTTATAGCAAATGGTTGCTGAGTAGGTGGAGGAGTAAAAGGAGCAGAGGTAGAGAAAGGAAAAGGCGACGTTGAATGAGTAGTAGAAAGAACAGGAAAGATAGGCAGTTGAGACAAGCTGGCGTTGGTATTTACGCTTTGAGAAGCATTGTTGGTAGCCATGAGTAATTGCATTTGTGAATTTAAACACTGTTGCTGGATCATGAGGATTTTTATGTCCTTAGCCAGTTGCTGTGTCGTGTTCATCAGAAGCCAATTCTGCTGGTTACTTTGTTCAATGAAGTTGTTGAAAGAGTTTTCATTTTTCTCAAATCGGCTGTCTTGTTGTTGCTGCAATCGTATGATCCGATGATTTACTTCTGTCACTCTGTTGGCTACCTCTTTGTTCGTATCGACAATGTTAGGAACAAGGCTTTCATACTCTTCTAGTCTACCAATGGAAGGGCTGGTAATGGCAGCTACAATATCCTCTTGGAATATTCTGAAGCTGTTACTTGAGAACGGAAGGTTTCTTGTGTTGATGTGCTTGTTTTCTTTGTTCAAGTACAAGTAAATGGCTGCATCTTGTAAGATTATTCTTCTGCATCGTATCAGGAGTCGTAAAAATCCGCGCTTTGCTGTATTGATACTGCTTTGAGTTGCTCTTTGCTTTCCTTTTCTCTTTTTTTCTTTCGACTGCAATCTTCCATCTTCCTCCACGAATTCTACGGAATCTGCTTCTTCATCTATCTCCAAATTTATGATGTTTTCATCCTCATCCTCGTTCTCATCGACTTCATTCATCTCCTTCTCACAGACAGCTACCCACTCTGCATTACCGACACCGAAATAGTCTTCGATCCAAGGAAATACCATCTTTTGTAATTCCATTGGCGGTGACACGCCATTTCTTGCTAGTGAGAAAGGCTTTTCCCAAAAGCCAGCCATACCTCTGGCAAAAGGAGATGGGAGTTTACCCAAGTAATGGGTCTCCAAACGACCAAGTCGATCCTTCCATCCTCCTCGCTTGATCAGATCAAAAGGTATCCCTAAGCCCTCAGATTCCATTGACCCAGCATGACGGCCACCGTGCGTTACTCGTGTGGTGTATATCTCTTCATCTGCAAGTGCCTTTTTTGGAGTTTTCCATTGAGAAGCGCCAGTTAAACTCTTCTCAGGGCTGGTACGTCCACGCAATACCTTCCAGTTCTGCCATCTGTCTTCGTTCAAGAAGTCACCACTGGTCTATAATTTTTATCAAGAAAGTTAGAAATTATTTTAAAAAAGTCCCTTTTTTTAGCTGGCCAACCTACTTGAAGCAAACTGAACATAAAAAAGGCAAATGCACCAAAAGGACATCTGAATACGTTTTCATGGCGCATGGCACATGCAAATTTGACTTCTCCTTCCTTCAGAGTCTTGCCCTTGTCTAGACTAAAAACCAAAGCAAGAGCCTGTTGCATTCCTTTGTACTGTTTCTTTGGAATGATCGTGCAAAAGCAATCCGCAAAGTTTAAATTTCTCAAATCCTGATCCCTAAGTAGCATATGGTGGCGGGAAGAGATAGAAAACATCTCGCGCAAGCCTGATTCGCTGTCAGAAGTCCAAAGGCTCTTCAGGATTCTTATAAGTTCGCCAGACTTATAAGAGTCCCGAATCACACAATGGGCTGCTCTATCTACGTTTGTTTGTACTTGGTCGTAAACAAGGTCGTGTTCATACTTCTTGATCAATTCGATCACTTCTTTAGTCTTCTTTGGAGACGGCCATCCAACTTCTCGGCGCTCGGACTGGAATTCGTGCAAGAACATCAAGACTTTCTTGTATTGATTGACAAATTCAATACCTAAAGGAACTTCGATAACTTTCTTACTACCGTTCTTGTTAGAAGGAGCATTCTCAGCAACTATAAAAATGGGTTGATGATTAAGTATAATTGACGGATTTTTTTTTATGTATTTCATGCAATTTTGTATTACTTTGGAGCAAAGTCAATTGTCTTTCTTCGTTATCTTCTGTTCTTAAGCCAATTTGTGTTCTAACATCAGTCTCTACTGAAACACTTTTCATATACGTTCGCTTGAAAACAAATTCTTTGAAGAAAGCAATAACAAATTCAGTGGGCCCAACAGTGTATGGATACTGAAAATCAACAGGATATCTGTGTCGGTTTTTTCCCGCAAAAGTCCTTCAATTTAAGCAACATTAAAAAATGAATACAATCAATACAATATAGATTCTTATTCTATTGAGTTGAGACATACCTTCCAATGTTCTAAGGGCATTCTGTAAATTGCGGCAGTGCTGGCACGTACTTTCATTGGCAAAGCCTTAAGTGCAAGCTCAAACTCAGACACATTGATTGACGAGCTACTTTGAAGAGCAACAAAGGCATTTGAGCCAACAGAAGTAGACAAATTGGCTGAACTGGACGATTCAGCTGTTGAATTTTCAACCAGCATAATCCTTTTCGATGGTCGACCCCTACGAGCTTTCTTAGGCACCTCTTCAGAAATTGCAGCAATACTAGTAGGCTATAAAGATATATTGTTAATATTGGTGTGCATTTTTTTGCATATAATCTATTGTCTGTTTTGTTTATACTTGAATTCCGCTAGAAATCTCAGCTTCTTGTTGCTCAATTAAATGCTCTAGTTCTTCCAAATCACGCTCGTTAACAAAGCGTCTCTTAAAAGCAGTGATATTAGTAGGCAAGGGCGACATAATAAATAAGTTTTTGAAAGAAAAAGAAAAATTTAATTTTAAAAGTTAATCAAACTGTGGGCAAACCAGTAATTTCAACTCGCGAGTTGATAATACTAGAAAGTTCCAGCAGAATCAATAGTATTCTCAACTTGACTTTCAGTTTAATCAACTCGCTACTACCATATTTGGAAATTTCGGAGTTAAAATAAATACATTTCATTGGAGGATCCCATTTTTTATTTCCAAAAAAAAATAAAATGAGTTACGATACTGTTTACATTTTTCACTGCTTAAGATTATTACAGATTTTGCCTTTTATTTCCTTGGGTTTCTAACTCCGTGAGTTCCATAAAGTTAACAAAACATCGTCTTGCAAATCATTCTATCAACGTCATACCCGTGACTATTTTAAAGGCATAAACCATGATCAGGCACACAACTTCATTTCTCTCAAACCTTCAGCCATGGTGACCTACGGAGGAGGTAAATGATCTTCAATGCCCGAGATAACCTCAGTTACTCGGCTTTCATGAGACAGAGAGACAGAGAGACATAGAGAAAGAGAGCAAAAGAAGAAACAAAAAAAGACAAAAAAAAGTAAAATAAAAAAATACAGACACAGACAGACAGAAAGACAGACATACAGACATATATACATACACAATAATGGCTGATTGTGACGAATGGATTAGATGAAGTAAACGCGCTTGTGCTTGACGTTGGTTCGACATCAACACGCGCAGGATATGCTGGCGAAGACACTCCTAAAGCTGTTTTCCCTACCTCGTATGGCTACCTTGAGGAGCCAGACACGGACTACGTTGCTACAAAATCAGGCGTGGATGGGGATGTTACAATGGGTGAACAGACTGAGGAGAACGACGTTAGAGTTAAAAAAAGATACTTTATTGGAGATTCAATGATCAACACATGGAGACCAAACATGGAAATAAAGAACCCAATGCATGAAGGATTAGGTAAGTCAAACCACTTGAAGTTTTCTTCTTCTTCTTCTCTTTCTTTGCTTCGGATCTCCAGGACTTTGGGACAGATTAATTAAGGCAAATAGCTCTATAGTCAATGATTGGGATGCCATGGAGCAGATCTGGAACACAGCATTCCGCACAATGTTGCGTATCGATCCTACAGAACATCCTCTTCTCTGTACCGAACCAGCATGGAATACTCCAGAAAAGCGCGAAAAGATGGTAGAGTTAGCCTTTGAGAAGTTTGAATTTCCTGCTTTCTATTTGGCCAAGGATGCTGTTATGACAGCGTAAGTGGAGACTTTATTATGGATATAAAATAAGAAGAAGAAAAGAGGAAAGAAAGAAGAGCTGTAGACAAAACTTATATACATATGCACGTATATAGTTTCTCTGTAGGAAGAGCAACAGCATTGGTACTTGATTCTGGAGGAAGCATGACTAGTGCTGTTCCAGTATATGATGGCTATGTTCTGAAAAAGGGTAAGTCAGAATATATGTGTATAAAAAGTGTGAACCGCATTAATAATAAATATTGGGGTAATCAGGCATCTTGAGACAACCAATTGGTGGTGATCTATTGACTAAGCAGATCCTTGACCAACTAAAGAACGATTTGAATGTCCAAGTGACACCACAATACAAAATTGCAAGCAAACGGCCTGTTGAAAGTGGTCAACCTCCTCAGGTTGAGCTTCGTGACCGTCCCAACACAACAGAGAGTTATAATGATTATCAGACGTCGGTAAATAATCCAAAAATAACCAAGCTTAATAATAACAATAGTAATAAAATACTGACGATCAACTATTTTTTTCTTTAGAGAGTAATTTTGGAATACAAGGAGAGTGTCTGCCAGGTGTCCGAAATGGCATATGATGAAGGGTAAGGATAAATACTTGATGTGCATTATGTAACTTAGTATGTGTGTGTGTGTGTGTAGCATCATTGCCTCAAGGCCACAAAAGCCCTTCGAGTTTCCAGATGGCTACAATAACTCGTTTGGTATGGAACGTTACAAACTTCCTGAAATATTGTATCAACCTAGAGATTTTATCAATGTGGTAAAGTACTATTTTTTGATATTATTATCATTATTAATGATTTGTGGAAAATCTAATAACAATTCTTTTAAAGCCTCCCCAAGCTGAGACAAATCCTCAGGCCGAGATCCCCTCAGTGGGTCTATCTAAGCAACAGATTGATAGCAGTCTTGGAATGCACCAAATGGTTATGAATAGTATATTCAGTTGTGATGTTGATCTTCGCCCATTGTTATTTAACAACGTTGTTGTGACTGGAGGAAACACACTTTTCCCCGGATTCAACGAGCGTCTCAACTATGAGCTCCCTATTATGGCACCAAGCGTAAGTCCTTCCCACTGAAAACTCATTTTATCTAACACATTTTTTTTGTAGAGCAAAATCAAAATTCATGCTGCTGGTAACCAAACTGAGCGTAAGTGTAGTAGCTGGTTGGGAGGATCTATCTTAGCATCACTCGGTACATTCCATCAGCTGTGGATTTCCAAGAAGGAGTATGAAGAAGTTGGTCCTTCCATTGTTGAAGCAAAGTGCCAGTAGAGTTTATGTTTATTGATAGTATTAAAAACGATAAAAAAAATAAAGAAAAACAAAGAGAGAGAAAGAGAAAGAGACAGAGAGAGGGAGAGGTATAAATATACACTTTCATTACTCTTCTTCCTTTTTAAATTTATCGCCAAGGATTTCTCTGAAGCCAGAAATAATCTCATTTTCACGTTTAACCTTTTGTTCTTGTGCGTGCTGAAGGAGAAGTCTCTTTTCTTCCGCTGAAATGACCTGGTTTTCCTTTCGGAGACGGACGGCATTCATACGTTGATGTCTAGGCGTCATTTCAGTTAGAAATTAACCCAGTTTAATGTATTTATGTATGTGTAAGTGCAAGTGTGTGAAATTGCTTACCTGCTACCACTCATAACATAACCGGCCTTTTCGTAATCTGAAATCTGGTCGCCAGAAAGACCAATTTCACCACGACGTGGAATACGTTTTCCTTGCTGAACATATGCAGCCATAGCAGAACCCTCACCAGGAAGCAACGCACCACCATATCTACTCACAGTTAATTAGCACATATATCAATACCAATATCATTACCAATTTATATGTGTGTGTATATCTTCACTCGACTTACTCTCTTTCATTTCGAATATCATCATCCTTGGGTAATGGCACAGGACCAACCGGTGCCAAATCATCGGGTAGATCCACTAAACATGGGATTTAACATCTCCACAGACCCCTTATCCGCATCGGACATACCTTGCTTCTCAACCCATAAATCTTCTACTGCATCCAATTGTGATTCATCTACTTCGAGAATAGGAATATCCTCTGGTTGTTTTGTGCGCACAATATCCCTTTCTCGCTTGTCCTCAACATCACTTTCATCTTCTGGTGTCTCGGATCTTCTGTGTCTCTTTTTTGATTTATGACTAGACTTTTTCGATGAATGCTTCTTCTTGCTAGACTTGTGACTTTTATGTTTTCGTCGTTTGTGTCGTTCACTGTCATCTGAATCATCGGTTCCGGAATCATCGCTATCTGATTCGGAACGAGCCGATCTACGTTTTTTATGACTGCGGGAATCATCCGGTGTTAAGGATCGTCGACGGATGTCAGGAGAAGTAGCCCAAATTGTCGCTGGATTCTCTTCTCTAACACGTTTGCGACTACACAACAAGTGTGAGATATACAAGGGTGTAAAATGACTAGGTCTTATATATATATACTGACGTACTATTCAAAAAACGTCTCTCCTGACTCTCGGACAACTCCATCAATTGTTTCTCCAGAATCTTGATCATTATGGTAAAATTGGCGTTCACGTCTTGGGGATGGTGTGCGTCTTCGTCGCGAATAACTTGGACTTCTACGCCCAGAACGTTGTCGGTCATCTCTACCTCCTTGTCGTGGAGAAGGAGATCGACGATGGAGCATTTGTCTCCGTGTGTAGGGTGACGGAGAGCGTGCCGATGATCGACGGGGTGATGGAGATCGAGATCGCATAACAGAAAGATGGACGAACAGATCGCTCTGCCAACTCCAACTTAAAGCAAGCCTTTCTGATGACGTCGAACCGATTTTGCGGCGAAGAAAGGCAAAGACGGCAAAATCCTAGGTTGAACTCCGCGCTCAGTCAAGAAGACGCTCAACAAACAGCTTAAATCCACTTTAGTTGTGTTCTATCAAGACTAACTCAGCAAAACCTTCCTTATTTCTTTCTCTTTCTTTTTCTCTTTTTTTTTTGAAGAACAATGGAATCCTTAAGAAATGTCATTGCCCGTTTATTTGTGGATACTCAAGACACACATGTTTCTGTAAGCTCATATTGCCTTACTTTCTTCTACTAACTACCTTGCGATAGGAGTCTCAACCCTTGGAAGCGAGCAATCGCGCTTACTACGGGTAAGCTATTCCTTAGACATTTACCCATATAAATACTTATGATTGTTTTGTAGTCTTTTTAGCGGGAAACCACCAAAACGTCGACGATTAGACTTGTTACATCCTATATCCGACGCAAATTCTGATCTTACACTCGTTTACGATAATTCAGTCATCCCTTTTCCTCCATCAACCACACGCATCAATTACAATGCACTTGCACTAGAATTTGTGCGTACATGCCAGCCTGGAGGAATTGTAAGATACAATTACGACATAACAAATATAAAATAAAATAAAATAAAAAAGTAGAAAGATAGGGAGGGAGAACAAAAGAAAATAAAAAACTGGGGAACTGACATTGGATACAGGCTGACCAACTCAAAGCGATCTTGCTAAAGTATCGAGAACCTCCTCTTACACTTGTAAAGACGACACGATTGATGACCTTTCTTCATCACCTCCTTTTACTCACACCAATTCCTGCAAATCCAACCTCATTGAACACACACAATACACCTTCTATCACAGCACAGAATTCCGCATCTCAAACCTTTCCTCTTGGACTCCTTTTTGAAGACCTCACCCAGACGCTTTCTTTACGCCCTGCGTCAGCACAAAACTCTTCTCCAATGTCAACTTGGATCGTGACTATCCATTTTATGCTATCATGCCTACGAAGCAACACACCCCAAGCTATTCATCAGGCGGGAGTCACAACTCCAGTCACTCTTAGCATAATTAAGCACATCCTTCTCGAGCTTACTCGACTACAGGCCACAGATATGTCTTCTCTTCAAATCCAGTGCTTCCAAACAGGAAAGAAGATCCTTGACTTTTTCTTATTACGCCCTACAACCGACACTGAGGGTTCGGATTTGAAGAACTCCGAAAGCATTCCAGGGCAAGGATTTGGCAGCCAGGGTGTAGTGTCCTACTTTGACGTTATATATTCTGTAAGTACATTAAATTTAAGCAAATTTAAACTAATTGTCACTAGTTCCCAGAATTGTATGGCCATTTTTTAAATGCAGTCCCGGCTTCCGCAGCCCCGCAACCCGCAATAGCAAATCACAACGTATGGCTCATGACATTGCATTATATGGCAAGCTCTATTCAGCAGGACCACCGGCTGCTTGAAAGAATACCAACCTTAATGGCAATCAACATCATTAAACATATTTTGAGAGAGATAAACACCCTACCTGCTGATTTGACAACTTCACAGGTCAATTGTCTCAACAAGGGAAAGGAATTAATCAACCTATTTTTGCTTGGACCTAAAGATGATGGAGCAGGTGTGGTGTCACATTACGACATAATCGTGGCTGTAAGTAGTTTTAGATGTCTAGAAGTTATACAAAGTTTACTAATAATGAAATATAAAAAAAACAAAAAAAAATTGTACAATATAGTTGCCTGATATTTATGGTCATTTTCTTCGGGGAACGTTTGCTCAAAGTATTCATTGGACGATGGAAAAGTTTGTCAATGAGCTTGGAAAGAGAAGAAGACATTTGGCTTTCTTAATGATGCCACCAGGTTAGTGTATATGCGATATAAAGAGTATATGTATGAAAAAAAAATCAAAAACACAAACGCTCACGCAGGCAAACATCTCGATGATATTTTAATTTGTAATTAGATGCCTCTTGGCCACTTATATCTCAAATGAGCAGAAGACACGAATACAATGACTTGACAACTAGAACCAGTTATCATATGTTTGAAGGGGATTTGGTACATTATAAAGATTTAGTTAGAAGTAAAAAATGTTAAAAGGGCTAAGATTATATTCATTAGATTGAGTTTGTAAAAGAAGGAAATTCAACAAACATTGAGACCCATTTTCGAGATATGCTTTTCCAACGTGCGTCTATGGATGAGTTCCGTCAATTGGTCATGTCCCTCACTCAGTCCGGCTTAGACACAACCCAGATACGAAAAGCTATGGTTACCAAGGTCAGAGATGTTATAAGATGTATTCAACACCACAGTCGTCATGAAAAGAGACCAGGTAGGGATTAATTTTGTCATAAATGGACTAATTTAAAGCTAATTTCCCGCATAAATACATTAGCAAACGAGATTGACCAAGAACCGTTTAATCCTGCAACAGCATCTGTGAGGGGCGAAGATATAAAGATGCTGATTCCTTCAAACATGGATTTGTGGGAACTAATGACAGAGACAGCCGACCAGCTTTATAGCTTCGTTGCAGCAGAGTAAGATAGTATATATCCCAACAAATCCGATGCTTAATTAATTTCTGTAGTTTCTTTTCCTATGAGGATATTCTGCAGGATTTCTATGCCTTGGTGTATAAGCCTGATGGAGAGCCATATCCTCCTGGGGAAAAGTCTCATTTGACCAAAGATAATGGGCTTGTGTGGTTATTACTACAATTATTTTGTAAGTACTACACTGAATATATTTTAATAAGCCTCTGATGATTTATATACATACGTTCTGGTGAATAGATATTGAGAAAGTATCTAGCAATGTAATTCAAAAGGATTTCGAGGGTGATGAGCGCTTATTTGACAAGCTGGTCAAACTTTATAATGAGGAGCAAATACTTTCAAAAGATGCCTTTTCTCTTCGAGACTTAGCCTTGCAGTGTGCAGTAAGTTAAATATATTATACAAAACCTTTGATAATAACAGAACAAAAGCTGATATTATTTTGCTGAAAAGATCAATCACCAAAAGGCAAATATCAAAGATATTACCAACATTAAGCATAGACATCCACAAGTAGCCGCGTCTCTTCTACATGCAGGGCTTTGTTATCAGATCCAGGCTTACTTTAGCAATCATTACCACAGTACGTTCATAAATACACAATCTTTATCTCTCTTATTTTTCTTTTATGCTTTGGAGCTAAATATAAGTTCAAATAGGCAATGTACCAAAAGATTCTACACTCTTCCTTAACCTTGATATCCAGGAAATGACAAAAGTTGCTATGGAAAGTCAACTGCGACAAGATGTTGTGCCATACACATTATATGTCTACTTAGTACCAACAAAGGCAGATGTCAGTACACTTGGCAGATCGGGGACAACCTATATTAAAGGAGGAACCCTATGTTATACTCTGTTGGATTTACTCAGTGTAAATGCAAAACACAGGTAAGTGAATTATGAAGCTCTTATGATAAAGCTAAACAAATTCCAAAGACTTTTACAAGTCATCTATAAGATGATGTTGGATAGTGATTCAGGTCCGCGCTATCAGGCTAATGCTACTCTCCCAATTACTTGCGTCCCACCACATGTACTGGATGTTGTCTACAAACTTTTATATAGTGCACCTTGCTCGTAAGTAACACTTTAGATCAATATGTATAATGAAATTCACGCTTATACTCATAATGTATTAGTGCCGAGTTAATGATAAAAGAGATATTCGACAAGCTCAGAAGATGTGACAAACTTATCAGAATGAAGAGCACCAGCGATAGCTCCTTTAGTGCTATAGCTCCGTTCCCTGACCAAACAATGCGATGGCTACACACCATGTCACAGCTAATGAACTATCGATTCATTCGATTCTTAAAATATCCTTTTTATTATTATTGCATTACTACAAAAACTAGTTTAACAGAGAAAACAAATCATTTACTCTCTCGAGAAAGAGTTTCTCTCTCTCTCTTATTTTCACAAACATTCTTAACCACTCTGTACATATTCACCCATCTCTTCAGGATTGTTACATTATATTCGATATTCTATATCGTATCTTGAACATCGCCAAGTCTATCAAGTTTTGGAGTCGCTTGCTGCCAATGTTATGGTAAGTGTGCAATCACTAATAATCATGAGCAGACCAAATTATATCAACCACTGGATATTTAGCGTATGCAAGTCGATGTCAAAGTTTTAAGATCGTTAGATGACCCCGGACGCGAGAAACCTATCTGGTTTGGTGAATCTGAAATGCTTGCTCGCACAATGGTAGCAACTATTTGTAGACTTATCAAGACCAGGTACGATAACGATTTATGTGTTGTGCAAGACATTAAATATTGTATATAGAGGACAAGCTGATATAAAAACAGATCAGATACACAGAGTACTATCCAGTCTTTATGAGTACCGAATTGAGTGGTCTCCTGAATCTTTGCATTACTTTCCAGATGCAGTAAAATCATTCTACATTCCCGGTCCATTATCACCTAATCAGTCTATACCGCTTCGACCAGCTATTTATCCTGGTATGCTTCAGCAACTACTGTCATCAAACAAAGCATACACAAGCTATTTGTTGCAAGGGGCAGTTGAACACGAAAGAGCACTTTTGCAATATTTTTCGTTGGTTGAAAACCATTCAAATCTTTTGTGCATTATTTGGATACTTTCGGTAATGCGTAAATCCACAGACAACTTGCACATGCCACGTAAGTTTCAGAACATTATGATCTTCTTCGTTGTATATTAAGTATCTTCTGCAGTGGTTCGTAAATTACTCTTGACAATTCCTCCTGCCCGAATGGCTACATCTGTCATTGACTTGGTTGACTTTATCTTGAGCACTGATAACAATACTAATAGTGACATGGTATGGGTAAAAACAAATATTTGTACAATATGCTTACATGGTTAAAAATGTGTAGTTCTATATGTTGCTGAACAACATGATTTGGAAGCATCAATGGATTAACTTTAACCATGTGATTTTTGCTCTGGTTAAAGGAAGTGGAAGCCCAGAGCGTAACTCAAGGGCTTTCCGTTATGTTCGCCATCTTTTGCTTGAATCTCCAGAGTTTATAAAACGAATTGCCAAATGGGATTCCCTCCGTTTCAGTCCTCGAAACTGGACAGAAGAAGATTATCACAAGAAACTAATGCAGTATTTGAATGAGTTCCCGGAATATTATGAGTTCGAAGCCTTTGCTATGAATCACTACGAACAAACACAACCCTCTTTAGACCCTCCTCTTCAAACACCCATGCCAATCTACTTGACCAATGTGATTAGCGATTTTGTTAGCACATTAGAAGTACTTATTTCTAGACTGATTGAGCATGCCCAGACCGAATTACTTGCCGACATCCTTGACAAATACGGGCACTTGGCATATTATCACCAGTACCCACTCTCGTTTGTGTGCAACTTATTTCTTTATTATTCATCGTCGAATACATTACGTGATCCTCGTATTCGCAAGAGGATTTTATGTCTATTGGGTATGAAATGAAATATTACTTTTTTTATAGATTAAACCATTAAACAAGCTCACTATCTCACTCTTAACTTTATTTAGACTATGATCAATATGATATTGCACCGGAAGCAATTACATATTCGCATAATTCCAATATGGATGGCAGTATATTCAAGGCTAGTTACTTTGAGCGCGTTATTTATAAGCTGGCTGGAAGTAGGTTATGAAAATCCTTTACAAACAAGCAAACAAAATGGTATGCTAAATGTATGTGTGTATTAACTCTTAGATCTCACTCCTCAAAAGTGTGCACCTCGAGAAAAGGCTAGTCTTCCAGAACGTCATTTTCGTGAAATTGGCAGTCCTGCTGTTATGGGAATATACATCGCTACACTAGAGATTATGCTCACACCTATATCTCCGGCTATCATTACAAAGTATATTCTTGATATGGCTTTATTACGTGAATCTCATCATGTTGGTGTATCTGCTTTGACGATTCATGCGATTGGACTTTTAATATCTTCTCTTCCTTCCGATGAATTTGTACATCCTATTTGGAAAGAATTGAATAATCTTATTATGACTGATCCATACCTTCTTGAAGTTTCTGAACCCTGCCGATTGGTAAGAAATCTCGGGTGGAAGGGGTGTTTTTTATTTTTCAATCTTGATTCTAGTTTAGGTGCTTACAAAATCAATAGATTCGATGTGGTGTCCCGAAACGGAATAATGGAAGATATGTAATGTCTCAATCTCTTCCGGACCTCACTACAACAGCCATTCTCAAGGACTCAATGAGTGCACGATTACGCAAAGCCATGGTGTTCCCATACATCTTTAACGATTATACATTCAACCTCCACAACTACAGCACAAATGCGCCAAATAGTTTTCTCACCCTCTTTCACAGCATTCTGCATTACTCTAGTCTTGATGCATTCAGCGTGTTCTTAGAGTATATGCGAGACTTACGTTTGTCTGGTAAACTGGGAACAGACGTACAGCTTCTTTACATATGTGCTCTTATTGGGCCTGCTTTACATCGTATTGAGAAGCTCGAAAACACTGACGCAGATGTAAGTCGCAAATATAAGACAAAATCAATTGCCTTACCCCGCATCTAATCTTTATATGTGTGCATATGGATAGTTCCTGGTTGAGTTGATGCATATGGTAGAGCAAGTTACTGCACGAATGGATATGAAAGATGGTTGGTCTACACAAGCATTGGAACAAGTGTTTGACTTTCTGTAAGTACTTTATTTAAAGAAAGAAAGAGAGGAGAAATAATATTAATATGTGAGTCCTAATTAATATTACTTCTTGCCTTTTTTCTTTCTATCTGACAGACACCACATCCGAACACGGTTTGTAAAATCAGCTGAACTTACATCCCAAATACGAGACATTATCAAAGCTATGCCACCACCTACATCACAAAGATTACTGAGACTGGTTATGTAAAGATTGTAGGTCTAATTTCTTAAAGTAAAAATACACACATACACACATATACATATACACATATCGAAATCATGGAATAATAGACATCTAGATAACATATTATTAATATATTGTCTATATAAGTATCTACAAAATTTGAAAGATAACCCATATATTTTGAGATCTTTTTAAACAAAATCTTAATTTATAGACCTTTTACTATGCTTGAATCTTGTAAGCTGTAGCATTTATTGAATAGTGCTTTATGGAAGCTGAAATTTACAAAGGGTTTTTTTTTTAAAAAAAAAAAAGTAATTGTCTTTGAAAATGTTACTTTTAGAGCGTTATTATCTATTGGGTAGTATAATAGCTGCAGCTTGGTTATAAGAGTGTAGCATGCAATTAATTATATTATTTATGCCTCAGATATTGCTCTTACTGTCTATTTCAGCCATATTATCAAAAACCCTGGTGTCAATAACTCTTTGTGACACATATTAAAATAATTGAAAGAGAGCAGAGTAATAGCAAGCAAATATAATTGATGAGTATGTGAATGATCCAAATAATAGTAATAATAATAATAAACTTAGGGCTATATCTACAATATTTCTATAGAATACACTGTAGCTGAAGGAGGAGCATTTCAGTCCAATAAAAAAAAAGCTGTACTGCAAAAACATTGTAATATGTAATCCATTTTTTTTAATTCTCCTCTTACATGTCCACATACAAGTACATGGTCCGAGCGCTTTTAACTGACCGCCTCAAGTAAAAGCAACATTGTTTTCAATCAACCCTATATGTACAAATATACTATGTATACTTACACTAAATAGGTCGATCAATAAGCTTAATAAACTTCAACCGAATCAAACATATAAAAACATCAATTTCCTGTCTCGGTGTAGCACTTTAAGCCAAACTCAGACAAACTAAAATGACTTTCCATAGCAACAAATACAAGAAAATCGTAGCAACTCCAATGAAAAGAAGAAGAAGAAAATAAGAAGAAAATAAGAGCCCCACTTCTTTAACTATCCAAAGTATGTGCTTGTTTATCAGCTGTCCTGAAAGGTTTGATGCACAAAAGCACACACATTCACACATGTGTATTTTACTAGTCCGATGATCATTTCTTTTTTCCTGCTGTTTTCAAGCACACGCACACACATAAAAAAAAAGTAAAAATAAATAAATTAGGGCCAGCTTACTGGAGAAAGCAAGAGTTAGATAGAGAGTGAAAGTGAGATAGAGAATGTGTTGAGCTTTTTTTTTAAAGAAAAAATTTCTATTTTTTTTAATCCCAAAAAAGTCAATGGTCAACGCAGCCATTCCCCTCAGGCCACTTCATCTACGCATTCTCTTTCCTTATATCTTGACTCTATCGAAAACAGATCCCAGGCGAATCAATGCACCTCCCGACATCACTGGCTCGAAAGAGATAGATCTAGAACTCTACACTTACATTGCTCTCCTTGTCCGGGATTTCATCAATCCATGGTATCGTCTGGTGACAAATGACGAGGACCTTTCCACAGAGATTGTCAATATATTAACGCATGTTATCCAAGAACTCCAAAAAAGATGTCGTGATGTGGTAATGAGTGCCTTTAAAATAAATAACAATAATAAAAATAAAAAAAGATTATTCAAAGTGAGGAGGTCTTTATTTTTTTTTATCCATCCCGATTTGACTTAGGTAGACTGGTCTGAGCTCATACTAATAAGTGCACCGAATCTATTGACACTTCACTACCGAGACTATCGACAAGTCAAGGAAAGACTATACACGGGCCATGCCGGTGGAGCCCATTCTATCGAAGACTTATTTCATGGCATGCAACCTCATTTTGCTCTCCAATCTAATGCAGCACACGAAGCAGAATATCTTCGGGTATTAACTGACCACATCTTAGAACGGGTGCTTAAACCATCGGATTATGGTAGTGACGGTGTGAGACATCTAGTCAGAGAGATTATTGCGCATATGGTTCTTGCAAGTATAGTAGAATCACTATCAGATCCATACACTATACATCTGATTATTTGTAAGGTAAGACAATCATCTTTCTAATTTCTCTCTCTCTCTCTCTCTTTAAATATGATATTTTAAATAAAGACAGATCAGTAATAACTATAGGCAATACTTGTAATAATGGTAATAATCTATTTGTTAAATAAATAAATAAATAAAGCTATTAGTGGGGTTTGATCCCCTGGTTGATGCATTGGAAGCAACCGGAATGTTCAGTGATCCGTATGAAGATCAACAGAAGCACAGTGGACCACCTTCTCCAGTATTAACCCATCTTCAGTCAGCCCTGAAAGAAGCACAGATGACAGATCTTGCCAAGGGAACCAAAGAAAGCACTGTACCAGTCAGTGTTCCAGATCGCATAGCTGAGACAGATGATTTAGCTAGACAACTCCAACGGCTGCAAGAGAAGCGTCGGCTACAAGGAGATGAGTCAGTCGAGGCAGAATTGGAAGAGGAAGGGATAGAGGGAACACCACAAAAGAGACGCCATTTTTCATTTGGATACATTACTCTTCAAGTAGTCCTGGCTCCTTTCAGAGCATTTTGGGTTTACATCATGGCTGCCTTGACACATTCTCAGGAACGATACCACCAACTCACACAACACAAACAGCGAACACGACGTATAAGGTTGGTCGAGCCTGTGATGCAGTTTTTGCGGGTTGCATTTCTAGTAGAGCACCGAGTGGTTTTAGAGTGGATGTGGCAAATGGTTTCAATGTTCATATGGCCTCTACTACGAATGTTTGGAGTAGGCGTGTTGGTTGATAAGTAAGTACTTATGAAAACACTACTATATTATTATTATTACTTTTAGAGATTCATTTTAAAGAAAAAAATGTTTTTTTTTCTGGTCTTGTAGATTTCTTGAACAAACCATTCTTCATTTTCTAAGTGAGGATCATCTTGTGTTCTATCTTCAACTTGGCCGTGATCTTTTGTGGTCCAACGGTATTTTTATACAAAGAGCAGAACCTACCACCCCACTTGAGGAAGAACAGATGCGAATTCGTGCAGAGCGTCTTTTATTGGTATCTCTTCCAGGTAAAGTACATTTATATATATATATTTAAAAAAAAAACAAGAATTAAGACTAACTCTTGCACTTGTACTTGCTTTATATTTTGGTTTTGTTATTAATAGCTAGTGTTAGAATGACACTCTTTGATACCAATGATCTCAAGAAGTTGGAAAATCATATGCACGAGGTTCTTGAGCCCCTTCAAAACAAGTACATTAACAAGCACTTGATGTATCTTTTGGTTGATCTAGTTGCATCAAGGCTCATTCCAGAACTATTGGAAAAGAATCATACGAGCAATTTGTAGCACAATGCAAACACCTATAATCAATTTGTGATATGAAAATAAACTTTACGTGTATCCTAATATAAATTGAAACACTTGCATCAATATGGGAGAAAATATATGTATATTTATATGTATATGTAGTTAGAACTGCATATTTGAATAGAATAAAACTAGTTTCTTCTTGTAATTTAATGAATGTTATATTATATATGTGAGAAATCCAAGCATACGTCTTGTTTAAACAAAGATTGTTTAGAGGGTAAAAGAAAAAAAAAGAGTACACCTCTTGACATCTAAAAAAAAAAGATAATAGCAGCAAATGCGCAAAGTTTTCTCTCTCTATCTAAAATACAAGGTTATCTAATAAACAATTGATCAAATTCTTTTTCTTTGAAGGGGTTTTGTGCTTATTCAAGAGTAGTAATGGTAGAGAACATAGCGCATTTTTATTATTTTTACTTTAGATCGACTTTAAATGTACAATATCAGTAATAATTTTACACCAACACACATTTATACATATGCATTCTTTGAATTAAGATGCTGTAATTGCTCACTGTGGTATAGAGCTTTAGTTGACAAAGATTTTTAGCAGTATGCCATTTTACTGGGTAATCTTTACACTTTATTAATGATACATGTCAAACAATGATCCCTTTCCAAAAGAAGATAATACATATAACCCCGGCTTATATGTAAATATCGATTGTTTTGATTATTTATTGTTTGGTTGTTTTGTGTTTATATATGAACTATAGTCTATTTCATTAAAGCCAATAGCAACATGCTCTTTGATCCTTGAATTGTTGGAAGATTGCAACTATAATCTCAAAATTCAATTTTCTTCTCTACTCGATTGACTTGAAGAAGAGATCATTGATTAATACGATGGCAGAATCTTACGGCGCTCATTCAAAGGATCTTGTATTAAAAGGTTCACCACAGCAGCAAATATGCTATATGTACTCTTGGTTAGTGTTAAAACTTTGATTATTGTTTATCCCTGGTTTAGAATATGCATACATATATTTACGTTTACGTTTACATTTACATACGTACATACATACATACATACATACATATGTATGTATGTATGTATATATTTAACACCTTCGAATCTTTCAAGTCCACTGATAGCTATTCATGGAGTAATATAGAACATAAGATCGCCCTCGGATCTGACACCGCGCCTTTACTTGCAGCTCTAATTCTAATATTAGGAGACAGTTCTGTGTTTAGTAATACTGCTGCTACTCGTTCCCAGGTCTCCGATCCGTCGCCATCGTTAAAGATCAAACTAACCGCCACAGACAAATGCGCTATCAGGACAACCATTGACAAGCTCGACAGTCAAAAAATTTTTTTAGACATTAAAGGCAATTTATGCATAGGTCGAGCGAGAAAAGGGTTTATCCGATTTTTGTAGAGCAAAAGAAGGCGATAAGATTTTGCTCTATCTTGTGGCTATCATCAATAAGCTTAAGAAACTGATAACTAACGATGATAACATTGATTATTATGTTTTAAATCTACTGGTTTTCTTGTCAATTATTCTGATAATGTTTTTTTTTCTTATTCTTTAATTTATTATCATTTAGCCCCCCTCTCCCTTCTCTCTCTTTCTATAAATCCCTCATCCTTGATCTTGGTGACTACAACTGGGAAGGAGTGTTTACCAAAGATAAACTGGAGGAGTTGAGAAAAGTCGGAAAACCAAGTTTGAGTTCTTTACCACAATCTGTAGGATACATCCTTGATGATTTGAATAAACTTGTGAATATATATAAAGGGGGAGTTACTCATTAGTATCAGTCTGATCCAGTAGATGTATATAATTACGCTCGAAAAATACCCCTTGATCCAATTAATGAGCCAGTAAAACTTCAATTATCCACCGAACTGCAAATCGATGCTCGATTGTTTTCTCTTTTTTTTTTGCAAATGACAAATTTGATATTGCGGACACACTGGAAGCAGATCATTTGTATGTTCCGTTTGGAATCCTTAGTTCAGTATTTGAAGGAGCTATATTTAAGGCACGCAGATACAAGTAAGCCATATAATAACAGTAATAAAAAAAACAAGCTTATCCTTGGGAGACAAACCAACTAATTAACTGACTGGCTAATAATTAAACATCGTTGTTTTTTTTATTTTAAAAATTGATAGAGACGATGTATCAAGGCAGCCTAATGTTGAAGCCTTGAAAGTAAAATGTCGGGCTTTAGTAGTTGATATTATTGAGAATAAAAGGATCGAACACATTGTGGGCATAAGCTATATGGCTGGCTCCACCGAGCTTGGTTTTTCAAAGATCAATATGTGTGGGTATCACAGCAAAGCACTGGAAGACAGTGGGACAAATATACTTTTGGTATTACGTGAAATTTTACTAATGATCACTGTACACCAGAGCTATTGTATGAATGTGATCCACTGGTTACATTATAAATGCTAGTAGAAGAAGAAGAGAAAAAAAAATAATTGGCTTCTGGTTAAGGACAATGAGTATAATGGATAATATTACCAAATAGAGATCACTCTTCTTTTTTTTTTTTTAGTTTTTGTCAGGCGGGTTTGTATCACTATTGGATGTTGATATCCCATGTGGTTATTTTACGCGGATCAGACGCACAGACCCATTGGAATTCCTAACTTACAACGAGGACTTGGCGAGCAAACTACTACTGCTGTTAGAGCTGGTTTTGATTGGTAAAAGCAATCAAGGAAGGCACCCTTGACCCGCTTAACAGGACTTGTAGAACTATAAGGCTGTCTACGGGAAAGACACACTTGTTCTTACCGCCAAATTCCAAGCCAACATTTAATATGTTCTCATCCTTGCATTGACTTTTTTTTTTGTTAAAAAAACTCCAAAGAATAAGCGAAAAAAAGGGGGGGAAGACAGTCGTAGGAAAACTATTCATCACACCAGATATTTACACATCAACATCATAATCATCATAATTGATACATGTATATGTTAATAATTTCTATTGACAGACAGGTTTATTCGTTCTTTTTTTCTTTTGTATTTATTGGTGTGGTTATCTCATGGAACACATATTTTTCTGAAAACCAAAATGATAAAAAGCCAAAACTGACTCGTAAATCTTTGATCAATTGGATCTACTTAATCATATTCCCTTAAAAGGAAGAGGCCAAGGAAAGAATTAATAGGTCAATTGGAAGACAACTGCACAATCCACGATTCACAATGCAATAATAATCATATAATCAAAGAGACTTTTTTTTTACTTTAAAGAAAAAAGAAGGGTGGGTCGAACGCGGGTTAGGAGTAGCACAGAACTAGTGAGAGAACATGACGTCCAAACCCGTACTGAGAGTAATACCCTACAACCTGAACTTGCGGGAGTAATATATATAAATATATTGTCATGGTAATATTGAGGGAAAGCTTGGCTTTGGGTGAAAATGACAACCAAAATAAATGAACGAAAGTATATATATATATATATATAATTTTAGGGAGTTTCTCGTGTGAGCAAGTAAGAAAATAAATAAATAAAAAATTGAGCGCCTTTTGGTATACTTCTTCACCTTCTTTTTTTATTTTATTTTTACTTGATCTTATTTTAGGATGATGTTAGGTCCCTTTGGATTTAAAGACCAAAAGACTTCCAGGTTCATTTGCTGCTGTAACAAAGTTTCTTTTTTTTTTAAAAAAAAAAAAAAAGAGAGAGACAGAGAGATATTCAAATTTGTATAATATAAATGTCGATTAAGAAGTACAAATGAACCTCCTGGTAGAATATTTGACAATATTCTTTTTTTTTCTTTAAGAGAAATACAATATAATACAATACAAGGATATTGTAAATATATTGCTTCTAACTATCGAACAGTCAAAAAGACATATAATATAAAGAAAGAATATTATCCATTCTATTGATACTAACCCCTCTTACTGTTACTTACAAAACCGCCAATCATTTAACGGGTTGGTTTTAAGGAACTCAAGGGTTCTTTCACATCGTACTCCTCGGAACTTTGTGAAAACAGAATAAATCTCTCTTGTCTATTATTACTTTTTCCATTCTTATTATCGAAATAAAAATCTAAAGGTTTAAATCCCAAGTAGCAGATTTCAAAAAATAAAATAAAAAATTATATATTCTGATTTTGGCATGCAAAGTGATATTTAAAGCAAATAAGATTAAAATAGATACGAACATTTTGAACATTTTGAACAGCGTGAATGTAGAGTATAGATAAAGGTATGAAATTTTAACAAGAGGTTAGGCTATGGGAGGTTATACTTTTGTTGTTATTGTGCCAACAGTTAGATCAAGGACAAAAAAAAACTATATCGAGGCACATTCTCTGCAGGATATACCAAAGAGAAAGAGAAAGTTTGCCCAAGTCTCACAACTTCTTGTAAGAAGAAGAAGCAGAAGAAGAATAAATAGAAAAAGGCTAAGGAATAATCCAAAAACACAGTTACGGATGTTGTCCCAATCCCTATATTAACTTTGTTTCCTTTCTGTTTCTAAAAAGGCACGATAGATTTAAACATATAAAAGGGTCTTTATCATTTTGGTTGGTTGAGCGCCAATAAAGCGTATTTAAAGATACTCCCAAATATAATTGAGTTTCCCTTTTTTTTTATTGGTTTTGGTTTTTGCGGATACTGATGTGCATATCTTCCCTTATAATCTCCTGGCCTTAACCCAATACACCTAATTTTTTTTGTTTTTTGTTTTTGTTTTTTGGTCTACGGTAAAGAAAATCAAGCCAATGCTCTTTGGGCTATTACAAACCAAACAAAAGAAATGTCTATATAATGAATCTTTTGGTTGGTCCGTAATCAATGATATATGGTAGCAAATGTGAGTTATAGTGGTTTCTGCAGCTTCTTGTTATTTGGAATTTTAGATAATGCATGTAAGAGGCTTGTATTGACTAACTACCCGCCAAAATGAAATGGAATAAAATCCAATACAGGTATTTTTCCGAGTAAGAGATACCATGTTACTTTCTATAGAAAGCCATATGTGCATTCAACTCTGTGTCAGGTTTTCTGGTTAAGTTATAATGTGTGTACTGTACATGTCAGTTCTATACAATTTGACCATGTTGTACATATTTTTTTTTAGAAAAAGAAAACGTTTTACGCCACAAGTCAGATATCAAAGTAGAGCATTAAAGTAGTGGGTAACAATGAGATGTTTGCAGTCAGTCTTAAAAGTAAGAAGTTAAAAATATGTGCGTCTGTATGTATGTGCGTCTGTATGTATGTGCGTATGTATGTAAGTGTATTTTTACGAGTAGAAAATGATTGTTGGTATTCTTTTTTATTTCATTGTCAACTTCCACAGTTGTTCCTTAATTGGACAATTCTTATATACAAATTCATATCTCGTTACTTTTGGCTTAAATCATGATTCATTGCTGTTGTACAAATACACCCACAAATGCATATATAAAATAAAATACACTCTTTCTCACACTCTATAAAATACAAATCCACAAATGAAATAGGGATTATTTTATCCGAAAACAATTTCGTATAAAGGCCCTGCAGTTTTCTATTCTTCTTTTTTTTTGTTGCTTTTTTATCTCACAATATAACTCCTTATTACTCAACCAGAACAAAATCATATTATATTATATTATATTATATTAAATTAAATTAAATAATCTTTTTTTTTCAATATATATATATATAAAAAGAAATTATGAATATTACTCACAGTGGAAACGAGCCAGCCGACCCATGGTTTGCAAGCATTGGAATGATTAGTAGTGCTTCAGCCATAGTCCTTGGTCTTTTGGCTCTCAAATACCCCGACAGAGCAGCCTTTTATGAGCGTCGAAAAGGCATTTACCACTCCAGAGGTTGGCCAATCCTCGGCGCTACTCCATCAATGATATGGAATAAAGAAGTAATTCACGAGTACTTTTTGCACCAATTTGAAAAAAGTGGCGTTTTGACATCGTAAGTGTTATAAATAATGCACCAAAAAACAAACAAACAAACAAATAAGCAAAGGCAAAAGTAAATAGAGAAGAATTGGCTTTTATTTTATTTGTTATTTGTAAATAAATAAGTAAATAAGAGTTTGAAACATACATACATCTATGCAAAAAAAAAAGCTACAAAACAAGTTAAAATTGAACATTTATAAAATGTATCTTTTGTAGGGCAATTTCATCACTGGGAATACCATTCACTATTTCCACTATTGACCCTCGTAATATTGAACACATCCTTAAGAGTAAATATCCCCAAACAAAAGACTAAAAGAAACGCAGAGTATTAATACAAATCTAAATAAAACTTTATTTTAGACAATTTTGAAAATTACGTAAAAGGACCGGCATTTGATGAAGCAACACAGGATTTACTTGGTCATGGTATATTCAATTCAAATGGAGAAAGATGGAAATATCAACGCAAAACAGCAAGCCATATATTCAATGTCAAGAATTTCAAGGATCAATTTACAGAGTAAGTTTCTTATCTATCTATCTACATATTTATATATTTATTGGGAGTTTCTTTGGGTTTCATAGTGTATTCCTCAATGGGTTCAAGATAATGAGTGAAAAGATCTTTGATCCAGCTGTCAAAGAAAATCACTCTGTCGATTTTCATGATGCCATGTACAGATTCACTCTAGATTCCTTTATTCTGTAAGTACCTAGTTTGTATTATTAAATAACCATACTCGGGCTTCCTCTTCTTCTATTGCTATTAATAATAATAAACCTTTTATTCTTCTTTTCTTTAAAAAAAAACACATACAGGCTTGGGTTTGGAGTTCACCTAAAGACATTGTCAACCAAAGAAAAGGTCCCATTTGCAACCTCGTTTGACGAATGTCAACGTAATGCAATCCGTCGACTGACTAACCCAGCCTGGCGTATTGGAGAGACGGTCCGGCACTGCTTGGCCCCCTGGAAAAAAACCATTCCTCAGCATGTCGAGACGATCAACAGCTTTGCTAGTGATGTGATCAAGAACCGGCGAGACCAGGTTGCCAAGGGAGAAGAGCATGGTGATTTGCTTTCGAGGTTTATGAAGTGCCGAAACGAAAAAGGCAATTTGCTGGACGATACCGAATTGCGTGACACGGTCCTCAATTTTGTGATCGCAGGCCGTGACACAACCGCCCAGTCCTTGTCCTGGACGTTTTATAACTTGATGCAGAATCCGGCAATTGAAGAGAAACTTCTTGAAGAGATAAGGGAACATATCACTGATTCAATGGAAGACGACCCACCTGCCATGTACGAGGCGATCAAGCATATGACCTATGCCCATGCAGTGTAAGCATAAAAGTTACAAATAATGCTTTGTTCGAGAAGTCTGACAGGTGTAAAATATTTTTTTTGATTGCTCGGTCTCTAGATTCCACGAGACTCTCCGTCTTCATCCTTCTGTACCAAACAACCAAAAATATGCTCTAAATGATGATATCTGGCCTGATGGCACACATATCCAAAAGGGTGATTATGTTGTCTGGAGTCCGTGGGCTCAGGGCCGGTGCGTCAGCGTGTGGGGAGAAGACGCAAAGATCTTTAAGCCTGAGCGATGGATTACACCCGAAGGTGATTTAAGGCGTGAAAGTCAAGGTCAATGGCCTGCATTCCATGGCGGACCACGCGTATGTCTTGGTAAGATATTTCATTTAAATATTAATATTAATATTAAAGATAATGATAATTAAACTCTATTATGTGTGTGTAGGTCAAAATCTAGCTACGTTACAAGCCTTGATCGTTATTGTATTCTTATTGAAAAGGTACAAGCTGTCTCTTGTACCTGGTCAAGAGATCACTTATCTGGTTTCATTGACCCTGCCAATGAAGAACGGGATGTCTGTCATGGTTGAGAAACGACAGCCCGCACAGTAAAATCTCATTTTTTATTCTTTAATCTGATTTCTATCTCTGTTCCTTTACACACTACTCCACTTCAGTATTACTCCAATTACATATTAACAACAGTTTACTTGTATATTTTTCTTTTTATATATATACAAAAAAAAAGCATGTGATTATCATCAGCACACCTGCTTTTCTTTTATACCAATAAAGCCAAATCAAATCAAATCAAATCAAAATAATGAAATATTGAAATATTGAATGAACGAGTAAATGAATGAGTGAATGAGCAAGAATATGGTTGTCTCTCTATCTTAATGACGATCTGATAATAATCGCTAAAGGAGAGCTTGTTAAATGAGAAAGATATATATATATATCTTTCTCTTTACATTGGAGATTTGATAAGCTAAAGTTTTGTTTAAAAGAAAATGAATAGATAGATAGATAGAAAATGAAGAGGGGGAATAGGTGCAGGGATATTAAATAATTTGACGTGTGTTTCTAAAATGATGATTAAGATTAGTTAGTACATGTGTATTTTATAGATTATAGATAGACATTTGGCTTACATTTCCTTCAACTGCTTGGAGTAATAGGTGAGGATCTCTTTGCGTTTAAGCTTCTGGGCAGGTGTAAGATATCCCTAAAAAAAAAGAGAGAGAGAGAGTAGATATACGTTAAAGAACTGTAGCCTAAAAGCTATGAAAAAAAGTGTTCACTTACCGATTCTGGGGTCCATAATTCTTTGCAGACCCAGATATCAAACAATAATTCTGCTCCCTTGAGCCCACCCTTTTTGCCTTGTTGGAGCAAGACTTCATGTACCAATTTACGCACATCCTTATTTTCGCACAGTTCATCCCAGCTCTCGATCTGAATTCCGCCACTCTTCAAGGCAAGTGCACGCAAAGCCCCTTCGGCAGGAACCACGAGGGCAATTGGTTTGGCATAGAGAGAGTCTGCGCAGACACACATGTTTTCGACTATGACCGACGTCTTGTAGACACTCTCGAGTTTCTCAAGGGCGATGTACTCGCCGTTGCTCATCTTGACCAGGTTTTTCTTTCTGTCGATGATGCACAGGGTTCCTCTGTCGGTCCATTCGCCAATGTCTCCGGTCATCAACCAACCATCCGGGGTCAGTGTTTCGCGGGTCGTGTTTTCCTGCTTAAAGTATCCGGATGTGATCGAAGGGCCTCTGATCCAGATTTCGCCCTGAGGACGAGGGAGGTTTGTGGACAGGTACCCGGCTTCAGGGACATCGACAAACTTGACCTCCACGCATGGTACAGGTGCACCAACTTCTCCATAAGCAAATTGATCTGGAGACATGACTGCACACATACTATTTAATGAAATATATATATATATATATATTTAATTTAGAAACACACATTTATATATGTATATCAACACATACACACACACACACAAAAACTTACCCACAGCTACATGATTACAATGATTTCGTTTTAATAATCAAGGAAACAAAACAAGCATGAGATTAGTATCAATTGCTTCTTTAACCAACCAATCAACCAAATAGCTAATAAGCTAACAATTTAACGAACTACCGAGCTAAAGAACTACCGAGCTAAAGAGCTAAAGAGCTGACCATCCCCTTCACCCCCCCCCCTTTTTTTTTCTTTTCTTCGTCCTCTTCTTCTTTTGGTTTATGTATCCAGAAATTGTGTATTGTATTAAACAGAGAAAAGAAAGACATTACCTCTCCGTCATTCCGTATCCACCCAATAATGGACACGCCGACATGGAAAGGAATCGTTGGGTTTCTGCTGAAAGAGGAGCGCCTCCCGAAAGACCATAACGCAATTTACCTCCCAGTTGTTTCTTTACGTTGTTGAACACAACCTTGTCCAGGAATCCGGTTGGGAGACCGTAGCCTGACATGTAGTCCTTGAGGTCCAGCGCGCCATGGAAGATTTTCTCGATGCGAGGACCCTTTTGGACAACCTTTGTCAGGATCGACTTGCGGATGGTCTCCCAGACCTGAGGTACGCCTGTGAGGATGGTTGGTGCGAATTCTTGGATGTCACCCCGGCAGTTACGCACGGACACCTCGGTCAGAGTACGGATCGAACCATAGCCAAGGGTGACGCCAAAGAATATACACAGACTTTCGACAAGGAATTCGAGGACGTGGGCGAGTGGTAGATAAGCCAAGACTCGGTCACCTTCTTCAACCAGATGTTGCAACATACGGCAACAACCAGCCACTAAAATAAATATGATCACAATAAGCATAATGCCAGTTTTCATTTGTGTGTACTTGAAAGTCTTGGATGAGTAGAAACCAATAAGGAACTTTTGATAGTAGAAAAGTAAGTGGCAAGAGTGTTTGTTATCTTACCTGCTGCGACAACGTTCTTGTGGGACAAGACGACACCTTTGGGGTTTCCTGTGCTTCCGCTTGTGTACATGATACAGCAGATGTCTTCGCTTTTTGGCTTGACTGGTGGAAGCTGGTTCTGTTGGCCAAGAGACAGGAGTTCCTCATAAGAGAGGGCATACTGGATCTGACCACTCTTTTGGATCCGCTTGATGTCTTCTTGCTTGACCTTTCCTCGATAGATGATGTTCTTGACTGTGGGACAGGACGGAAGGATCTGTTCGATGATCGGGAATTGATCGCCGTTGATAAAACAGGTTGCTGATTCTGCTTCGTTCATGGCGTGTTGAAGACCTTCTGCTCCAAGGGTATCATAGGCTGTGACGATGGTAATAGTTTGACTAAATGCAGCTAAATAATAATAATAATAAAGAAGACATATGCACCAATCCGTCAGTTTCATTTGACCCACTTTCTGTTGCTGCTGCTTTGTTGTTGTTTGTCCTATGCACTAAACCCCCTCTTTCTCTCCCTCTTCCCTTTCCATTTTTCCCTTTCACAGTCATTATTTGTCCCCTATTTTTTTTTGTATTTCTTTATCTTTATACTATACTATACTATACTATATTATATATAGTTTTTCTTCTTCTTCTGGTGGTGGTGCTGCTTGTTTATCTTTATACTAAATGTCTATAGTATAGGTATGCTGTATTGCTTACCATGCGCCATCATCATCCACTCCACACTAAATAAGTCCGATTACATTGATAAGCATAAAAACAAAAACAAAAAAAAGGTATTTTTTTTTTAATTTTTTTCCCTTCTTTTCCAAATGTAGACAATACGTAGTACCAGCTACATTTTTTTTCCCTCTTTTCTCTCTCTCTCTCTATTTCAATATGTAAAAAAAAATCTTACCTTGTGGAAGCAGAGATCTGAAGTTTATCTTGCTTTTGCATGCCGATTTTGGAGAGGCCTGAACCAAGAGCCTTGGCAATTTCCAAGGCTTCACCATAGGTAAAATAAGAATACTTGCTGAGCTGGAGATATGTCCAGATCTTTGTTTCGGTCTTTTCGACCCCATTGACGGTCTTTGTGACATCTTTTTCTTCTACAATCGTGTCCTCCAATACTCTGTAGCCAAATCCATCGCGGTCCCTGTAGTGGGTAGCACTATATTGGAGAATATCATGCAACGTCTCGACACCCAAGGCAGGAGTCACCATTAATTCACTAGGCGAGAGGATTGATCGACGTGTGGCAGACTCTCCAGGTGCAGCAGGTGCAACTTCAATAGAAAAGCTTTTGATAGACATTGATTCTTTTTTTCTTTTTCTTTTTGTCTGTATATTAATAGGATTTGAGATTTGAGATTTTGGATTTATTTTTTTGTAACAGATATTTTCGTTATTTCTTGTGTGTAAATAGAAAATAGAAAATAGAAAATAAGATAAGAAGAAGTAGAAGTAGAAGAAGTATAGATTGAGTTCAAATAAGTAAAGAAGAAATTAAAAGAAAAGAAAGAACAGGTTGAAAAATAAGGAAGAGGACAAGGGAAATAAATAATGGATCCCAAAACTGGATAAGAAATTGAACAAAAAAATAAAAAAATAAAAAATAAAATAAAATAAAAAATAGAAGAAAAGAAAAGAAACCAAAATTGAATAGCCGCGTGTTGTTTTTATAATTTCATGTGCAAGTCCATCTATATTTGTTGAACTCATTTGACTTCTTTAAATGCGTATATTCAACATTTATTTAATGTCGTTAATAATAAACAATACTCTGCAGTACCACGATCGATAGAACACCAGAATCCTAAATAAATTCAACCCAATCTGCTTTAAATCTGTGCAATTCTGGTAGTCTTTAATGATTTTTTTCTTTTGTTGTGTATTTTATCTTAAAGAAATGACCGTCATCGTCATCTATTACAAAAAAAAAAAGAGAGAAAGCCTTAAATATCTTGGTGCCTTTTTCATTGGGATTTGTGTACAGCCAAGAGTTTGTAGTTTGATTTGATTTGAATTGATTTGAATTGTTTGGGTTCTCTGAGATTCTCAATACAATACAATACAATACAATGCAATACAATACAATAAAATAACGTTTTGTTCACCAATTGGTTTCTATGGTGACCATTATTTGTACTAATAATCTGACACACTATGTTGTAAAAAAAAAAAATTCAAACAAAGACAAAAGAAAATAAAATAAAGCAAGGGGTGAATCAAATCCAATCCAATCCAATTCAACTTCATTCAATTCAATTCAATTCAATTCAATTCAACCTAATGATTTCATTCATTTGTTTAGTCCTTTAGTCTTTTGGTTCTTTGAAATTTTTGGTATATTATAAGTTCATTGCTTTGATCCTTTTCCTCCTCCTCCTCCTCATACTCCTCTTTACCTTTACCTTTTTGCTTTCATTTCCACTTTTACCTCCACTTCTATCTTAATCTCTAATTTGTCCCCTAGAATTTCCTATATAATACATACAAGATCTCTTTTATTTATTTTATTTTACATACAGATGATAATAATTATAATGTTTAGAAACACATTTAAAGTCACTACCATGACAATATGTAGAGAAGCAGCGATTCGCTATAGTCACAACTAAGCAGTGATAATATTTATACATACTTACATACATACATACATACATAAATATTTATATATATATTTTGTCAATTTCAATACTATCAATATCTCCCTTTTGAACAATTATGCATTTACAGGATATGTATGAAACTCTATACCAATTTTGTACTTGCTTTTGTTTGTTTGTTTGTTTGTTTGTTTGTTTGTTTGATTTTATTTGTATCAGATATAATAATGATATTATTTTTATTATTATTTTATTGTTGTTGTTATTATTACAGAGAACCCTGGTATATATATAAAAACACAGGGGGGGGGTAGTCAACAGGTATTGGCGTAAATATCTAAAATATAAATTACTGTCTATAAAAGAAAAAGAGATAATATAATATATCGTCTTGTATTAAACAAGTAATATTGACGTTGACATTTATTTATTTGTTTTTACTTTATATTGCTGTTAGTACAGACACAGCAAATGTTGTTTTCTAGTAAACCTACTTTTGCCTTTTTCTTATAATCGTTATAGAGCCTAAAGCAAGTTATTGTTCAGCCATAGATTTCAACAGCATAACAACAAAACACCTATTTGAAGCCTATTTACATTTGTAAACTCCATTAGACACAAAAGGGGAAAACAAGGACAAGGGGATATGATGAAAGGGGGAGAGGGATAGAGAAAGAGAAAAAAAAGGGGGTTTCATTAGAGATGATCAGGTATTTGTTGATAAATGTCGGAAGTGGCTGAAAGGACCAAGTCTTTAAAGAATTAAAGATAGATATATCATTAAGATAGGGAGCAAGCAATAAAAAGGATAGAAAACAAAGAAAAAGACATGTTCCATTGGAAAAGAAATATTATTATAAATATATACTTTGACTGAGTCAAGTATAGGAATCTGGTGGCAAAATTGATGTAATTTGGTACATACTTCAAAATTAAAAGCTGCTCCTGCAAAACAATAGTAATAGTAAGAATAATATTTTGACCAAAAGGTGCAAATAAAAATTCCTCTATGAACAACAGATTTGTTCTTTGACTCTTTATATATCACATATTTTGTATTGAAAGTCTCTTGGCAGTCTTGTACAACCAAGATTTCTGCAAAAAGCTTTTAGTTTATACAGTGGTGACAAGCCAGTGTGTATTATAGGTGGCACAGTCCAAGAAGAGTCCTGGTATTCTTTATTGATATATAAACAATCCCAAGCCATTAAGAAGGAAACCCCATGGCTGCTTTACCTGGCCCTTTTCCTTTTCTTTCTTTGCGCTTATTAAATTCCAAAGTACCTTTAATGACATTATGATTATGATAATGATTATGATTATTTCATGTGCTCTTCCCGGTAAATACCACCAATTCCCCTCTTTTCTCTCTTATGTCTTTATCTCCATCTTTCCACCCATTCTTGGGGTATTGGTAACATCAAACAGCTGACATTCCAAAATCTCTCTTATTTCTAAATACATGCTCCCAATTGTTCTCGTCTATCTGTCTTTCGTTTGTCCTATTGGTGCAGATCTCCTGAACAAGCCAAAGATTATCTAAAATAATTATTTAACATTTTATCTTAACTTGTGGGAGTACAGCTGTGATTAAATGCCTACAATAAAAATAAAAATAAAAAATAAATATTAAAAACCTATCAAAACCATGTGCAATTATAACAATGTGTACAAATGCGTGCTTGTTACTTGTTTCTTGTTTCTTGTGTTTGCGTTTGTGTGATTTTCTTATTTTGCTTTTAAATCCCTTGTGATGAAGACTGTCATTATTAAACTCGGCGGTGCTGCCCTCACAAACAAGAGAGCCATTTGTGAGCTAACAAATGAATCCCAACTCGGGGTTTTGTTTGACCAACTCCAGGTTGTCTATGAATCTCTCCAAAAGTCAGGTGATCGCCTAGTTCTCATACACGGTGCAGGCAGTTTTGGCCACCCTCAAGCCAAGCGACACCACATCAAACAAGGCTGGCTGTCACACGCATCAGCCAACCAAGAACGTGAACAAAAGCTAGGCTTTGCAACTCTACGTCAGAATGTCCTCCAGCTTCACATCGCAATCCTAGCCGGTCTGCAGAATCGCGGAATACCTGTAGTCAGTCTTTCACCTTTTGACCACATCACAACCGAGAATGGTTCCGAGAATAGTCCAGAAAGATGTTTTCGATCCGCCGCTCATCGTGCAAATGACCTGATGGCTCTGGATCTTGTTCCGCTCCTTCACGGAGATGCAGTGCTGGATCGGGTGTTGGGATGTACTATTTTGTCAGGTGATGTGGTAATGTACCATCTAGCTCAGCTTCTTCCTCAGGTAGTCCGTTGTGTATTCGTGACGGATGTTGCGGGCGTTTATGATTCCGATCCAAAAGTGGTTTCTGCTCAACCTGCTCGATTGATCCCATTTATTGATTCAAGCCAAACAACCAAAGGCATCAAGAAAGAAATAGAGCGAGGACAAGGAAAGGCATCAGTTAAGACACTGGTGTCAGAAGGAAACCAGCACTCTGATGTGACAGGTGGGATGAACAGTAAGGTCAAATGGGCAGCAAAGACTGTAATGCATGCAGATCAAGCTCGCCGAGAATTACAAGTCGTCATCTGTAAAGCAGGGTCATACGAAGCAGAACATGCCATGTCACTTCAACCTGTTCTTAACAACGGAGAACCCTATCCCGAACTTGCGATGACTGTATTCAGTACCACCCAAATGCAATCATATTAATATTAATAACAATACTATATATATACATATATTTAAACAGGCTGTTTATTTTCATATTTTATTATATTTATTATTAAATTTTGGTGTGGCTAAAATCTCCCCTCTCCTCACTGTAATATATATATAGATAGATATAGATATACAGCTTAAACCATTGATAGATAGGTTTGCACTACCTTGGAAGTATCATTGGTTCCTTTTGCAGAATAAACATCCAATAATCTTTCCTTAGCAAGAGCGTGGAGATCCTGAGCATATTCTGTGTCCTTGGATTCCAATAGTTTTGAAGCACACTGTTTCCAAAATTAATAATAATAATAGTAAATGAAACACACGCACAGAGACACAAACACATTCGTTCATTCGTTCGTTCATTCATTAACTAGAATCCCCCACAAAAGATAATCCAAAAGAAGACAAAGAGAGAAAGAAAGAAAAAAAGAAACTTACTAAATCAAGACCATAGAGTGCTCGCACATGGTCTTTGCACAACTCAAGTACTTTGCAGTACTGTTTCAAGGCCAATGGGTAGTTGTGCAATGTGAACATTATCTCGGCATATTTGAGATGAAAGATGTGGTTTCCAGGCTGGAGTAACAGCAATTCCTCACAGCAGAATGCAGCCTGTTCGTAGGCATGCTTTGACAGATAAAGATGACACAGCTCCAACCATGCTTCATGATCGTCATAGTAAGTATCAAGGTACTTTGTCAGAGCCTCCATAGCCTCTTGATCTTTGCGTCTTTCCTTGAACAGTGCAATCTGACGTTTGGAAGCCAGCTGTTATATATATATAAATAAAACACAAGAATGAGATTGTAGTCCAGTGAAATGTATCGAGGTATAGTATAAAGTAGTATAGTGTGAAATTAGACGTGTTTGTTATGATCTTTTATATATATACATATATATTGTGGCTTTATTAACTTGCCATGTTTGTTTCGTCTTGTTCAAGGATAGAGTCATACACTGCCTGTGCCTGGCCAAGCTTTCCTTCTGCCTCTAGTTTCATGCCTGTGAGACGCTTGAAACGAAGTGACTTTTCATTGAATCGGGTTCTGAGTTGAGCAATGCAGTGCTATTTTTTTTTAAAAGGATAATTATTGTTATAGATGAGAATAGATGAGGATGTGTATAAATGTTAATCTCACATTGGCCAATTCAAGGTCTCCGACATCGAATGCTGCAACTGCGATCTGTTCATAGATGGGCCAGACTAAGATGAAATAGAATTGTTTATAATGAGCGTGTTTGTGCTGTGATTATATATATATATATATATATATATATATATATATATTCTGGTCAGTTAAAGTAGTTTACCTTGTTCTCCTAGTTTGGACAATTGCTTTTCTCTAATCAGTCTGGCACCAAGAGCAGCTACACGTTCGGATTTTCGCTCATTTGTCAAGCGATAGGACTGGAGTTCTTCTACAACTGCTGCAGAGTCAAGACGGGACATTATATATATAAAAATATAAAGGATAGAATAAAAAAAAAAGAAAAGAAAAAAAAATGGCAATGTAATTTTGTTTTAACTGGCGGAGTCTTTAACCAACCAGAGAACGATCCGTATACACATTATTTGATAGCCTGTATAAGTGTTCCTATACATATAAAAGAAGAGCTCCAATAATTACAGAAAAGGATAGATAAAAAGTATAAAGTGAATGGAAGTTACTCCTTCAATATCCACGTGTCTATCTTGCTCTATTGGCATTATAAATTATCAGCTTCTTTATAAGAAAAGAAAGAGAGAGAGAGAGAAAAGATTCAAAAGAAGGGTTGATGATAATTCCTAAATGTACATATTTATGTGTGCATATACTAGATCTAAAGATATATAAGTAATAAGCCTGTATGCATGTATGTGTGTATCTAAATTATTACTAACCTTGAGATCTAATGAACCAATTATAATCTTGTTTCATTCTCCAGGCTAAATTTCTCTGCTGTGAATTTGTTTTTTTTTTGGTTTCTTTAACCTTTAACCCACATTGTGCACATTGCAAAAGTAGTCACGTGTACCATATTTTTTTTGGGGGGGTGGTTAGAAGAAGTATCTGATGGAATTAACACATGTAAGTTCTATTGGATTTCATTTCATTTCATGATCTCTTTCTCTCTCTCTCTCTTTATGAATATATAGATATTTGTATGTTGCATTTCGCTTTTTAATATCAGAATTAGAAAAGAAAAACAAAACAAAACAAAAAAAAAGTCTATCACGTTTTTTAACTGTGATTATTTTTCTGTTATTCATTTGGTGCCTTTTTGTTGTCTCATCTGATTAAGTCACTAATACGCAAAAATAAAATTTTAAATACACACACAATATATGTATATAAATATTTATACAAGATTTTCTATTATAAATGGAGTCTTGAGCTATCGGATGATAGAAACTGACATCAGTCAATCAAAGTCATATAGATATCAAGGTTTACTTTTTTATTTATTTATTTTATTTTATTTTATTTGATTAGTACTATTATTTATTTAAAGTGGAGAATCACTGTAATCTGTTTCCAAAGAAACAAATTAAAAAACCACTGCTAGGCAACTAAAAATAATAATAATTAATATAATCTGTTGCTAGACAACCAAAAGAAGACAAAAAAATAAGAATAAGAATAAGAAAAAGAGAAAAAAAAAATTGAAGTGGATCGATGAATAAGATGGTAAAAATATGCCTTGTAAAGATTTTTTTTTCTTTTAAAAGAAAAAAGGGGGGTTTGGAGCAAAAGAGAGAAGGAGTTGGACACACAAGTGTATATATTTAGTTTAGACTTCTTACTAAAATAAAAGAAGAAAATAAGTTGCTCTTGTAGATACACTTATCGTATGCCTTTTATATATATATATATAATTAGATATTAGATATAAAAATTTCCGTAACAAATCAACAATGACACGCGAAACACTAAAGATTATATAGAAATCGATGATTTGTGTAGTTCTTTAATATATAATTTTTTAACAAAAAATTATATATTAATCTTTAACAGGCATATAATAATCACATCACATTCATATTCATATTCATATTCATATTCATATTCACACTCACAATAGTATTCAATAATAATGATAATAATGGTATTAAATTGAAACACTTTTATTAAAATAATATACATATATATATATAAAATAAATGATCGGACCATCCGCTGAGAAACTAACTATAGTGCGGAGATTTGGTTCCGACAGAAAATAAGAATACAGGACAGGACAGGACAGGACAGGACAGGACAAATAGACAAATAGACAAATAGACAGATAGACAGATAGACACCCAGTCTAGCAAGTCCAGCCAGTCAGTAAGTAAGCCAGTCAGCCAGCCAACCAAACAGACAGACAAGTTAGTACAGGACAAGAAAGACAGAATATTATAGGCCAATACTAGATAGATACACTGAATATAGTATACACATTTATACATAAAATTATAATAATAATAATTTTTTTTTTTAAAAAAAATAAAATAAAATAAATATAAAATTGATTTCTCAAGACCACAATTGACTGTTTTCTCCCCTCCAACCACCTCCTCCAACCCCCTTTATTATATATATATATTTATTTATTTTTATTTATTTTTATTTATTTTTTAATATTTTTATTGCTGGTTTAAAACACCTTGTTACTTTGCACCCTCTTTACCCAACACACCCAACTCTTTCCTCCTACTTCTTCCTTCTTTTTTTCTCTTTATATTCTCTAGAATATTTATACTTGCACATACAAGAACGTAATTCATCTTCTTTTTTTCTTCTTCTTTGGAATCTCATCACTTTACATCACCACAACACATCATCCCAACCTTCAAGTTCTATTCTCTTCAATATCACACTACCTCTGCAAGCAATGAAAAGCGTCGAAGCTGGTACTTTTTTTCTTCTTTTACTATCCTTCATACGATATCCTCTTCTTTAATTACTTTTTCTATGTCTGTTTTTATTAAATACCAAATAAAAGCAACAAAACAAAAAGAAAATAAAGACAAAGAAGCCTATCATAACCCCTTTTCCTAATCACTATATACACAAAAAAAAGAGAGAGAAAAAGCCAAGACTCACTAAAAGAAAATCAAAATCAAATTATAAATATATATATTTTTCTTACATTTCTTTAAGCAACCACAGCAATCTTCGACCCCATCCCAACTCATCAAGCACAAACTTCATCAACTTTCCCTCGGTAAGGGAGAATCTAGATCATCATTATAACCACAAATAATAATAATAATAATAATAAAAAACACGCGAACACAATATACGTCTATCTGTATTTTCACCAACACCAACTACAACAATAAAATAATAATAATTTTTTACAGACCACGGCACCTTCAAGATGTGAACAGCCAAACACCCACAGGGAACCGGTGTCACACACCCGACGAATCTCTTCACAGCTTCCGTTTCTCACCTAGCACACCTTACGACATCGACATTTCCGAACTACGACAAACAATTCTCTGTAGACGAGGGCTACTCAAACATTGCTCTATTGATCACAAAGGCAACTGTGCCAACAGCAGCCGTGTGGACTCTTTGTTGACTACAGAAACCTTACCAAATAGTCCACGTCGGCGTCAACATAGTAGCCCAGAAACACGCATCGTTCTCAACATGTCTTCAATATCGGGCATACGAAATTCCAGAGAACAACAGCAGAAACAACAACAACAGCAACAAAAAGAAGAAGAAGAAGACGAAGAAGAAGACGACGAAGACGAAGACGATGATAATGAAGATAATAATGAAAGGCACAGACAGTCTACACCTGCAATTGCCATCAACAACTCGGACCACTCCTCTCGTTCATCTGTCTCTTCTCACACCTCGACATCTTCTTCTTCTCTCACATCGTCATCGTACTCTAGCACTACATTAGATGAAGAAAGCCGGTCCATGCACATATCTATGCCCATTCCCAAGCCGATGCCGATGCCAAAGCCAAGACGAGTTCTTACAGAAGGTCGCTTGCCTTCTGCAGCTACTCCTCGGTCATCCGGCACACCCGCCGCCACGCACCAGCGCCGACGTTCTTTAATCAACATGATGTCCTCTGCACTGCATCACCCTACCCGCTTCTTACCCCAGAACCAAGCCATCATCACAACCCACGAAGATTGTCGCATCAGTGTCTCAAATAACGAAGCCGCATCTATTTTAGTCGGCACCCAAGGAGGCGCAAAGAACCTTGTTGGCCAACTTATCCTTGATTTCATTGATCCAGCTTCACGCTCCCAGTTTGTAAGCGATGTCATCCGCCGTAGAGAGAGCCTGACACCTGCAAACTACCGTTCCGGAGGAGCTGTTCTTGTCTGTGGTGAAGTGGTTAGTATTGTCCTTATTCTTTCTTCTAATGCATGTATATATATGTCTCTCTGTGTGTGTGTGTGTATATATATATGTGTGTACCTAACTTTCGCTCTGCAACCCATGTGCATTTCTATTTTTATGCTTTACATGTATGTATGTATGTATGTATGTATGTATGTATGTATGTATAAAGCTCTCGATTATCAAGCAGGACGGTACAGTGTCGGCAGCGTCTCTGTGGTTAAAAGAAAAACGAACAAGCACAGGGTCATCTGTGTATATTTGGATCTTTGAAGAAGTCTTTCAGAGTCTAGCCTATGTCCAAGTCGATGCCAATGTATGAATTATTTGCTGATTTTAACTTATTTAATTTGGGATCTTCTCTTTTTTTCTTCAAAGAAAAACAAGAAGGTGTAGAACAAGCTTAATTCTCAAAGTTGTTGTTTTTTTAACCCCCAAAATAATAATACTAATAATAATAATAACATTAATATAGGGTATTATGCACCACGTCGATGAAGGCGTACGGAAACTCTATGGATACGATCCAGACGCTCTGATAGGAAAACCGCTTTCCAAATTGATTCCTTCTCTGGAAACATCCAACAGCAGCCAGTCAAAGGCAACTAATACCATCAACACAGACCTCCAAGACATCAACCGACTAAAGTTCTTTGGAAGTACCAGTCAACTGGGTGCAAATTTCCCAGTAATCCTCAGACTCAACTCACCATCACCACCACCATCACCATCACCATCGTCACCATCATCAGCAACAGAAGCAACAATCACAGCATCATCATCCTCACCCTCATCATCCTCATCCTCACCATCATTATCTTCTTCTTTATCTTCGTCATTTTCATCTTCATCTTCATCTTCAAATACATCTCTCTCAACTGTCCGCATCACATCCATCCCTACTCTCGCCGGACTTGTCACAGTTCGCCGAGATGGCTTTATCGAGGGCTGTAATGTAGTGTTTGCAAAGTACATGTTTGGATACTCACAGGAAGACCTTGTGGTTGGAAGGAAGCGTATCGGGGATCTTATCCCTCAATACCCGACTCTGCTCTCTATCCTGGAACAGGACGACTTACTGCACCACGGCTATATCATCAGCCACCCCATCTGTCGCCAACTCCTTGCCGACACACAGCCAAACACAACCACTCACAGACGACTTTCGAAAACACCGCACGGCCAGACCTTGCCTGTGATTACAGCCACCCACCGCGACGGCACCTCATTCGAAGTCGAGCTGCAGATCAAGCGGCTCGAAGGCACAGAAGACAGATGCGCATTGTGGATCACTTTTGACCGCGAAGCAACATTTTCTCGCTTCGGCCACACTCTTGCCCGCCAATCGCCTTTGCTATCTTCTTTACCTACCTCTTCATTTTCCTCTTCCGCCTCTTCCTCCTCTTCCTCGTCATCGTCGTCTTCTTCTACTACAGCTGCTACTGCTACTTCTACTGCTACTCTTATTGGAGGAGGTACTACTTCTGCTACTGGTTTTTTTAGTAGCATCAGACAAACACCTCTACAGCAAACCCAACAACAGATACACCCAACTCAGCAGGTTCAGCAGGTACAACAAATACAGCATACACAACGCCCTAGACACCAGAGCGGAGATCCACGTGAACGCAATATGCTTTCGTTGAGCCACTTGCTTAGAGACCCAATCTTTGAAACAACCGAAACCGAGAGACCAGTTGTTCCGGAACCAGTTTCTGCTTCTGCTCAAGTTGCTGCTCCAGCTGCTACTCCAGCTGCTACTCCAGCTGCTACTCCAGTTGTCGTTCCAGCCGCTGCTAGTACCTCAGCCGCTGCTTCTCCAGCTGCTGCTCTAGGTGCTGCCTCAGTTGCTGCTCCAGTTGTTGCTCCAGTTGTTGCTCCAGTTGCTATTCCAGTTGCTATTCCAGTTGCTATTCCAGTTTCTGCTCAACCAACACCTCAGCTACCAATCCACACCAGCACGATCACAAGCTTTTCGCGGCCATCGTTTGTCTCCGTACCATCAATCACCTCCCCTCCGATCGCCATAACTCCACCATCTTTCACCCGCGCAAATGTTGTCGTGACTCCCGGAGGTACGAACCACATGCAGATGTCGGCATCACTCCAGTACTCTGCACAGACCAATGAGCGATCAATCAATGACTATGAAATTCTGGAAGATCTTGGCCAGGGCGCCTATGGGCTTGTGAAACTGGCAGCTAAGATTGGAGATCCTGAACAAGTAAGTAGATTGAGGTTTTAGATTTAGATTTAGATTTAGATTTAGATTAAAATTAAGTAAGATTTGAGATAAAGATAAAGAGTGTGCTGTGGTGTGCTGTGGTGTGTTGTGTTGTGTTGTGGCTTTTAACGTATGTTTCTCTTTCTTTAAAATTTGATAAATGAATAGAGGAAAGTGGTGATCAAGTATGTGATCAAGTCGCGTATTTTGGTGGATTGCTGGACAAGAGATCGAAAGCTAGGACTTGTTCCAATTGAGATCCATGTTATGCACACATTGCGGAGAATTCCTCATGAAAACTGCAGCGATATGTGTAAGTCTTTGTCTATCTCTGCTTTTGCTTTATTTGTGCCTGTGCCTGTGCTTGTGCTTGTGTTTGTGTTTGTGTATTTTATAGAGATAAAGGACATGTTATTAAAGAAAGAAAGAGATAAAGAGAAAAGAAATACTCGCCAATTTGATGATGATAATAATAATTTCTGTTATATAAAATATAGTGGACTACTTTGAGGATGATGATAACTACTATATCGTGATGGGTTTACATGGAGCAGGGATGGACCTTTTTGATTACATCGAACTCAAGAATGGGATGACTGAAGAAGAGATCCGGGATATTTTCCGGCAGGTCGCTTCAGCCGTCCACCACCTTCATAGCCACAAGATTGTCCACCGAGACATCAAGGATGAAAATGTCATCCTTGACCAGCATGGTGGTGTGAGACTGATTGATTTTGGAAGCGCAGCTTATTTGCGTGAAGGTCGACGCTATGAAACATTTGTCGGCACCCTTGACTACGCAGCACCCGAGATCCTGCGAGGCCAGACTTATGAAGGCCCACCCCAAGACATTTGGGCCCTCGGTATCCTGTTGTACACGCTCATGTACCGAGAGAATCCATTTTATGATATTGATGAGATTATGGCTCAGGAACTACGTGTTCCATTTACTTTCTCCCAAGGTAAATTTGTAGTTGTATATCTATGTGCACTTGCATGTGCATGTGCATGTATATGTGGTGTTCTTGTTTGGTGCATGAAATAACAATTATTTAACATTCTCTGTTTTTGATGTGTATGTACACAATTAGGGTCTCTTGACTTGATAAAGAAGATGCTTAATCGTGATGTAGAGAAAAGACTGACGATCTCAGAGGTGCTGGCTCACCCATGGTTGAGCTCTTAAACCAAGACAGATTCAGAAAGAAATGAAGGACAAGAAGATGATCAAGAGAAAAAATTACAAACCTCTTGTTATTTGCTATGTATAGGTTATGGCTACCTTCTGTTCTACCCCTCCTTTTTTTATATATTTCCATTCAAACCTCCTTTACTTTTTATTATTTATATAGTTTCTTTTCATCATTGTTAAGCTCTACAATTGATCTTGACTTCTTTGTAAACCCTTTTAGCTTTCTATCTCCCCCCTTTTTTTTATATTCATTTTTATATTCATTTTCATTTTCATTTTCATTTTCATTTTCATTTTCATTTTATTTGTGTAGAATATTTTATCTTATTTTCATTTCATTTCATTTCATTTTCTTTCATTTTCTTTCCTTTCCTTTAAACAAATCTATCTATATTTTCCTTTTTTAGATTCTCATTCTTTTCAATTATTCCATCATGTACACTTTCTCTCTAACTAACTAACTAACTAACTAACTAAATATCCAATTATCTTTATATTTTATTTACTACCTTTCTTCTTATTCTTTTATATACATAATATATACATATTAAATAAATAACTTTTTATATAATCTACCTTTTAATTTCCATATAAAAATATTTGAATTACCATTAACATAATAATGATCATTATTTGATTATCTAAAAGAAGAATAATCCACAAAATAAATAAATATATTCTAGAGCCATTCATTCAAAAAATACATGTAAAATAATAGAAATGAATTGAAAATTTTGATTTCACAATTAAAAAAAAAAAATCCAAATTTATTTATTTAATTATAGGAGCTTTTGTTATGGGTTTCTTCATTCATTCAAAGTCATAAAGCTATTCACTGCTTTTATTATTATATTTGTCGATCTTGGAATGAGGGGGATTTGCTAGTGGATATCATACGATAAAAGTGATCAAATTAACAAATGGCCATAAAGATCACAGCATTTTGGGATTTGCTTGTTTTTAATAATAAACACAATTACCAGCATATTCACATCTGTCTTGCCCTTTTCAAATTACTAGCCATAGATTGATCAATTAAATAAAGGAAGAAAAATGAAAGAATAGGGAAATAAATCTCGTGATAAAAGTTTTGTGCTGATCTTGTCAAGATTGCAACGCACCTTGGTTCTTGGACCAAGATGTCAACGATGCTCATAATATGTGCTAAATTAAATTTTTTTTTCTATTTCTTTATTCAAAGTAAAATAAAGTACCAGAATCATAGCTATTACCAATAGCTCTTTTAACACAAAACAATAACGATAACTAAAGTATTCGCTCTCTCTCTCTCTCTCTCTCTTTCTCTTTCTTTTTCTCTCAAAATAAGATTCTATTTTATGATTTTCAGACAACCTAAATTATCCATCGTTTAATCACAATAAATAACTTGACGACCTGTCTATTGAAACGAATTTAAAGGAGTCAAAAGGAGTCAAAGATAGTTATAGAGAAAGATTGAGAGAGAGAGAAAAGTTAAAATAAATAAATAAATTATAACAAGCATAAAAGGGGTGGTGAAGTTGGCTTAAGAAATTTTTTTTTTAAAAAAAAAGACAAAGAACAAGAACATGAATAGGAATATGAATGGCTATGACAATAATGATAGGTATGAACATGAGTATAAGTATCAACATGAGCATGAGCATGAGCATGAGCATGAGCATGAGCAAAAAGAAGAGGAAGAGTAATAGGAAGAAGATAGAGAAGAACAAGAGCAAGAAAGGGGGGTGGAGTGGGTATGTTACTGATGGAATGTCAAATGAGAAAAGACCAAGCTCAACATTGCTCCTGGATAGGCAAAGCTACACCTGTTTTTATTATTATTATTATTATCATTTTATTAGTTCATGGGTTGTATATTACCTTTTACCACTTAATCAACTACAGCTACTACAGCTACTACAGCTACTAAAGCAACAGAAACAGCTGCTACTCATATCTAAGCTCTAATATTATTATTAGTATCATTGATATTCTTATTATAAAGTAGTACACATATATAAAGAGGTTTCCATTTTATACAGCTTCTTCCGGTGTGTTCCTTGAGCAAAGAAATTGTATTCAAGCATACAACAGAATACTATTGTACTGTATATCAGACCCCCTTTATATATAGACAGATATATATATATATATATATATTTATATATCTCGTAAACACTCGCCATTTGACTTTCCCCCACATCCCTCCCCCTTTTCCTCTATCATTCTCTCTCTTTCTTTCTTTCTTTCTTTCACTCACTCTCTTTCTCTCTAATTCATTCATTCACAGATTCATTCATTTACCAATTCATTCATTAATTCATTAATCTTTTGACCTTTTTCTTTTCTCTCTCTCTCTCTCTTTCTCTTTATTCTCCCTTTTATTTTTTATTTTATTACAAGGTCATGACCATGTCACCATCTGCGAATCGCATTCATTACCTCGACCATCTCTACAAAGACCTAAACCCCGATTCACCATCACTTGCTCCGCCTGAAAACAATCCACCTCAGGACGATATTGATGGTCAACAACAACAACGACAACACCCAGACAACACCCAGTCCACAACCATAGCCACACCCTTAACTACTACAGCTATCACCGATTCTCTCTGTATAAAACCATTTTATTTTCCGTTTGGAAAACCAATTTCTACAGTACAACGCGACCTGAATGACAAGAAGATATTTGTAAGATACTTTATGTGTTTAATGAATTATGTACAAGCTATTATATATATATATATATATTATATATATATATCTTTATGTGTCTTTTTATATACATAAACTTAGGCAGTCGTTAGACACCTTTATGGCATTCGTACTTTTTTGAGAGAAGAACAATTTGTGCCAGTAACAAAGGCATGTGGACTGCCGCGTTATCTCAACATGGCACTCTTCAGAAGAATGAATGTACAAGAAGAACCAGAAGATGGTGTATCGTTTGAACAATTCGTTCGGTAGGCTAATTAACAAGAATAGATACATAATATCTTTTTTATTTATTTAACTATTGATTTCGTAAAATTTTGTGTGCATTAAATCTAATATATTTATATTTAATTGTTGTTATTTATTTATCATTATTAGCGGGTGGATAATGCTGTCTTACGATCGATACAGTGACGAATCAATAATATTCAACATTCTCAAGAGACCTGGATTTACCTGGTTGAACCCTGAAGATTTCATACCAGTATTAGAAGGTACAAAATCTATTGTAGATAATAAATACTTCAAAAAAGAAAGCAATTCTACAAGCTAGACAGATACATGAATAAGATAAACAAATATATACATATCTACACTCTATCTAGATATTGTCTATAATCATCCAGGTCTACAGTCTTTAGCAGATAATCCAATGTTTCAAGAACGCTACAGTATGTTTTGATCGGAACAACCTGCACATCATCTGTATTCATTTATCTTACTACATATATATATACATCATCTCCCTTTGACTTTTGCTGATTGTAGTCGAAACTGTGATTTGTCGCTTATATTACGATGGCCGATGCCCAGGCGGCAAGATGAACCTGAACCAATTTCGACAAAGCAAATTTACCATGATGATCAAGGCACTAGGACCCAATATCGATCTCAACAATGTAATAAAGATAAAGGGTGATTATACCAAAGAGATTCCTTTTCTTCTTCTTCTTCTTCTTCTTCTTATATATATATATATATATATATATTCCTAATCTCACACTTGTCATAAATTAGACACACGATTGTTTTTCTTATAAGCATTTCTATGTCATCTACTGCAAATTCTGGGCACTTGACACCGATCACAATCTCATTATATCCCAACACGATCTAATGAAATACAATCAGTCGACTCTATCTATTTGGATCGTTCATAGGATTATGACTTGTGGACGGATAGCAGCATTTGATCAAGCGTACAAGAGCAATGTAGAAGTAACACCTGTCTTGACATATCTTGATTACATATGTAAGTATATGTATTATTCTTCTTCTTGACATTATTATTTAATTGGTTACTGCCACATGTTTCTATCATCCTTATATAATATTATTATCTCTAACAAAAATAAGAACATATTTGCATGTACATTCATTTCTTCTTCTTCTTCGTCTTCTTTTTTGTAGGGTTCTTGTTGTCAGAAATTGACAAGAGTACTACCATGGCAATTGAATACTGGTGAGTTAAATGTTCTCTTAAAGCTCAGATATCCTATATATATATATATATTTGTACTTATGGTTTTCAGGTTTCGATGTATGGATGTCGATGGCAATGGGGTTTTGACTAAGTATGAATTAGCGCAATTCTGGGAAGATCAAGATGCAAGGTACTCAATGATAACAGATAACAGATAGCAGTAGATGTAGATCTATATAACTATGCCTTTCTTTTATTACAGTTTACATCTGACTCACTAATATCTACTTTATATATATATACATACCAAAAGACAACGTTACTATGGTGTTGGTCCAGAAGACAGGATTCAATTTAAGGATGTAATGTGTCAAATGTAAGGCCTTTTCTTCTACTATTTTTGTTTTGTTTTCTTCCTCTCTTCTTCTACTACTACTACTTCTATCAGTTTTTTTTGTATTAATATTATATATATATATATATATATATTGTTTGTTTAGGAATGACCTTATACAGCCAAAAACACCCAATCAATTCAGATTATCTGATCTAAAGCGTAATGGTTACATGGCCGAACGTTTCTTTGACACCTTTCTGAACTTTGATCGATTCCAAATTCACGAGTCTTGTCAAGGTCTTTTACGACCCAAGCAAAAATATGAATTGGAGAAGCGAAAGTTAGAATCTGGAGACAATAGTCCTGTCTATACTGACCTAGACCATTTTCTCCTAGGGTATGAAGATTGATATATATATATTTAAAGAGAAATGATATTTATACCTATATACTTTCTTGGTATTCTAGGGATTGGAAAGAGTACGCAGAATATGAATACATTCATATCCTGGCCGCTGAACGTAACGATACATTGTGGGAAGAACACGACAATGGAGAGATAGACATATACGATGACTTTTGCGAGAAAGAAGACGGTCTTGATACCGAAGACAGAGACCATCAAGAGAAAGAGGGAGAGAAAGAGAAATACGATGAAAATGAAACTGAAACTGAAACTGAAACTGAAACTGAAACTGAAAATAAGAACGGATACTGCTATGAAGATGTGGTCGACTTTCGATATTTTGATCAATATTCTGCTTACGATTGCAGTAGGCTCAGGGCAGCCTTGGAAAATGAAAGTCTCTATGATTTTGCAGAGAAAGAAGATACTTTACCTTTCCAACAGCCTATTGCTCCACCAAATGAAATTGAAAAAGAAGACGAAGAAGACGAAGACGAAGAAGAAGAAGAAGAAGAACGATTTGTACTAGGTCTGCCTGTCTCTGAGAGTACAAGCGACCTAGAGAGTGATATCAGTCTACCAAACACGCCTACCTTGACAGATAAAGACATTGGAGCTATAGATTGGAGTATTTTCGCTAAACAAGCAGGTCCAAACACAAACTATTTGACATGGCTGAATACAAATACCAAAGGGAACGATGAAAAGGAACGAGATGTGGAATCTCCATGGATATAAATCACCCAAGTTACCCAAGATCAAATGCCCTTTTTTTTAACTAACTACACTTGCTCCACCTATAAGTATTTTCATATACTTTATCTATTCTTCTTTTCCTATCATCATTATTACTTCTTTCTTTCTTTCTTTTTATTATTATTATTATTTCATATATATTTTACTTTATTTTTCTTCAATGTATCTTTTTATACTTTTCTTTACTACAAAAAAAACAAAACAGAATAAATAAATAAATAAAGAAATAAAGAAATACGCATTATATAAATTATATTATCTTTAAATACAAGACTTTTCAGTCCTCTCATCACCTTTTACCCCAGTGACTTTTTTTATTAGAAGTATGTGTAATACTATTGTTCTTTGCTATGTCTATCCCTCCTACACCTCCTGCCCCTCCTGCTCCTCCTGTTCCACTTTGTTTGTGATTCAATCCAAGCGATCGTTTTAACTTTGCAATGAATCCAACTACATGATCGTGCACTTCTTCTCTGTTTTTCCCATTTTTTTCCACTTCACGTCCTTCCCGGAATTGCCTATCTAAAACCAAATCCCATAAAATAATGAAGAAAAATTAAATTAAAAAAAGGTCAATATACATTCCTCATTATTATTATTTCTTTTTTTAAAATATATATATATATATATCTTAATGGAACATACTGAGGTGTACTGGAATATCTGCATCTACCACTGGCGCCAGAATTTCATCAACTTTTGATGTACGAATATAAACCAGCATGTATGCGTTTGTAAATCGTTTGAGAGATTGTGCACTGCCATTTCGCATTTTCCCATCAAGGGTCGAAGGGTCATTTGAGCTGCGTAGAGGCTCATCGCCAAAATTGTCTTGGTAGACCTCTTTGAGGGTAACTGGAGTAACACGATCGTCGTCAAAGCGAAACCTAATTATAAATTATAAATATAAGATTAAAGAGTATCTATGTACACTTTTCTTTATTTATCATGACTCTTTCTATCTCTTTGGACTCTTACCATTTTCCGTTTTTCTCGGGTTTAATGAGGGCAAAATAATGGCCTCCATCAAGATCACCGCTGTGCACAAGAACGCTAAATCCAAAAAAAAAAATCTGTCAATTACTCCCAACATTCTTCAATATTATTATTTTTTTGGAGTGATCTCCTCAAGTTCACCCCGGTCCCCTTTCCATTATGTATATTTTTACCCATAAAGTGTATAGTCAAAAGGACCAGCCTCGTCACCACCGGCTTTGGAACAGTAAGCATCTAGATTGATACTTTCGGGAAATTCGTGATGATCATTGATCTATAACAGATAATGATATTAGATAATTAAATCAAATGACTTCACTATACTTACTTTGACCATCGAATCTCTTTTCATATCGTATTCAAATCGTTTGAGCTGTAGGTGAAGTACGGGTGGAAAACTCTCAAAGAAGACACCTTTCTGTGCGTCCTGAAGACCATGTCCCTCGGCCATATATTTATTGTCACCTTGCATTGTTTCGACTGCTATGTATTCTTTGAATGATTCGCGGAGATCCTTACATCCTTTGACATTTAGTTGGATATCTATCATGTAGAGATATATTGATTGGCATTTGTTAATCAAATAAATAAAAAATTAATTAATTAATTAATTAATTAATTAAACTATTAGTAAGCATTATTATCTTTAATTCTGCTTTTTTTTTGCATATATGAATATATGAACTAAAGATTTATGATTAAAGTTAACTAATGCCAATAGCAATAGTGATATTTTACCGTAAAAGTCTTCCACACGTGAAGATTCATAATCCACTTGTAGACATTTGATATAGCTTTTCATCTTTCCTACAAACAATCCTCGGACCGTTCCTCCTGCAGGTGTACCCTAAAGAAGACAATTAAAATAGTTGAGATAAATGATATACTTGTATAATGAATACCAAATATATATATATATATATATATATATATATATATATATCGTGTTACATGGTCTGAAGGATCCAAAAAGAAATAAATAATATACTATTCTCAATTCCTTTGATTCTTTTTTCCTTTTTCTCTCTCTTCATATTCCTATCCCCTTAATAACATACCTTCATTTTCATTTCAAGATTATCCTGTAAGACTCGATTGAATTCTTGGACATCGTGCTGCATAAAAGCATCAAGAGTATCCCACCCAAAAGATCTTGTTAACTCGGTTGTACCTAGATACCCACATTATACAATTCAATGCAATATAATATAATATAATATAATATAATTTTATTTTATTTTATTTAATTTAATTTAATTTAATTTTATGGATTTATATACGTATAAGTTACAAAAGTCGTTTTGTTGTTTTGCTTGTTTGTTTTATATTTATTCTGTTAAATAACCAAAAGAAAAGGAAAAAGAACTCACCAACTGGATCGTTTGAAGACTGAAGGTTGTAAAAACATCGTTGTAATGCAAGAGCTACACTTTTGGTAGGATCTTCGGTTTCTGTTGAGATTTGGTAAACCGCTTTTCGGAAACTGTTTGTGCAGTAGAGTGACTGGAGAATTGAATTCATATAACAAGTAGCGCCTTGATTCTTGATGCCAACAAAACCTGTTTCCTTTCTTGAATCGTAGCTACGGTAAATCAGAAATCGCATTAAAGAGGTGTATTGTTAATGTTTCTTTCTTTATATATATAAAGAAAAAGAAAAAGAAGAAGAAGAAGAAGATATGTCATGGTAAAATTTCATCGTGCATTTTTTTCTTTAAATGTATATATAACTATATATACATTCTGTTTGTGGATAATAAAGAACGAAAAGAAAGAAGAAATTGGTTTCTTACTGTATCAAGTTGTGCCATAATACACCTGTTTCGTCTTTCATGACCCGGAGATAGACTGAGATGTGAGACCGGTTATTGATTAAGAACGGACCTTTGCCTTGATGTGTTCGAGTCAACCCTTTGATTTCATAAAACCGAGTAAATCCCCAATCGACTTCTTCTCCACAAAACCGATGTTGTGCCTCTAATATAAAGAAACAATAAAACATAGACCATTAATTAATTAGTTAATTAATTAATTAATTAATTATTAAAATAAGAATGTTAATGTTAATGTGGGTTTCAATTGAAGTTTCAAAAGCAAGAGAGATACTTTAATATCTTCCACATTAGCATTAGCATTATCATTATATAAATAAAGGAAGATTACTATATAGTATATATAATATAATATGTTTGTTTGTTTGATGCATACGATTGGAGTAAAACTGAGTAGGATCGTCCGGGTTGGATATAACCAAACCAAATTGAGCGCATACGTGCCAATCAGGTACATTGGCACTCGATTCTTCTACTTTGAGGTAAAGTGACAACGAATCATGTTGACCGTTTCCTTTGGGATAAAGTAAAATACGCCTGAACACAATCCAAATCATTAAAAAGAAAATTATTAAGTGACAAATATACATATATAATATGAAAGAACAAAAAGATATATATATATAAAGACAGTTTTTTTTGAATAGTAGTAATAATATTAATATCACTATTACTATCACTAAGTACTATTACTCCTAAATACTACCAGTAAAACAGAAGTATTAATAGTAAGATGCAAAGGATGTATACCATGTGAATCCACCAGCAATGAAACTTGGGCTATATGATTTCAGTTCAGCATCTTTCCAATTTTCTACCGGCCAGTGAAATACTTTGAATTCAACCGTCTGTAGTCCACTGGTGTCTGGTAAGATGCGTGGTACCATGACTTCTTCTACAATCATCGAAATGATAGACCGAATACTTTTATTGATAAGAAAACCAAAGAGAATACAATAAGGTGTAGGGAGTATGGTGAAGGATGTGAGAGAACACTTGGCAGATCTTCTTACCATTAAATATACCCTTCTTTTTTAAAAGGTCAAGAGGTTCGGCCTGCATGACAGATGGCATGACAGGCATGTCCAAACCAAGACTTTTTGGAGCAGCTGTGACGGTGAGAGCACTTCCGTGCGAGTTCATTGAGTATTTTAGCTTAATTGGAATGATTTAACTCAAGGTAAAAAGAAATAATAATAACAATTTAAAAAAAATAAAAAATAAAATAAAATAAAATAAAATAAAATAAAAAATAAAAAAACAAAAAATATTAATAAATAATAATAATAATAATAATAAGTAGAAGAAAAATTAATAAAGTAAAACAATTAATAGAGAAAGAAAGGCAAGTTGAAATCCTTGAGTATCTTAAAAGGTCAGTGTTGTTTTTGGAGTTATATATATATATATATATCTGTCTGTGTCTGTGTATGCGTCTGCGTCTGCGTCTGCGTTTGTCTATGCGTCTATGCGTCTATGCGCCTATGCGTCTGTGTGTGTACGTGCGTATGGGTGTGTATAGAAAGGTAGGTAGATAGATACATAAAGAGAGTGGGTGTGTGTGGGTTGGGTTTGTGCGGGTGCTGGATGGGTGATGTGATTTTAAGTATAATGCTGACTAAAAAGGGAAGGTGTGCATAAATCAACGGTTGTTGGTGAAAGAAACTGGCCAATGATTAGATTTCCTTCTATTCGCCCATGGTAAAGAAAGGGAATCATTCTTGGTTTGGTGTGATAGTAAGCTGTCCTGTTGGTCCGTGTTTGGCAGTTGCTACAATACAATACAATACAAATTATATATGTATTTATTTATATAGTTGCCCCATTCTCGGAGGAACACCCCGACAATCTTACCATATATGTTAGTCACTCGTTAAAGCATCTTGTTTCGAATGACTTTAATTGGTATAATTCTACTAGAGTGACGATGTACTCTTCTACAAGTATTTGATATATGTAAAAGACTTGTGGAAGATTTCTATTGAATTTCTGTTGTTGATTTATGTAAATTATTTGCGAGGTTTAGCATAATTCAAAGATAAAGATAAAAATAAAAATAAAAATGCACTCACAAAAGAACAAAATCTTTACATCATTTTTTTTTGTATTTCATATATTTAAATTTTGTGCTGTGTAAAAGAGAGATAGAGAAAGAGGACCAAGTCTAATATCCAATCAGAACCTTGGTTCTAATACATGAGTATCAAGTGAAGAAGGAAAGACCAAAAGAACAAATAAACTAGTGTGAATTACGCTTTTCTTAGTCGTCGTTGTCGTTGTTTTCTGTTGCTGTTGCTGTTGCTGAGCATTGATCCATCCCTTTAGTCCCCCCCCCTCCTTACCTTTCCCCCAAAAAAACCCCTTGGCATTGGAACAAAAAGAACAAAAAAAACCATTTTTGTGTATTGCTCTTAAGGAATATTAGTGTGTAACATTTATAAAAGAAGGTTGAATTGAAACACACCTTTTGAAGAATTTGACTTTTTTTTTTCTTTTTTCTTGATTGGTCTCCTTTGTGAGAAGTAGCAATTAATTTCTGTGAGGATGTACAAGACGTACAAGATGTGTATGATAAGTTCTGTTGAAAATGAGTCAACTGCTCGGTGTGTCTATTGACCTAAAAGTTTAATAGTAATAAAAGTCACTCAAAATTAAATGATACTCAAATGAACTACTTGGTGTTTATTCATAAAACATAATGACTTGATTTTGTTGGATATAATCCTCCAAAAGGATTAGTAATACATCTAAAGACCTTGACTTACTAGTCAGCATTACACAATTATATAACAAAGTGTATATGTTGTACTACTTTAAAAAAAAAAGAAATAAAGTGGGAAATTTCACCCAAGCCTTACTATGGTCATATATTAATAGAGTGCTCGCTGCCTTGGTATAAGCCTAGATTATATGAGAGTGTGTATCTCAATTAACCAAGTGGTTTATCTTTGACAAGATTGAATAAACCAATAACTTGGATTTAGATAAGAAAGCATGTAATGATAAGTGTACCTGAGATGAGAGCCAGAGTAGTTATAATTCTATGTGTAATGTCTTTAAAGTATCATGGACCTAAAGTCGTTATATCCATTGACAGCTGAAAGAATAATAAACATAATAATACACACTCACGTACACACATCAAAAGGCTTCATGGTAAAATTTTATTATTGAGTAAGATACTTAACTGTGGATATATCAATACATTCACATACACACATTGCTTTCTATAAGCCAGCATAGAGCATAAACAGTATAAACCTACATCTTTTGATGTGCAATTGTGCTGCCAAGTACCTCAAGTCTGTGATTATCGCTTTCCAAACTATTCGGTTTCACATTAACCCGGGTAATATACAATTATGACTTGGCTTTTTATTTATTTATATATTTATTTATTTCTTTATCTAAGGAGAATAACAATAAAAAGTTATATATAAAGCATATAGACTAAAAGAAGTATGTTTTATCGAGACTGCAAGTCCCCTTTGATTGGCTTGGACATATCCAAAGAATAAAGCTACTGTCTTCATTTCTAAAGGAGATGTTTCTTTGGACCTTCAACGTCGATGCTTTCAAGAGTCTTTCTGGAGATGGGGGGTCGAGGATATCTAAGCGTTCAATACCAATGTGTTTGATAATAAGGAACGGACCATGGGCAGAAGGAGACCGTTTTGCTGATAGACCGTCGACAGCGTTTAATAATACCGGAAACTTAATGAGGTTTTGATTGTCAATAGAAAATTTAAGGGAGATTTTGGTCAAGTCATGTTGGCTAGAGTTGTATGCCAGTCAAAATTCATCAAGGTTCTCATACCAGGTAGTAATGTTTTTTTTCCTTGGGTTCCATGAAAGAAATGATTATATTCCTGAAAGCGGCCATGAACCTTTCAACAAAACCATTGCCTTCAGGGTGATAAGCTGAAAAAAAAAACTGGTGGGTACTGAGTTGAGTGGTGATGTCCATAATCGGTGTTCTTGAGCATATCTGACCATTCTCCCTGAGAGTGGAGAGCACTTGACTATGGGTGGCAGAGACCAATTTACCAGAGTTCTCAGATACAGAATTGAGGTCTGCAAACCGAGAGAAAATGGTTTGAATGATGATGATAGACTGGTTGTCCGAGAATGAGATTGAAAGGCGGCTATGAACACCGACTGGGATGTAATTAATGGGATAAACTACAGAGTGAGAATGCTTGGGGCTCGTGTGGAAAATGTAGAATTGGGTCCTTTGATTCGTTGGCAAGTCTCGCAGTGATTATCGTGGCTCTTCACCCACTTGTGTAAGCCTGGAGTATAGAAACGTCAAGCAAGCATTTAAAGATTGTGGCCGACACCGAAATGACCAGAAGTTGGATTAGCATGGAGGAGTTGAACCATTTCTTCACACATTTATTGTAGTAGAACAGGGCGGGGGCAAAGAAAAGGGCGCTGGACAAGACAGTATAGCTGGTAAGAAGTGAGGAAGCGTCTTAAAGTTCTCGACAGTAATTAACAGTAGCCTAGAGAGAGAGAGTAATGTCAAAAGGAGGAATAAAGCAGACAAGAGTCACAGAGAAACCATGCTGAACAGGGTGCCGAATGGGTGCTTCGGAACTAGTATAGACAAAGTTGTTGTGAGGATTACGTTGACCAGGAATAGTGCCAGTACCAGCAGTACAGGTGCCATCCGTATTAAGCCCAAAGGATCGAAAAAGCAGGAAAGCATAGAACTGGAGCGGAGGTCAAGGTCATCTTGAAGGTCATAAGCTTTCAGACGAGTAGAAGCCCAAAACCAGATATAATCCTTTTCGAGAAAATTGCTCAGCAGGGTAGTAATGATGGCAAAAAAAGAATACCGAATGAGTAAAGATAGTAATCAGTGGGACCAAGTAACAAGCGGACATCTGCGGATAGAGGGATATGGAAGTTAAAGCAAGTACCGATTTTCTCTGTATCGGTGTGAAGACCAACAGGTGAGAGAACATAGCCAAGGAAATATATCCAATTTCTATTAAAGGAGCATTTAATAAGCATGAGTTTAGGGACAAGAGTACAAAGGTAAAAGGATATTTTACAGAAATTCTTGAGATGTTGGTCGAAAGTAGGACTGAAGGATATAATGGCATCCGAGTATAGCAAGCAAATTTCTCGTTTGAGATCGGTCTAGACAGAGTTTATGAGACGTTGCATAGTAGCAGGAGCAGATCAAAATTGAAAGGGCATTCGAGAAAATCCAAAAAAGTTGCGATGGTAAAAAGGAGCAAAATCCATTATAGAAGAGCAAGGGACAGGACCAAGGCCAAGCAGAGAATTATCAATACGAGCGAGAGGATAGACATCTTTGGTATTTGTGCCGTTAAGTCAGGGATACTTGGCACAGAACCGGACTAAGCCATTATTTTTGGGAGTCAGGATTACCAGAAAATACCATGGAGAATGGCAAGAAATAGTGACACCTTATCGTAGAATTCCATCGATGAGACCATTAATCGTATCATTTGCGACAGAAAATATACCATACGGAAGATATTAGATAGGATGTTTAATACTAGTGTTATTATGATACTGTACCAGGTGAGTAATTTGATTGAGTTCAATGTCAAGGTAATTGCACAATGGGAAATGAGTGGTGATTCTGATGGTGATTTTGTAGAGAGAGAAAAAGGTATTTTCCAAAATCATTACCGCAATCACCAATCATTTTGCATTGTTGCAGAAAAATTGGAGGACATGCTACTAATAGAACCAGCATGTTTAGCATCCAGACAGTGATATAGAACTTTCCTGAAATTCAAGGTGAGCAGCAGGTGGTGAGGGAAGATGTAAACTAACCAGAGGAATAATAATAATAATAATAAAAAGCAAAGGTTAGTAGTATATAAAAGCAATTCAAATACTTGTATTCAAATTGTTAAAGTCAATGTCTAATTTGATCATTTTAATTCAAATCAAACCAGATTCGCTCAAGCAAACCACGCAAGCAGTAACAAAGTCAAACTTTTCAGCGACCAAGTTATAGGGAGTAGAAACCACACCAATTGGATTATCAGGTCCAGAAATCTTCGGCATAGCAATGGCTATGACTACGGAGTATCATAGCAGATATGAGATGCCATAAAGCAGATGTAACCAAAAAAGAAAGTCTTAGCCGGTCTTGCGCTAAGCTTGATACCAAGAGGACTCGGACCGGAAAAAGCCTTACTTCGCCAGTGCAAGTATCAAATATGGCTCTGTATTTTTGAAAGAGCATAGCCAAAAAAAAATGACAGTCCGTAAGAGAGAGTCGAAAATGGGACGACAGACAGAAAAGGTCAGATTACCAAAGCAAATAGTAACTATGGTAGAGCCTCGAGTCGAAACTGATGTATCAGTATTAGTATCAGTAGCAGTAGCAGTAGAGCACACGATATTGGGGATGTAATCAGTCTTAGGATCTAGTGTATTGACTAAATCAGTACGAGTGGCCAAAAGATTCGTATCTGTGGCAGTTGAACAAGTAGCACCAGCGCTGGTAATAGTACAGTTTAGCTTAGATCTCGAGATTTTAGACAAAAAAGGAGTACTTTCTATGGAGGACATGGAACTGGATGAGACCCATGTGTTGTTGATTTTAACCTTGAGCAATACATACCAAGTGTCTTGAACCGTAGAGGAGGCGCAGTAATTGACTTCAGTACGAGGGGAAGCAATATAAAAAACGGCGGTGACAGGAAGAGTAGAGCCATATGAATACCAGCTGTTGAGATGCGGGGTAGAAGTAATGGAATAACAATGAGAAACCATTTCTTTAATGCGGCTAACATGGTTTAAAAGATTGATCTTCTTTGTAAAAAAAAACGACGACGCTTGGGTAGATAGCCATCTTTAACACAAATATCGCAAAGAGTAACACCAAGTCTGGTCAGGCCTACTGGTTCATTTTAACTCTCAAGCCATAAATTCGATAAGGATTTCGGTCGTAGGATCAAGGATTGCACTGAAAGACGTAAATTTCCGTTCGAGATAGATCCAGAGCCATTGATAGAGAAATGTTCGTGAAGAGAAAAGGCACCAAAAGGGACATTGTAATATGAGTCAGTTTTGGATAGATTGGGCGAGGCGTGGGTCTGCATCCAGGATCTTGTTCATATTAATATTCTTGTCATCGATATCAATTCAGATAGATAAAACAGAAACTTTCATGATGATTCTTTCCAACAGACGAGGAGTCATGGCACCGAGATAACTTGAATGTAAAACTTCGACGGGAATATAAGTACGTTTAGGATGATTCTGAGCAATAGGTTGAAAGTCAGTCTTGAATTGTCTTGACGGGAGGTTTCTTTAGTGAGAAAATTCAAGTTTCTTACGAAAAGCTAACCGTTGTTGAGCAATGGGAATACCAAAGATTTCCGTTAATAGGCGGATTGTATTATCCAAGGTGTCGAGTTCCGGATTGGTTAGGACCCATTGAGCCATGTTGGGCGGAAAGTAAGATGGTAACCGATCCACCTTCATTTAGATGTTTAAGTCAAGTCTGGTAATGCTTGGTTTCAAAGAGGAGATGCCAAGATTTGATATTCTGAGATGGATCGTAGCTGTATATGAACTGCATTGATTAAAGGGCAGGGTAACTGGGGCTGAACAATGATATGGTTCAAAGCTTCGATGATTTTGAGATCGATACCAGAGGGTTTGGGCATTGTAAGTAAGTATCAGGTAAGGTGAGGTGCAGGAATAAAAGAAAGCGGTGAGGGCAATTGTACATGAATTTCAGGAAAGTTATAATTGGGGTCTTTCAAGGGAAGGATTTTAGCAAAATTTCTCCACCATAAAATAAGTGTAATTCGTCGGGATCATAAGCTGTCTGAGTGTGCAAAACGATGTCTTTTTTAACTATTGGCCTTATGGAAAATGATCAATACTGGTGCTTCCTCAACATTGAGCTCCTTATATAATTGTTGGACTTGTGGTCCTTCAGTCACAAAATGAAATGGCAGATCAGCTGTTCCACCATTCTCACGTGCAATCTTATCTATGGGATGGAAGGTAGAAAAAGATGGATTGATCTCCAAGAGAATTGCCTGAGACTTTTCGAAAACGTCCCTGTTCAAGTCTGGGGAGCTTTGTTATCCAAGTTTGATATGAGAAGCTGGATCGAAGATGTAAGCCTGGGAAAACTTGGGATGGATTATCTTGGTTTGTGTCCTTGAAATGCTTGACCCAATAGTGTGATAGATAAGGGCCATGGATATGGTGGTTGTATGCACCACCAATGTTTTTTGTAATAGTCTCGCAAATCTTGGTTCCCAAAGAAGTGAAATATATGGTGCGGCTGTAAAATCGGATCTTGTCGAATGATTGTTGGCCAGATTGAATGATGCGTACCAAAAGATTGGTTATGCCAATATGAGTCAGCTTAAGGGGAGGAAGAATGGAATTTCCCTGGTGACAGCCCATGAGAAATTTGAGAGGACTCGTTACTGATCTGTGTTAGACGTCTCATGATCTCACATCAGAGTTTCACAGAGTTGACATTCTACATTTATGCTGTCTCTGTTGTAGATTGGAGGTAATGGACTGTTTACATGTCTGAAAATGTTGTGCGTGACAGAGATCTGAGCAGGAGTGTTTCCAGATCTGTATCTGCGGTTTTTGGGAGGTACCGGAACCTTGTGATCCGCTGATAGTCAGTTCCATGATAACTGGTACATCAAAGAGTCGCAGCAGTGGTGGCCATACTCAGGACTTCTTTTGAGACTTCAGAGGCAGCGATATTGGGATCTGGAGGATTGAATTCCTTCGACACAATGAGAAGTTGGGAAGGTATAGCTTCTGGTGATACGGCATGTTTTGAAACGGTTCAATTGATCACTCTCGAAGCAGCAGGAGAGCCTGAATAGATTAAGAAAAGATTAATATGTTTTGAATTTATATAACTAGTTTCTAGAATTACCTCTGCTACTCTCTGTGGGATGTTCTTCTGGGGGTAGAGAGAAAATTTCTGTGCTCAGAGGACAAAGCACAGACTATATAGTGGTGTGAAATTGATATTGTAATGAGGTTTGGTAATGGACAGACAATAAGATATAAAGGTTCTATTAGCTTTTATGAAAGACTTGGACTTTAGAAGGGCACTATATTTATACTCTTTTCTTTTTCTACAAGACTATAATAGATCTTTAATAACTTCAAATAAACCTTTTTGTGTATGTGAGCTAATGGCTTGTTCAAGTACTATTGAAGCAATTAAGTAAAATCTATGTGCCAAGCTGCAGCAAAGTAGCCTTTTCAAGTAATACAAATGATGTAAAATTCATATGAGAAGGCGCAGTAAAATAGCTTTTTCAAGTAATAGTAGATAAAGCAAGTAAAATTTAGCAGTAGAGGTTCAATAGAGTATCTTGTTAAAGTAATAAAAGTAAGGTGATCAAATAGACGGTCAGTTGTCAAAGTAGAGTGTGATAGCTTCTTAGGATTAACATGTAAATCGAGTGACAAATACTGCGATCAGTGCACGGTCCAATATAGCCTCTTGGAGAAGTACTATTTATAGATTTATGAAGATCCAATTGTCAATGCGCAATCATATGTTTGATTTTAAACTACAAGAACAAGACCTAATATCCGTTTCTTTGGTTTTAAATTAAAAGGCAATAATATCAAGCACGTTTTTTTTTTGTTTTTTTTTTTGATGTTTTATTATTGATTAATCCGAATCCAGGTATCAGGGCGCAGCACAATAGTAGCGTACAAAGCCATCATAGTAGCACCATATTGAGCTTTGACTATTTTCTTTTCTTTAATTATGAACGGACCGATTCTTATTTAAGCACATAAACTATGCTTTGTTTTGTGTATTACGGTATACCAGTAAAGTAGATATATGAAAATATTGTAGTCATGCTTAAAGTAACACTAATATAATGTTATGTGCTTACAAGTGAATGTGAAAGGAGGTTCAGCCAAACGTCTTTTACTATTATTATTCTTTATTCGTTTATTTAACAACCTTTTCCTTATAGCTGATATCAAAGAGGATATCCTTCTGTTATATAATGTGTATACACAATCCCCTTTGTGAATGGAAATGTGCTGGTTTTAATACTAGATATAATGGTACATATTTACCACCTTTACTGTTGTTACTAAAGACACACATAAATGAAAACAGATATAAAGACTTGACTTGGTTATATAATATCCAAATCAACTTTTGTTTTTATACGCACACACACACATATATATATACAAGATTCTTCTTACATCTAGTACTCACGTATATAAGAATGTCTACCTCTTCGAGTGCTTCAAGTTTTTCGAATGGAAAAAGTAGCCCGTCATCTATTTGTTCTGGTAAATTATTTTTTTTAAAAGAAATCATATTGTTATATGTTGATATCATCTATTGCTTACACTTACATACCCTGTGTTTAATAGGTTCAACTTCGGCCACCTCAGTTCCTAGTGCAAATGGTACCATCAGAAGCTCTGGTGGATCATGGAGACAAATAAAAAAGTATTTATTAGTATCTTTTTTATTTATTTAAAAAAAAAAGTGATATTTACTAAAAGGAACATATATATATAGGAAATTTCTCTGTTGTTAAGCTAAACTACCATCAAGTGTGTATCTGGACTTCTGTTTCTCTCACATAAATTAACACACATTTAGAGATTCTTTACAACAAGTAAAGGTATCCAAACTTTGTAACTGAATAAACCCAAATTTCTCAAACCTTTATAGTCAAAAATAATCTTGTGCTTAATACAGTAGTTACAGTAAAAGAGTTCATCTCATTAGTATATCTACTAGACAATTACATTAATTCCCACTACATTTTAAACTGAAGAGTAATGTTTTCTGCTCTTTTATATTTTTAAAAAAAAATCCCTCTTATTTTACTCAATAAGCCAATGTGTTTTCGTTTAATTTGTTATTATTTAATACAGAGATCATCATACACATAATTGATTGTTACTTATTTTTATCAACATGCCATAGAATACACAAGTCAAGTTCTCACAAAGTAGCTTTGTATTCTTATTGTCTGTCATTCCAGACAGAAGGGGGGTATTAGTGATATTACTATATTCTAGTTCTCACCCTTGATAGAAAAATCGAGCAATCTCGAATCGAATGATCCATTAGACATCATCAAAGCATCTTGGATTATTTCTCAAAATTCTTCTTTTATCAGTATACTGAGCTTGTTGGAATGACATGATTAGTGTCTCAAATTTGTCGTCTAATATACCATCAAGTAGATAGTCTTTTAAAATATCATCTTCTTAAGACTCATTTTCTAATGGAACATCCATCAGGTGCTACAAAAAAAAACAGAAACCTCAAAGCTATTAACCTAATAAAAGGATGGAGACATTTTTTACTACCACATAATTCCACAATTTTGAGTTGTCATTTCTTATCATTTTTCTCTTATTCTACGTATAGCAAAATTCAAGAGCATATAAAACAAAAATAAAGAAGAAATTCCCAAGCCAGCTTTATCATACAGACACATGGATATATATATTCTCTAGATGTATGGCTAGTTAGATCAAGCAACAGAAACAGGAACAGCAACAAAAAGCTATTTTTGTTTATCGAATATTTATTGTTCTTTTGTTTAAGAGACTTTGAATGACAGCTTTCATTGTAAAGAAAAGACTTTGTAATATCATAATAAGATGAAGCTTGTTTTGGTCTAGCCTAACGGCCACAGCAGCAGAAACTAAATAGATTATCCATTATTTAGTATAAAAAACATTCGTAACAATAATAACAAGTCTTTTACCTCTTCACTTTATCGCAAACACTAGATCCGGAACCGGAACCAGAGCCAGATCCAGAAGCAGAGCTGGAACCGTATTTTCTAAAAGGCTTCATATGACAGACGAGTCCTGTAAGACGGTTTAATTGTAACAGAATAAGGATAAATGACCTTTCAATGTAGCTTATATATATGTGTATATATGCATATAAGAGTAACCCAAGATATTACTGACCAGGTGTACCAGCCATATTTGTTTTTGCTTTATCGAAATCAAAAGATTGATGTAATACGGAAGAGAAGCCAAGAAAGATGAGTTGGAAGCTTATAAGGTTTATTAAAGTCTGATTAAACTCTCTTGTTTTATACCCTTCTCTTTTCTCATAATATTTATCTTGGCAACAAACACACTCAAGAGAGTTATTTCTGGAGGGGTTGTTGTTGTCATGTAGAAATCCTTGTAATTTTATCATTTTTGGCTTTTAATCCCTCCTTCACATCTGACCATAGGTCTAATGCATTAAATATCTAATACAGCAATAATAATAATAATAATAATAATAATAATATTGATAAAGCATTTATTTTTTTATTTTTTAAAAAAAAAGAACACATTACACAGTGAATTGCATCCATTTTTCTGTTTTGTATTTTAGGGGCACTCAACCAAAGCCTTTGAAGGAATTTTATATTCAGACTAGAATATTATTGGACCAGAATTTTTATACCGCCAAAAAATAATTGGTGTGCTCAACTACGAAGCAATATTATTGGATGATCTCCAAATTTGGATTGCTTCGAAGATTCTGGCTGAGTACCCTTTTATATATATATATATATAAGGTTGTCATTCTGACATCTTTATTCTTGCTTTGTATCTTTGGCCACATAAGCCTTAAAAAGCCTTTCATAGTTGGAACCAATTGAATGATCAATTAAATTCAGAAAAATATTAAATAGGGTATTTTATTACTATAGAAACATAAATATCAAAAGGAGAGGGAGAATATAAACATAAAGGTTGATTTGATTTGATTTGATTTGATTTTATTTGAAAAAGAATCGCATGTTTTTATATTACAAGACATAATTAGATGTCAAGAATAGATTCAGTAAATCAAGAACGGTTTAACAGCACCCAAAGCTATGAAAGTTAATCATATTAATAGTTTAACATTTAATTATTTGTATATCTAAATATATATCATAGTAGCCACTCTTGATATATTACCATTTCTTCTTCTTATATTCCAAGGTCAAAGAACTGCTGTCTGAGCAGAGAGAGCTTGGGCTTGCAGATGGTGCGGCTACGAACCAACCCGAACCAAATCAAATCAAATGAGTGAAAGACAAAAAAAAACACCGATACATATGTGTGTGGGCTTAACAATACTATATAAATGAAAGTGAGAACCTTACGTGAACTCATTGTTATTTACGTTGTTTGGTTGAAATTAAAAAGGTAGATGTTCTTTCGTTTAGACAAAAGCAAGAACATTCTATTTGTACCAGTGCCTTGATAAATATATATATGTCTATCTGCCTGTCTGTCTATTTATGTATAAATGTTAAGTATAATGTGGGCATGGATATTTTGAAAAAGAAAATGTTGTTATTACTTGACAGTTAGGCAACATCTTAGTAATATCTATATACCTATATATTACTACAAAGAGAGTATATACAAAAATATCATGTTGGCAGTCTATAATACATTCGATAGCATTGCTTGTTTTAACAAGACAAATCAAAAGGATCCAAAAGAAAGTTTTATATTGTTTGAATACTTTGACATCGTCTATACTAGTTGGAGCTACTAGACTGAATAATTCATCTTCCTAAAACAATGGTACAATGTAATCATAATTATACAATTCTTTACTTTTGTTTTTCTAAATGCTCAAGAGAAAATCCAAAATATAGAGTCGCACAGATTTTGTGGCCAACAAGCCAGAAAAATATTACGACTAGGATCACAGTTGAGGTAGATTTGATAGCCGAGTGTTATCTACAGATGAAAGCCTCGACTATAAATTTCTAATTGATAATAGTCGATGAGGCCATAATGGAAGATGTTCACACAATCAGTCCAACAAAGAAAAAAAAACTCTCACACACACACACAAGATAATGAGAATAGAAAGAAGAAAAAGGGCCAAGGGAAAATATAAATCCGGGTATGGATAAGAGCAGGAAAACATATTTGCTTATAATCCACAATTAACAATTTATATAGATCTATACAGCAAAAAAACCTTGATTACTATAAAAATTACTAATATGGATATTAATTTTGTATTTTAAATAAAATAAAAAAAAAGGATGATTTTATGTGGGGTTTCAAGTTCAATTGAGATAAGAAATATAGGAAAAAGTAGATCCAATGTTATTTCTGTTTTGAAGGTAAAATAAGGCACAGCAGAATAAAGTCTAGTGTGAAAATATAAAATACACACACAGACAATATTATGATTTTAGTGTATATGGCGAAAAAGTAGAAAAATCTGACGCAATTTGTATCAAGGATCACACCAAGTGTCTTGTTATTTTAGATTTTGGCGCAATAATCGTAATCCGTTCTATTGCGCCATAAAGCGTATATATTTGAAACCAAAAAAAAGAAAAAAGAAAAGCTCTTTAAGAGTAATCCCTTATTTGGCAATTATCCCAATATACATATATAAAAGTATCCTCAATCCAACTTCTTTACTTTTTTTTAAAAAATACTACTACCTCACACCCGTCAAATATATACATATATTCCTTAAAGAAAAAATGACCAACGCTACAGCCAAAGAAACTGCAGTCAAAGAAACTACAACCATTCTCGACTTGAAAAAATTGGCTCTTGGTGATAGATCTTACTTGTCTTTCCCAAAGACTACTGTAAGTTTATTACTATTATCATTATCAGTACCATAATACGATCCAGTAGAAACATTGACAAGAACCAATTGGGTTTATTGAATTGATTCATTTATTTTTTTAATAGTATCCTGAACTTGAACCCTTTGAGCACAAGGATGTTGGTCACCGTGCTGATCCCACCAAGGCATCACTTTATAAAAATGCTGAAAAGATCTTTGATGTTACTCCTAACATTGGTACCGAGATCCATGGATTGCAGCTCTCAAAATTGACAAACCAGCAAAAGGATGATCTGGCTCTTCTTATTGCAGAGCGTGGTGTTGTATTCTTCAGAAACCAGGACATTAACTACCAACAAGGAAAAGAACTTGGAAAGCACTATGGTGAGTTTTTGGTTTTGCTTTTTGATGAAGCAAGCATACATATCATTTCTGGTATTAACAATACAAACGTATATTTTTATTCCTATTATTATAGGTCCACTGTGAGTACATTTGTTTGGATTGATATTATCAAGTATTGTATTCATTCACTTTACTCATTCAATTTCTTTATTGCTTTTTATTTAGTCATATTCACTTGACAGAAGGACATGTTCCTAATGAACCAGAGGTGTTCCCCATTTTCTATGACAAGAGGTAATTGGTTTTTAATGAGCAGAAACTTGATATTTCATCTTGCTCTCTATTCAAAAATCAAATACTTAATGCATTATATACAAATATTTGTAGTGTGGAAGCACAAAAGCGCTCAGAACTATTCCGTGATGCTTCTGCTGGTAATTTTTTTAATATATACATATATCTTTCATTCATTGACTTACAATAAACAACCAACAAACACAATATATATATATATATATATAGGCTGGCACAGCGATGTAAGCTATGAGCTCCAGCCTCCTGGATTTACCTTCTTGAAGATCGATACTTTGCCAGCCGTTGGTGGTGACACTTACTGGTCATCCAACTATGCTGCCTACGACAAACTGTCTCCTGCTCTGCAGAAATTCCTCGAGGGACTTGAGGTTGTGCACTCTGGTAAAGAGCAAGGATTGAATGCCAAGGCCCGTGGATATACTCAACGCCGACAGGACATTGAGCATACCCACCCACTCATTCGTACTCACCCAGTCACCGGATGGAAGGGCCTCTTTGTACAGCCTGTATTTGCTCGTCGCATTGTTGGCTTGAGCAAGCGTGAGTCTGACACGATCCTCAACCTCTTGTATTCCCATATCTATGGCGGACATGATTTCCAAGTGCGATTCAAGTGGACTGAAGACACAATCGCAGTTTGGGATAACAGAGTTACTGCCCACTGCGCGGTCTTTGACTACATTAATATCGACAGACGCCATGGCTGGAGAATTACAACACAGGTAGATTACCACCATTTTTTTTATTAATGCTATTATTCTTATTTACACAATTCTTATAGGCTGAAAGACCTTACTTTGATCCCAAGAGCAAGTCAAGAAGTGAGGAGCTTAGCAAGAAGCAGACTGCCAACAAATAATTCAGCCTTGTCGATAATTAATGATACCTGTAATTCTTATTAAAAGAAATAAATATATCCATACCCATTCCACACATATACATAATAATAATAATAAAATATTTATTGACAAGACTCTTAATTTAATTATTATTACTATTATATTTGTAAGCTTCATTAAAAATAGGCTAAATAATGTCAGACACATACACCCACATATATATATATATATATATATACGATGATTCGGATTAATTTTAATAGGTCTTGGTTGTAATGCAGATAATTCACCTAAATAAATAAATGAATGAATTACGGGATCCAAGTCAGCAATCATTTTGTTTAGAACCAGTCATTTCTTTGTATTTCCCCTTCCATCTCCCCCATTTTTTTTGGGTTTATTTACGATATATATTATTAATGAGCTTCAAAGTTTGTGGCTGTAGTAATAACCACGGTTGTAGTCATAATAATTAGTCATACTCATAGCCGCAGCGGCAGCGGCAGCCACAGCCACAACCTGTAGCCACAGCCACAATCGCAGCAGGAAACGTAGGACCCAAATCACTTTTCGACCTCCTCCTCCTCCTCACTCCTTCTTGCCATGTATGTATATATGTATATTTTGTTGCTTCTATTAAATAAGTATTGAAGGGGGGGTCAGGAAAAGAAGAAGAATAATAATAAATAAATTTATATGTAGAAATTGTATAAGCAAAATTATTAGACAAATTAAACACCAAATGATAATATGTAAATAAATGACAGGTTTCTTTGTAATTGATGACATTCAAGGTTCAATATTCTATCGGGTGCCTTTTTTCCATTCGACACCCCCCTTTTTTTATTCAACTTATTTATAAGTGTTATTTAACACATCATCTTGCGTACATATACAGCTTGTATAAAGATGTATACAAGCTTATACAAATGTGAATAGATTTGGTTCCTTGTGCTATTTATTCTTTCTAGTTTTGAGCACTCAAATATTAATATATATAGTGATAGAACCATAAATTATTCAAGAGATTCTTTTATGAAATGTGAGAAGAAGCAGCTGAACAAAGATAGGATCAAAATAATATACCATTTTGATCCTTTCTTCTCTCTCTTTCTCTCCAATCCCCCCTTATTTTTTTTTTTTTTTACTTTTCTACATGAATTTCAATCCCCTCTCTCCTTATTTCATTTTCTCTCTTTCTCCCTCTCTTTCTCCCTCTCCCTTTCTCTCTTCTTTTTATACACGCACACACACACACACATATATATATATATATATTTGATATACTTTTGAATACTATTCTAAACCTGAACAATGGCATCTGCGGCAAACATCCTTCAAAGACAATTCAAAGGTTACTATTGGATTCCTAAACCTCTTTTTTTTTTATTTTATATTTCTTCTGTATTAAGCTAGACACTCTGACAGGCCCACCCACCACTCCCTTCACATTTTACTCTTCTTATTTTTTAAATATATATATATAATATTGTTCATTCATATTCTCTTTATTTGGTCATTGCTAAAGTGGTGGTGGTCATGGTGTTTCTTATTCTCTTTTTCTCATTTTATTTCATTTCACGCTAACCATCATAAACTTGTTTGCGTGTTTGTTTGCGTGTTTGCGTATTTGCATACAGAACTCACAAGACATCCAGTACCTGGTTTCGTAGTTGATCTCAAGGACGACAACATCTACACATGGTAAGCATAATACACGCAAGCGTATTTCTTAATAATAATAATAATATTTATTTTTACGTAAATAATTTAATAATCGATTAACTAACTAAAACAAAATAAATATATGAATATTAATAACATTAAAAATACATTCTGATGATGATTACGCTTTTTTTTTTAAAAAAAAAAGGGATGTCGCAATCATTGGTTCCCCAAAGACAATCTACGAAGGTGGATATTTCAAGGTAAAATTGACAGATGGCAGTGATAAAATAATAAAGAAATGAGAAGGGTACCCGCACCATGAAATAAATCTAAAATAACTAATTCCATACGATTCAATTCAATCCAATTCAATCTGACCTTCTCTCTCTTTTTTTTTTTTTGTTTCTAGGCAACAATGTCATTCCCCGAAGATTATCCTTTCAATCCTCCGACCTTTCGCTTCAACAATGCTTTCTATCACCCAAATGGTACAGTATACTACAACAAAAATTATATTACATTATACACAAAGCAATATATATATATCTAGAGAGATAGAGAGAGAAATTACGCGTGCAAAATGTCAATGAAAGGGTTGCTTGTTTGATTTATTGATTTATTTTGTGTATGTGTATATGGGTGAATAAAGTCTATCCTGATGGTCGTCTATGTATTTCTATTCTCCACCCCCCTGGAGATGACCCTGTAAGTGGCGAGAAAGCAGAGGTAGGTTTTCTTGAGTATTATTGTTTTATTATTATTTTGGAAATAAAGAATTTTTTTTAATTTTGATTTTTTTTTAAATGAATGAATAGGAACGATGGAATCCAACACAGGTAAAATTTAGCTAACCAACAACGAAAAAGTCATAATGGCTGTCATGTTTAAATGAAAGAAAGAGAAAGGAAAAGAGAAAGGGAAAAAAAGGAATAGTTAGCTTGTTGATATATATAATTCACTCACTCACTCACTCACTCACTCGATCATACATTTGGATCTTACAAAAAACAGTCTGTGGAAAGTAAGTCTTTAACAGTAAAAGAGAAGAAGAAGAAAAAAAGAGTATTATGGAGTATAAGCTATATTGTTTGTTAGTCTTTGTGGAAAGTGATGAGAAACAAGATATTGATCCATTGATAATAATAAATTGTGTATTTTTATGTTTGTTGTTTGGTAGGTGTCTTGATGTCCATCATTTCATTATTGGCAGATCCCAATTGCTCAAGCCCTGCGAATGTTGATGCCGGGGTAAGACACACAAAATTAAAGAGAAACAGATAGTGTGTATATGAGAGAGAGAATATATATATATATTGGAACGAAGTGAGGGGAAGTAAAGCGTGTAATGACAAACTGGGAGAGGGGATCCTTTGATATATAAAAAATAACTTGGATCGAATGAAATTTGTTAGGTTGCATATCGAAAGGAAAGAGAAGCATTTGACAGCATAGTTAAATGTAAGTTATATCTCTTCTTGAGTGTGGATTTATCCATTGGTGTTTAATTGTTTAATTGTGTTTTATAGGTCAAGTTGAGGCATCCAAAAAAGATATCCCTTCTGGATTCAAGATGCCAAAGACAGAAAAGGACTTTATGATTGCGGCACCTGTTGAGATAGAAGAAGACGTCAATTTGTAAGTTTCAAGAAAGGGAGATTGTGTGATGTCTTTTCTTCTTTATGTCATGTATACATCTATATATCCATATCCATATTCATGTACTTATATGTATGTATGTTTGCGTGCATTATTTGGAAACTGTATAGCTGGTATGAATCAGGTGATGAGAGTGATTTTGGTGCGGATGAGTTTGATGAAGACGATGACGACGATGAAGACTAAAAAGCAAAGATAAATAAAGAGAGAAAAGAAAAGAAAGAACAAATAAGGACTGAATGAGACCACAGCCACAGCCATAATGAAACGAAACGAAATGAAGGATATAAAAGAAGAGGAAAAGTAGGAGGAAGAGGAATTACGAGGCTGATATAATAGAAATAATATATATGTATATATCATATGTATGTACATGTATAAATTTCTACACACTACACATTACGTTACTCTACATTACATTACTCTACATTGCACTGCACTACACTACACTACATTACACTACATTACATTACACTGTAAAAGGAAGCAAGCAAAGGGGTCTTCCTACACTCTCTTTCTACAATAATCTCATTTTAGTCTTACCGTCTTTCCACTCACCAAATCCCCCTCTTTTACTATCGTTCACTTTTTTTTTACTCTGTCTTATATATATATATATACACTCTCACATTCATTTGCTTACACACCTATGTATATATATATACCTTTTTTTTTTATTATTATTTCGTCTCTTCTTATTCTTCTTCTTTTCCTTGCTTCTTTTGTTCTTCCAAATTTGGAGTTTAAAGTATATTCTTTTTTTTATTTTTGAAAATAATAATACTAATAATGTTTTTGTTTTTTATAAACCATTTTTATATCTATTTTATTAAATAGAATGTCAGTTATCAGTTAAAGAAGTATGAAAAGTATAAAAAGTGTAAAAATTAATTAGCTTTTTTTTTTGTTCTAATTTTGTGCACATAAAATACAGACTCCTCTTACGCGCATCTTTTGTACACATTTTTTTTTATTATTTCTTTTTATTTTTATCATTTTTGATTTGGTGGCTTGAAGATGCAGAAAATTAAACCTACTCACAAGAAAATAATATGCCCATTAGAATTTACCAGCCATAAGGTCAAAAAAGGAAGGAAGGAAGGAAGGAAATAACAGAGAGATCAAGAGATCAAGAGAAACGGAGATCAAGATCAAGATCAAGGCCAAGTCTTTAAACTTTTATTTAGTTATATATATATATATTTATAAACTTAAAATTTCACCATGGATACTTTTTTTAAAAAAAAATAAAAATGAAAATAAATATATGTTATTTGAATAGTAAATTTGCCCATAATAAGTAATATATATGTACATAGATAAGTAAAAAAAAGTAGATAAAGAAAGAAAAACAATAAGAATAGATACACTTCTTTAATAACATTACCAATTATATATATATTCTAGTATCTTTCTATCTTTCTTCCTTTCTTTCTGTCTTTTTTTTTTTAATATATTATATATTTTATTTATACACCTTTTTTGCTCCCAGATCATTGGATATTAAATGAGCGCTTTTCTTTCGCAGTCGAGAAAAAAAAGAAAAAACATTAGAATCCCGAGCCTATTTTTATTTTTATTTTGGAAAAATATAAAATATAAAATATATATAAAATATATTTATTTGGCCTGTGCCTTTTTTTTTTAAATTTTTTTTTTATAAATTTTTTTTTTATTTTGTAAATCTTTTTTAACCTATTCCTTCCTGCCTTTCTTTCTTCCCTCCTTTCTTCTTTACTTCTTTACTTCTTCTACATACTTCTTTTACTTATACTTTTATATATATATATATACTTTTTAAAAGAATAGTATATAATAAGAAAAAAAATAGATTGATAGAAAGATAGATACATAAAATGTCAACACCAAAGCGATCGTATCCTTTTTACTATGGTGGTATGGCCTCATGTATAGCCACTGCTATCGTTCACCCATTTGATCTCGCAAAGGTCCGTCTGCAAAGTGCAAAGGGTGCAAACAAGGCTGGTATGCTCACCACACTGGCAAATATTGCCAGAAACGAAGGCTTCGTTGGTCTGTACAGCGGTATATCTGCCAGTCTTCTCCGCCAGGCCACTTACTCGACTGTTCGTTTTGGTGCCTACGATAAACTCAAATACCAATTCACAAGCAACAATGAGAGTAAGTTTATTTTCTGTATATAATAGCACGCTCTTGATTTCTTTATATATATTTATATAATAAAAATCCACTATTACTCTCTCTATTTGTCTCTCTGTCTGTCTGTCTGTCTGTCTGTCTGTTTTTTACGTATTTATAATATATGTATATATAATGACTCATCGGGCTTTATCATCTTTGCATTGGCTTTAATTTATGTATATAATAATTAATCTTTTTATTTTATTTTATAATAATCAGAATTATCTATCTGGAAGATGTTATTGTGCTCAAGTGCAGCAGGTGCAATGGGTGGTGCATGTGGTAACCCTGGTGATATCATCAATGTTCGAATGCAAAACGATGGATCGCTTGCCCCAAACATGCGTCGGAATTATAAGCATGCTCTGGATGGTGTGGTCCGAATGACCAGAGAGGAAGGCCTGGGATCGCTGTTCCGGGGCATTGGTCCCAACATGAACAGAGCCATCTTGATGACTTCTTCCCAATGTGTGTCCTACGATCTGTTTAAGGACTATGTGCTCCGTTATACACCAATGACCGATGGCCTGTCAACCCACTTCCTGTCTAGTTTATTGACCGTAAGTAAAAGAAGAAGAAGAAGAAAAGTAATAGGATCAAAAAGAGACTTTTTTTTTTAAAAAAAAAAGAATTGTCATTAATTGATAATCAATATATAATTCAATTCAATGCAATTCAATTAATATATTTTGTAATCATATAGGCTTTGGTTGCAACAACAATTTGTTCTCCTGTGGACGTTGTAAAGACTCGGGTAATGGCTGCTCATTCAGGTGAAACAGGTCTTTCTGCAATGGGTATTACTTCCCAGATGTTGCGAGTGGAGGGACTTAGTTCCTTCTTCAGGGGCTGGACTCCAGCATTCGTCCGTCTTGGTCCCCAGACTATCATTACCTTTGTTGTCATGGAGCAATTCAAGAAATGGTCAGACATGATTCAGGACAGAGAAATTGCTGCCAGTGGTGCTGTTCAATTATAAAAACTAAAAAAAAAAAATCAATATCTATTTAGACAAATTAATCAATCTTTCTTTTCTTCATCTTATATTTTACTTACATATTTATGACCAAAACATTAACACTACATTCAATACGCAATTTACACCATACATTCATATATCATATACAAACACATACATAAATTATTTTAGATCTTTCAAAATAAAATAAATGATATGATATCTTTGTATACTTTTGATACACGAATTTCATGTACAATTCTTTTTTACTCTAAAGTTTGTATGTAGAAACATACATATATTACATTCAAGTTCCCATACTTCAGATAAATAGAATTATACTATATATACATATTGTTCCACACAAAATAAAATAAAAAAAAAATTGACTGGGAAATAAAGGATTAAATTGGGAAAACACGGTTATTTGAAATATAAAATACAGATAGCCCAAATAGCCCAAATAACCTTAATAACCTTAACAAATTATATTTGTGGTTTATGCAAAAAGAATACGATAATCATAATATAGCTTATACAGCTTGTATCAAATCAAAACGATAGAATATCATTTGACAAAATTATTTAGATCTTTATGTTCTGTATTGAGTGTTGAGTGTTGAGTGTGGGAGGATCTTTAGTGGGTTAGGCTGAAATAAGCCAATCATTGTGTTACTGCCCCATCATTAACTTACAAAAAAAACCAAAACAAAAGAAGCTATGACAAAGAGAACCAGGAACCTTTTCTGTATATAGAAATAGAATGTATTATAAAATAGACTTATACGTTTATATTCGTAATGATTACGACGCATCTGGGACCAATCAACTAAATATTACCTATAAACAGGAAAATAAAAAGGATGTGTAAAAGAGGGGATTCAAACCAATTATAAAAAAAATTAAAATTAAGAAATAAAAGAAAGTGCATTTTTAATTACAGTCACATTCTCAATTATAATCACACTTGCAATCCTTATATTTCCAAATATATATATATTTTAAAAAAAAAATATATACAAATAAACAAACAAATAAACTTCATTTTCATGTTGAAATATTATCATTTGAGCATTTTGTGGATCAAAATTTGCCTGTATTTTGTCGATCGCAAGATAGTCACTGTACATAATAATACTAATAACAGAGTTGAGTAGAGTCCATCAGATCTACGCTACTCTTCTTCTTCTTCTTTATTGCATATTCAATGGTCATTCCTACTATGTATGTGCACAAAAAAAAACCACAAATAAGAATACACTCTGTAAAGACTCTGTATCAGCTATATTTTAATCATGTCTGATTTGTGCTTTACTACATGTACATGCTGCGTATTCATTAATTCAAATTTATATAATTTTGATCTTTTATTCTCTCCCAAACACAACCACAAACAGTAAGATACTCAAAGTTATGCTTTTAGCTTTAATATATATACCTTGCTGTTAGTCAGGATCTAGAGCATAATCAGGAGCAGGAACTTTAGACCAATCCAAGCAGTATCCTTTGAGCACTTGCACCTAAAAGAATTCTATCAATGAATCTGCCGTAATAACCGGCATGTATCAAAATTACATTTCCCTCTATCCAATCCAATATCAAATTATTCCTCTTTTATGATATCCACGGCTTGCTACTCGATATGATTTATGTCTGCCAGTTCATATTTAATAAATGCACTATAAAAACTGTCTATTATCCCGATTCAGTAATATATATATCGCACCATCAGCATTCTAAAGAATTATTCAGAGTTTTCCTTGAAGATTTAGTGGAAAAAAAACCAATATTTATATTTACACACGGTTATCAATACCATGTTTGAATATACGTATAGTATTTTATCTCTTTTCAGATTTATTCGATTAGATTAATTTTCTTCTTATAAATGAGCCTTTCTAATTACAACATTAACCTCTCCAATCAAGTATTTTTTTTTATTCAATACGATAATAGTTAAAAAAGACTTTATTTATTTAATTATTTAAAGATGTACATAAATAAGCTATTTTATTTTATTTTATTTTAACAAAAAAAAATAATGAACAACACCAAGTTCTTTGTCACCGCATTATGTGGCTCAATCTCCTTCAGGACGTAAACCTGACTTGGTGGCGAAGTAGGTGCTGGAATGGTGACAAACAAACCGAAAGCACCCGTTCATCCAACCCCACATCTCCATGTAACTGTCGCAAGGGACGCCTCACTATGAGACCAGAACTGTTTTTGCTTAAGGAGAAAACAAACTACTTGTGTTGGATGGGGCATATATGTAACAAAATTTATGTGGGATTAATGGTTATAAAGGCTGCTTTTTTTCAGGTCTTGGATACCCACGTTAGAGCAAATGTGATATAGCTATACATACATACATACATACATACATACATATATATATATATATATCTTTTTACTGGGATCATACAACTATCTTACGGTAGTTGCAAGAGCCAATAAATTTCAATCAAAGGACTGTACAAATCTACTCGGCAAAGTGCAATAAAAAACTACTTGATTAAAAAAGTAAAAGAGTAATGAAGTAACGAATGATTTAGTATTGATCGGTGTAGGAATAATTAAGTGTGGAGTACAATTTACACGATGACGATCTATAGGTTACTCTAAACCGGTCTGTGCGTTTCTCTCTTTCTTTCTTTTACTTGCACAAGTAGACACAAAATGGACTCAACAGTCGCTAGAGAATAAATTAACAGCCATTAGCAAAAAAAAACGATATTAAGCAATACGTAAAAAGTAAGATATTTATACATATATTATCTGGATCTCATCATAACAGGAAGTACAATGGTTAATTCCAGGCTGAGTTTTTATAAAATGAAGTTATACTGATATTTTAAAGTGTCGAGATGATTTCTCAAGGGAATTAGTAATTTCCATCGGATTTTAGGAGATTATGGTGCAGAGCGTAACAGACTTTTCCAAAACGTTTCTTCGTAAGACCTTTATCTATTAATAATAGTCATGTAGGAATAAGAATGAAAGCAATTAGCAAATGAATGCTACTAAGAGATCAAATCTTATCATTGTATCAAGAGATCTAACTGGCATCGGCAAGTCAGCTGCTCCAGACCATATAACTCGGAAGAGAATAAAATGTATACTAAAGGTGTTTGTAAAGTACAAAACCTTTAAGTGTAATCTTTCGCCTTTGTATAATAGGGGGGTTCTCCAGCTCTTGATGCTTGACTGTTGGATGTAGCGGTGGTTTAAAACGAAAAATTATTGGCTGTGACGAATCTTCAAAAAAAATGAAAACTGAGCATCCAAGCATTTAAAAAAATAGTTTGAGACTCTAGATGTCATGATTTTGCAATCAATTGTACATAAAGTACAAGATTTTTTACAACTGGTGGCAAATTTCATAGAGAAGCAAAGTCAAAACCAAGCCATAATCAATCTATATAAAAGTAGTTATCTTGACACCAAATTATAAAAGTCTAACTTACTTGAGGTAAATTTAGGCAGGGGCACTATATTTATGAGTACTCTAATCAAGCATATTGTACATATCAATTAAGAGATATTAATGGTGCTCGATAGTTTTTTTTTCGGTATTCGTTATTATTGAACGGTGGTTAAACTACTGCTACATCCAGCAGTCAAGAATTCAAAACTGGTAAAGCCTCCTATTATATACCAGTACATTTCCTTCCCTTTTCTTTGCCATATTAAAAGAACAACTTATTTTATTATATTTTACTTTATAATTCTTACCTTTGTTTTATTTATGTCTCCTTTTTTCTTTAAAAAAAAAGCATTACTCTGTTTCATTCAAAAATTGATCGTAAAAAGGCTGTTGATGTTGTACATTAGTTTCAAATGCGGATGAGTATGAAAACACCAATAACATAAAAAAAGGCAATACACATTTATTTCAAATAGAAGGGAAGAGAAAAAAAAATAAAAAACGCATTAAAGATACACCAAGAAAATATTTTACACCACTAAAAACCTGCCAAGATCTTCAGCTTCTATTATGTGCTAGCACTGCAAAAAAATGCCCGATTCCCATACGTGATGGGATGTAAAATTCGGTGGACAGAAAACCCAAATTTGTAGTGCAGGATTTTTTTTGTAGAATAAGCATTGCAATTTTTTTAAAACGATTCTATTGGTCATAGAGCACCGAGTAGCATAAAAAAATACAATAATAAACTTAAATAAACTGTACCTGAATATATATTTATCTTCTTTACTGTTTAAAAAATAATATTATTTTAATAATTATTAAGCAATGGCACCAACCCGTAAATCAAACAAAACAAAAGGATGCAAATGTTCTGTTTGTAAGACAAGATTTGGAGGATCAGATACAGTGTCTGTACAGACATTTAATTTTCATAAAAGAAGAGACGATGCTGGAATGAACATCTTTCGTAATAGATGTAGGGAATTTTCTTTTACGTTTTAATTATATTTATATTTATATTTTCGATTTAATAACATATGTAATGTAGTGATTATTAAGAGATCAGTCGAAACTACTGTAAGCTATGTTCCTGAAGTTATCAACAATGATGAACAGAACTCGGTGGCCATAGACAATGATTATGATATGGATTATGACTTTGATGGTAAAAATATATATTTTTATTTTTATTTTTATTTGCTCTAACTTCTTTTATGGTTCCGGTAGAAATGGACACCAGTATAGAAGTAGACATGGAGACACAAGAGCCTATTCGAGTCTTACCTCTCTCAGAATCCGATGCTGTCTTTGGTTATGAGAATGAAGAGTTTAACTCTGATCTTGATTCTGACGGTTGCGAAGACGATTCCAGTGAGGATGACATGCTTGATAGTGAAGGTTTGCACACTTTCATAATGGATATTGGGTTCTGCTGTATAAAATAATAGAAATTAATTTTTTTTAAAAAAGACAACTTTCCTGAATTCAACTCAGAATTGAGTTTCATCCATCGTTTTATCGTACAGGTCCTTGCACTCTTTGTATCCTTGTACGTCGTCGATGAAGGCGCCATTCTTCTCATTGCCATCATGAACAAAATACTCGAGCTTTTCAGAGATCCATTCCGTCTCCCAGTTAGCATCCCTGGTCTCAAAAGCATGGCAGGATTCAATACCTTTACAGACGGTATAAAGAAATACGTTTCTTGTAGCGAATGTCACAGCATATATGAGAACGATGAATCAACACCCCGCTTCTGTATCTTTGATAAATTTGGGAATAACTCAATGTGCGGTAATAGTTTGTTCAAGTCAAAAAATCAGTCGTCCATTCCAAAAAGAACATATGTGTATCACTGTTCAGAATTCGATCAAAGCTCTCTTTTCTCGGCCTGATTTTGAAACCCAAATCGACTCGTGGAACCGTAGCCCGAAGACTAAGAATACTATGTTCGATGTGTACGATGGCTTGATGTGGAAGGATTTGAAAGACACCAATGTAATTCCCTTTGTTCATGGCAACCGCTCACTGATGTTGACCTTAAACATTGACTGGTTCCAGCCATTCGACGGTGTGACATATTCGTGTGGTGCAATTTACCTGGCTGTAAACAATCTTCCTCGAAGTGTAAGATTCAAGAAAGAAAATGTCATTCTCGTTGGGTTAATGCCAGGTCCGAAAGAAGCAAAAACATCCGAGATAAATTCGTACCTCAGACCTCTGGTTGACGAATTAGAAAAGTTGTACAAGGGAGTCAGAGTCCAGACATATCAATGCCCAAATGGTACCACCATCCGCGCTGCTCTGTTTATGGTTGCCTGCGACATCCCTGCTGCCCGAAAAGTGTGTGGATTCACGTCCCATACCAGTACAAACGCATGCCACAAATGTAATCGCCAATTCTCCCGATTAGCAGGAACAAGCTCTGTCGATTATTCTGGGTTTGATTTCTCAAAGTGGCTCCTTCGCACTAAGAATGATAATTGTAAGGATGCTGAGGTCTGGAGGAATGCAACCACTGAAGCTGAGAGACATCGTCTTGAAGTTGAAAATGGTGTTCGCTGGTCCGAACTGCATCGTCTCCAGTACTTTGACGTTGTCCGCTGCACGATCATTGATCCAATGCACAATCTCTTCTTAGGCACAGCCAAGAGGATGATGGAGAAATGGGTTGCAGATGGTCTAATTGACAATAAAAAACTCGTTGCCAAGCAGAAAATCGTCGAAAACATGACATTGCCGCCTGATTACACCATGCTAAGATCAAAGATTTCAAAGGGATTTCCCTTTATGAAGGCAGACGAGTGGAAATCGTGGTGTCTGGTATACTCTCCAGTGGTTCTACAAGGCGTACTACCAAAGCAAAAGTTTGAGAATTGGATGTTTTTTGTGAATGCCTGCCGTTTCCTTACCAAGCCAAATGTTTCCGAAGATGATGTACACTCAGCACACATAGCACTTGAGAAGTTCGGTAAAGGTTATGAAAGGCTGTATAGCAAGGATCTGTTATCTCCAAACATGCATCTCCATCTTCATCTTCGCGACACAATCAAGGACTTTGGGCCTGTTTATGGGTACTGGCTCTTTAGTTTCGAGCGATACAACAGCGTCCTAAAGAATATCAATACGAACAGAAGGAGCTGCTTTGAAATGACATACATGAAAACATTCATTGAAGATACCCGTAAAGGCGATTTTGTTCGCAATTTCTTGAAGACATCTGGTCCATTCAATTTCTCCGGCATCTTCGATAAATTGGTAACTGGTTATAGTCCTGCTGATTCTACAACTAGCACCGCCTTGTACAATTGGTTCTCTCTACCAGACTTTCTTGATGCTGCCGAAAATCCGAACTTGTCAATTCGTGGTAACGAGCCTTTGCCGCCATCAGCGCTACCCTTGCAAAAAAAAGCGTATGAGATGATGCCAAGACAGGAGTATGATTGTTTGGTAGGATATTACCAAGCTGTTTACAACGATCCCACCATCTCCAGTTGCAAAGACGTGATTCAAGATACAGCTTTCGTCAATGACTGGATCGAAACGCTCAAATCCGTCAACCTCCTTGGCCAGACATTCAAGGGAAGTAGAGGTACGAATGGAAGAGGATCATGTATACAAGCAATGTTCATAGAAGGTCGAAACGGAGCAAAGTATGCGTATGTCGGAGAGATTCAGTACCTATTTGTTCATTCATTTAGTCCACTTGTTTCTACTCCACATCACAGAACACCCCAAAGTAGCCAACATACATTTGCTTATGTAAAATGGTACAAGGCTTCCAAGGAGACAAGTAGAAAAATTGCAGGCGTAGAAATATGGGATGTCGCGTTTTCTTTGCCTGACTTTCAAAGCATCTTGCCAGTGCACCGAATTCTCCTTCCTGTTGCAATTGTTGACCATACAACATTACGAAATATCAGCAAAAAACTTATTGTTCCTTTGCCTAGAAAACTTTACTTTTAAAATATATAATTATCCCTTCTTTTCTTTCTAATAATATTATTCAATTTTTTTAATATGACAGTGAAAAAAAAAGAGAGCAAATTGTTTGTTTTTATTGGTTTTGAATTGCCCAGACAGGAAGGATCGCGGTCAGGTGACCGGGGACAGGAGTGACCGCAATGGTTTTTAGGTATCTGGGCATTCTTTGCTTTGATTGTGGTGTTGCAATCTTCTTGTCATTCTCTGCTGCCAAGAAATCAATGAACTGAATAAGCCTATTCAGCTATGTATAATTAGTTAGTTTATTTCTGTACAGTCATCTTTTTATAGAAATATATTATAGTGTACACCTTTAAAAAAATTACCTCAGCACTTCTCCAACTAGGACGAGCAACCTGCAAAACCCGCACACGGATTATAGGAGTGACGTCCTCATCTTCCGATTCACCATCAGACATCACACTCTTCTCGAGGAGATGCAAGTATGCCATCTCATCAGGGTTACCTGGCTTTTATCCCATCTCAGTGTCAATTGCTAGCCAATTGTTAATGTAGGCATCAACACGACGCAAGTGAATCTAGATATATTTTAAAATGATTAGAACAGAATGCAAAATATTTAATTTCTTTTTTTTTGTTTGTAATTTTACCTCAATGCGACGGCTGTTGATACGATTATTGCGCCTTTTGGAAGACGCTTGCTCGGGGGCTGCGTTGACAGCACGAAAACATGTCTTGTAATTGTTTTTTATTTTCTGCACTATCATATCCTCTCAGAACCCAGCTGTGCGAGGCTGGGCAACGATATACTGTCGGAGGTAATTAATCACCTCAACATTGTCAGGATGATCGATCCTCTCATCAGTGTTCCATCGCCTGCGGCTTTCGTTTTCAGCAACAAGCTCAGGATCATCCGAACGGAAGTTTCTCGCCCACATTCTCCCATTGATGAGATTCTATATGATTATTATTAATATTATTTAGGTAGTATGTTAAAGCATGAAGTCAGAAAAAATCATACCAGAACAATTGCACGCATTTCGCCTTTGGTGTGTCTATTTGTAGACACATTGGCGGCAGTTACTCCCTGAGTTACAGAAGATGCAACAAGAGCTTGCTGGGCAATGGCTTGGTTGTGAGCATCGACCAGAAAACGAATTCCAGTGTTGGCTTCGACAGTACGATCGTACATCATGTTGATGGCTGCCATAACCTGCGTTAGGGACTCGACAGTCATTCCAGGAGCCTCTGCCCCACTTGGACCAGCTGCAAGTGGCGATACTCTTGGAGTAATCTCACGTTGCTCAATCCGGCCGGCAGCAACACGGCTAAGTGTTCCTCGGGCATTCTGTTTGCCTTTGCGTCCTGATTTTCTAGTGGCATTGGAAGGCATGCTACAGATATTTACATATTTTTTAAAAAATAAATAAATATAAATAAATAAAGCATATATAGAAGAATATTATGAAATATTATTTTAATTATACAAACATACATGGTAAAGCACAGTAATAGTATGTGAGGTTTCTAATAAAATGTGAGGGAGGATATAATAATCTGGCAAATAGAAGTAGTATTTATATGTCCCAATACTTCTTGGGTGTACAGCAACAAAAGAAAAAATTATAGGGACACACGTTTTAAATTATAATAGACCCTAATAAATTCTGAGAACAGAATGAGCTTATTCACTACTCTTACAATTTGTTTTTTTATTTTTCTTTTTTTTTATTTTCTTTTTTTTTGTTCTCTCTCTTTCTCTTATACTGTTTACTTTTGCTTCTTTTTCTACACTATGGTAATTACTTAATATTTTCTTTTTACTTTATTTTACATGATTATTAACACTAAAAAACTTTTATCGTCTTTATTATGTAGGGCTTCCTGCACGAGTTAACATAACACACTGGCTTACAAAGGTGAATAAGAAAGCAAACAACTTTTATTGCGCGATGCTAATCATCAGCTTATTAATCTTTAGATGCAAAACGATGATGATGACAACCATCAAAAGCTAATGATGGAAATAAACATGGTAAGCTTTAATAGAATATCTTCTAATCACTTATATTAACGTTATACTTTCTTCATTATCATTTTGAATTTATTAGATTTTCTCTATCTCTCTTTTGCACGCACGCATTAAAAGGATGCCAAAGAATCACTTTTTCTGGTAAGCAATACTTTATAATTATTATTCTCTCATACTAATCATATTTTTTTCCCTTTCTATTAGGAATACTTGGAGTACACCAACAATTATATAAATGCTATCCGTAGCAATATGATCCTCTATTTCCAAAGAATAAATCTGGTCTGTACACACATATTTTGAATATGACAAAATCAATTTTGGTCATCCCAAGATTCTGCCCCTTCCCTTAATATTCAAAGAGGTATTGCAGTATTCCCATTTATTTATCCCGAAAGGTAAGAGATATTATTAATGGCCAAAGTAGAATCGCAGTACCCAAAATCAAGAACCCAAAACCGAGAATGCAAAACAAAGACCCAATGTCAAATGTCTGGATCAAATTCCCAGACCAGATGCCAACTATCCAAGGCCCATTATTAGAGAACCTATTTTGAGATTTTTTTAATAAAATAAAATAAAAACCCATTTTTAAACTATTTCCCGTGAACTATTTTTAAATAAAAGTACAAGAAGTATATTTTTTGATCAATCAAATAATGAAATTCAAATTGTAAATGGAGTACCCGTCCAATAAGATTGATACTTGCCAGAAGATAGTTGAGCTATCATCAGAAGATTGTTGGAATATACACCTTCTTGAATGAGTCCGAAACAAGAATAAATAGGCAATACACAAAATAAATGTAACATTTTACTAGAAAAAAAAAACTCGGAATTCAATTAAGGTTTCGGATATAATGAGATATAACAGAACTCTATGACCGCGCACAGACCCATTCTATCCATAGAATCTAGGTGTTTAATATTTAGTAGCTAGTTTTCCTATCATTCTGAGAATTGTTGTATAATATTCGGAATGTATTTCAAAAATCACACAGAATTTTACATCCTATCACGTATGGGAATCGGGCATTTTTTGCAGCGTATATATTACCTCATCCATATACCATCCATGATCTAGCAATTAGACCCTTTCAGGTGTTACTCCACTCAGTCTATGTAGAGGGCGTTCGGTGCGTACTCCAAGCTGATAAAGTCCAAATGCAAGGCTGGCAGAAAAACCAGTTTTCTTGTTGAGCATTTTGCAATCCTTAATTATACTAATACGTCAATCAGTGTCTGCAAGGAGGTCAACCTAACTCAATCTAAGCTATATAGATCTTCCTAATAATCCCAGTGATACGCAGTCTTGGGAACCGTTTCATTGGTTTGCTCAATCGAAAGATGATTTGGTGGAAGGTGTAAGTGGTCCTAGTGTGACGGATGCCTGGACTAGACAATATCCACAAACTTCAAGAATGATCATTACTGACGTCGGTTAGTCCACTAATGTTGTTGTTGGTCGTCTGTGGATGAATTCGACCGTATATTGATATTGTATGTATCGACGAAGAGGATATTAAACAAGGTGTGGCAATCATTACGGGATGTTTGCCTGTAGCTGCAAAAAGTAAGCATAATGTCTTTCAATATATAATCAAAAGTTACTTACATTTTTTATTAATTATTTACTTTAGCAACTGTAACATAATTGTCTACAACTGGCCCGTTGGTGCGGTGCGATTCTTCTTACAATACAAGAATTCCCATGCCTCTCTGCATTTCCTTGTAGTTGTTGAGGTTATAAAGGAACATGACGCGGCTGCCAATGACTCGTCTGTACCAATCTTTAAACAGCGGTCACAAAATAACAGACCAGGGCGTCAAACATAACAAACTTATACAGTAATAAGATTAGATGGCATTTGTCATCAAGTTGGTTTGATGCAGTACATACCGAAAGAAAATCAGTTTTATGTGATTGCGCCTTGTTATGTTTTCAACAATAATAGGCACATTACAAAGGGAAATCCTTCCATTTTGTAACTTTTTTTTTGTTTTTTTGTATTTTTACATGCTTTATATTTTCCTTATCCTCTATGCACCTTATATTATTATTACTATTTTCCATATGTCTTATTTTTTTTTATTCCCTATATACTACATTTTCTCTAATTTTCTATATTTCCTATCTTTTTTTTTTCATTCTCTACATGCTCTATAGCTGTTATTCGATTAACAGTTTTATTTTATTTAAATCGCGTAAGATAAAAAGAGTATTTTTTTTTAAAAAAAAGTCTTGGTTTAAAAAATAAAAAATAATGGCAGTTGTGTTTCCATTTCGTTCACACATCCCATAAAAAATTATCTGAATAAAACTTGATATCTTCGATATTAAATTAAACATATATTTTAAGACGTAAAGTAGTCATTACAGCTTGCAAATACTTTCTAAGGTATTAAAGCTATCATACAGCTACAGCAAAAATTGATTTTATGTTACTTTTTTAAATTGTTGCTAATGACATTGCCATCTTACCGAAAACTGCATAGAATTTATTGGCTTTTGAGCAAAAAAAATAGCAGTTTTGTGTCTATTTTGGGAACAGTTGTCAGTCCTATAGCCATAGTGGTAATAAAAAATATATCATATAGAACTTCTCTAGCTACCTATCACAGTAAAGAGCATATCTCACATTTAATGCAGATGTATATATTCTGTCTTATTAAAATTGAATCACTGTACCACAAAACCAAAAACAAATAAATTATAACCGCAGTTTGAATCTACACAAATTTATACTTTTGTACTTTATGTAATTCAGCCAAATGTTTGATTATCTTGTGTTCTAGTAATTCGTTTTTGCTGAAAACAAGTGCATTAAAGAGCTAGAGACAATAAAAAACGAGTGGGATAAGAGGCGCGGCGGGCTTTTAAATAAATCGAATTTTCGGAGTATGAATTAGCTTGAAAATTGAAATCCGCTACTTACTCCTGCAGTGGTAAAGTGATGTTTTCAGTCTCAATTTAAGTAGTATTAAAAGACAGAATAGAAAGCAATCGGGTGTTTTAAATTTAGATATTTCCATCGGCGAACATAAAAAGTAAGTCAGCTTCTTAAAATGATCCAGCAACTATTAAAGTATCCGTAAAAAATATCAAAATTAAAAAGCTTCAAGAGATTTCTTTTAGACTTTTAGACTTTTAGAAGTCAAATTAGTTTTTTTTTTACAAGATGTTACTTAGGGAAATCCAGTAATATATTTTTATATTAGATGTTATTGGCTAATTAATAGAGTATAGATAGAAAATAAAAACTTGAATTCTTCAAGATCTTTAAACTTGAAACATATTATTTTATCAGGCATGGATTTAATATGAAATGTCAATTTGGACACTATGCTCCCTGGTTAAGAATTGTAAGAATAGATCGAGAAAATAATATATCCTTATTATAAGAGTTGTATCTTGTCAGATTTAATAATATAGATATCTATATTTGATTTATATGAGATTTTCAAATACATTTAACTGAAATAAAACAAAACTAAGAATCTTATCAACTAAGAATTTCATATTTTTATTTGATTTTGGAATATCAAGATTTATTGAAAAGCAAAAAAAAAGTAAAAAGTCATTATACGAAAAACACTTTACAACTTATTAAGAACTAGTATACATTCTAAATATCAATTAAATAACCAATGTTATTAATAATAATGATAATAATCAACCCCAAAGAAAAACAGAAAAAAGAATATAATTAAATGTTAAAAACAGTTTATCCTTTGCTTGTTTATTGAATACTTTAATTTTTTCTAAACATCTGCTTTGATTTAATTAAATTAAATCCTTTTTTATATAAGCTTATATTATTTGTAGACCGAGAGTCTTTGTTCCCTTTAATTATCCTCAATATTTGTTTATTCTTATTGAGTTTAAAGACGATATTGCAATTGCACTTTAAATCAGTTTACTCTTATGATATTCCCGACTTAAACAATTGATATATATATTGCAAATTATTACGTAATATATGCTTTTCTTTGAAAGTATTCTATGTGTTTGATCATTTCTAAAAGCATCTCCAACAATCAGATAATTTTATCTTTTCTTAAAATCATACATCACGACTCAAGTCAAAAAAAAATCACTGCACTCATCAATTCAATTTAGTTTTTTTTAACATAAATTATGAGAGCATTTGAACCAATAAATTTTAAATCCATATCGAATTTGGCACAAAGATAAAAAAAAAGAAATATTTTTTTTTGTAAAATAAAATAAATAAAACTGCTGTGAATATAACGTTTTACTAAACTTTTGCATATGAGATAGAAGTTCATATAGATGTGGCTGTTAGAGATACGTGAAAATATCAAATTTTAATGTTAAATATATAAAGCAAATAAAAATAATATGTTAATAATTAATAGAAACGAAGAAGAATAATTAAAGAATGCTTATACTAGTTTAAAAGCCTTAATTAATACAATAAAAAAGAACCTGGTTTGGTTGGGTAAAATTCAATAGAGATATATACATATCATAGTCATTATATATGTATCCGATTAGTTCCTGTGCTTACTTTAAATATAGTTTAGACGATAAAGAGATTGTGAGGCTACACGTAGATAGCAAATAACAAAAACTTCTTTTATAAAAACATATAAATATAATATTATAGTTTGTACTTAAACTATAAACTCTGAGCCACTTTACTATACTCAGACATTTTCTTATAATAAACCATGTGTTTCACAATTGAATACATATACATCACAGATATATATTATTTTCGGGAATGTTTTCCATAATATCTGAGTTAGTACTCACTTGAAGCTGCTAACCGTCCAAATTTGGAATTATAATAGAGGTCGCAAATCACATAAATACGGTGTACACATAAATGTTACCTAAACAATTCTTTTGTGTACATTATACTATTCTTACAAATGGCCTGATGTTTTTGTTTAATAAAACACAAAGCCTTGTATGAAGTATCCGCACTTTATTAAACGAGTGAATCTAAGTCAAATTATGTAGTAGCATATATCAAATGTTGCTTTTTGAAATTTTTAAATATGCGTAAGAGCGTCATTGGGATCGAAGAAGGTGTCAGAATTATGGTGGTATGAATACTATATGACTTGGAGAGTTGAAGGTCAGCTCTGAGAATGGTAATATATAACACTTCAGGTATAGAGAAATATTGTATATGACTTCCGAGTGTTGAGTTTTTATTATATGGCCATTATTTCGATTTTTATATTTCAGTGATTATAAAATAAAAGAATAATATTTTTGGTGGTGGCGATTCTGGTAGTTTTGTAAAGTTGATGGCGGGATGGTGGGATGGCGGGATGGAGGGAATGTAGGAAGAGGATTCACACCATCGTTAAATAGAATTTTTATTTTATTTTGGTTACGGCGCAGTGAAGGCCACTTTAATATACTGTCCTCTCTGGGCGATTGTAAGTGAACACTAGACGGTCTTTCAACCTATGTATGGGTAACAGTATTTCTGTCAATGGACCCTGCTATGTTCCTTTAGCTTAGGGATACACAAAGCTGTCTGCGCAACCAATTGGTAATACCAATTTACAAAAAAGTGCATTCTGTCCGAATTATCGAGTAAAATCCTTAGGTTGTAAAAAGACACAAAAAGAAATAGACAATATATATATTTTGTATCAGTGCAGCAATTGTATTGGTAGACAATTGGGCGAGTGTGCGAGTGTGCGTATGTGCATATGTGCGTATGTGCGTGTGTTGGATAAAAGAAAAGAAAAATATATGATAGTAAGCCCAAAATATGATAGCAAGTTATATATATATAGTTTTGGAGTAGCTTCTGGTGTGTAACCGTATATTGAATAAAAGGGAAATAAATATATATGATAGTGTATCCAAAATATGATAGAAGCTTGTATATATATATATTTCGGGAGCACCTTCTGGTGTGTGTCCGTGTGTTGAATAATAATAATAAAATATATAAGATACTATATCCAAAATATGATAGAGGCTCATATATGTATATAGTTCGGGAGTATCTTCTGGTGTGTGTCCGAATATTAAATAATAATAATAAAATATATAAGATACTATATCCAAAATATGATAGAGGCTCATATATGTATATAGTTCGGGAGTATCTTCTGGTGTGTGTCCGAATATTAAATAATAATAATAAAATATATAAGATACTATATCCAAAATATGATGGAGGCTCATATATATATATATATATATCGAGAGTAACTTCTGGTGTGTGTCTGCGTGTTGAATAAACAGTATATATAGATGATAATGTATCCAAAATACAATAACAGTTTATATATATTTAGTTTGATAGTCATTTTTGGTTTATGAATATCATCCCTTTTAATGTGACTCGGTAATATTGTTCTATACACTCTTGCTTTTTTGGTGTAAAATTATTGATGCTTTTTGATACAATTTCACTAAGTGTAATTATAGAAGAATGTGTACAGATCTGAATAGTACTTTAGCTATTAAACATACTAGAAAACATGGTTTAAGTTATATTATTATATATAGCTTCTATCACACATTAAAACTATTAACAAAAAAAATTAAATAGCAATGCGATTGTAAATGATTTATAAATATATACTGTGGAATAAATCGGCTATAAAAATAAATTAAAATATATCTTATATCATTATCTATAGCTTAAACCCAATATAATCTTAATTAGAGTCTTAAGGGGATCAGACATATGGGTTATTTCGAAATTATTTGAAAGATATATAATACAAGCTATATATTTATAAGAAAGTAAAGTCATTATTACTAGCACATATGTTTCTACGATATTATTTTCTTCTGGATTCCAACGGTCCGAGATTTTTGGAAAAAAAATTTCTGTCCAGATCGAACTGAATAGGCGGCCGATCCGGACAGAATCATATCAGTGATATTACACATGCTTTTTTTTATTGGTTAAAAAAAATTGTAATTCCTATTAATCTTGCATATCCACCTTTCTTGATTTAGCTATAAAACAACTTTACTAACCTTGAGGCTGTATTCTTTATTGGTTAACAAAAAATATAGTTCTTGATAATGATATATAATTACTATTTATTGGTTAACTAAAAATATATGTCTTATGAATATGAATATCTACCCTTTATTGGTTAACTGAGAATATAGCTTTGATTATTCTTGCATATCTACTTGTCTTTTAACCAATAAAATGTTTCTTACTTATAGTGAATCTGGATGGTTTATTGGTTTACAAAGATATAGTTCTTAATAATGATATATATTTACTATTTATTGGTTGACTAATAATATATATCTTAGTAATCATACATGTTTACTTTATTTTGAAGCCAAGAGTTTAATGTAGTTAATAATCATATATACTCATTACTTATTGGTTAAACTATATGTATTTTACTCATTGCGCATACTCATTACTTATTGGTTAAACTATATGTATTTTACTCATTGCGCATACTCATTACTTATTGGTTAAACTATATGTACTTTACTCATTGCGCATACTCATTACTTATTGGTTAAACTATATGTACTTTACTCATTGCGCATACTCATTACTTATTGGTTAAACTATATGTATTTTGCTCATTGTGCATACTCACCCTTTATTGGTTAAACTATATGTGTTTTGCTCGTTGTACATACTCACCCTTTATTGGTTGACTAATAAATATTATATATCTTGAGTATTAAATTCTACCGTGTACATAATTTATTACTTTTTATATTATTTTGTAACCCATTCATTCTATTTAATATAAGTTTTAGTATACTATATTTTTACAAAGCTTATACAAGGAAGATATACCTATCAGAAAACAATCTGAACAAATATGAGCACAGACACAAACAGAAAAATAAAGCAAAAAGAAAGAGAATTATAGATATATTCTTTCCAAAAATTATTGATATAAAATTAAAATTCAATTCATTATTAAGAGTATATGAAATAAAATAATATAATCTAATATAATATATTAGAACAAGACTGCGATTTTATTTTATTTTACTTTATTTAAAAGTATAAAGCCTTAATAGTTGTATATTCTTTTCATATAGTGAAGAGTATGTAGTGGGCTAAAGAAAGATGTTATTTGTAGGCAGTATTTGTAGGTGGCCCGTGTATGTGATCCGTATGACAGAGTTTTGACATTCATGGTATACACTAATAAAAAACCACAGATTTCTACAGTAGGCTGTTTTGCTCGGCTGTATTCACTTGGTTTAGAATCAGTCACACAAAGGTATAATAAAAG